ATGTACCATGTTCGCCTTTCACACCTTGGGAATCATAATGCACAATAATGCTAGACGATAGCGTGCGGTAAAGTCGCCGCTGAATGGAGAGAATGCGGGAACATTGTCACTGCTATATTCAGCTCTGATGTCCCAAATCAAATTCGTTACGTGACATTAACTATTCAATTTGCACGACCGCGTCGGATGACAATTATATGATAAAACATTGCATTATGCATGGCACAATATATCACATCGCACAATGGCGTTATAATATAAGGGCAATTGCATTTTTTTTCAATATCTATCGCGTCCGAAAGGTTTTGACAGATGAAAAAAAAAGGATATAGATATACGTCAATCGAAAAATGATTTTATTTTTGCAACTACGTGTTGTCGATCACGTAATATGCAAAATAAAAATACAAAGGAAGGAAGATGTGTTTTGTATGAAAATATATGAGAAAATAATAGCTTCAAAAATCTAATTTATATTTGTATATGTAAAAGGAATTTGTATTTATATAAAAACAGATATTGTGTAGATAAATTACAATAGAATAGAGAGATGAATCGCTGAAATTGCGGTGTGTTTTAAAGAGGATCCCTTATTTCAAAAGGGTCCACTTAAATGCTTTCTTACATCGATTTTGCGTATCTGAGGCAGTCGAAGCCGGAAATTGCGCAAATTGGCTTCCCTCGAAATAGGGGAGGGTATGAAAGGTAAGACGGGAACGAACGATCGAGTGTGATGCAAAATGGCGGGAAAGTTTGTCGGCGTACAAATAAAGTATTTTTGATTGCCGCAATTTCGCTTCGTTGTCCTTCCGGATCAGAAGTTTATATTGAACCAACACACAAATTTCCGGGTAATTTCGACTCTGCACGATGCATAGGATTTTTGTTGACTTTACTCTTACGCGTATATCATATTCGAAATATCGCGTCAAGAGAATTGGAAATGTTTATTTCGGAAATATTTTCTATCTCGAACTGATATTTAACTCTTAACAGGAGAAAGACGCGCATTCGAAATAAAAAGATTCGAGAAACTCTTATAGAATTCTCTGCATATATATTTTATTGTAAATATAAAATGTATAAATAACATACGTTTTCGATCCTCTTTCGCGGATTTGATCAGCATTAAATAAGAAATAACTTTAAACATAGATGACACAAATAAAAAGAATAAATGTTACAATCAAATTCAAGAGATTTTCTCTAAAAAAATTGGAGTAATAATAATTGTTTCCCTTCTTCGGAACTTCTCTTAAATTTCTCTTAAAGTTAAAGAAAAAGATTTTATATATTTCTCCCTCTTTATACAATAAATTCATTTTAACTTTAAACGTCTCTATTCTCTTCGTGTCCATATGTGTATAGTGAATTTACCTTTAATAGATCAGTTATTTTTAGCGCGAAAAGGGGAGAAGGATGCTTCAGTTTACGAGGTGCCTTTATCTCTCTCTTTCTCTCCAATTATGGTTTTTAGACCCACGTGTTCGCGAAGTACGAAAAATCAGACGAAAAATCCACGTGACGTTTAACGCGTCGAGAGAGACCCACGATACCTTTAATCGCCACGATGTAGGGTCGTAAAGAGGGGATGAAAATGGTTCTTTTTCTCGAGGAGGTGTTTCCTCGGGCCTGGACGCGGCCCGCGATAGAAACGGCGGAAAAGCCGGCTACAAGGTAAATCGATACGAAACCACCACGCAGCAGCATCCAAGGCGACCATCCGCCTCGTGCCTACCGTCTCCCATTTTCTTTCTCTTTGCCTGCCCCTTTGTGTCGATTTTTTTTCTCCCCCTGGAATTTCCTTGGATGCGCGCGGACACGTGATACGTTTCAAGAGGGCCGTAATTGCATAAAGGAATGTTTAATTACTCGGATATATTTCTCTTTTTTTCGAATTTTCTTTTTATATTTGTTTTCCCTTTTTATTTGGGTAAGAAAAGATATATCCCTTTTTTTTATTAAGCATATATATCAAATCGAAATAAAAATTAGTTACCCTGAAGAATTTTATTGAAGTTTCTTTGATTAATATTCACGCCACTATAAAAATATTAATATTTATCACAATAAGATATAAAATAATATCTGATTAATTTTATATCTTATTGCGGTAAAAATATTTTATAAGAATTTCTCTGGAAATTCTTATAAAATTCTTCCAATACCATATTGTCCCACGATTGCTATGATTTTCAGGGTAAATTCTAAGAGAAAATTCTCTGCATATATATTTTATTGTAGATATAAAATATAGGTACGTCTATATATATAATATCCTCAAAATATAGCTACTCTTCGAAGAGATTCTTCGAATTAAATATGCTTGATTTCCAAAAGAAAGAACAGTTTGTTCTTGCGCAAAAAATGACAGAAAATCGGACGAATTGTGCGAAGGTGCGCAGTCGGTTCCGGGATGAATTAGAACCTCGGCGAGAAATATTTTACTCGTCGTGTCTCGGCTGATGCGTGTGTCGTTGCACGTGACATTCCGTCCGGAACATATTTCGTCGACCGGGGTGTCATCGTGCCGCATAGCTTGGTGCGAAATGCGACAATAGGGGGATGATTCCGCGCCGTTCGACGCATTGCCGTCGTCGACAGACATTCTTTGGCGACCCGAGGAAAAAATAGAGACCGGTACGATATCATACGATTTGGAATTTTGAATTTACGAAAATTTAACATACACCGAAAAAAATTGTTAGCTTGACTAAACCTTTCAACTAAATATTATTTAGTTAATTGAACCTATACAAACATCTTATATTTTATGTTTTAAAATATAATAAATATTTTTATAAAATATAATATAATATAATTTAAATATAATAAATATTTTTAAGTATTTTATATTTTAATTAAATATAACATATTAAATTTAACAAAACGTATATTTGATTTAAATACTAATATATGTTGATTTAATAAAATAGTAATTTAGTTGAAAGGTTTAGTCACAAGTTAACACATTTTTTCAGTGTATAAATTAGCGCGTACTTAATTCTCTATTTTTTTATAATACAGTATTTAAGTTTTTTTAATAATACACAAAGATAATTTTCTTTTAGTATTTACCCTGAAAATCATGGTAATCGTGAGACAATATGGGATATATGGAGGAATTTTATAAGAGTTTCTCTGATTAATATTTACTATGATAAGATATAAAATGTTTGATTAATGATTAATTATTTTATGTAACGTAGTAAAATTTACTATATTATTTTTTAATATGTAATAAATATTAATCAGCGAAACTCTTGTAAAATTCTGACTACATTACCATGATTTTTAAGGTAAATTCTAATAATAAGATAAAATTCTTCCGCGTATATGCGCGCTATTAATTTATTCATTACCAATTCGTGCAAGGTTCGAATCATGAACCGATTCGAAGAGAACAGCAATTATTGAATTTCCGATAAAATAAAAAGGTGCTCAAAAGAAGCTTAATGTATAGATACTAATAATCCATTATCCCAATCCGACGTTCTTCGATATTAACGGATTAAAATAAAATGCGCTCTATATCGATATCCGTGGATGGGTGTTCTTTCTTTTTTTCTTTCTTTATAGAATTTATCCCGGAATTGATCTTCTTTGCGGCTCTTGCTAGCGCGGTTTATTGTTCGTCAAAAAAAAAGAAGAAAAAAAACGCAACCGCATGTCGAAGATCATTTGTCGCTGGTGTTTGGTAAAGGGAAGCTCTCTCGGTCGATCGAACCGCTTGAAAGGCAGCTCTCCGATGCACCAGGATGCGGTTGCATTTATCACACGGTCCACCGAGACTCGTTCAGTTTTCGAATAGTTCCATCGGGTGTATCTATGCATCTCGCGACAAAAGGCTACCGTGACGTTTTTTGCAAAGTTCGAGCGCGTGAACTTCCGTTTTATACGCCGACCTTTGTCTATCATTCGGATGATGTAATCGAAAGCGTTATTATTGATGTCAACGACGACGAATACTGCCCACTCTATCGTTACGTAATAGACATCCGAGTTATGTAATGATTAGGTGAATGGAGGATTACATCAAACGAGGGATGGGGCAATAAAAAAAATCCTTTCTCGAAGAAGAGGGATGTTCGAGAAAATATTTCAGTATTAATTCAGGGTGTCTAGCGGCCAGGGAAATCTGGAAGGAATACTAGGTATTATCAGGGAATTTCATAAATCTGGAATGGTCAGGGAAATTACCTACTATTTATCTGGATTTTTTCATTCTACACTTGTCTCAATAATTTAAAATTTTTTATTAAATAAATATAAACTTTTCCTTGATTCCTAGTATGCTAATTTTCTGTGTTGTTAAAATCGATTCATCTACAGCGTATTCGTTAATTGAAATTTTCTTTGTGTTATTTTATTTCAATGTATTATATATTTCAAAATATATTACAACATTGCTCAAGAATTATAATATTGTTCAAAATCTTTGTTTTAATTAATTTTTTTATTAAAAATTAATACATTAATTTTATTAAAAATGTTTTATTTAAAAGTTTCGTATACTAGATACCATTAAATATATTAAAATGTATGTATTATAATTTGTTAAAATATATTAAAAATAAAATTTGATATAATATAAAAAGGTGATCATTTAAATAGTTTATAGTGACATGTTTGTTTCGATTTTTATTGTTGACAAAAATACCTCAAGGATTTCATGATTTAATATTTAATTGATTTATCATATACATATAAATATATGCAAATTATATATTTAGAAAAAATAATACTAAAAAGTTAGGGAAAAAAATAAATGTTTGGTCTTGAAAAATCTGAAAAAGTCAGGGAATTTTTTTCCTTGAGTCTGCTGGACAACCTGTAATTGGCGTTTGAATTTTTGATTAAAGGACAGAATCGTGAAACTGGAATTGTGCACAGCTGATACATAATTCCAGGATGGTTTCCGTTTATCGCCCCAGAACTACTCGGGTATATTTATCTCGCATTCCGCCTGTCTTAAAGGAATCTCTTTATGGGTTCAACAGGCTGACGGTGCTGGGAGTTCTACTGGGGATCATCGAATGGGATCGTAGCGTTCCCTGCATTCTTCTCCTGTGGCAGTACATGATCGGATACGAGGGCCTCTTCGTGATCTGCATAGCCGTGGAATTTTTCATCTGCTTTCTGGCGACGAGGGGCAGCATCCTGGACACTACAGCGAGGGCGCCGATGCAATACTTCCTTTACTTCCGGTTGTGTGAGTACTATACTATATTTATCCCACACTTCTGTTTATCCGTAGACCTGTCGATATAAAACAGTCGAAACATAGTCCAAAACCATGTTCCCAGAACGATTTCCCAGCAGAAAATGTTTTCCATGATGTCCAGTTTTTTTCTTTATTTTATAAAGAATGTTGTTTTTATTTTTTTTTTTTTTTTTTTTTATATATTTTTTGAGTAATAGAAAAAAAATTTCAAAATTTTTACACCTTCCTCTTTCATCACCGAAAAGAAGAATACAATGACTCGTTAGATTGAAAAACAATTTTTTTTAAATGCCACAGGCACATCTCGTTGCATTTCACGGAATACGACTCTTTTTTAATTTTTAATCCCTTCACGCGGATCCATTCCCAATATGTCGACGCTGTCGACAAAATACTGTTAAACTTCTGTAGACTAATATTTGAGGGACCGTCAACGTGAATGTATCGATGAAAATCGATTGGTTTGATGACAATCAATATTTGTCGCTTGCGCTCTCTTATGTATACTTTGTGTACCTTTGGACAATATTTTTTATTTTTATTTTTTTATTTTTTTATTTTTTTTTAGTATTCCCTAATTTTCTTTTCTGGCTTCTACTACTAGTTTTAACTTTATTTCCGTGCATCTTTTTTCGTATTTTCCCTTTTTTTCTATCTCCGTGCTTGCACGTTTCTAAGATGAGATTTATTTTTCCGTTTTAAGGTTTTTATTAAAATTTGCAGCCCCATCATTTTCACTGAAGCATTCCTTTACGTTCTCTCGGCTCATTTTTCATCTGATCGTTAAATAGCGCAAAATTCGCGCGAGATGAACTTCACAATTCAATTATCGTTTAACGTCAGTCGAATGTAAATAGAGAGAGTGGTGCGATATTAAACTGCCCCGATATTGCAATTTATCGGTTAATTATTTTTTCAGCTTTCTCACATCCAGTAGATTGTATAAATTCTTCGCGAAATATTTGAATTAACTGAATTAAAGGGAAACATCATCATACGCCGCATTCGTTCTTAATGATAAAGTTGGATGAATGCGAACTTTACGTAATTAGAGTTTTAAAGAGACCTTAATTGCATAGATATTTTTTTAATGTTGAGAATTATACGAATATTCTCAGTGAGGAATTCGAGGAATGCAATTAAATGGCAAATAATGATTTCAATTATTGATACAATTTGCATCTCATCGTATATAAATTTATATTTTATATTTTATATATTTTATTATCATTTAAATTATATTATATATATTTTTTTATTATTTTATTATTTTTAAAATAAATATTATCGAAAAGGGATTAAAATTTTCTTTCCATTGAAGAATATACATTAATTGTTTTAACGTCAGATCTTAATTGTCAAAGCTTGTACATAGACATAGTCAGAACATTGAGAGTCTAACGCAGGGTGGATATACATATAAGTCGAATCTATGTTGTTAATCCTTGGCGACGATTCCGGATGTGTCTCGAACCGAGACAGTCGCGGTTATTGTCGCAACTGGGTCAATCGTGTTTGTTTAAGACACGGAAACGTGTTTCCGCTTCGGAAGACAGCACGTATCCGCGTCTCTATTAAAACTCCCGGCGACGCCGAAGGAAGCTTTTGTCGTCGATCGCTTCGATCTTTTTTTCTCCCCGAGCAAAGTTACGTCAATCGGCGCGACACGCGCGCTTCCTCGTTTATTATATAAAGAGAGCTTTTGCGTAAGCTCGAGCATAGGCGAGTTATAGGCATATAAAGGTGAGGGATTTAAAAATTTCTCGAGAGATGTGGCTTTTTTTCTGTTTTTTACACATAATCTTCTAACTTTTTTAACGCCGGCTCTTAGAGGCATGCGTTCGCTTTACCGATTAATTAAAAATGTTATTTCGCTCGGGAATAAGTTAAGAGAAAATACAATTACGACCCGGGATTTTATGGGGAGGATTTGTTTCCAGTCTTGGTGCTGGTGGAGACCGGATGGCTGTGCGCAGGTGTTACTTGGTTAGCTCGTTATTATCAAACCTGTCGAGTGGACCAAGCTAAAGAAGTCATGTTAGGTGAGTTCTGCATTGCGAGAGAGCAATTTAAAAAAATTTATAAATTGTCTTGAGCTAGAGAATGATGCTATTGCAAGCTCCACTCGCGATACGTAACCGTATAAAAGATAAAATTAATCACTAAAACAAATTTATGAAATATACATATGTGTTCGATGACACTTTTTCTTATAAAAATAAATTTAGGAATTTTTTAATAAAAATGTACAGTGTAAAAATATCGTCGCCAATTAAAGTTCACGAAAATGTAGTTATCACAAATGCAAAGAGAAGCCGCCCTTCCTTTTGGTATTTCGGTAACAGTTGCCTTTGACGAAATACATATTCACATTTTTCGGTCATGCAGAAGTTCGTTATTTCATACAAAAAGAGAACTTTAATCTACAAAATTCAATTTCCGACTGTAAATCAATATATAAAAAAAAATGGAAAATATATCGTAAATTTGCAAACCTACTAGGTTTGGTGATATCGAACTGGTGCCTGCTGGCGTTGATGATGGTGACTATCTGGTGCACGTACGACGCCGCCGGCAGGTCCTGGGTGAAGATGAAGAAGTATCAGCGCAGCATGAGGGAGGCGGAGTCGAGAGGGGCCAGATTGCACTACAAACGCAGCGGCAGCAGGAACCGAAATTGGCGACAACGGTGAGTTCTCATGTATAATTCACGACATACATAAGTTGTGGAAATAGTATTTTCATTTTAATGTCCCACCCAAGTAACGTTTTTATTTTTGATTGTAGAAGAAAATGTTTCGGGCAAAAGTTGTATCGTTTCGGGAGGGAATAGTTGCTTGAAGGTCTCGTGAAGGTCACCTTCAATTTCTTCAATGAAACTAATTTTTTATTACATATTCTTCTAGCTTACATCGAGAGCTTTGCAAAACCCTATAATTAAGTACCTTTTTGTTAAGAACTTTTCAAGTTATAAGACAAGATCGTGATCTTCAAGCAACTATTTAATGTCAAACTAATGGCATATCTTATGTCCCCTTTAAAATGGAACACTGTATATTCCGCAGTTATTCCATGTCAAATTTACTCTATCATCGATTTAAAAAAAGAGATTATCGCTTTAATTAAAAAGAGGAAAACATTTTTATTTCTTCTTTCGAAAAATTTCCCCGAAGATTGCTCAATCTCTGTAAAACTTCTATCTCATACTCTTACATCTTTTTTCGATATAATAAGCGAACGCGAAATCCCATTCTGGCTTTATTATAAATGAAGTTCTCTCGGATGCGATATATCCAAAGCCGCGAGATTGTTTCGCGAAAAAGGCGTCTTATACGAGATATAATACTTTCTGCAAGCAAGAGCCACGATTGCGCTTCGCTCTTATACGACCACCCCATGTCGACTTTATGTCCCACCGGGCGAAATTTCGTGTCCCGGTGTGATTTTACGACCGTGCGGATTTATGTGCGAGCACCTAAATGCGCATGTATATAGTAGTTTTGCGTTTCGTGTTGCAGAAAAGTTATACGCGCCTACCAGGACAGCTGGGACAATAGGTGCAGGCTGCTCTTCTGTTGCATGGGTAATTCAGATCGCAATCGAGTGAGTAACGCAAAGAAATTAGTTCCAACTTTCAACAGTTCATTTATTTTAGTTAAATTTCTAGAAGAATAATTTTTTTATTATAGAAATAAATTATAAAAATAAGTCTTGTAAAGACACAACTCAAAAGTGTACTGTTTAGACATTTAAGATGTAGATATATAGAACCGAAAAAAATATCTAATTATACATAGAGAGAATTATCTCTTAGAATTTATCCTAAAAATCATGGTAATATAGCTTTGTAGTTTCTCTTGAAGATAAAACTGAGAAATGAAATTTATAAAAAATCTGAATAAGTGTATTAAATATAATTAAATAATTGTACTAGGTACATTATATATAGTAAATTATATATGAGGAAATAGAGAGAAAGCTGAAGATGATGTGACGTTGCTCGTAGAACTCGTTCGCCGACATCGCCCGGCTGCTAAGCGACTTCTTCCGCGATCTGGACGTGGTGCCCTCGGACGTGGTGGCCGGTCTGGTGCTGCTCAGGAAGTTCCAGAAGGTCGAGCGCGAGCTGATAGTGAAGCAACGCAAGAACGACACGTACGAGTTCCTGTCGGGAGTGCCGGTCACGCCGCGCACTAAGTTTCTGTCCCTCACCGAGGACGGCGACCTGGGCCACTTTCAGTTGGCCATCCACTACATGCACTTTGCTCTCGCTGCCTACGGTTGGCCCATGTTCCTCGTCGATCCCTCCACCGAGCTCTGCCAGTTGTGCACCAGGTAAATTCATCTCGAGGTATTGTGTAGTTTAACGTGTATTTAATTGAGCTGCCACGACCAAAACTTGTTTTGACAGTTTTCCTTTCAATTTTCAGAAAATAGTATTTTGAATAAAGAAATTATTTTAATACTTGAATAAATAATTTTTACTTTATGTGTTGCATTTATAATAAAAATGAGTGATTATTATATCGATATTTTGTGCTCGGAAATTTTACTTTGGAAATATTGTATTTACATTTAATTTCTTCCTCGTGAACGAAACATTTCATATTATTTAGAACAAAGGACGTCCTTCATCCTTAATTATCCTGTCCTATCGAGCATTGTAGATTAATTTTCGTGTAGAACTCGTCTTAAACAGACACGTAGCGTACTTGTAATGCAAACATATATAAGAAAACTTTGCTACGAAATATCACGAGAAAGTGCAAACAATAAAGTACACGCGACAGAGGAGATTGAAGAATATTAAACTTACAAGTCAACAGTTTGAAGAGCGAAGAGGTAACTTTGTAACTTTAAAATGAATACAATCGGTGCAGCCGGTAGATATGGGATATTATTTAATCCAAAATATATATATTGTTTCTATCATACAATTATTATAATATTTCCTCGCGTGATACGCTGATCTTTTTTTTCATCCCTTGTAAAAACACATTGCTTTCGGGTTTTCATCATTTTGTTTACCTACCCTTTGCCTCTTCCCCGTAGATTGCAATGCTGCTGCTTCCCATGCGGCTCCCGTCACGAGGACGAGGCGACGATCGTCGAGGACAATTGTTGCCGGTGCAATTACGCCGCCCTGAGCAGAATGCTCGACCTGGGGGAGATCGAGGTCGTCTACGCGACCTTCCACGTCGACGTCGGCGAGACACCGTTCTTCGTCGCGCTCGATTATACGAAGAGAAAGGTTCGTCTCGACTAGGCTTTATCTTGTTCGTGTATCGTTCATTAATCACGCGATGACCATCGCCGCGGTACTGCCTCTTTTGAGTAAACAAGCAAGGCTTTCTCTATCAACATTTGGATTAAGCTACAATAAGACGGGTTTCAACAGAGTCAACATTAAGCATTGCGATCGCATTTAGAGATAATCTCGTTATCGCCTTTAATAGCGGAAGTAAATTAATGTGAATTTGTCTTACATTTTTACATGAACATTTTTTATCGTTTCTTTGAATCTTATACTTTTCTCTGGAATTATTATTAAGAGACAGTAATCGTTCTTTTATTTTATATATTGTACATCTTTAATTAATGTTAAATTTAATTCATTATTATGCTATTCTATAAATTGACGTATCTTCATAAATATTTTTATTTTACTAACACGAGTGAGTGCACAACTTTCTTTTGTATTAATTAGACAAACTCTTTCTTTCTCTTTTACTTTATTAATTGTTTTTATCTTTTATTATAAAAAAAATCGAGAATAATTTAAATTCTTATTAATTTATGGGATGTAATTTTTTTCTTCAATTCTTTCTTTATATTTCGATCACCTCGTTTCGTGCAGATTGTAGTCAGTATACGAGGGACTCTAAGCATGAAAGACGTGCTAACGGACCTGAACGCCGAAGGCGAGGTACTGCCTTTGTCGCCACCGAGGGAGGACTGGTTCGGCCACAAGGGGATGGTACAGGCTGCCGAATACATACGCAAGAAGTTACAGGAAGAGGATATCATAGCGCGTGCTCGCGCCAAGGTGGGTAATGTCGTGTGCAAATGAGCCTCGCCTCGTCGCTCGTTATCAGAGCAAACGACAGTCCCGGAATAATTATCATGCCGCGTTCCGCCATCTTCGTGATAATCGGACACGCAAATAATTTTTAATATAATGAGCGATGCGCATTATTTCAAATTTTGCGTTAGAGGAAAAGTTTGCTTTTGCGTTTAATATGTAGCTTTTCTCCTCCGTTTTTTTTAAACACAATAAAAAAAATCACTCCCTCATATCGATCCCTGCTGAATATGTATTAAGAAAAAAGGGGAAAAACATTATCCAGGCCATCCACATACTCTCTCTTTCGCAGTGAAATGTGCCAGTAATCTTTTTAGCGTGGATTTAACCTCGACACCAACGTGTCGAGTGTATTTCGTTTTGAGACAGTTAAATTTTTCAGTTCGCCATTCCACGCGAAACATGAAGCTTATGTACCGTATGAATAGATAATGTATCCAGCCGCGCGTGTATGTTAAATTTGTTCCATCAGAATAGAGTTTTTTCCGCGTCACCGAAAGAGAGTGGAAAAAAATACAGGACGCTAAATATTTATTTAATCGAAAGAATCGAGAAAACAACACGACAATCTACATATGAATTTATTTAACTCATTGAACAATTATATCCAAATCTGACGCAAAGTATCCTTCTCTGTATTTTTATATATATTTTTCTGTCATTAAAATTTCGAATTTTCCAAAGCAAAATTAACATTTTGGTCAACATTTCAGTTAATTAAACTTTGCTGAAGATAAAATTTAACATGCCGGGAATAAATTAGAGGGATTTTAATATGTCGATCTCGGAATTTCCAGGATCCTTCCAGGAGCACGCACCAGTTCGGATTAACACTGGTGGGTCATTCGTTGGGCGCCGGGACGGCGGCGATTCTCGCGATCCTGCTGAAACAGGATTACCCGGACCTAGTGTGCTTCTCCTTCGGGCCACCTGGTGGACTGCTCAGCATGCCTGCCCAGCAATACAGTCAGGAATTCATCACGTCCGTCGTGGTGGGCAAGGACGTCGTACCGAGGATCGGACTCCGGCAGATGGAGAGTCTGAGAGCTGATCTTATCAACGCTATAAAGAGGAGCGTCGACCCGAAAGTAATACCTTAGAATTATCCCTCTAAATCAGCGCGATTCTCCACGTCTATCCGGATCGATATTGTATAATGCAGATTCGATTGCTAATTCCGGCGAATTATTCCACAGTGGAAGACGATCGCGTGCTCGGTGATGTGCTGCGGCTGCGGCTCGACGCCCACGTCGGCGGCGAATATGGAGGCCGGCGGTTGCATCAGCGAATACCAGCGGGACAAGGATCGGGCGCGAGCTCAGACAGTCGTCCCTAGCGACTCCAGCATCGCCCTGACCCTACACAGACCCCTATACCCGCCGGGACGAATTATACACGTGGTGCGACATCATCCGAACAAGGGCGAGTGAGTTGACCCAGCTTAACAATCTAATTCGGTATCTCTCTCTCTCTCTTCGTCTCTGTCCCGAAATGGGGATACAAATCGCGAGTATTTCCTGAAATTGTGTTACTCGCTGTCTAAAATTAGATTGAATTCGCATCGGCGACTTTGGCTACGATCATCTGAGATTAAACGATCCGCGTACAATAAATATGACTGTAACATTTGTTTTATATATATATATATATATTTAATATATTAAGTGAATTTGTGTTTTTCTCTAAATCCAGTTAATTTGTTAATTTTTTGGTTGAAAATTGTTCTTTGTTGTGAAGAGAAGTATCGCGAGGAATTATTTTTTTTTATCATATCGCGCGAGACGAAGCAATTTTGCGCCGGCAAAAGAAAAGAAGAACGAAAAGTTAATCGCGCCTGTATTTCTTTTTAGGCAGAAGTATGAGACGAGTTGGAGGTACGTCTATCAGATAGTTTGTACATTTTCAGGACTACTACTACTACTACTACTACTTCTGGGTTGTTGCATCTTGGAGATATGCCCGCGCATGCGACTCTTGGGCCTATATCCCGTATATTTATTGCGTAGGATGTTACCTCCTCGCGCTATCTTTCGATACTTAGAAAGTTGATCGCTAGAAAGTTGCAACGGTTTTCATCTCAAGTATCTCGAGAAAAATGTATGAGTCGACGTATCCAAGTTTTATGTACCGTAAAAGCCGCTTTTATAGTGAAAAGAACTGCTTAATTCGCAAAAAGAAGAGAGATTGTAAACTTTAATATTGTGAAAAGCGAATGTATCAATCTTGCGAGAGTATATTTGACAGGAATAATAACGTATCGTTGCTTTATTTTCGGTAAACTTGAAGAGATTAAATTGGAGAGATTTCGGTCGCGATTCAATTTGCAATGCAAATCTACGTGATCGCTGAGAGAAAGAGGCGCCCCGTTCTCTTTTCGAGATTGAAATTATGCACTCGTGTACATCTTTCTCGGGACACATAATATATATGCATGAAATAGAATACTCTTTACACCGATGATATAATACCGTGCCAGGGAAATGGTTCGGTAATTTTTTATAGCTCTAGTACGTCCATCGCGATCCAACAAAATAGAGTTCTTTTTTCACTTATGGTCCTTTGATTAGAGTCCTCGTAAACTGGACGCTGCATGCTTCCACCACGTAGCTGATCTTTCGTAGGAAATAAACTGGCGCATGTGTGATGCCTCGTTTTTTATCACAATAAAATTCACAATTTACACTGGAAGATGATAAAATTCGAGATGCTACAATCGTTTGTACATTTATCAAGTACCGATCGAGTCTAATATATAATGAAACGAAATTTAAATTCGCGAGAATTTTTGTGAAATTTTGTCGTGAACATTTAAATACAATTTTTAAATAGTTGCGAAAGATTTAAATAATAGTCATTATAAAAATGACATTTTTTATAATAATCCTCTAAATTTATACAAATTATCCGGACATATGTGTGATCGTCTTGAGAAAACATAAAATATTTATTATTCATATTTAGTTGACTAGAAAAACGATGTTAATAATATTAAAAAGACTCGAAAATGCAAAATATGATAATTTCGATAATCCGCGATCACTCCGCAAAAAAAAAATGACCGAGATGAACTGATTGACTCGTTGAATTCCAGGCAAATGTTGAGCAAACGCGAGCCGGTGTACCAGGCGCTGTGGGCCGGGCCGTGCGACTTCGACGAGGTGCTGATCAGCCCGGTGATGATACAGGACCACATGCCGGACAACATGCTGCGCGCACTAAACAAGGTAAGCCAGGACGCAATCGCGCAGCAAGTGCGGCAGCAAGCGAGACGATCGCAGGCACCGTTGAGCCGTACCCCGTCGGTGAAGCCGGGCCATTACGAGCCCCTGGAGGAGACTACCGACGGGCCCGACGTTCCCCATGAGGCGGTGCAGCGGGATCGGATGACCAGGAGCGCGAACCAGGAGGTTACCGTTAACGGTGCTGCCGATTGCGCGCGCGTTCGACAATCGAGCATGTCGATCGTCGTCGATGTGGAGGTGCACGAACGCAAAGAGATTCCGGAATCGCGTTGACGAGGTCCGTTTCGAGGCGCCCTTCCTCGCTCGCGCGATTTTAATTTTAACGACGAGTCCTCTTATCGATCTTTGAACATTAAGTTTCGGAGACGCAAATGTATATCGAAGGACCCTTTGATCCTTCGGTGATTTCGTCAAACGTCTTCGATCAGGAACTCGATGTGATTGAACGACGGACTCGCGCTAGCTAGATTGTAACCGTAGAGCTTATTTATTCTGATTGCGACTGGCAACGCATCGAGGTATCTCTGTATGTGTGCGTGTGCGTGTATGATTATTTATTTGACACCTGCGTGTCGTTGTACGAATTAGCGTAGACTTTCGTAGCTGTAGATTCGTTGCGAATAGTTTGTTGCTACAGCATAATTTCGCATTAGCGTAATTTCTCATTAATTAGAAACGTTTACTTTGACTTGAGTTCAGTCGCGTACTATTATGCTTCTGAGGAACCGTACATAGTTGTGCGCGTGCAAATTTGACGATTAGACGGTGTACAAAAATTCAATCAGTTTTGACGGTAATCGTGATGGCAAAATAACTTTTTCCACATTGAGAAAATTATTCATCATCAGGATGCCAAAAAATGTACGAGAGATTCTCGATCTTCTTAAAAGACATTATTTAATTAATTTTGTCTAATCTCGCTGTCGCGATTATTGCAATTCGCGGTATCGCTTTTAATACCGCGGATGTAATCTTGGTTTTATCGCTATCTTGCACAACGTGCTAAAATCCACTGAGCATTCTCGTACTTACCTCTTACATTACCGCCTAAGTAGAGTAACACACGACTGACGTGCATGCTCTCGTATACACTGCATGAACTATTGTTCTCTGCCGAATAGTGGCCAACCAGGCACGCGAATTCACCATTTATTTGCTGCACGCGAACATCATTATATGTACGTACCTTCGCTCTCTTCCTTTAGCTTTAACGTAAAACGCTAATTTCATATGGAAATGGCTGTAAATGGCGCGAATAATAACTATCATAATTCAATTGCTCTTTGCGGGAAATAAGCGCAAATCAATTTTCTTGCGAATAATTTAAGATTTTTTTTATTAAAAAAATATTTAAAAATCTTTCCTCAATGGTAAAAAAATATTTATTTAATTTTCTTCATATTTATAGGTATGTAATTTTGTTATTAATTTTTTAGATATTTGTATAATTAGAATATAACTATTTTATTCGTAATTTTAATATTTTATATTAATAGAATTACTAGATATTATTATATATACATTATTAAAAGAAATATTTATTTTTAATATGCTAGCTATAAGACATGTAATTTAATTTTATTAATTCCATTTAATTGATGCGTTGATCGAGTTGGCCACTATTGAATCGTTCGTTGAAAAACAGAAACTACATATTCTCTTCTACGTTTTATACTACGACATCAATCTGCATTTTTCTTCTCTCTATTTCTCTCTTTTTCTCTTCATTGCACGCAAAATGACTAAAGTCTAAAATATGAGCACAAAAATAAAGACACACAAGTATATACTTTAACGCGATAGATTCTCTCGAGATGAAGCTGTTCTATAAAAAAAAAAAAAACAATTTAACAATCCGCGTCTCTCGTCGCGCCTTTAGCGCTGAAAGCTCTGCCCCGAATGTTCGATTCTGCGAATCTGGATTATCAATTTTTTTCTATCTAGGAATCTGTATCTAAAAACATCTGATGATCGTAAGACGATCGTACGGAATTAGCGGTAAATGCGACGCCGAGAATTCGCGGGTCGATATATTTTTCTATGACGCCGTCCGCAGCGAGAAAGATCCCCAGACCAGAGGGTTCCGAAGAAGTCTCGCGTTATATAGTCGTTTTGTGAGTGCACGCGATTTTTTCTTGTAACAACTTGGTTGTGTTCTGCCATACATATATATTATACGTATGATTTGCGATGTATACGCTATACTTTGGTCAATATAGTATTTTCTGCCACGTTGAAACGACGTTGTTCATTTAATCGAGGCTTTTGTTAATTCTCGGCGCGTCGAAACGCTCGGGAATAAAATGCAATGAAAATCTCTATGATATTTAAGCATGTATATATGCATAAAAAATTAAAAATGTATATTTCATCAAATGATAAATCACACTAAAAGAAAGAAAAGTTTTAATTACTGCAATTAATAATTTTTTCTTTTCATGGGTGAAAAATGTATGTGTTAATTTTCCAAAATAACTTGTTGTATTCTCTTCCTTCGAATATTTTTTTTTATTTCCGAGCGTATCACGACGTGTCGAACAATTATTGACAACTCTGTGTGCTCTCACGCGCTAATTAGATTTATTTGTGTATTGATTTAAGTTGCGTTACACGTAGTCGTTATTCATTATATTTTATATTTTCACCGCTCTCTAGGATTTATTTGTCTCTTATTAGTTGTAATTACTATTTTTATATCGTATATTTCTCTCTGCTATGGTCTGATCTGTCGACACCAAATAATAATCTTTATTCTTCGTATTTAATGGCGAATTACATAAGGATCCGACTGAATTATTTTGTTTCTCAAACGAATGAAAGCAAGTAAGAATGCGTACTTGAAAAGGGAAATTTTTTCGTAATAAGCTGCAAAACGAACAAATGTGATTGCTTGATTTTAGCGAATTTTCGGAATCGAGCTGTTCTCGATTGTTTAAATTAGAATAGAATTTCGACACGAGATAGGAAAGTCAGATACGATCTTTGCGTTGAAACGAGAAAGCTCTCGACCGCAATTTAATGTTAAATAGGATCGAGAAGCTGAATTCTAATGGCGAGTTTAGTAGTTAGGCGATTAAATCGCGCGAACGTTGCAACAACGGGGTGCGTTTACTCGTCGCTCGCTCGATTTTCCATGCACGTTATTATCTCGGATCTATCAGAGCGAGAAGGAAGTTGATACATGATCGGTTCCGATCGCTCCCGGACTCGATTAGCGAACGGTAAATATTTGCCCGCGAAAGAAATTTCCATTAATTAAATTAACGCGCTATATTAAGCAGCTGTATTAATTAATCGCCTGACGTTGACGCTCGAAACTTAATAGGAGGGAAAAAAGAGAGAACCGCGTTTCTTTTTTCGAAGAAAAAAATTTCCGCCGCGAAAACAACGTCCGCGATGAAGCTGGTATAGAATTGTGGATGGCTGAGAGGGTGGTGTTGCGGTGTGGATTAGGTGCTGGCGTGCAGAGAAGCGGGGACGACGACGACGGGGGTCGTGGATGACGCTGCCGGGGAAGCCATCGCGGTGGTAGACGCGACGACGACCGAGCTCGGGGACGAGACGCGGCCTCCTCTCGAGCATCATCACCTTGCACACCGAGTGGTCCTTCACCACCAGCGTCAGGGTGCACCGGACGCCTGTGCCATCGCGCCCTCCTCGCGCACAAGGTACTTGGCTCGAGGGAGAGAGACACGTGCAGGATCCAATTCACCCCGATTCGGGATAATCGGACTCTTCCGAGAAAATTTTCGAGCTCGATAAGATGTAAGAGATTGATTTCGCGCTTGAGTCGACTTGAATTTTGGCAGGAATTTCCGGGATACTCTTGTTTCGCGATTTCACGAGAGATATACCATGAATGTCTCGTTATCGGTTTGTTTCGCTCTCGCGCTCTTCGTCGATAAAGGGTGAGCACTTCCTGACGCAACGTTGATCGTGTAGGCACACATATGTATACACATACATACATGCATACATTAATATACACGCACGCATACACGTAAAATGCATGCGCATTAAATACTGATTGATCATATCGTCTTCATTGTGCATTCGGCATTTCGACTAGAGTCGATTGGCCTTGAATGGGTTGATGAGTCCTGGAATGGGCGAGAAGTATCGTCTGAAGTATCTGCATGCTGGCAATTATTATCTGATCAAACAGGCGTCGATTTTTTTATTAACTATGGTAGGAAAACTAGTCCAAGAAAGTTAATAGTCGTAGAAGGTAAAGAGAATAAATTATTAGAACTAAATGTAGCGTGAGCAAGATAGAATCTCATCAGTGTCATGTCACATAAATTACATTTGCCCCATTTAAAAATTCTAACGTGATATCTATTGTACAATCGAGGATTCAAGAACCGTCTTTCCAAAGTTGATTTGTAGGATGAATAGCGACTCTTTGAACTTTGTTATCTGGCGAAGAAGAAGAAGAAGAAGCTCCTTTTCGAAGGCGACTTGACGAGCACGACGTGAAAAGATTAATTGCATTGTCACGAGAATGAAATTAAGGTGATATTCTTTGAAAATAAACGCTAAAATTATCAGACGGGATTTCTCGACCGATCCTGTCTTTTCTTTCGTTGTTTGAAGAAAAGAGAAGAGAGAAGAATCAAGTCGTGCAATCGAGAGAATTTTACGCTCGGCGAGGCGAGGAATAAAATATCCGGCTGTGTATATATATACCGGACTTCCGTTTTGCGGCCTCGTCGACCATATCTGTGTTTCCCATTAACCGCGTTAAATATTCCCCGAAATTGCCTATTCATGTTTGGTTTGCGGTTCGAGACATCGCGGACATGAATCATTTCCGATGTCGACCGACATCGGAAATCTCGCTTTCGATAAACCTTGGAAGGAGGGAGCTCGCGAAATTAACGTTCAATCATTTCCATTCGCAGTCGCTATTTTTTCTACGATAAGAAAATTGCTTCATTAAATAGAGATACCAAATAGTAGATGAATGATGAGTCAATTTTATCGACGAGAGGTGGAAAAGGATATTCCTCGAGATAGGTTGAAACATCAGGCCGGTCCGAAATGAGCAAAGATGACATATGCAGGATGTCAAATTATAGATACAAACTTGGAATTGCGATGGAAAATATGAGATGGAACAAAATTCCTATAAAAACATCGCTCGTAATGAAATTTCTACGAGCAATGTTTAAATTAAATGGAATAATAAATTCTGTCTCGTTCTTCAATTTCAAGAAAGAACTTTATCTAAATAGAATTTCTACGTGACGTTTACTCAGAGGAAGGGGAAAAAAGGCGCAAACACTACCACTCGTTCCCGGGAGACAATTTCGCTCCGGATGGAATTTTCGCGAGATATTTACTTATCGAAAAATGATTCGAGGCGGAGAAAATTGAAACTTATAAATAACACGTTTTCCGAGTGAGGACGAAACCATCCCCTAGTTTGTATCTATCATTTCGCGACATTCTGCAAGGATCCACGACAGAATGATACACCGTGTCGTGGGCTCCTTCGTCATGCCAGGTTGTCACGACCCTGGGCCCGGCCAAGCCGCAGCGACTAGCGTCCGGACACGCGTCCTCGACGGAGGCGTCGTCGGAGGCCGCGCGCGAGCACCAGACGATGCTGGACATTCAGGAGCTGGAGGTCCAGGAGCAGGAGATGCGGGCCCTGCTGTCGCCCTCCAGCCCGAGCAGGTGTCACCTCCTGGCCGGGACGCCGCCGCACCGGCTCTGTCTGGAGACGAGCTTCACGTCGCTGCAGAGCCCCACGGACATTCCCCAGGCGGGTCGCGAACTCAGCGTGGACTCACGGGGCATTCCCTGGGAATACATCAGCCTCGCCAGCGAGCTGCTACACACCCCCAGGCCGGAGGACGGCAAACCGTAAGGACGATGAACCACCTTAGAACCCTTCGCGATAATTTTGCTCAATATATTTAATATATTATAATATATTTTGTTAATTTAATTTTAATATTTTGTAAAGTCAGAATTTTCTGTTCCGAATCGAAATTTTTCAACCCCTCCGCATTCTTCTGTGAAGGGTCGTAAAAAGGGAAAAGGGCGAGCGAATTGAAGAGGAGGAGACGGATAGCAGCGAAGCGACGATGACGATGTGACACCACGAAGCTTTCATTGAGATAGTTCAATTTATTATTATGTAGATAAAGGACAGATTTTAATTTAAAAAAAATGTGACCGGATCTTGGGAGGAAATCTGGATGAGGGAAATCATTGATTAGAAAGAGGTATCGAAAATCGTCGCACCCGCTTCACGCTCAGATTTGATCAGCAATTCATTTCACGCTCTCTCTCTCGTTCACTCTCGCTTAGCTCTAATAATCATATATCGTGCACCTTGAAATTGCACACCGATTTCCAATAAGTCAGTCATTAAGATCACGATCGCGCAGGAAGTGTCCCCGGGTACGCAGAGTCTGGAAGAACCGTCTAAGCACGTGGATGGTCTCTTCCGGGCACTCCAAGAAAAAAATAATAATTAGTCCTCACACGATGACATTCATTCATTCACTTTTTTCTCTTCCTTCCAAACAAGAAGACCGACTCGTTGGGACGATCCGACGCGCACTGCACCCTTGGCCACCCCGGAGACGCTGTCGGAGGCGTCGACGAGCAACCCTCCTTCGCCGGTGCCGGCGCCCAGGCCGATGCGACGCACCCCCAAGATCCCGGGAAACTTGTCGACGGCGGCGGACGATCTCAAGAACAATCTGCACTACGCGATGCTCTCAGCGAAGAACTATTTCCTGAGGTCGACGGGGGAGCACGCAGGGGGCAGCAACAACGGCAGCAGCAGCGGTAACAGCGAGGCGAGCTACGAGAGCGCCAAAAGTCTGACCGCAGCCGGTCTTCCGCCGCCGGTTCCTAGACGACGAGATTCCGTCATCGTTAGAAGGTAGAGGAAAACGATCATCATCTCTCTCTCTTTAGAGACGACTTATCTAGCTAGTTAGATGCAGCAAATTTTCTTATTATTTATTATTTATATTATTATTGAATATAAATATATAAGAAAATATTTCGATAATATATACATATAGAAAGGATATTCTAATGTTGTATATAAAATGTGTAATGGTGATGATTGACATTTGTATATGGTTCCAGAGAACAACGAACGTGTACAGCAGCGTGCTGCAGGGACGATCTGTCGGAGAACTCGTCGACCCGCACGTCGTCGCACTCTTCGAGAGTCTCGCACACATCTCATCACGTTCAGGTGGAATTCAACGAGGAGGAGAACGACACCAATGGCTCCAGCCTGGACTTTTACGAAGCGAAGGTAATCAGCGTGTAAAAACTAATATTATGCTTTTTGACAAATAAATCTAATTTCCGATGTATTTTATTTAATATAATCAATTATTATTTATAGCTTAACGTGTAATATTTTCATACTTTCAGGGTTCCTCTGGCCAGCGCGACAGTAGCAACGACGTTTTTCTCAGCGTGCGCAGTTCACCAGAGTGCAAAGGACTCATGGCACCGGCTACAGATTTAGGCGCCGAGTGGAAAAAGGGGATCGATGCCAGTGGCGACGCCTCGTTACCTCTTCTCCGGGGTTTGTCGCCCACGCCGACCCCTGGCCAGCACAATTCGCCCTTCTTCAACGCTAAGCGGAAGAAATACGTGTATCCCATCACATTGGTGGGACGTGGCGAAAGCAGCGTCTAGTCATAGTGTCTAAAAGATTTTTGCTCGACAAAGAATCGCTGATCGAACTCGAGAAAATAAAATAAAAGACTTGGTGTGGTCTGATCTTCCTTGATTCGAAAGGAAGAATGATTGCAAAAAAAGTACTTTAACCAGACGAACTGAAATAAATCCACTCGAGGACCACAGAACATCTTTAATAATAATAATACTAGTGGTCGAGAATCGACATTTGGATACATGTGCCAAATCTCCCTATTCTTTTTCTCCTATTTCTTTTTTAACGTACGAATTTCTCAGGTAGCGATCTACTCAAAGTTCAAAAAACGTGTAAAAGTTAAATGTCGTCTAAAATATTTCTTACGCAGAGGGATTGTCTAGATTATCTTTATTTCAACAGGTTCAGATATTACTCACTTTCCTGTCCTGATACATATGAATGTTTCAACCAGATATTACTAATTCATATTTTATTCGTACTTTAAACACGAATATATAAATGTATTCGTGTGTACTCCTATAAGCATACATACGTATGTCAATTTAGCTATTGTTTTAATAATGCGATTAAAATATATAACAAATTGAACATAATTGTAGACACACTATAGAATCATTTGTCTTTTAGGAGTTTTAGTTTCGTATACTGTTACTATATAATAAAATCTACTTCGATTTGAAAAATATCAAAAAAGAAAATATGTATCTCTGCGACTAACTACGAAATCTAGTCAAGATTAAAACTTGTACTGCACATGGCAGCAGCGGCCTACTCCGCATCGATATTATTTGTTAAGAATATAGTAGAGGAATTATTGATTTTTATACATTTCTAAAATATATGAATTCGTCAAATAAGGAATCTCATCTATGTTCCGTTTCGATCTTTTGATATATATATATATATATAATTTATACTGTTCTTATAGTTTGTTAGAACATACTCTAACATAACAAATTAATCAATGATACTTTTCTATTTATTTTTCGAATTACTTTAATGATAATACATATATAATGTGAATGAAGAAATATTTCGAGAAATGTTATCACTATTGTCACGATAAAGTTGGAAGAAATAAAACGGTCGAGTACATGACTTTTATGAAAATACTTTTAAAAGTCAATTTCGACGTTGCGTTGTACTTATGTAAAAAAAAAAAGAAAAGTAGTCCCACCAGGTAGCATTTAATTCTAGACAGTATAACTTATATTTAGAAAATCTAATATTTATTGACACTTCTTGTAATATATATAAATATATTTATATAGTGTCCCTTTAGAAGAAACTCGCAGAACATAGAGTTGATTTTAATGTAATAAAATTATAAGAAATAAACAATGGTGAAAGAAATATCTGTATATAATGTATATGCAATCCCTTATTTACATATTCAGTAACTTAGAACTGTATAACTGTGTGTCATGATATAATAAATTAACATTATAATGAATCTTATTCATATTATAGGACACTTTTGTACAAATAATCATTCGCACTTCAACATAACAATTATTATTATATTTCAAATGTTCAAATTTTTTTATACTTAAGTATAAATTGAAGATATTTAAGTTGTGCAACAAGCAGACTTTAGACTCATTGGATGGCACTTGCCCACGGTGGTGTCATTGGTTGGGGATTTTGCAGATAAGACATCACCACTGCTGATATCGACAGCATGAAGCAGCTGAGGATTTGCTTGGTGTCTTCACTGACACGTGAATTGGCGAAGCTGATGCAAGAGCAGTACAATGCGACCCAGGCGCACCATTTCAGTCTCATCATCAAGCCGCACATGCTGAAGATCATCCCTATAACATTCATATAGTCTGGTGTCAAATCGTCCTGCATTTGCCCCTGATTATTTGAACCTGGTGGCTTGTAACGGACTTCCTTCTCAGGTCGTCTGGGATCTGTCGAACTGTTCATCGTAGAAGTCTGCAATATAAGAAATAATATCGTCAATCTCATTTCCTGATAAAAAAGCTAATTATTCACCTATAAGGAATTTCAATACAATTCTTTTTTTTGTTTTGTGAAATTTTATTATGTATTGAGATTCTTTTATGAATTGATATTCATGAAAACCATATAAATTTATTTTTAGTCATTGCAGAATATGATTCTAATCAACTTATTTTTCAATGAAATATCAATCCAATTTAACTTGTACGTGAGTGTAACAATTTAAATATTTGAAATGAAATATTTATTACTTATTACTTGATATAAATGACTATTATTAGTACAGAAAAGCCTTATAGCAATATGAAAAATGATAAAAATCTATTACAATAATTTATTATAAAATACATAATATATAAATTTAAGTTTTATCGAATATTTATTCATATGTAGGTTTTATTATGAATAATGGTTATCAGGAAAACAACGGCATACTCACTGTAAATTAAAAAATAACGTGCCAGATAGAAAATTATTCAACAATTATACTACTCCATCACATGCAACATAAACAGCTGATTCGATGACTTGTGTCATCCTTTCGATAAGTTTCGGTCAACTTCGGCTAGCTTCGGTAGAAAAGGACGGATAATATTTTCTATCTCGCTCTTCACGCGCATCATTTCACTTTTCTATAACAGAAAGTAATATAATTAAAATAATAATATATAAATTTTTTAATAATTGCTTGATTTATAAAGTATTTCTAAATTTAAAATAAAAAAATTAATTTGAAAATAATTATACATTTTTATTTTTTTTATTATAAGAATAAAACAATAATTATTATATATTAATTATTATTAATACTTAATTATTACAATAATAATAATTCGTTATAATTATGATATTCGTATAGATCAGACTTCTGTCCTGAACTTTATCGTTTGATTTTTATTTGATAATCAATGAATATTTGAATTGAAGGAATCTTAAAAAGCAGGATCAAGTAATTAAAATAAAATAAGCTCCATTATTCATAATTAGAATGAACAAATCTAAGATTTTATTAGAATTTTATATATAATAAGTCTAAGAGTTCATAATATTTTACAATATAATTATACGTTTTTCTAAAATTATCGTACCTATGTATATAAATTATACACATTTTTTATTAATTTGTAATATTCTCCGTCTTTTCACTGTTTGTTTTCCTATTTGCAGCATCACTAGAATCGGTTACTTGTTTCACAGGTTTACTCTTTGGTAATTTCAATAAAGGTGGAGGTACTTTTTTCGGTATCAAAGCTGCAGCGACATATCTCCCTTCTTCGTTGACGAAATTGAAAGTAGTGCACGCATTGCGCACAGAAACAATTTCCGTGATGATACCGAGCTTTTGAACGATTTCTCGGAGATTTTGCAAATAGGAAAAATCGTATTTGTCGTCCAATCCGATGATTAAGAGATCAGGCTTTGGCTCGAGGATGGAGAACAGTGACAAAGATGCATGATTTATATGTTTGCCAGATGACACGTTCCAGCAGAGAGCATACCTTGGAAAGACCACAGTCGGCCCTATCACTCGTGCACCAGTGTTGAACGTAAATCCTATCTTAAAGAAAATAAAGAATCATTAAATCTAGAGTTAATCTTAAAATCACAATCTAGAGTTAGTCTTTTGAACATAAAATTTAGATAAATATATATGAAAAATGAACAACTATTGCTTCTTGTTTCAGTTGTAATTTAAATTAATGATATTAATTGAGCTCACCTCATCGCAGTGCACCACCATAAGTCGAGAGCCAATCTCTTTGCTAATAAACGAAACTGTGGTTTTACCAGGACCTTCGTATGCATTCCTAGCTATATGTGTAGCGTGTAAACTCCTTAAAAAATTATACATTAAAAATTTATATAATTGTATGTAAGTAAACTTAATGGAATACATAATTGTAATAAGCATAAAAGAGATCTACATAGTTTTTTTCACAATTTTAAATAAAATCAATCAGTTTTGTTTACCAAAGTTGATACATTAATTTAGCAAGTTTATTATTTAGCAAGTTATTTCTTATGTTAGTGCAAAAGTATAAACTTTTTTAACTGAAAACTAAAATTAATAATAAATTAGATTTTTTAACTGAAAATTAATTGGATTTTTACGTCGCAAAACTTGGTGCCATAGTCTTTATTAATAATCTCATGTTTACCATGTGACAGATGTTGCCCTTATTTAAAAAAAAAAGGTAAAAACTATAATTTCTCCTTTATTTATCATAATTAGTAAAACGCCGGTTTTAACTCACCTGCAACTTCTCAATGTCTGTCTCATCATTAGTTGACACAATTTACTAGTCACATTCATCGTATTATTCTTATTTTCAAGACAGATCTATCACGACAAAAATACAAATATACAGCAATAAATAAATCTATTTTTTTCGACGATATGATGCATCAGCTGATCAGCCTAAGTTAAGACTTTTATAGGTTAGGATTCCCGTGGTATAACATGTGTTTCTCTCCTTCTCGCCTCCTCCTCCATCTCTCTCTTTCTCTTTTTCAGATGAATTGATTTGCGGAATAATTGATTTTTTTCAGCCGAGTAATATTTTTTTAGAGTGATTCGATAAAAAACAAAGTCGTCATTTTTTCGTTTTTCGAATTTTTTCGAAAAATCAAGTTTGACAGATGACAGATGACAGATGGACGGCAAGCATGAAGTTGCGCGCAGAGCGATTTAAAATCGCATCATGGCGCGTGCGATCGGGCGCCCCTTCCCGTTTTTACGGTATATTTTTAGCAATATCGCGTATAAATACTCCTTCGCGGAGATTCGTTATTAACGGCAAGACCGATGAGCATCGATCGCATCGAAAATGAGCAGGGGCTGCTGGAAATTCGACGAGGAGGACAAAGGTGAGCGCGCGCGCGATGCTAATCCTTTTCCATCTCTCTCTTTCTCTCTTTGAGAAAAAAATAAAATAAAAAAATCCACGAGGTCGGCTCGACAATATTTATTTGCTCTGTGATATCGCAGTTACCGGATTTCTGCGCGAAATTACGTTTTGCGTATCGAATTTCGATACAATTTTGCATTTTAATTAAGCTTAGCGATAATTAGATGACACACGCTGTCACAAGAAATGACACTTCTTTCTCGCATGCATAATATAATGTAATATTTATCCTCCATGTAATACTCGACGTCATGTATAAAAAAAATATGCCGGCATGCAAAATAACTCGCCTTGGAAAAAGGGGGAGAAATTCAAGATTGATCTATAATCAAAATTGATATTAATATCGTCTAAAAATAATTTGCATTCAAGGTAAAAACATAAAAGTAGGCCAAGGAGAGAAAGCATGCAACATTAAACACAAGTCTAATGTATTTGCGAGGAATAAAACAAGTGTTTTGTTCAGCCTTGTATATCGATCTGGAAGAGGAGGACACAGAGGAGGATAAACTCTACAAGGTGTACAGCCGCTGGGATCAGATTCCTGATATCCTGCTGGAGGAAATCTTCGCGTACCTGACCATTCGCGAACGTTATTATGCTTCCCTGGTGTGCAGATCATGGTACCGTGCCTTTAAACTTCAGAATGTATGGTCTACGTTCACCCTGGAAGACACCACTCTTACACGGGGGAAATTCAACTATTACAGCGGCTGGCAGTACGTTCTGGATCATATAAGAACGTCCACTTGTCTAAATAAGGTTGGCAGGAACTTTCGCTCCCTCATATTCGAGCCTATGTTGAATTTCTACAATCTCTACGAGTTTATGAACATGATATCCTGGTATGCCGAGCAACAAGGCTTGGACAACACTTCCGTAGCTGGCGTGGGTACCTACATTCGTAGGCTTAAGTTCACCTTTCCTTGTAACATGGCAAATAGAAGTGATCCTGATCGAATCAGACTCTTTGGCACAGGTGGAAAGCTGCTCGAAGCGCTCAAGAGGCTCATGAGAAATTTGCAGAATCTTAGGTGCCTAGAGCTGATAGATTTAATGCTCGAAAGCAACGAGGCCTTACACTTAATGGATGACATTTGTGTAAATTGCACTCAGACTTTGTCAAAATTGATACTGATAAATACTACACGTTACTATTGCCCATTACTACATGTTGGAGTATTTGTTAATTTAAATGTGAGTACAGCAAGTATTGTGGAGATTATAATAATGTGTTTCATAATATATTTATTTTTCGATATTATAATAATAATTATATAAAATTATGTATAATAATTTCTAATATTATATAAAAATTATGTTTCAGGTATTAGTTATTAGTCCCCAAAATTTGCACGAGGATATAATAGAGTTAATAGGCTACACAAAATTAAGGCATCTTCACATTGTACAAAATCGATACAGTCCTAAAGATAACACCATGAGATTGGTATATATAATTGCAATTTTTATTCTAATATTTTATTTATATACTAAAAATATAAAATATTTATTCGATTTTTTATTTTAGCCAAAAAGATCATCTTGGATAAAGATGAGGGCGAATAATCCTTACTTAAAAGTACATTTTGAGATAGAAAGTCATAAAGCTACGGATATACTTTTGCCTGTCGACTTACTGGAGCATAGTGCCATACCATGTCACAGTATAGTATTGGATAATCCAAAAACGCAGGTAAGGAGAAATAATATTGAATTTATATTTATATTTAAAAGAAAAGTAGAAAATTTTTTCCTCATGCTATGATATCATTGGTTTGCAGATTTTGCCATCTATTGTGCTAACTCACGGAACATTTTTCGACTCGACGATACGAGTGTACGCTTTCAAGGGAGTGACGAGGTACTATCTTCACAGGAACTTCACTCAGAGATTGGATGAGGCGCTAGTACAATTCTGCCGAATGTGCCCGAATCTGCATACACTGGTAGCATTTTGAATCGACACGTGTGATAGCTTTCCTAAATGCTAATAGGTGTTAACGATGCGAGTTTATGATGTGCTGGCATGTCCTCGTACTCTTACTCTTTACAAAAGTCTTACTTGTTAATGCGTGAATGCGTAAGTTTCTTCTAACTATTCTAGACCTTTTTCTTTTAATGTTACACCTATTAAATATTTGCACTATTCTTCAAGCTTGTTAGCCTTTATTTTATTGCACAATGTCTACTCCAAGATGTAGAAATATTCTTTCTTATCTATATATAATAGCTAATTAAAAACTGTATTAACTGTATTAACTTAAGCCTTTCAAAATTGATGAAATTCTCTTAATTGATAAGATACACATTTTAGATTTCACATTTAAGAGTAGTGTAACGCATTAAATCTTTTTAATAATTAATAGTTATTGTTAAATTAAGAGGAATATTATAAATTATGAACAATCTAGCTTCTTCTAAAAAAGAAGCTAGATTGTTGATAATTTATAATATTCCTCTTAATTTAACAATAACTATTAATTATTAAAAAGATTTAATGCGTTACACTATTCTATCATTAACCATGTGTTTTTGTTAATTTTTGACAGATGATACGAGAGAAAATATCAACAGCTACGATTCTAGAGATCGTCTCTACTGCAAAACGCTTACGTTGCTTATATATTCGGCGTAACGTTGTCCTGAAGAGATGTGACAAAGCCTGGTCGAAGATCCTGGATTGGTCGCCCGAGTACTATCGATGGATTAAGGTAAATAGCCGTAGTTACGAGAACACGGAGAAAGAGGTGTCAAGAATATTAGGATATCGATGGCACATGTTATCCGAGAAAGAATTTAAATCGCAGACGATTAATTTGCATATGTAGTTATCGTTTCTTTATGTATATATAATATATAGCGATTTATATGTGCAAATAAAAAAAAATCGTCTGCAAGTTTTTATAATCCTAAAAATTTTTTGTATATATAAATATTTATTATATTTATATCTTTTAATGTGCCTCATATACAAAATGTGCAAAGATTGTTGCTATGACTCTTTACGCTTAACTATAGTAATAATTCATAATAATCATGTGCTATGTTATTCTTATGTAACACTGCATAGAAAGTGATTATTAAAAATTATTACTATGAGATACATATATCAAAAGAGATTGAAATGTACTTAATTAGAATTATTTCGTTGTACGTGATCATTGTACAATGTTCTTTAACGAAAGACTGTGATCAACGTTTTTAATTGCATTAGACAGCGAAATTTGCTGTACATATATGGACTGTTCTATAGCGAAAGTTATAAGTTTGAGACAAAAATAATAAAACAGGAGGTAATCATTTTACGCGTTTATATTTATCCTTATGATGTATGTTTTAGTTTATTTGAACGTGTATTGTTACAACTTACATATAATTATGTACAATGCTAGTAAATATTTCGTACGGCTTTTAATTGTGTATGTATATGGTACTAATTGTTAATAATTTGGAAAAAAATTTCGTAAACATGTGTTATAACGGAAAAAGAAAAAAAAATGCTTCATCACGAGACAAAAATTTTGTATAGCAATTAAAATCTCGTATAATTTGATATCAGGTCAACGTATACAATATATATATATAAAAAAAAAAAAAAAAAAAAAAACAGCTAAGATAACAGTTTAAAACATCACAACTATCAATGTTCGAGTCAATACATTTACTAAAATAATTTATATAAAATGATATTATGTATATATATTATATATTAACAGCATTACCATTGTATATACATATATTTAGACTTGTATATACACACGTGGACTTCATTAAATACCATGAAATAAAGGTAAAGCTGCTAAAAAGCGGCGAGAAATAAAAATACATACAGAATTTTTTGCGAGAGGAGAAGATTTACATTCATAGAATATATATCTGTATACAATTTTGATTCGAACGACAATTCCGATATCGAAATAACGATAATTTACGCTATTAAATGTAGTTGCAATAAATTAACAAAAAAAAATCAAATATACTTGCATTACACTAACATAACATCAGACAGCCAGCATAGGAGCAGAAGTGTGATTACGGTGCCATGGCTGCGGATCGTTTATCGCGGTTCTTGTTGCGCTGAATGGTGCGTGCCTTGAACGCAGCCGCGTTCATCAATGTCTGCGGATTAAAAATAAGAAGAAATCCCTCAGTCATGTTACTAAAGTGTTACTAAAATGTAAACGAGATTGTCTTCTACAAGTTCCGATACTCACTCTTTCTAATTTACTCGTTTTCACCGTTACTAATGGAGGTAGAACTTTGTTGCCAAGATGGAAAATCTCGCGCAGCAGTTGATTTTCAGCAAGATGGATATTGATACCGGGTCCTAGCAGCCGGCAGCAGGCATTGTACTGGGTCCTCGCGCACCATCCCTCTAAATACAAGATCTCCTTGCCGAATTTCACGTGCATCTCTGGAACAATGTCTTCCTGAAAGAAACAAAGAGCGTCTCGTTACATCTTCAACATCAACATTATCATCGTGGAATCTCGATGTCTCTCATCAAAACAGACAAATATTCCACGTCTAGAAGTATAGCGTGACACAACTTACTTCGATGTAACGCAGAATGTCTCTAAAATTAGCGCGCTGCTGCTTGCGATCCTTCTTAGCCCGATACTTGTTGGAGTCTGTGGCGAGTTCCTTGAGAATTTCGACGAGGTCGAGCGCCCAGTCCTGCTCGTAGTCGGTGGAGAAGTCACGACCGAGCTCGAATATTACGGCCAATGCCTCGCCGGCCGACAGGCGTACGTCGAGATGCGGCGACTCCAGCAATTCGCGCAATCGATTGAGAGAGCTGGAGGAGATGGAGAAACAAGTTTAGTCGCGTCGGTTTTCTACAGCTCTTTCGACAAAATCGCCGATCATCGACGACTTACGGCATGTAACTGTTGCTCCTGTCGCTCGCGAGCAAATTGTAGATGTCTGCCGAGGTCATGACCGTGAGAAGCAGGGTCCAGGATGAGATAGCTGCCGCGTGTAACGCCGCCACGTCCGTGGAGATGTTGGCGATCGCGCCATTCCCCTTCAAGTAGGAACCGGAGAAGATGGACGACAGTAGCTGCACGATTTCCATGGTGTCAGTCGCATCGTTGCCGGACAAGAACTGATTCATGGCTAGTGCCCAGCAACACTGCAAGCATTTTGTTAAGGTAAGATTATCTGTGATTTAAATAATGCAAAGAGAAATCTATATAATATCCATAATAAAATCATCTTTTGCAGATCACCTCGGCGCGAGCGTGGACAGGAGCAGTATTATCGTTGGCGATGAAGGTGAGGGTCGACTTCAGGTCCCTGCAGACCATCTCTGCGCTTTCGAACGCCCCCAGCTGGACGCATAACAGGGTGCTCAATCTGGCCGCGGTCGCCTGCTCGTCATCCCGTCCCTTCTTCAAGCCCCGCTCCACCGAGTCCGTGATGGTCATCTTTCTGTCCTCGACGAAGTCCGGGATGTACTTGATGGCGAAGATCTTCTCTATGCCGTTGAAGCATATCACCCGGCCCTTGGCGCTCTTTTGCGTCAGCCCATCGATCGCCTCCTTCAGCTTCTCCTCGAACGCCTCCTGCTGCGCGAGCTCGTCCACCTCGTTGTCGTTGGCGTCTTCCAGCATGCTGCGATTGTCGGATTGGCCGCTGATCTCGCTACACGCATCATTGTTGACCGAGTCCTCGTCGGATGTAAACTCAGCTCTTTTTCCACCTGTCAGTAGGATACATAATTTAACTCTTTTGTCAGTGAATGAGTATCTTAAGCATCTTTAAATTCTAAAAATGTTTTGAAATTTTTCTCTGGTTTATTATATACATGAAAAGATGAAAAATGATGCATTAGCAGAAAAGTTAAAGATAAGCGTAGAGAGCTTGATGTATTTATGCACATAAAGTGTACTATGAGAATGTACATAATGAATTTATATTTTTCGTTCAACTTGTATTCACGAGTTTTTATCGAGATGTTAATTATGTAATTAACTAAAGCTAAAAGCATGTGCGAGATGATTAACATATGTTTGATAAGAGATGTTACGTTACTGCCATATGGAATTATGAATCTCAAATATATATCTGTGAACTAGTGTCTATTAATAATGAAGCAATTTAAATATTAATAATGAGATATTAATATTAATAATGAAATTATATATATTCATAGAGATTTTAGTTAGTTAGATTTTATTAGCTTATCTCAGCCATTGCACAAGACAATTTTATTCATTTTTTATTATATGTTATTAATTTATTTTCTGTTTTATGAAAATCGACGTTGAACGTGCAGTTTTATATCGATCGCGGAAAGATTATGTGAATCTAAAAGGTAATTTGAGTATGAGAGAAATAATAACAACTCCTTTGAAAGTGAATGTCATGTTACATAATGTAAAATGTGCACAGCTGTTATACACGCTTCCATGAATTTTATTTATATTTCGCGATAGGTTTTAATTGTAAAAAAAGGAGAGATTAGGATAAATTATAACACGTATTTTCACAAAAAATTAATTTTTAACTTCATGTTGAAATTAGAAATCCAAGAGAAACTCAGCTAATGGTAAAGATACACATTTAATTAAGTATCCATTGTATGCTATACATTTATCAAAAGTTTTTGTACATCATTTATTTGTACTAAAAAAAATTAATTAACGCGTCATGAAAAAATAATTAAAATTGTGTACAAAATAAATTTAAAATGTCCGAGAGACATTTTTCGGATAAACATATTAATTTTATCGACTGAAAAATATTGCATTATCGCAATTATTATTATTATGCCGAATCATCGAGCGAAGAACAAAAAGGAAACAAACATGTAAAAACGTCGATTTATCATAACAAACAGATATGATTAAAATTTGCAGTCAACTTAAGCAGAAGAACCTTGGGGCAAGGGGCAAAAGAATAATTTTTACAAGAATTTTTATTCGCTTAATATTTATCTGCCGATTAGAGTCGACGGGCAAAACACGTCGTTAAAAAAAAAAAAAAAAAGAATGAGGAACATCCGCGATTGCCTAGGATTGCCGCCGATTGCGTAAATTCTTCGGCGCGTCCAACCCAAATCGCGTTGGACGAGAGTGAGAGAGATATCGAGCGAATCATTATTCAGTATATATATATATATATATATATATGTATATATATATATTTTTTTAAGTGACACAAAGGAGAGCAAGAAAGGCAAAAGATGAAGTAGAGAAAAAGACGACATTGCACGATTCATTTGTTGGCTTCCATCATCAGCTGTTTTTGACAGCAACTTTGATGATGATTAAATCGCGCATAAATTACAATTGTAATACGCAATTCGCGTATTGTAACTATACATAAATATACATGTAATAGTCCTCGGAGAAGGTTCTATAACTTCTTTCGAGAACACATGCTCAATTTCGAGAAGGATCCAGATTTAGCTCGCTCTTTCTCTTTCAGTGTTCCGCGGAATTTTTGATTAGCATAATTTCAACGCAGAACGAAAGGAGGCTGCTCCGAATCGACGCAGCGATTACAGAATGCGTGAGCTCCATGTGCCAGAGGCATGAGAGTCACATGGGAACAGTTATGTCTGCCATGGCTGCGGGAAGTCGTGGATTTTCGCGCGCGAAACGAGGGAAGGCGGACGTCGTCCTGGAAAGGAGGGAAGCTGCGTCGATCATCCGGATTTTGTGACGCAGAACGGAGAGCAAATAAATATAAGATTTCCATTCCGCGCGGATGAATCATCGGGACGGACAAACGGACGGACGGGGGGCGCGAATCGATAATTTAATAATGTCGAGCGCGCGTCACGTGCTCTCGTTTTTCCTTCGTGTCGCGTACAAGTATTTTTTTTCCTCCCTCTTCCTCGGCGGAGGACGAGTCGGAGGGAAAGGGATCGATTCTCGACGAAGGACGAGGGCTATATAACGATATATATTCGGAAGTTCTCGTACTTACCGCACTTTCCTCTTCTGCCCCCTTTGCCTGGCATCCTTCCTCAGCTTGCTTATTGCACAATTGGTACTAGGTGAAAGACTCGATCAAGAGGGTAAATGTTTCGTACTAATGTTTTTCTTTCGTATACTGAATACGCCACGTGAATTTTTCGTTGGGAGCAGACGAAAACTCATTAACATGTTGCGGAATCGTTCAGAACATACACGCCGAGACAGCCTTCAACGGGCTTTCTCAAGTGCACTGGCTGTCCTCTGCTTCGCTCTTGCTCCTCTACCACCTTCGGCCGCCAGGCGAACTTACCCGAGTCGCCGCCGAGTGCGCCCGAGCGCGGCGCGCGCACGACCCAATCAGCTGTCGCGATTCCACTACGTCACAGTCACGTGGTCTGCGCAGGCGCAGACTCGCCGCGAAGATTCGAGTTGTCAATGAGAGACGATGTACGGATTTATATTTTGTATAAAACGACGAATATTTTGAATTCCTAGAGCTTGATAGAATGAAATATTTGTATAGGTAATGAATTGAAATAAGAAGTAAGGTGCGTACGGAATTATTATTTCATACACAATATATAATATTATATATAATTGAGTAAGAGGTTAAAAATTACTTTCACACTCTCTCCCTCTCATAAGTTTTTAAAAAATAAATTATTGCGATACTTATATATTTTCTAGAGATCAGAAATATGCATCTTAATTTTAGAAAAATATATTTCTAAAATATGAAAATTATAGAATATACAAATTTTTGGAAAAAGATTATAAAGTTTCTAATATCTGTAAATCAAGAGGCCAGTATGAAATAAGTAAACTCGTTTGTTGATAAGGTACTGAGAACTTTTATTAAATTTGTTTTAACGAGATATGTCTTTAGAAAAACTGACTTTGGTACTTAAACTATAACATTAAGATACACATTTGCCATAACTTATATCACGTTACACAGGTATTTATATTAATAAAAAATGACACCTATATATATTTATGCATTACCAGTATAAAAGCCATGTGAATTTGTTAATTCTAAGAGCACAATACTGTTTCATCTTTTGATCGTACAAAGTAGTGTAAAAAGCTATGTGAACTCCAATATATGTTCAATTTATTATCAATGTAAAGCGTATAACTTTTGGTATTCTATTTCTTGAACAAGAGTTGTCACAAATCTTTGGAATCAATAACATTTAAATAGTTAACATTTAAATAGTTAACACATTTAAATAGTTAACATTTAAATAGTTAACATATTTAAATAGTTAACGGCATTTTGCTTGAAACAAAGTTATCTAACACCTACTTTTGTAACATGTACAAAATATATAAAAAATGTACTACACTAAACATATTGTACTCCTATTAAACATGGTAATGTGTACATTGGTAATGTGATTTATCAGATGCACATTAAAATTAAATATTTTTTTGTAAGAATCATATTTCCTTATACATTTTTGCGCAGTGTACCAAATAACATGGTTAAAAGTATATCTATAAATTATAACATACAAATAAAATAATTATATATATACATAAATGTATATTCAATATATAGCAATATATATATATATATATTCAACATATATATATATATAGCAGTTTCATTATTATATATATTTAACATTTAATATGTAGCAGATAACAAAGATTTAAATGTACCGTTTCTAGTAAAAAAAAAAATTATTGAGTTTTTCGTGTACACTAATAAAGTAAAATTAAAATTATATATATATATTTGCTATAATTTGAATATTTGCAACTTAAATTAATTACATAATTAAATAATTCTCACACATTACTTTCCGGGACAAAAAAAAGTATGCCTATTTATGCAAAAAAAATAAGAATTTGAGAATTTAATATTATTAAATCTGTATTATTAAATGTATTACATAAAAAAAATTTTATGTAAAAAGAATATTAGGATATTAGAGATACAGCACCCTTTTTATTTTTGGGTGACTTCTTATTGTGTATATTTTTGTTCCGCTGTATACTTTCGTCACTTATTTGTCGCAATGACACATATTTGGAATATATTTTAAAGCTTAACAATGTGCTTACATTGTTGCAGGGATGAATTTACTGTAGCTTGCTATGATGAACGGAATGATCGCTAAGATGGAAAGAGCTGTTATGTGCGAGGCACCAGATGCCTTTGTACCAGTGGCAGCCGCACTTTGCGCATTGAGAACATTTTCGCACGGCGTTACCCTCTTGACAAAATTAAATATGGAATCCATTATATTCGCAGGCGTTGGATCTGGACACTTTTCCAATTCCGCCACAATACAGGTTTGCAAGCTATTCATCTCTCTGTACAGTACATCAAATAAACATTTAGTTTTCTTTATAAAAAAATTTTTTTAAATATACGTTTTGAGATCGTTAAATTTCAAACTAACAAAAAATATAAAAATTAAGGCGTGTTTGTTAAAAATAATCAAATAGGACGTTTTGTGCACGTCTTACCTGCATTCTTTGGTACCGAAAGTCAGTGAGGGCAAACTATCCAGTCCGATTAAATTGCTACCAGATGGATCAGGTTTTGGTATGTAACCACCATATGTACGATTGGCACAATCTTGAATCGCATCCTGTTTAGATTGGAAACATTCCGGTCCTCCAGCTGATATGAAAACTGCATAAAGAGAAGATAATCTAGATTATTATAATGCTAATAGCACGACAAGGGCGTTCTAGAAATTAAAACAAATTATCTAGAGGGATTTTTAAGATCAGAGAGAGCCTTTAAGAAGAAAAGCATCATAGAATTATTAAGACTTACGGGCAATACGATCTCCTTCTTTATAGCAAACAAATTCCAATAATGAATCAGTGATATTTAGCACAATCTTCTTATTTTCTCTCTCCTTATCGTCCAGACAATGTTCCATTGTATTGGTAAAGTTGGTGACGCAAGCACGCAAAGTTGAACGCTTGTTGCAATAATTTTTAAATACTATGTCCAGATCGCCGGTCGGCTTGTACTTCTCCATCTCCGCCCGAAGTTCTGTGACGTTGATGAGCGACTCAACACAGTGCAACATGTCCGTCTGGGCTTGCTGGGCATTGTCGAATGCAGCTGGTCCACCGTTCTTCGTACACTTCTCTTTAAAGAGATTTTTCGCCTCTTCGATGCTGGGTAATGCTGATGCGTTCAGATTGTTCAGTTCGGGGATGTTACCAATCACTCCGCCGACCTGTTTCAGCATCTCGTCAGTAGATGGTAAGCTCTCTTGCGAACGTGTACACGCAACAAGACCTGAAATAAGGAAAAAATATTTTTTTATAGAAAACAGATTTGTTTTTTTTTTTATAAAATTTATACATTATAAGGAAATATATTTTTCTTTCTAGATAGACTAAAATCTATAAAAGTTACGGTTTACATTTTAAATTGAAACTAATGACTTGAATTGAAAAAAGAAACTAATAACATTTACGGAATATATTTTATCTCCATATTTAAATTTATTATACGTCAGAAAAGCAATTATATTCTCATTAATTATACACATGTTTTTTTCTTCAAATTATATCATGTCAGTTGTAAATATGTTATATAACATTTCCTTCTATTTTTTTATTTATAGTTGTACGAAGAAGGAAATATTGGACGAATTAAATCAGTCGACTTGTCAACGGATGACAGACGACAGCTGGTCAAGTATATAGTGATCGCCTTTGTTACGCAAATACGTCTTGCATACGAAATTGCGCTCTTATGTAATGATACTTTGATAGAACCTGTAAAAACATCGCTAACGGGATTCAGTCAGAACTTCGTAAAGGTAAAAGTTTAATTTGTTTATTTCTCTTTCCTATTAATTATTATTATTAATATTTAATAGATAGCGCCGTTTTTGTTTTTTGAAATCGTGTTTTTACTCTATAGTTTCGAGTTTTGCCAATTTAAAATGTCACAACGCCATGATTTGCATTTTATATCAATTGGAATAATCGGATGTTTTGGAAATGACGATGATACTGCAAATTAGTCACTGGTCAAAGCTGCATATGGTATGAACGATATACGGCTGATTAGTTGTTTTTCTAGTAATATCGTTTACTTCTTCATATTAGCACGATTTGCAACGTGTAAATTATTCCCTTAATAGGCAAATGTAATTTATCACAGAAATATACTAAAAAATGAACTAAAAAAGTGCGCGTATGAAAAATAAAAAATGTCGAGACTAGTGTTTCATTAAAACGAAATTAAACGTGAATTTAAACGAATTGTCAATGACAGTTTCCTACAAGATGTTCACGTACTTAACCTTCGAATTTTATTAAGATATTAATTAAAAAATAACATTACGTAATATTTGTTAGACTCAGATTTTAAGTTAAATGTCCAGTAAAATGTCAGATTAACATTAACATCCTATAAAAAGATTGAGGATAAGTTGTCATCTGTTTATCTGTATAATTATATTTAATAATTCAATTCAATATATTTAATGTTTGCCTTCAAGTCTCACTGGATTAAGGACTCGTTCCTGGAGTCATTAAATTAGTCTGACAAAGCAGTAAAGAAAATTTGTCAAGAATTAATTAAAGCCAAGCGACCTTTTGCACGGCGAAGCCGAAACGAATAATCTACGGACTTTGTATCCGCGTGGGTCAGCTTTCAATCAGAATGACCGCGTGTATATTTTATCTTACTTTGTTACATTTCTCTTGCAGGAAGTATTCGCAGACCACTGGCGACAGAATGTCAGCAAATCATCGCATCGGAATCTCTACACAATTATTTCTTTTTTCGTTCTCTCGACCGTGATATTTTGATCTGACGATTGTCATGCGAATCTTATACCTCATCAATACCTGAAGTAGTTTCTCCTTCGCTTGTTTTATAACTGCAACGTATAGAAAACTCTGAAATCGGCATGATGAGTAATACGGTTTTACCGCTTATATCGTCCAAAGAACAAAGATTCAAAGCGAACAAATATGTGTAGATATGAATCATCATCTCTAGAGAGAAGATAAAGAACGTACACTTATTTGACATCTAATGATAGAAAATTAACACCTCGAGTATCTGCTATAATAATTTTAAATTTAACAGTTCGCCACAGATTGAGATTTTCTTAGACGAAGTGAGAGATTAGCTTAACACATATATTTTACCGCAAATTTATCTAAGTAAATCAAGAGGGTCTTGCTGTTTTACAGCTCTCCTTCATTCTTATTTTTAAATAAAAAATTAGAAGTCTATTACGTAATATTTCACTTAAAAATGTTTTAAAAATTTTGACAATCAGAATCAAACAATTATTAGAAGAATGACACGATTTGTAAATGTACATACAACATAAATATGCGTTTTATTTGTATTTTGCAAATAATTTTCTTGTCTTTATTTCCTGATTCGTGGTCACGAATCTTACACACAGATATTATGGTTAATCGGATTTTTCCTCTCTGCTAAGAACGCAAACACAAATTATTACACGCAGTGAAAGCGAAACGCGTTCGCTGACTTCGCGCGATGCATGCGAGTTTCGCGAATGATAAATTTATGCACGAATTATGCTAATTATATGCTAAAGAATATCATCACTATTACTGGTCGTCTAGATTGCTTGACTGCTGAAATTACATTAGATATTAGATTTTGGCGCGTGTATATTTGCATTTTAGAGAAGCTTCCTGGAAGTTTTTGTATCACTTTATCCCACAAAGATTAGCCAAGTAGATTCCGCAATGCTACAGGCGAAAGTGCATAATCGCATAATGAACAAAACTCTACAGTTATATATACAGACATTAATGGATGAAGCATTTCTAAATAATTAATTTTTAATTTTATCATTTTAAATGAAATATATCTTTAAATTCTGTTAATTTTATTTTTTAGAAATTTATAATCTCCATCGGAATAATTAGAGATTAATTAAAATGTATTATTCCGGTTTTCTTATTTTTCTTACTTTTTACTCGCTGAACAATAACAAATTATTGCAACGTCTAATTATCATTATTACCGTTCGATGCATTTAGGATTAATACAGATAAAACCTAATGTTTATCACTCTAATAACAAGATTCGCGATGTTTAAATGTATAATCGCGGGACAAAGTGCGATTAACTTTGATACGTTGTATCAAGGATAAAGTCGATTAACAATTGAACGCTATCGCGCAAAATAATGATCTATCTAATGAAAAAAGGTGAATTACTTAAAGTATATACATGTATTATATAATTTATAATTTCCCACGTTAGTATAATAATTTTTATAAATCAAATTTTATCAAATAGACAGATTGAATAAGGTTCTTTCATTGAAATCAAATTGTAACAATTTAATCAAATCAGTATAATTTAACGAGTTTAAAATGTTACTATATTAATAGCATAAAAAACTATCTTTGTATTATATCATTATGTAATAATTATCATTGATATATTTTCAATATATCCTTAATTTTTGTTTATTTAACACTGATTAGTCGCATTAATATCGCTAATTAATTGCATCATTCTCAGAAACTAAATTGTCAGAATCGTCAGAATTGTGATATCAAATCTTTATAGACAAAAAACACATATGAATCAATATTTAAATTTAACAATATCAATTAATTACATCGACTCTTGTAGAGTAAAAATTCTTTTTTTTACTTTTAATACTACATATGCACACGGAATAACTAATGTCAATATTAAAAATAGAAAAGCGTATATATCCTGTAAATTGCAATTCATTCAATCTTTTTGTTTATTTCCAGGTGCTGTCGAGTCTTTTCATTTTCCCAAGAAGAATCGATTCACAGCTCAATTAATCCCACACATCTACAAAAAATGGGGATTTTCAGTAGATGGAATTATAAATTAGAAGTGTACAATAATAAGCAACAGATTCGATTAACAAATGTACTGATTAACCACAACTACAAAAGTGGAGGTATGTTTTATAATCCATTGCAAATTATATGTTACCGCAATAATGTGTACATGTGTATGCAACTAACATAATTTTTTATAATGAGAAACCGCGGTAAAATTGCGACCTATCTTGCGAAATATTGCGAAGCTGTTATCTACTTATCTATTCACGAGTATGATATGCAAGACCTTCTTGGAATTTCCAAGTTACATCCGAGAATCAAGAGCTTAAAAATTCCAATTTTTAAAATCAAGAGAACTCGTTCGTGAATATATCCCTTTCACCTGTGAATTTAATGTGTACACAACGTAGAGGTGACTTCGGACATCTAATCTAGCAAGCTGAGCTGGCAATAAAATAAGCAAGTTTGCATAAAACGATCGACGCCATTGTCTGCGTTCTATCTATTCTTAGCACTTTAAATTGATGAAATGACACACTTTTTTAATTGCATTTTAGTCGCATGCATTAATGATGATTGGGAAAGCTTTTCGAGATCGTATATAAGGAAAAGCAATTTCTCCAATTGAAAGGAGATATTTTTACTTTTTAATACTTGAAATATAGCTTTGAAATTACAAATTAAAAAGATATTTTTTATATCTTATCTTGAAAAAAATCTCATTTCTAAATAAGAGATTTTTATTATTGAAAATCTCTCTAGTTTAAATAAAAAAAATTCACATAAAATCGTTTTCTTTTCGCAAAAGAAAACAAGAATTATTAAAATTACAATTATTCTTGAGAGAAGTGAGGAAAAATTTCTTGACAAATTATATTCTTCCGGATGTACATACTACAGTTATGAAAAACATTTTAAATCAAGAAATACCTGTTGTTTCCAATATTACATAAAAAATATAAATTCAAATGTTTTTCTTATCAAAATTTTTTTCGCTAAACTATATCTTCTATTATTTTTTTATTATTATTCTATTCTATTATTTTTTGTTATTCTATTATTTTTATATCGAATTTATATACTTTATATGTAACAAATATATCTCTATATACATATATACGTGCGCGGATATCCTGGATAAAAAACAATTAAGATTTAATCAATGGAGATTCTTCTTACATTCTCTCTCGACATATATTTCTAGAATTTATTCGGATAATGTTTATCACTATTTCGTACAAACAGTAGTCGCTTTCTCTGTTTATCGCTATTTATATACTTTTTAATTGCCATCAGCATTCTTTTTTATTCACGCAATAAAAGGCAAGAGGAAGGAAAGATCTTTATTAAATCATATTAAAATAACCCGGAATTTTTTAAAAATTCCTATTCGCGCATATCTCAAAATTTCATATTTAGCACTTTCTTTAAATCCACTTGCAATTCCTATTTATAATAATCGTGATATCCTATTTATAAAATAGTTCGTGTATCTGTCAGAAATAAATAAGTTGAAAGCGACAAAGTCCAAGAAGGTCTTATCTATTAATGTCGATTAAAGCAGATCATATACAACAGTCAAGTAGATTATCTATCATTAATATGTAATCGAATGCATGCGAGTTTCATGCACTCGAGGAAAACGTCGAACGACGTTGACAGAAATCAGTCATCAGTCATATACGTACCGAGGAGTAACGCTACGGCAGTGAACGTCAACTTCATCTTGTGTGTGTCTTCGGGGAACGGGAACACTTACGATAGGGTAAATCGAACGTAACACGATCGTACACCGTGCGTTCACTTGTCACCAAAATTGTGGACTCACTCACACGGATACATGCACGTGTACCTCAAAGAAATAAAGGAAGGAGGGGGGAGAGAGAGAGAGAGGGAAGGAAGGCACGCACCGCAAAGATACGCTTCCGTTGCAGGTTAGACAGCCTCTGCTCGCTTCTCGTCGACGATCCTTTATCGTGAACGGGCACGATGCTACAGCTGGGCTCCTCACACAACTGACCGGGAGGGGAAGGCTCGAGAGAACGTAGAGAAAGAAGGGATGAGCGAGAGAGAGGATAGAGAGAGAAAAGGGAACGAAGCAACAACCCACTCTCGCAGGACGACAGTCATTCTGCGACTGAGCGCGCTCGGCGCATGCGCCGGCTTTATATGCTGGCGCCATCTCGCGGCCGCGCGACGTTCAAAAGTTTACTTTACCGCGAGACGAATTCATCCGCGCTTCACTTCACTGCGGTCGCAACGAAGACTCTGCGCACAATAGGAAAAATATTAAACATTAAATATTAAATATTAAACAGAAGAGAGAAAGAGAGAGAGAGAGAATTATCTTTTCTCTCTCGCTCTCTCTCTCTCTTGTTTAATATTTAATGTTTGATGTTTAATATTTTTCTTATTGTGCACAGGGTCGAAACGTTCTTTCGACGAATTGAATTGGTATTTACGAGTGAATACACGCAAGTTAAAGGTTTCCTAATTCTTCATCTTCGTCCAAACTACGACAAGTTCTCGTCCTCCAGCATCCGAAGAAGAAACGGCGAAAGAAAATTACGTTCATTGTCGGCGTATACTCTGCGATTGTATTCATAGGTTAAGATCAGACAGTCGTTATTGTTGGAAGATGCTACGGTAAGATGGATGTAAGTGGATCTTTCTTTCGATAAGCTTGAAAAAGCATTATTCTATAAATGCGAATTATCACACAATTCTACATGTACCATAAACTTTCGTAATTTCATCGTCAAGATCTCGGTAGTATTATAATTCTATTTGTACCGTAAACTTTGGTACTTTATCATCAAGTCCTCGGTAGTATAGTGGTCAGTATCCCCGCCTGTCACGCGGGAGACCGGGGTTCGATTCCCCGCCGGGGAGGATTTTTTTTTACTTATTTTTTTAATAAATATTTATAATTGTAATATGATTATCAGAAAATCGCGTTAGAAAATTTTATTTTTTAAGAGTTGTTAATTTTAATTTTAGTGCTCTTCCTTAAAACTGGATTTTTGAACGCGGGTTTCAGATGCACGTTTTAAAGCAGAATCAGGGTTATCTTTTAGATATGTGTGATGCAAATTAGATGAATTATAAAATTAAAAGCATAAGATATTTTTTAAAAAATACACAGATGCAAAATTTAAGAATTTAGTTCATGTTGCACACTCTTATTCGCGCTAAATTGGCGAATATAATGTGCATCGGTGGTTCAGTGGTAGAATGCTCGCCTGCCACGCGGGCGGCCCGGGTTCGATTCCCGGCCGATGCAATTTTTTGTTATCTATTATTTTTTTTACATTTTGCTGCAATTATACGATATGAATTTTAAAACGGTATTCTTTCATAAACATTAATTGATTTTTATATTTTCTTATGCACACTTATACACAATAAATATTATAGACATTTTTTAATATTTATTTATCGCATTACAGATTTAAAAAATCATATCGGAGCTCAAGAACATAACATAATCGATTCGTAATATATTTTAATTATTCTCGATAACTTTATAAGACATTTCTCGAAATTATTTCTTTTTGATTTTTAAAGATATTTCTGTTAAAATTTAAGTATACACTTACTGTACTAACTTTCAAAATCTTTCTTTTTAATCATTAATTTTCAATTTTTATAAAAGAATTTGTTACAGATCTGATTTCGTTATACAACTTCTTCACGCAACTCAATATACATTGGAGATGAGGAAGAGACACGTCGGAATTTTATTGAGCCGCATAGAAAGTTAATACAAAAGGTGAAGATATTTATAAATCACATTATATATTCGATATTTATTCATAGAAGAATAAACATGACATTACAAAGAGAGGACATGTACGTAGATAGTGCACGTGGACGACGCTTTGTATTCGCCATGACTCGCGCTGTACAATTGGACCCTATAACCAACTTTTTGTTGATAAATAACTAATAAAGCGTCGAAGAAGAAGCAGAAACTATCGAATAAGTGATCGGCGAACAACTTTCCTCGTTTAAACAAAAATTTTTAGACAGCTGTGATATCGAGTATACAATAATTGGACGAGGCAAGAAGAAAGAATAACGGAGATAAATTTTTAACAAACTTTTTAATGCTCTTTTTATTTCTTTTTCTCTTTACGAGGGATTCTTTTTCTCAATCGACAAACGACCGGATAATCAAAGTTAAAATGATTTCACGGTGAGTTATAACGATGAATAAAGTTATACGTGTGTATAATCATTTTAATTTTGATCGTCCGATCAACCGAGCAATTACAACATTGTAAGGCAATTAATATTGCAAATATATACGCTTATAGATTGCAATTAGCAGAAATATGTGCGAGTTTAACGACAAGCTAAAGCATCTCGGCGACGTAGCAGCTAATATATATTAATTTATTTCTTTTTTGTGTGTGTTTAGCAGAACGAAGATATTGTTGGATGTTGATTTGCACACGAATGGACGGATGAATCGTAAAATCGGCGTGTCATCTCATAAAAGACGAAGATCACAGTTTGTAAGCGTTGCGAATCATCAAGTCAAAATATGCATCATGATCTATACTTGCACTGATAGCGCTGTAATAATTCATGAATTCCTCCGCCGTTACCTGCAATGGAATAAGAAAACAACACTATTAAGGTGAGTTGTTTACAATGTAAATTATAACATAGCATATATAACGCTAAAAGCATGCGATACATTCTTATTATAACAAGCACGCATTAATAAAACGGAATTCTTTCAAGAATTTATCAGTCCTTCGTATTTTCGGTTAATCCATATGCTGTTAATTTCATAGAGCGAAGTTATACAGGTCAACACAGATCGATTAGAACGACATTTCGTTCATTAGCAAAATTCTCGAGCGATTTATAATTTATTGAACACGAGAAATCCCATCGAAATATACTCACGATGCCATCCTCGTTACCGCCGTGCTCGAAATTCGAAAGGAACTTATTCAGGATACTCTCCTCGCTCTCCTCACCGCTGATGTAACGAGGATGACATTTCACGTTGTAAACCCCTTTGAGATCGTCGATAGTAATCCGTCCATCACCGGTTTTGTCCAACTTGTTGAACGCCTGCTCGACCACACTTTTTCGGCTTTCACTCATCGGTGGCTGACAATGAGAGAAGAGACGATTTTATTAGCGAATTTATATATACAATATTTATATATTTTGGTCAATCGTTTAATACGATTTTTCAGAAATTTTATTAAAATTTTTTTTATATTTATAATATTTTATATTTTATAATATTTAATATTTTATTTTTTATAATTGTGCGATTTTTTCTCGCAGAGAACGAAGGATACAATAAATAATATAGCGCCGTGATAAATTGCTGGATAACAAGAAATCTTACTCTTATGCCGATGAGAAACTCGTCGACGCTGATGTTTCCATCCTCGTCAGTGTCGAATTTCTGAAAGATTTCGTCAATCTCCTCCACGCTTAGTTCCATCTCCGTCTCTTCTAAACCCGTCTTGAACTCTTCTTGACTTAGCTTCTTATTGCCATCCTCGTCCAGACGACGGAATATTCTGAAAACAATTTAAAAGAAACATTATACACGATGAGATAAGATGAACTCTAAAGGTTGAGAACAGCGAGCTATGATTCATGTCCATGAATTAAACAAAAACCGTATCGTCATTCGTGTCATTCGAACATATTCATGACGTCAAAATCATCTAACTCGCGGACGGCTATATAATGCTATACAGTTTACATGCTTCTATTTTTAATCGTACGGGAAATGGAAATATAAATTCGATAGGTTCTAGGTTTTTTTTCTATTTTTTTCTTGCAATTAATTATACATTATAAATCATTCATTTAAATATATCTGTAAACATTCTTTCAGTCTAAGAGACAGAGCAAGTGAATAAAGAGGGAGAGAAACTGGAAACTGTTCGTGCGGAATTTACTTGTCGGTGAGAGCTGATGTCGCGTGACGTCGACCTCATTCGTTAATAAAGGCGTAAATAAAAGTATTTTTGAGGACTTACCTACCCAGACCGAGGATGCCATTGGCACCTCTAGCCAGGCAGATCAAACGCAGCTTCTCGATCGCGTCCGTTGTGCTGTGTATGGCCCGTTGGGCCTTATTGATCATCTCAATCTCCTGCCTCGTAGTAGCACTCTGAGGCCTCAAGCCAAACATCGCTGAAAAGGAAAACGTCATCCGTTCACGTGACAAGAATGAGTCAGATCACGACAGGAGAAGAGAGAGAATTACGTTCGCGCTCCAAATAAATAGAAGATCAATGGAGGCATCGAGAAGCTTAGAGGATATTAAACAAAATTATATTCCAATAAAATATCGATTATAAAATAATATAACGCGCGAAATTGATATAAGATATAAAATTCCGGACTGTAATTTATCACGTAACGATAGATGATGGCGATAACGTTTCCATTTTTTTTGTTTACTATCATGCGATAGAGGTGGATGAAAACTGGGTTATTGATTAACTGCCGCGAAGTTGACAATAATGCCAGTTCTTTTTTACACCGACGTGTGTTCACGTGCCCCTAATGTCATCGGCCATATTTGCGACATCGCAGCTATTCTCGTTAATAGTAGTTAATTATAATTCACGAGACACATCCTTTGTAGTTTCGCATGGCCCATTTCTTTTAAAAGCGTTCTTTTGTAAAACAGCCTTGATTGTTGTCTGGCCATATTTCGTCAGACACTCCTCTCGTTCTTTAATCACGAAGTATATCTTGAAATAAGTAAAATCCATTTCCAGAAAAGATTCAAATAAATTAGAGACACATTCCAATTTCAAATAAATTCTGCAAAGTTTGAATATAAGTTATTGTTTATCGGAAAAATAATATATAATATTTTTTAGAAAATTTTTTCTATTTAGACGCAATATATTTTTGAGAAATATAAGGCAATTACATTTTTCATTATTTCTTTTGAAGAGTTTGAAGATTATGATGATCACATTCATAAAGCATTTTAAATTTCAAAACCGATGTATAATATACTAAATGACATTGACCAGGTTCTTATGCGATGTGTGTAAATAACACGAAGTACAAGGACCTCGTCGTAAGCGATATCGACTCGACGTTTTATCCGTCTGTCGTTTTGTTGGTGAACAAAACGTCGACGCGATATCAAACATTTGCGAATTAGCGAAAATATTCAAAACACCATGTTTGAATAAAGAAAATAAAACGGGATGAGACGCACTTAATTGTGCGAAAGCAGGTCCTCTAATCGATTACAATTCATTCGTAAAAAAATTTGCATTTTGACTTTTAAATGAAAATGAAGAAAAACATACATATATACACAGATGTATCATTAATGAAACTAAATTTTAGCGGGTTCTCAAGAAGCTTTCGTTCGTAAAGATTTATAATTTTATTAGAAATATATAACACGCATGTTTTTTTCCTCTTTAATTTAAATGTCTTCAGTTCAAATATAGCTCCTCAATCAAGCATATGGTCTAGAATTAAGAAATTTATAAAGGACAAAGATGATCAGTTTAGCTTCATAAAGAACTTATTATATGAAACATTAATTAGAACCCAGAAGACGACAGATGAATATCTCTAATTTGCTTTTATTTTTTCAGAAATGCCGGACAAAAGGTTCATAAAGTTGAGCAAGAGAAGAATAATTTAGCAGGACTTGGCAAAACATTAGATATGTAATTCACGATTGGGGAAGGATCGGAGACCTTCCTTTCGCGCGTCGACGCGCGGAACCACTCACCTCGGCTTCCGGAGAACGCGTGTGTAGCGGAAGACGCGGGTTCACGGAAGGAAGAAGCAAGAACCGAATCCGGGGTCCGTCTTTCTCTTCAGCGGCAGCGGCGGCGCGACGTCTTTACCAAGAGTACCGGAAGGTGAGTGGCGGTTCTTCGGCATAGCGAATCGTCCCGAGTTCTATTCGACGACGACGACCACGATGAGGACGACACACATTACGTACACACCCTGGACGACGTGTGGGATGAGGCTATACACTGGTCCCCGAGGCGTCGCGACGTATCCATAACGACCGGCGTGTCACAACACGCGCGCATCGCGAACCTCGACGATTGCACGCGTGATCGACCGATTGATTGATCGATCGATCGACTGTGATTGCCTTTTGCACGGACGATTGGAGAGGAACTCGAGAACCCTCGTCGCAAGAGGAGTAATTGGTCGCGATTTGGCGATCGATCGCTTCGGTTTAGAAATGATTTAAATACGATGATCGCGGTTAAATGGTCGCGCTATATAAATATGTTTTTTCTCTCTTTCACTCTTAATCTAATACAGTATATATGCAAGAATAATTATATGAATATATACAAAAATAATGATATGAATATATATATATATATATATATATATATATATACATATACATATATACATATATATATATATATATATATATATACATATACATATATATATATAGATAATTGGCAAATCATGGCCTTGAAGTATATCTTCGATAACAAGCTTATAAATTCATTTGCAACTGATATGCATTTATAAAACCAATTTCATGCAAATTATAAAATTCATTTATATTTATATTTTACTGATTTCATTATAATATAAATATAATTAATTTATATAAATATATTCGCACATGATGTGTATTCGAAGATGATGTGATTCTGTTCATATCTCTCATCATCTTTATAAATTTATTTGTAATTAAGAATTATTTTCGATATATATTTTTCTTTTTTATTCTACTAATACATTTGCTGTTCTCGCTCCATTAATCATGAGACATTGCTGCGAATATTTGGGACGTCGTTCGAGGGAGCGTCATTTAACGCTCTGTCGCACATTGCGCTGCAAATCACGTAATCGCCTTAAACAATAAACTGCGTTGACAACAAAGCAGAGGTCTCCAACGAACTGCACGTACATCCGGTCATTGTTCTTGTGGTTTTGTTTATTCTCACGCGCGACGTTTTAGTTCTTTTTTATTAGAGAAAGAAAGAGAGAGAGAGAAAAACATGACGAGCCGTGTATTATCATTAATTTGTTCGACAAGAGAATCCAACAGAGGAATCTCATTTATAACTGAATACTGTAACAAAACTACTGTAACAAACGATTAAGTATCTTTTATAATGTTACAATAATTAATCTATTTTATAATATAAAGGGAATAGATTTTTAATTATTATATCATGATAAAATTTCTAGGTATAATTTTTAGTTTGATATCAAGTCGAATGATTAATACGACGCGCTCAACATTGTATGTCGATATACACTATATGCAGCCCTATCATATATCTGCTTGCTTGTTTCAGCAATATGCGATAATGTCACCTTGACCTGTGATTATTGAGTTTGATATCGATGGCAGACACGAATGGAACAGAAAAAGTCCACGAAGTAGATAAATTGTCGTACATATTTGATCGGCTCTGTCTAGAGTTGGATGCACATACACGATGGAGGTAACATATATATATATATATATATAAATTGCAACATTATTGCTGTTGTGGTGTATGTCTATATTACACGTTTCACGTTCTTGAACTCTCGCATTTGCAATTGTCGCGCAGAATCCGCACAATGATAATTAACAGCGAGGTATGACGACAAAATAACAACCCACGTGGTCGGAGCGCTGTCATAGACTCTCAAGCCACGTGTTTCAATAATTATGAATCTAATTTAAAATATAGCAGTTGTCAAATTGAATTCGAGACATTGATTATAAGAAAAGTATTAATGTTATCAAATTGAATAAATACACAGACAGTAGACTAATTGATGAATCTTTTTGACAGTTTATTCTTACTGTTTTTTTTCCAAAGGAATAACATATCTATAGGCTTAAAATATGTAAATATCTATTATGTCGAAGCTTTAGTGTATATAATACGCCCATTTTATATAGAGATAACAACCCAGATAGCAGAAGATTGGAAAGAATTCATTTGTATATCATCAATTTTGAGTCCCTTTTTCAATACATATATAGAATTCATTTTATAAAAGAATTCTTTTCAAATAGCTTGTGCTATCTGGGAAGATATCTATTTTATCATATACTTCACGCTGAAGGGTCGTTATCAACAATCGAAAAAAAATTTTTTTTGTCTATCCTTACAGCAGCTTTCCTATTTATAGGCTGTTGATAAGAAAACGTATCTGCTTTACCAAACTTAATTTATTTGTTTGTCAATTGTCACTGACCTTTTATTGACAGAAATCGTTTATGCAACTTGTCACAATTAATTTTTCTATCGCTTCTTTCAACAACAATGCTTAAAACATTTCATTCCACGTCATTCTAATTAATGAAACAAACATGATAAAAATCGATAATACAATGGACTATTTTGAAGAAAAATGATATGAAAATTGAGGTAACTTTAGCCCCCATAATTTCGACAATGTATCATGTATCGCAGAGACGATTTCGTCCTGTAATCGAATAGGAGGGGAGGAAATGGCGATAATAAATTCGATTTCCGATAATTTCATCCGGCGCGTCCACGACGCCGTGAAGTGAATCTTCTAGAACAGCGAGAAGGGATGGGAGTACGTGGTGCTCTCGGTGCCGACCCACAGGGCCAATCGCACGGTGCCATTTGGACGGAGCTGCCACCCGGCACGCTCGCCATTCGCCAGCGCGTGCTGCGTGGTCGCTCGCGATTGGCCGGCCAAGCGGCTATACGCGTCGTCGTCGCGGCAGTCTCGCGACAGTCGGTGAGGAAACAGCGGAGTGTTAGGGTGCGAGTGATTTGTGCGTCGAAGAGATCCTTTTCTCTCGAGTCTCTTTTGTGAGTCGGCCACGTCGTGATGAAGAAATTGCTCATACTCGTCGCGGGATTATTCCTGCTGACAGGTAAGTCGAGACTTCGGATCGGAGCGCTTCTTCTGGAAGAGTCTGGGCGACTTTCATGATTTATGTTTGCCCTTTTGTCTAGGATTCGTCCGGGCCGATGAAGATGCCGACGAGGATGTCGGTACCGTGGAGAATGACCTCGGAGCCAGCCGCGAAGCATCGCGAACAGGTACTCTATTTCAGTTTAAATTATTTTAAACGATTTTCGTGTTACTGTGCGCTCTCTGAAAAATCTTGTAACAGGTGGGAGGAGTCCGTTTAACGATAACGATTCAAATATTGTGATAAACTTTGTTCTGTAATTCTCTGATACATAATTTAATTTATTACATTTATTAATGATCAAACAAATATATTAAGATGTGTCAAAAGAGATTAGGATGTAAGATGGATGTCCTGTTATTAATTTTGTTTGTATATGAAATTCTTTTTCACAAATCTAACTTTCTTTATCTCTGTCTTGTTTATAAAAATATGAATAAGTGGTTGTATATTTGAATTAAGAATTTATATTTTTGCAGATCATGAGGCAGTGCAAAGAGAAGAAGAAGCGATAAAGATCGATGGGTTAAATACAGCTCAGATGAAGGAACTGAGGGAAAAGTCTGAAAAATTTACGTTCCAGACAGAGGTCAATCGAATGATGAAGCTCATTATTAATTCTCTCTACCGCAACAAGGAGATCTACCTCAGGGAATTGATTTCAAATGCATCGGATGCGCTTGACAAAATCAGACTGTTGTCTCTCACTGACAAGAATGTTCTGAGTACAAATAGTGAATTGGCTATCAGAATAAAAGCAGACAAGGAAAATAAAGTATTGCATATAACGGATTCTGGCATCGGTATGACAAAACAAGATCTGGTTAACAATCTTGGAACCATCGCAAAGTCTGGTACAGCTGAGTTCTTGGGAAAAATGCAAGATGTTACGAGTTCTCAGGATATGAATGATATGATCGGCCAGTTTGGCGTAGGCTTTTATTCTGCATATTTGGTTGCGAATGTTGTTGTTGTTACCACAAAGCACAATGATGACAAGCAGCACATATGGGAGTCCGACAGTACCAATTATAGCATTGTGGAAGATCCACGTGGTGATACTTTGAAGAGAGGAACAACCGTAAGGTAAGTTGTAGAAATCTATTTGCAAGATCACATTTTTAAGCAAATTATAAAGTTCAGAAGTTTTATATTAAGAGTATAATATGATAAAAAATAATTTTATTCTTTATTTTGTAGCTTACACTTGAAGGAAGAAGCACTGGACTTTTTGGAACCAGATACGATAAAGAACTTGGTGAAGAAATATTCTCAGTTTATCAACTTCCCCATATACTTGTGGAATAGCAAAGTTGTACAAGTCGATGCGGAAGATGTGGATGAGGATAAACCCAGAGAGGAATCTGAAGACAAGGCTGACGATGATGATGGAAAAGTAGAGGAAGACGATGCGGACGAGAAGAAATCCAAAAAGGTAGATAAGACTGTATGGGACTGGGAATTGTTGAACGACTCAAAGCCAATCTGGACATTGAAGCCGAGCGAGGTCGAAGATAAAGAGTACAACGAGTTTTATAAGACGCTCACCAAGGACAATCAGGAACCTTTGGGAAAGATTCACTTTGTCGCCGAGGGTGAAGTCACATTCAAGTCCGTTCTGTTCATCCCGAAGGTTCAACCGAGCGACAGCTTCAATCGTTATGGCACCAAGTCCGATAACATCAAACTATATGTCAGACGTGTCTTCATCACTGACAAGTTCACCGATATGATGCCAAATTACTTGTCCTTCATTCGTGGTATCGTGGATAGCGACGATCTACCGCTCAATGTTTCACGTGAGAACCTTCAGCAACATAAATTAATCAAGGTCATCAAGAAAAAACTCATCAGAAAAGTATTGGACATGATCAAGAAGCTCGACAAAGAGGAGTTCCAGAAATTCCAGAAAGAGTACAGCACAAACATCAAGCTGGGTGTGATCGAAGACGCACAGAATCGCGCGAGACTATCTAAGCTTCTGCAGTTCCAATCATCCACGCAGAATGAACCGACCTTCCTAGCCGATTATGTATCCCGCATGAAACCCAATCAGCAGCACATCTACTACATCGCCGGCTTATCCGAGGAAGAGGTGAAGAAATCGCCGTTCGTCGAGCGACTGACCAAGAAGGGTTACGAGGTGTTGTATCTGACCGAGGCGGTGGACGAGTACGCAATTTCTGGCTTGCCCGAGTTTGAAGGCAAGAAGTTCCAAAACGTGGCAAAGGAGGGCTTCACGCTTGACGAGAGCGAACAAGGGAAAGAGCGAATGAAGCAACTTGAAAAGACGTTTGAACCTCTGACTAAATGGCTGAGCGACATCCTGAAGGATAACATAATTCGAGCGGCAGTGTCGGAACGTCTGTCCGACTCGCCCTGCGCCCTGGTCGCCAGCATGTTCGGCTGGACCGGCAATATGGAGCGATTAGCGATCTCGAACGCGCATCAAAAGAGTGACGATCCGCAGAAGACCTATTACTTGAATCAGAAGAAGACCCTGGAGATCAATCCGAGGCATCCGCTCATCAGAGAGTTGCTGCGCCGAGTCGAGGTCGACGCATCCGACGAGAAGGCGAAACACATCGCGGTAATGATGTTCCGTACGGCGACCCTGCGATCGGGTTACATGCTGCGGGAAACCGCTAGCTACGCAGATGACGTGGAGCAGCTGATGAGGAAGGCCTTGGGCATCTCTCTCGACGAGGTACCTGAAGAGGAGGAAGCGCAGGAAGAGGAAACGGCGAACAACGTAGAGAACTCGTCGAACATCGATGCCGATGACGATAGGCAAACGGAAGATAATTACGAAGACCACGACGAATTATAATAATAAGAAAGCAGTGCATGTAAAAGTGCGATATTCGAAAGACTTGATATTCTAGAGACGTAGCTATACAATGTATAGTTACCCCAAGTTTCCTCCGAGAATGCGACCTTTATCGTTGCCAGTCTAAACAATTTAGGCATATACAATAATAAATACGTCGATCCGATCTGATATTTTCGTATCATTGTTGTTGAAAGAGATACAACTTAAATTCCTTCTTTTTATAATGAGAACCGATATACATATATAGTTTTTGTGTTTTTTTTTGTTTTTTTGTTCAATCTTATTTCCGTCTCATCGATATTTATCAAGGAAATTGTATATTTTTAAGAGGTTTAATTTATTACTTTAATTTGATCTTCCACATCTCCTTTTAGAGTAACGGGAGTAACGTGAACAGAGAGCACTGACTGAGCGTTACTGACATATGGTACGTTTGTGATATATGTGTGAATGTATTTGTACATGAAATATGCAAATTATCATGGTGTAAGTAGTACTTACAGCATGCAAATTATATTAAAATTATATATATATCTATACTATATTGATGCGACAGCACAGTTTGTACATGATATCCATCTTTAAATCCTGAGATAAGGATGAAAGGCTCTCGAGAGAAAACGATCAGTCAGAGATCAATATTATTTGTTAATATTTGCGATATAAAAATTACAAGTTCGTATCGAATGCAAGAAAATATACCATTAAACGCACTAACGAGAAGTAATACGCATGCCAAGTATTTATGTGTTTGAAAGAATGAGAGAATAAAATTTTTTCTATACATTATTATTAAAAACAAAGTTATGATTATTCCTTTTGGAACGGCCTAATATATATCGAAAATTTAATCGAGCACAGATTTTCAACTTTATCGATTACATATCTTCACTTTTGTGTTGCTCTGATAAAATTTACAAGATATCAAAAGAAATGTATTTGAGTCGATAAATATATTAACTTAAAAATTATTTCTATTTTATTCTAAATTTAACACTGTAAAATGTGTAGTGAATCTATATTTAAAATGAAAAAAATGTATATATATAGGATGTAAATTAATTCGTGCCTACATTAAGTACATAACGATATTTTTTGATAAAAAATAAGCCTGAAAATTAATTTTATTTGATAATTCTTTTCATTAAGGAAAAAATGATTCAACATCTTCGGAATTATTTTTTGTCAAGAAATATATGTTGTATACTTAATTTTAATTATATGGTATGTACACTTAATAGGCGTGAATTAATTAACACCATCTGTATATATCTCTTTCTTAAAAAATAAAATTATTCGAAGAATGATAAAACGCACAAGAATATAGAACATCTATATAGATATTTATATCGTATTTAATTTGCAACCTAAGTGAAAAAAGAATAGAATTACTTAATGGAGCTCACTATTCTTTTCTAATTATAAGTTTGTCTCTTTTTCACTTTTAACAGAAAGAGATTTACTACCTGCTTTTCTTTTGTATTGCTATGTCTGTGATTCGTTTAGAAAGCTGTTAGCTCTACTGGGCGTTAGAAATCTATTGTATTATTTGACCAATCAACTCAGAAAGATTTTTTTTCAAGCTTTTATAATTGGTCAAACATTTCGGGCGGATATACACTGAATACAATAAAATACCCGTATCTAGGTCTCTGAAACGCCTTCCTTATTTGCTTTAAGGAGAAAAATGAAAACTGCGTTTCAATGGAAAATATATAAATTCATTTCACATTCTATAAAAAATATAACGTATAAATAAAAAAAAAATATATATATACTCTTTTTTTTATTAACGAGATATTGTTTTTATCAATATTATTGGATAAAAATTTTCCCAAGTTAAATTTACAATTTTTTATTTAGAAATAATCTGTGAAAGAAATTTGTGACAATATTAATTTATTCAAATAGGCATTGCAAAATTGACGTATGTATATAATTTTAAAAAAGTCTGACGCAATTTCTATTATTCAAATCTACTCGACAAAGTTCCATTTTTTAATTTATTTATATTTACGATTTTATTAAAATATATTTACGAAATTTTTTATAATACTTTTCCTACAACATATAGTATGTAACATTTCATATAATTTTTCGATCGCGCGATGTATTTTTTTTACAGTAATTAAATGTCGCCTAAATTTATCCCGCATTTATCTCAGATTTATCCGATCAATAATATTCTGACATAAATAAATAATTAATCTAATCTCTCGATTTAATAATATATAATTGAAAAATGTCGAACAGAAAAAACGCGCCTGTGTCATTTTTTAACAGTAATAAAATGTCAACGCCTGCATATATTTATCTCAGATTTATCCAATCAATAATATTCTGACATAAATAAATAATTAATCTAATCTCTCGATTTAATAATATATATAATTGAAAAATGTCGAACAGAAGAAACACGCCTGTGCCATTTTTTGACAGTAATAGAATGTCGACGCCTAATTTCGCCTGCATATATATTTATCATAGATTTATCCAATGAATAATATTCTGTCATAAATAAATGACGAATGAAATCTCTCGATTTGATCTGAATAATAAAATGGAAAAATGTCGAACAGAGAAGAAATACGCTTATGCCATTTTTTGACATTATAATAAAAAATGTCGACGCCTAATTTTCGCCTGCATATATATTTATCTGAGATTTATCCAATGAATAATAGGTTTGTTCGCGTCGCATGCTCCAACTTGCTCCTTTTTATTTCAATGCGCTCGTATTGGTCTAATTCGAGGAGCGCACCAATACGAGCGCATTGGAGTAAGAAGGAGCATGTTGGGGCATGCGACGCGAACAAACCTAATATTCTGTCATAAATAAATGACGAATGAAATCTCTCGATTTGATCTGAATAATAAAATGGAAAAACGTCGAACAGAAGAAATACGCCTACACGAGGCGTGACACGCGGAGGCAGACGCCGCGCCGGCGAATTTTGAAATGGAACAACGACGTGTCGCTTAGTTCCGGCCGCCGGCCATTGTCGCGGAGACGCCACCGAGCGGCCAATCAGCGTCGCGGCTGGGCGATCGGTGGTGCGCTTGCGAGAACAGGCAGCAGGGACTAGGGTCATTTCCGTTTACGATTCGACGTCATCCACGCTCCCGAAGGCCCGTGTGTTTTTGTGTTTCTTTGGGGCCACGATGATTAACGCTAATTTAACGTAAGTAACGATCTCGTCCGGGCTGCGGCTCGCAAGGATATCGCTCGTATTTGCTTCTGTGGCCGCGAAATCCACGCGAACGCACGCTCCGGTTCTCGCAATCGAGTCTCCCCAGAGGGCGGGGGTCAGGGGCACGTTTAAGACGGAAGATTGCACCTAACCCGAGAAACTCGGACATTCGTCTACTCGAGAACGAATCGGATGAGATACCGAACGCGTTTTGGGGAGGGTTCCTTCCGGGATTCGTCGTTTCCGGGTGAATCTGTCTCGGAATATGGCCTCGAGCGTGATTGACCGGTTGCCAGCCGGCGAACAAATCCCGTGGGGACGTCCCCCACGTCGGCCCGGCCTCCCAGACGCGCGTATAAACAAAGCGAATGGCGTCGATGACGCTCGAGGCTTCGACGAGGACGTCGTCCTCGTCGGCCCGGTCCCCTTTTTTCCGTGTGTCTCGATTTTGGGGTAGCGGGGAGGGGATACGAGACTAAGAGGCGTTTACAGGCGTTTGGGGTCGAACCTTTGTCGGGATGTCCCTCTTTTTTCTTCTTTTTCTTTCCGGATACCTGGGCGTGTATGAATCATAATTTCCCCCTCCCCGGAATGTCGGCGACTCGAGTTTGCACGAGATGAGCAACAGATTTTTGACAGATAATTGCGATATGTAAATGTACCGATCGCGCCAAGATTTGAAAGTCATGATGGTTTTTTCTTTTTACAGATTGAAGTTTTTGAAATTGGAATTAGGTTTCTTCGGATATTAAAAAAACAAACACATCACACACACTTACACATATTAAAAAAAAAAAAAACAAACCGATGTAAAAAAAATAAAAATAAAAAAAGGAACGTGTCGCTGGTCTCTGACAACGTAAAAGATTGAAGGAATTCAAGAAGATAGCGACACCCTCTCCGCATAAGAAATATAGTAATTGAGACAAATTAAGGTGCGGAGATTCGTGACTGTTAGAGCGCAACTCAGGAGTATATTGTAAACATGGGCATTCAAGACTTGCAAACTTTCTTGGACAGCAACTGCGTGCAAGGAGGATCCGTGCCTATAGATTTGTTGAAGATTGCGCGTGTGGTTGCACAAAAGACGCAACGTAATCGTGTAATTAAGGGACAACAGATACACAACTTTGGTAAATTGAGACTAGTTCTTGATGGAGAATGCTGCTTGGACCGATTATATGGTGGATTTTTCTCAGGTGAGTTATAAGATATTGTATTTTGTATATTTTATTAACAATTTTGTATATATATATATGCATTTGATTATCTTATTTACATTAAATTGACACAATATGGCTTTAAATTTCACAGATTGGGCTTGTGGTGGACAATGGAACCGCATGCTCCAATTTCTTGCGGTTCTTATACAAGCGATGGAGATGTCAGGACTAGAAATAGCTGTATTCTTTAATGGATGTTTTGAACCTCTTCGGCGAGCCGATTGGGTGCAACAACAATTGCAAATGCGTGCTAAAGTTAACAATGTAAGTCTCTCTCATGCACTAACACTATCAGATCAAATGGACAAAGAGTGAAAATGTTATACTGAAATCTCAAGGTCCTGAAACATATAACAACGAAAGGTACACCACCGCCGAAAATCTGGTGGACTCCTCCTGTATGTTTAAGGACAAGTTTACGTATGGCTCTCAGGCATCTGAGTGTTACAGTTGTAAGTTAACAAATATCTGTTTTTATTCCTTTCATCATATTTTTGTGCTTACAATTGTTGATTACACATTTCAACTTTTGTGATTAAACATTGATTAAACTTTCAATTAAACAATTATTAAACATTGTATAAATTAACATTATTAATGTTGTGACAGTTGTGTAGCATGGATGATCATCATCAGGAAGTCATTGCATATTGTCGTGAAAACAATTACAATGGGCTGATAGCCGATGATGCAGAATATGCTGCATTTGATCCTCCACGGTACTTCTCATCTGAACAGTTGAAGCTTACGTACAAGGTTAGGTCAGATTTTAATAAGGTATAAATAGATCTTTAATAGTATAAAAATAGTCAATGTTATATTTTTTAACAATAATTAACAATGTATAACAAATATTTCTTTCTTTACAACAGGGTTCCCTTGATACAAAAGAATATATGCTCTCTGAACTCACTAAAACCCTCAACATACCATCTGATAGGCTGTGCATACTAGCAGCCTTACTTGGCAATTACATATTGACCGAAAGTGACTTGGCCGATTTCTACAAGAATCATAACATTAGCACTAACATGTTGAACAAGACGAGCGTCGAACAGATGATTAAGACGATTGCGAACTTCGTCAGGGAACTTTCTTCCGTGGAGTTGGATGTAGTTTCGCAAAAAGTCTTTGGTTCCACCTCTGATCCGAGATGTTCTAAATTGAGACAGTCTGTCCAGTACTATTTAAATGGAACGAAAGAGGGATTTTTACATTATAAGCCTGTGAAACCAGCAAAAGGTAAGGTGACAAAAAATTTTTAATGTACTATTGTTTGTAAAAAAAAACTAGATAAGTTATATGTTGCTAAAACTTTCTCTAAAATAAAGAAAAAAGGAATTTCTTTTGAGTATTTATAAAGTGTGTTTAAGGGAAGAGATCGCGTTTTATTACATATTTATAAATATAAATAAAAAAATTAAAGATAAAAGATGATTGAGTATTTTAGTAACGTGTATTACAAGCGTGCTGATATAATATAATATTGCCAGATAAATATATCTATATTAATCTCTTTTAGTTCATAAACTAGATTCCAAGCCAAGCTCACAAGCTCAGTCGAATCTGTCGGACACGCCGTCAGCCTCTGAAGGCGAGTCTAATCTGGAGACATCGAGATTCGCGTCTGAGACTCTGGAGAGTGAACGCGAAAGTTTGAACGCGTACAAACAGGCGACCGCTAATGCAAAGGCAGCGCCGCAAATCGTAATCGATCCACCAGGGCTTCAGAGTCACGGAGACTCTGATAGAGACATTATACGTACGGAAGAGGAAACAAGTATGTCCGCAAATGTTATAAAATATAACGATACTCTTTACACCTTTATCGATGATTTCTTGACTATAACTAAACATTTGAAATTTTTAAAATTAAAACAGATGATGGACACGCTATCAACGGTACTCACAATCTTTTGATAAGTTCGTCGAGTTCGAGTAGCAGCTCCTCCGCAACATCACCGTCCCACGCAACGGCCGATTCTGCGAGACAGCCGGAAAAAACGACCAATATTCCCATCACATCACCAGAAGTCATGCGTACCGCTTCGGAGCGTCATCAGAAAGGACTGATGTCACCGTACATTTATCAAATTCTCATCGCTGGCGAGATTAAACTGCCGGTTCTCTTGGAGGATGAAAATCATCGCGAATTCCCTTCCATTCACGTGATTTACAGACCAATTCGACAAATGGTATATGCGATTTTGTTCAATCTTCATCATCGTATGTATCTAGCCACGAAGAGTAAAGAGAAAGGTGGCAAGTATCGATTTTGCTAATTATGATATAAGATATGTCTTCTGTATTAAATCTATCCTAACTTTGTGCAAATTCTTGTGCTTATTAGACAGCGACAAGGTCGAAGTTCCAGACGTGATAATAAGGGAATGGGTGTGGTCCAAGTCCAATCCATATCAGACTCCAGAATTGGTGAAAGCGGAGCAAATCGGTTGGGGTGTCCCTACAATTCAACGTTTATGGTTTGGGTAAGCAATTTATCTATTCAATGAAACTGAATAAAGTTATATAATTCAATTACTTGTACGTAAGAATATGCTGTAAATTAATTTATTAATTTATTAAACTTTTTTATAAACTGACAAAATTTCCTGTTCTTTAGCACAGTTATAGATGACAAGCGGCGTAGACTTAGAGGATTCCTAACTTGTATGAGATCCGATACTCCTCTCATATTAAATACCTCATATGTTCCGCAACATCTGTTGGTCATGGCTTGTGTTTTGAGGTAAACATCGATTACAATCACCTTTTTCTTTTAATTTATAAAGAACTGAGAAACTAAAATCTGAATTCATTCGATAAATCTTTGATATTTTTTTCGCAGATACATCATGTCCTTCTCTGACAAGATAAAAATTTTACGCCGTCAGGAGTTGGATGCCTTCATCGCGCAAGCTTTCTCACCAGAACTTATGAATGCTCAGTATCTACAAGATCTGCAGGTAAGGTCATATAATTTTTTACAGCTATTAATATTTCGACCATTATCTCAGCAGACAAACATTTAATTTATCATTGGTATATAGCTTCCATTAGTGACGTCGCGCGGAGTGCAACTGGCTACCTTGTTCATGGCCGGGGTGGAGACTGCGTTATTGGCGAACGACGCTTGCGGGGCACCGATACCATGGTTAATGTGTTGCCCTTGGCTCTATTTCGACGGCAAATTGTTCCATCATACGCTTGCTCGTGCCACTGTCGCCAAGAACTTACTGGAGCTCTGCAGCGGACATATTGACCGTGTGGTGAAGGTCGAAAGGATGAGGAAAGCAATACTTGAGGGAATTACTCCGATGTTCGCCCGCCCACCGTTGCCTGTTGCACCAGGTACGTTATGTTTCTTTATAGTTTTTCATTGAACTAAAATTTTGCTCGATATAGTCAACGGCGATGTTTGATTACATTTTGAGGGAGAGAGTGATAATTAAAATTTACGTAGAGTTGGTGGAACAACTTTAATTTTCGGCGGATAATTAATTTTGTTCAATACTTCTTTCTCTCTCTTCCAGTTTCTTTAGCATCCTACGAGCTTTTATCATAGGATGTTTTCGAATGGAAGTAAAATGAAGCAGCCAATATTGCTTCGCGAGGTTCACCGATATGACCTCACGAATCTCAAAACTGCAACAAAATGCATTTCTTTCGTTTAAAATTATTTTTTAGAAAAGATCAGATAATATACAAAAAGAAATTTATTTATTATTATACACGGTCTATTCTTTTAATTAATCGCGCACATTAAAAAATAATTTTTGTAAAATACAAAATATATACTATATAATAATTACATATAATATTGTATAAAATTTTTCTGCGTAATAATATAATATATTATTTTATATCGATTTACTTATACGCATATAATGATTTTATTTTTTATCTTCACAGGTATTCGTGTATCAGTTCCTCCCAATGCTGCCCATCAGAATATTTTGCCTGCTGGTTGTCCTACTATCAACGAAAGTTTAATGCGCGGTGGTCGTACTAGTGGAACTATCCCGCCGCAGCGTGGTCTAATGCGACGTCCAATTCCATCGCGAGGTGGTCAATTGGAGATTGCCGGAGTTGTAGTGGGCCAGTGGGGTCCGAACTACGGGCAGCCTGGTCGACCCCTGCCGCAACCGTTGCAGGGACATCCGCGCGGACGAATTCCACCACAGGTAGGATATAATGGAGTTGACACGCAATAAACTATATGCACGTTTGCGATTTCGTAATCTTTAGTTCCGTATCGTTGCGTGTATATGGAATGTAAGGAGCACACGATGACGATATTCTGAACAGATTTTAGGGGAACGTTCGAGATATTGAATAGTCTCGATCCGCTTTCGCTATTTAACATCGCCGACGTGCATTTAGGAGGGACATCACGTAATACCGATTTAATGCAGAATTTAATGCAGTTGCACTATACATTTTATGTAGTTTTTATACATATACTTATATAATTTTTATATGTATAGACGCGTTCGATTAGGTGAAAATGAATTAAGAAAAAAAAACAATCATGTGTATCCGAAAATTTATGTATTAAGTGATGGAGGATAATTACATTTATCCTCTCGTATATTATGCAATTTTATGCATGTTATTTCCTTATTCCGTTAGACTTCATTTATGAATGCAAGTGTTTTGACATTTGTATATTTTCTTTCAATAGCTTTGCAATCTTGTATTATCGCATTTGCATGTTTTTTGTATGTAGTATGGACACTGTTATAAAATAAAGGTCTTTATATATTTTAATTCAGAATATTTTTAACTTTTGTTCCTTATTTTAAGTTTTATGTGAATAGCTTAATATTGAATGATATATGTAATATGTAGTTGAGTCACAAGCAATGTGTGCGTAAAATAGTTTATATAAATTATACATAGTTATATATAAAGAATTATATAACATAAAATTTTATACATATTTCGAAAAAAATACTTTATCTATAATCACAATAACATACTTATCTCTTATAGAGATTCCTTTTCATCAATTGTTTATAGTTTGCATTATATAACTATGTATATGTATATAATTGTTATAATTTAATTATTTAACATTATATGTTGTAAACTCTTATTGATATGAAAAATATGATAATTTATAAATATTATTTATCGAAATTATCATTAATCGTAGCAGAGAGCTTAATCTTAAAAGAGCTTATCGGAAAGATATAGGTGTTTGCGTAACAAATCCATTATAAAAAAGAACATAGTAAAAATTTATCGTAATTAATAACTTGTGTGTAAAAATATGAACGATGCATCAAAGATTTTCACAAATTTATCTAATCATATATATCTCGTAAATAGAGTCCATTTATCCACGATGTGAATTACTCCTTTATTGCAAAAAAATTATGATTTAGATTATATATGATATATAGTTATCATAGTTTTCCCACCTCCTTTCATTCGCATGTTTAATAATTTATACGAGAATTTTTCCGCGTCTGTCACAATCTAGATGACAATTTTGTTGCAGGTAACTTCTATCGGTGGACTTAAATACGGTCTTCCCCGTGGATTCAATCCGATAAATCGACCGACCTTTCAAACACGTGGGACCAACCGAGCCCCGATTGCCGGACGCGGAAAGAAGACTCAAATGAAGGTAAAAAGATCTTGTAGGTATATATAAGCGAGAAGAATATGCTGGGCAAACGTGGAAACTCGAAAGATCCTTTGCTCGCGACTGTGCATTTTATTTAAATTGATAACGTCGCAACAAACATATTCGCAATCGATATACAATATGATTTTTCCTAGTGATATTACTTCTGATTACTATTATGGCATATAAGACGAGAGAAATACAGAGAGCGACGAGAATCTTAATTTTCTCTTGTTGGATATTTTTTTTATCTCTTATTAAGATACCAGTAAGTCCTATGAATTACAATATATTTCCGCGCTCGCCTGCATATGTCCTAATAAATCATTTGATTTTACGAAGACGAATGCATTTGAGATATTTATTGATATTTTAGGTGACTGGCAAGAAGAAGACTGCTATTAAAAAGACTACCGAAAAGAAAGATGGCAAGAGTCGTACTACTCTTGCCGATGAAATCACCGATTATAAGTGAATATCTTAAACTTTTCTCTATCTAACGCGTATCTTATAATTCAAGATTTAGCCTCGCATGATGTAAACAAAATTAATTCAATTTTGAACAAAACTCATTTTCATTTTATTGATGTATAATTGTATATTTCTCTTTTAATTATATTTTACATTTTATCAATTCAAATATACATAGATTATTAATCTATGAGTAACATATTTATAACAGCACATTCTGTATTTCAGCGAAACTGAAAGTGACGATGCAGGTCGCGCATTGCTGACGAAGGATGTGCTATCAGGTCAGTTTGATGACGCAGTGGAAAACGGTGCTAAAGGCATGGAAAAGGGACAAGGTGATGCACCGCTCGTCGCTCCGGTAGCTACGGAAAGTTAGATATTACCGACGTACAAAGAGAAAATCTCATGAAAACTGTAACCACTTCCCGACCATGACTCAAGACTGCTAACAATCTACGTATATGCTCTACGTATATGTTCTACGTATATGAGCGATTGTGCATCGGTAACACTTGAATATTTATTTTTTTAAATTGTTATCAGAATTTTTCTTTCTTGATAATACTTATCATAATGTAATTGACAAAATAATTCGCAAAATTTATGTATTAGTACAAGTTGACGTCAAACTGCGCGCATTCGCCACTCGTTATTCGTGAAAATTTATGGTTTAGCAATGTGAACCTTCTACTTGTAATTCATTGTCTGTTACATCGCAATCCATATTCGCGATTTACGACTTTGGTATTTATCGATAAATATTCATATCCATTTTATTATCAATTTAGTGATAAAAATTTACAATTTTATCATGAAAATGTTTATTATCAACGTACTTATTACATAATTTAATGAGTATAATTCGAAAATGATAATTAAGATTGTTATTTAAAGCTACAAATGGTGTTATAAAATATAACGTTTTATAAAACGAAATTTATCATTAGGGGAATATAAAAATACAAGTATTTACATACAAGTGTGTTATTTATATATTACAGCTGTTATATAAATATAATATAATATATTATATAATTATTATATATATTATATAATTTATTATATAAATATATTTATGATGTAATTGTAAATATATGCACAAATATATTTATAGATATATTTATATTCCACCAAAATGATGGATTTGCTGATATTTAAAAGCTATCATTTTTAATAATATCAAGCGACAATTTTAATTATAATCTTATTTTATAAAGCAAAATACGCATACATACAAAACTTTATTGAACTCGATGATAAAATGGATATTTTATATATTTATCTTGTAATAATGTTTCGACAATTTTATGCACAATCTCGTGGATAAAGCATTATTATCTTATTTTTCAAGCAATTTTTTATTATCATCAAAAAAATCTTTAATAGATAAATTGGTACAATATGATTTAGAAATATATAATATTTACTTGCAATACACTTTTCTGGCCTTTTTTTTAAATTAAAACTTTGTAATATACTTCTATTACAAAATTTTAATTTTTCAAAATTAAAACTGCATTTAAAGATTTGTTTATATATATATATATATATATATATATACAAATTCACAATATATATATTTCTTAGACGGAATAGATTTTCGAAGCACCGATAGCAGCATTTAAATGCTATTTGCTTCGTTAGTGTTACTTGCACAAAAGCTCGAATGGGTCCAAAATATTGAAATATTAATAAGAGACGAGAGATCTTTACTTAAATGGTGTAGTCCGCGACACACGATGTAAAGATTTTACCCATTTTTGACACGATGACCTCACTGCCAAACGTACTATTCTGTATAAGATATAGAGAGAGAAAGAGGAAGAGATAAGAGAGGAAAAGAAAAAAAATCGTGCTTGTGTACTAAAAAAAAGGAGGAAGAAAAACGAGCTAATTTTGCTCGCATTATTACTCGACTGATTACGCGTGCGCTAATTTTACTACTCAAAGAACACAAATCGTCAGCTGCTATAAGTATTTAATTCTTAAGAATTATTTTTTTTACACGAAAATATATATTTTCCGGTATTATATGAAATGCTCGCTGCGACATGTCTCAGTGATTCGATCTGATCAACGAAGAAAGTAGCCTGATACATATATTACATACATATACACACGCATCGTACACATTACAACACGATTACTGACTTTTGTAGATAAGAACGAATATCAGAATGAAGCACTGAGATAGTCATTGGCACATGGAGACTGATGCTTTTCATATAGGTAAAATATATATTGATATATATATATATACATATTATTTAGATTAGAAAAAGATTCCCACACATATATGCAGTATATTATACGTAAGTTGTGCCTGTGTATGATGTATGAATGTGTTGTACTTATAAGTACACGAGAGAAATTGTTTTAAGGTGTGTATGTGTTTGAGAATAAGAGAGAAAGAGCGAGAAGGAGAGATAGAGGATGAGAAAATGAAAGAAGCCACGATAATGATGTACATAAACGTGGCACGTTATGCTGTTATAAACGCATATACACACGCGTGTATGCAACCTAGGTCATATATTTATTTGCGATGAAAGATTGTACGAGTGGATGTATCTCGAGTGATATTTGTGGTTTAGATAGGGTTTCTATCTTGAAAGCAGACTTGAGGCTTATTGTGAGGGCTGATCTTAATTATAAAAGAAAGATATTTGTTGAGAAGAGTGATTCCCCCTTACGGTATGCCTCATATTGTTTAGAAAATATGCTACATTATGGCTACATACGCGACAGTTACAAGTTGTTGATTCTAAATCATTTATTGAAATGTATATTAATTTTATTTTTCGCGCGAATTCTCGCAATAGACTTATTTGTTAAAATTTTGACGTTAATTTAAGTTTGAAAAAGAATTGATAATACATTAAAAACATGTTAGTGTCGTCATTAATTGTTAAAAGGAGAAAAAAGAATTGTAATGTTGCGTTTGAAAATAAGTAGGAATCTTTTTTGTTCGCGCACGTCTAGTGTAGCATATTTCAAGAAATGTTCCTCCTTTAATTGTACATATGAACAGTTACTTTTTAGAAGTGATGCAGTGTGATTGATATATATGATGTACATACAGAATCCAGGTGCGTGTGTGCTTATCACGCATCGGAGAATAGAAAGCGATTATGTTAAAAAGTATATACTATTTATGTGTAGAATAGTCTAAAAGACTTTCTACCAAAGATCATCGGAAGAATTTAAGAGAGAGAGAGAGAGAGAGAGAGAGAGCAAAAGAAAGAAAGGGTTTTCTTTTATCAGTAAAAAAATGATATATAACAACAAAATAACAAGACAGCACGACAGAACACGATTATTAAAATAAGTACCGAAGAGATGAGACGAAAACACACGTGTCCAAGACACGTGAGCAAAGAAGGTAATTAAAGCGAGTAAAAAAAAAGAAAACCATTTATTGAGGTAATATAATGAAATGATAAGATAAAATGTTATATTTTTGTAGATTTGTTATTGCGTAAAATGCATTAGGACACTGTGAGAAACTTTATATAATTTGAGTAAAATGACAGTTAACGAGCCTGAGAGTAGTTAAATGAGTAAGATCCTGTGGGAGAGGGATGAGAGAGAGAGAAAGAGACATACGAAAGTGCTTTAGATGGCATGTTAAGGAAATTGACATCCGTGGATAAATTTTGCCGAAAAGAAAAAAAGAATCGAGTCCCACGTTTTCCTATGTTTCCGAAGCTCTCAGTTTCCCGAGTTGCTTGTAGAAACAGGAAAAAAAAGAGAGAGAAAGAAATATATTATATATATACACACACGCATATATAACGTATATTGAATACAGAGATGAATTATATAACTAAATAATGTCAGCTTTTTCAAATGTGCGCCGAGCATGTGTGGAAATAAAAATTCGACCGTCTTACGAAATGCGATGCGAAATCAAAGCGTTTGTACGCTTTTAATGCGGATTTCTGTCTGAAATTGACGTGTGCGTTTGTAAACCGAGATATGTTTCATGTGATACATACATATATATATATATATATATATATATATATATATATATGTAATATGATTTTAAAATCATCAGAGTCTCTCACACACATAACGCGATATAATTAGCGTGCGACTATATTACTTTGCAAGGTACACGCAACGAGGTATGCAATCTGCTGAAAAAAGAAAAAAAACAGTATTCCTTTCCGAAAACGTAAATTTCGAAAATTGACAATTGTTCGTTCGCGAACGATATTACACTTTATACATATAAACATATACATACATACATACACACACAAAAATACATACAAAACATACATAGAACACGTACTAGAAGCCGACTTTCTTGAATCTGACGAAATACGAATTTGAGAGTAAAATGTCACTTTACGCTTTTACGTAAAGATAGATTTTCTTTCTGAGAGAAATCGAACTCTTGAGATATATATATATAAAATACCGGATGTAAAACGAGTATAAAGACACACAAATAAACGATGTAACGCAAATAGTGTGATCGGTAGCCGCTGCACCGATACACGTTTAATATGCAATAATAATAATAATAATATATAATGATGATGATGATGATAACGTGGAATAATTTAATGTAAAACGCAAAGCGTGAATAATGCGAAAAAAATGAAAAGAAATCGAGAATCCACATTGAATACAACAGAATGCAGAAAATACGGAAACTCGAATGACGTAAAATAAAATGATAAAAGGAAGAAAAAAAAGAACCAGGCGCAACCTAAAGTGTGCCTGTGCTTTTTGTTATATCGCGATAGAGACGGAGGAGAGAAGCGGGGCCCACAAAAACACACTCGTCTATGATATGAATAATAATACCGATAATTACCGTTATAAAAGAGTTACAAGTAATCTATATGATCGTATATTTATATATGAAGTAACAATCTGTAAATGATCTTCTCAGATACAATTTGTGTGTGTTGTGAACAGATAATTAATAACGGAAAAAAATTCACATTGTGCACCGAGTAATAATAAAATACTAACTCTCGAGAGCTAAACTTGGACTAGGCGAGCGATCGTACTTTAACAAAGTGAGGTCTGTTATTCGCGAAACGTTATTGTTGATAAAAAAAAAAAAAATAACGCGCTCGACTTTTCGGAGTGACGGAAAAGAAACGGCTGTTTTTTCATTTTATTTCGACAGTAATACCTTTTCTAGAGAGCACGGAGAATAATATACGATGTTATACAGCCGAGGATTGTAGGACTCTCGTTTATATTAATTAACACACGCACTAAAACGCATATATTCCCGAATAGTTGTATCCTTTCTTCTCGGACGGAAGAATCCTTATTGTATTTCTGTATGTTATACCTAACTCTTCTCTTTTTATTTTATATACTTCGTAGAAACAGAAAGTAGGTCTCGCTGAAACTTGGAAAAAAAGAGATCATTTAATTTCAATAACTTGTTTTAAATGATTCCAAAAAAAATGTATATTAGTTTCACTATATGCTTTGATAGATGTACACACACATGTTCGTGTGTCTCTTTTATTTCTTAACTTCTTGCTATAAGCCATATATGTACGAGTAGAATCAGAGATCTTTCATAGCAAACCGATATCAAAAAGTATAAGAATATGTAACGAGGAGGAGAGCTCTTTCTAGGTTGCTATATACGCGTCACAGAGATTTATAAATTTTAAGTTTCTATTTTTCCTTAACGTAGTTTTGCTTGCCATACGTAATACGCGAGATGTAAACTAAAGTAACGATATAGAAACAAACACGCAAGAATATATAATATTAATCAAAGTAAAAAGTAAAAAAGAAAAAAAAAGATTAAACACTTATCGATGTAGCTGAAGAAAAAAATAAAAAACTCGTGTGGGCCCCGAGAAACATATACATACACGTATACACAAAACATACACATACAAACACACACACACACATATCCACGCATAAACATACCCCTTGTATATTCTTATTAAAATATTAAACGTAACGTGTGTATATTCCGCTATTATTATTATTTTTTTCATAGCCGAGAAAAAGGAAAGGATTACATATGACATGTGTATGTTTGTGATGATCATTAGTACATTATTACATATATTTTCGTTTTTACTTTCTCTTCTTTAACTTAAAATAAACTTGAAAGAAAGAAAGGGGAAAGATGAGTGTTAACGGGGGATGAAAAAAAAATGACAGATGTACACCACGTGGATGGATGTACTTGTTGCGAGGGGAGAGAAAAAACGCCTTTTGGTATCTTTTGACTAAAATAACCATATTATATATCCGGAATGTCGTTTCCGGTTTCCGAAGGGAAAGGCGAAAAAGAGAGAAAGATGGAGAATTAATCGTTGAATCCGAAAATTATTAAACATGCGCTAAGCTATTATCAATAATATCATATATGATTTTTGATCTGGATGGGTCGGTTTAGTGGTGGCAAATAAATTTAATTTTTGCATATTTCGAAGGAAGTTGGAACCTGATGAAAGTGTAAAAAAAAATATAAAATTGCTTATACATATGTTGTAGAAATGTGGAGTCTCTCTTTCAAAGAGAGATCAATCGCTATATATGTGATCTCGTAATTATAATGAATAATTAGTTGGCAAATTAGATGAGTTCCACAAGGGAAAATTGAGAGAAACTTGGACATCTCTTTTCCTATTGAAAATTTAATAATAATGTAGATCCACCATAATAATAGCCGACCCATTTGTGGTCCCTCGCATTTAATATAAACGCAACCACACACATTGATGTATTCTCTCGTTGGATTATCAAATACCATTGTAAACACTAACTGTTGTAACATGTATGCCCCATTCATGTGTCTAGTGTCGAGCAGAGCTGATTCGCTTTCGTTAGAGAAGGAGAGATCGTGTATGCAAAAATGTTTCCGAATACATATATAATCTATAATTATTCGCTCGCAACTCTTCTGTAATTCCGGAATTATTACATGATTTGAGGGAGCGAGGGGAGAGAAAGAAAGAATCAGTGCTGACGAGAACACGAGGCAACCGAAAAAAGCTAAAAAAAAATTATCGTAAAACTCTAAAGTCACTTACGTTTAAACTACTTAAACCCTCCCCCAAAAAAAAACTGATACATATTCGGAGAGTAGCAGAGATAATTAACTAATATAAATGTAGTGGCAAAAAAAACTATAATACTACCGCAAAGAGAAAAAAGGAAAAAAAACGATATATACCGATGATTATTCGAAGTATAAAATGCGAAACGCACTCTTAATGAATGTTGTAACGATTTAGAAAAATACTTAAATTGCATTACTAATACTCGCTGTAAATCTGTCCTTTCGGATACGATTATTCTGCTTTCTCAAGCTAGCAATCGATGGTTGATGAAGCATCTACCCGGAATTTTTTTTAATGAAAGGGAAAAAGAGAGAGAAGAGTAATCGATCCGATCAGATCAGATAAATTTAAGTTTCTTCCTTTGTCAAGAGCGTAATATTTAACCCTTCATTTATATATCTTCTCTATATAAGCGCAAAACCTCTCACAACACACTCATACACACGCAGAATTAGAAAAGTATTTAAGATTCGTAGAGAGTCATCCGTTGAGTTAATATAAAGAAAGAAGCCTTTTGCGCGCGACATATGTGATGTGCGGCTTTTTGTAAAAGACAACAAACTTTCAATCGAAGTCTTGTAAGAAAGCTCTTAGCACGAGAGTGAAGAACGTAAAGAAAGGGGAAAGGGCGAGGAAAGGGTTCTCGGATACGGCTGGCTGACATTTTCGAAAGTTTAATGATTTATTGAAAACGTGTTGTCATGTCTTGAATACAATTAAAAAAAAAAAAAAAGAATATGAAACCTAGCAAGTACTTCATTTACCAAACACGCATCCCGCAATAAGCATACCTTCTATATTCTTTAATGTAATTTAATTCTTGTCCTGCGATCGGGCCTCGATATATTCTAAATATCGCGGAGATTAATTTATATCTAGATGAGATCACAAGTCGACGAGAACACGTATATACACATTCTCGGCTGATCTTCGATGTTTGGTGGCGGTGAAATTTAATTAAGGGACTTATGAGACAAAGGAGCAGCCTTGAAGAGGAATATGGCCGCTTCTTACCCGTATTAACGCGATGTCGGATGATCGTTCCACTTCGGTTCGTTTCCTTCGTGAAAACAACTTCCGATAGATGTACCTCTTACTGTGATTTAATTATATTATTTATTATTTTTTTACTGTTTTTACTATTTTTTTACTTATTTTAATTATACCATATAAATATATATATTTATTTTAATATTATTGCAAACTTTTACTTAAGGACGAAATTAATAATGCAAAAATTATTCTTCTCATTTTACCTTTAAATAATGTAAAAATAATATATAAAAAATAATATAAAGTAATAATGTGTATTTTATGTTCGAAAATTTATTTAAGTTAACAGGCGAATATATTTTGCAAGGAGGTAATACGGCAATAATGTCTCTAAAATGTCCGAAAAATTATTTCTGAGTTATTAGGCGAATATGTTTTGCAAGGAGGTAATACGGCAATAAATGTCTCTAAAATGTCCGAAAAATTATTTAAGTTAACAGGCAAATATATTTTGCAAGGAGGTAATACGGCAATAAATGTCTCTAAAATGTCCGAAAAATTATTTCTGAGTTATTAGGCGAATATGTTTTGCAAGGAGGTAATACGGCAATAAATGTCTGTAAAATGTCCGAAAAATTATTTCTCAGTTATTAGGCGAATATGTTTTGCAAGGAGGTAATACGGCAATAAATGTCTCTAAAATGTCCGAAAAATTATTTCTGAGTTATTAGGCAAATATGTTTTGCAAGGAGGTAATACGGCAATAAATATCTCTTAAAATGTCCGAAAAATTCTTTTTAAGTTAACAGGCGAATATATTTTGCAAGGAGGTCGCTAGTCGCTACCAAGAGATTATATTTTCGAAGAGGTAAGTTGGTAAAATTTCCAACTCGGTACTGTCGGTAAAAATGTTCCGTCGGTAAAATTTATATCACCGTTGATAATTTACCTACTTGCATTATCGACACGATAAAATTTTTACCGACAGTACTCTACGAAAATATTCGACTACCTCTTTGCAAAACATATTTGCCTAATAACTCAGAAATGATTTTTCGAACATATTAGAAGACATTTATCGTTGTTTGTGCTACCTCTTCGCAAAATATATTCTTCTATTAAATCGATCAAACGATTTTTCGAGCATATTGAGAGGCACATATGGGAAACATAATCTGTGTAAATAATGATTAAATAATAAATAATTAAAATGTTAAATAATTTGTACAAATTGATGATATTCTTGAGTTAAAAATTCAATATAATAAAATAATGAAACACACAAATAATCAAAAATAAAAATAGAAATATAAAAAAGGAGAAATACTATAGCAGGTCGTTTTACTTTTTAATAACATAAAAATAATTCCACTGATTAAAATAGTTGCAAGTTATAATTGTCTTAAAAAAATTAGATGAATTAAAATTATGTCGTAACATAAAAAATATAAAAGCCTAAAGATTTAAGGATTTACAAGGAATCGCGCACACTTTATAATATTCTTATTTAATCATGCTATTTCGTTTATTACATGCAAGAGCCAGCGTAAGAGTTTGAAACTCTCGATAAATAGAAAAGTATTAAGACAATACAACTTATTTTATATAATTATTACATTGCTAACACTATTAGAACATCATTTATTCGATTCTTTCAAAGGCTTATTCTCTTCAGTTACTGGATACACATAGAAAGTATTCTTGTAAGCTTCCACATCAGTAATAATATGACCTTGTGTTTTTTTATTTTGGTTGGTTATATATTCCAAGGAATATTCCGCCTTGTTGCGATCCTCCACAATATCTAGAAATGAAAAATTATTTAGCATTTCAGCATTTTTATATTGTCATTTAAATATCTTGCGATATATTTATACAAAAAATCTGCACACATCGCTGCCATGCCATTGATATTAACTATACAATGTAAAAGATGTTTCCAAACTTGTGGAAGGTATTGTACATAAAAGAAAAAAAAAAAATATCGACAAGGATTATCATTGACTCACTGTTCGTTTCGTTGTCTGCGCCTTTCTTATTTCCTGCCACGTGAATACTTAGTTTTCTGAAGTTACTTCCGTTCAACGTGTGTTTCTTAGTCCACTCCCTCAGATCGTTGAGCTTGATGTCCTTTATCGCAAGCACTTCTCTCTCGAGTCTGTCAAACCTGTACCGCCACGACAAGATCTCTTCCCAGTTTCTCATAACTTCCTCGTCTAGATCGATATCGACGCACAGCTTCACTTTTTTCAACGCTTGTTTAACTTCATTCAGGTCAACTGTTAGAAAATCTTTTATCAATAAATGTTCTTTTCTATCTTATTTATAAATCATTATTTTATAAAATTTTACCTTCCGTAAAATCTTCCAAAATCTGATGAAATGTTTGCAAGAAGTTTTCGATCCGCTGATCCACGTACTCGGTCGTGTACTTGTCCGCCTGAGTTTGAATCGTAATATTATATCCCACAATTCCGTGGACGAATTTGCAAAAGGTGGCGACGTTGTAGCCGAGCTGCTCCTTAGTTCTGAGTCGATTGAACAGCGGTTCCTCCATTATCACCTGAAATAATCATACGCGAAGTTGAAATGTAAAATACAAAAATAAAAATACTTAAAGTCAGTACAAATGTGAGATACAAATAAGTATAAGGCTTTTGAAATTATAGGATTGATCCACTTACTATCAATAACTCAATCAACATCGATAACTCGATCGACGTGACTCCAGATTGATAGTAATTCGACACCACAGAATTCACGTCGGTTTCGTTCATGTTTCTCAGTTTGCAATAGTGTGTGCCCATGGGTATTTGCATGATCCTTATCTCCGGTAACATATTCGGGGGCAACGGCTTGCAGTTGATTATTTCGATGCATCGTTTCACGTTTTCCAACGCGGCATCCTGAGTCATGTTGCCTTGCACGAGGCACTGAATATAGAAACGATCGTTGAAGACCTTGATGAAGTTTTGAAACTCTTCGAAATTGACATTGCGTAGAGGAGTGTACATGTCGACGCATGTGTAATGAACATACTTGAGTAAATACGACTGCACGTCTCTGCGAAAGAATATCGAAATCAGAATCGGATTAATTAAATACATAATTCGATATAATTCATTTTACAATGTATAATTCATCGTTTTATTGAATTATTCAAGCATTGTAGAAATTATGCTAGATAACAAATAGATACCTCGCGAGTTTCTTGGGTTTTATAAATGTGTTGTAGAATATCTTGAGCTGCAGCTCCTTCAAAATTTCAAATAACTCCTTCGTAATAAGATTCGGGGAGTCCACCATGTATTTCATGATAGTGAATAGTAAAAGCTGTGTACCATAAGAATATAGATATAGAGTTTGTATCTATAATTTAAATACCTTCTCTTTAAAAAAAATACTTACTGGCAGTTTCTCGTTCAATCCATTCAACTTTATTTGGATACCTCTCTCAGTGACATTAGCCGAAAAATAAAATCCAGCCGTTAGTGCTGGATATATTTCTTCAACCAGCAACTGTTTCAGTACATTGCAGTACAACTCCATGAGAACTGCACTGAGATATCATTAATGTTTTTTTTTAAGAAATAGTTATTAATTCAAAATATTGAAAAACTACGCATATTCTTACAGCTTCCATTGTTACTTACTTCTCTGCAGATTGAAGTCCCAATGGAGAAACGAAATGGAAATACATGAAACATTCGGGCAACCGAAACTTGGGATCTGGACGATACCATATCTCGGAGATTGCGTCGCTGTGTATTTTCACAGGAAATTTCGGAACGTCTGCAGGTAATGGTATCAAGGTAAAGTCACTGGTGAGGAATGTATTCGGAAGTGGCAAGTGAAAATCTGGCAATGGTTCGATGATTTTCCAGCGCTCAATCCATGCTTCCGGTATTTCAACGTCCGTATACTTAGTTTTGAACCACGGTTCAACTTTATCCAATTCCTTGTCAAATTTTCCATTGAAAATCATGATGTTCATATTTTCCGGCTTCAGGTAGTCCAGACACATTTTTATGGCTTCTGGATCGTACTCGAAGTAAAGCTCGCTCCCAGTTAAATAATCGCACGGCGGATAAAAATGCATACCCTCACACAAATCTTCCACGTATTCTATGGGATCCTGCTCATTGGCAAATCTATAACAAAATTTATATATAGTTACTTAACGAAGTCGTGTATCACAATTTGACGTCTTTTCTTTATCGCAGTTTTCAAAATTAACTAATTATATTCTTGTTTGTTCCTATTTTTAAGATTCCTTTACCTAAAATTAATTTCTTCGATCTTATAGATATCATCGTAAATCCTCTTCTGCGGACCTTCCTTTTTTAACAAATTTATAAAAGAAAATACCGCATCCAGCACTTCTTCAAAGTGTTTCTGCCCTTCATCCGTGAGAATCAAGCTAAGCTTGAATAAAGCATACATAGAACTGTGCTCGAAACCACTCTCGTCATTGCCACTGAGTATATCAATGACCCACATTTTCTTACGCAGGTAACTGATCAAGGAATCTTTCCCTTCATGCCCGATGATCCACGAAACATATTGATATGGTTTACATTTGTAGTAATCCAACAGCGAAGGCATGGCCCATGTTACGTCTAACTGCGAAATACAATCCTGATGTAATATAAATTTTTATAAAATATGATTAATACTCATTCTAATTGCATATTCTATAATGACAATAATAAATAAATAAATGTATGAATATATATGCAATATTACAAAGCAAAGATGATAAAGTCAATTAGAGATACATCACAAATTATGAAATTTAACTTTATAATCCATAATTAACTATTAAACATTTTTCTTAATCGAATAGATATAACTTCGGATCCACAAATAAATACTATTTGATGTTATAACTTAGTATTATCATGAAAATCAATTATTTGTAGCACCAGTATTTTATCCTTACGTACTAGGCTAATATCTTTGACTGGTTTTATTTTGTACATTCTTCGGAAAGCAGAAGTATCGAAAGAAATCCCGCCTTTGAACTGGGTAAAGTCATCCGGTGGCAGTTTGTTGTTCGGCACATCAGAAAAGTACGTTATAACATATTCTTCTAGAATATCCAGCGGCAATCTCGCCTGCAAACAGACGTTGTTATGAATTAACGGTGTTTAATTAAATAATTATTGATCTTTGTCGCAATTTCAATAAAGCGAACTCTACCTGTATAGACAATTTCATTCTATGGGCGCTGTAATGGCGTTCTTTAAATTTGTGCAGCTCCTTGTATAACGTGTCATCGTCCACATTGTCGCGCAATGTTATCAAATTGCCCCAAACAAACTTGCTGGCCGGATGACCAGTTCGCGCGAAAGAAGAAAAGAGTTGTTCCTTCCTGTTGTCGTCGTAAGGCAAGGCTATCTGAAATTCTATAAAAAAAATTTATCGATATATACGAAAATTATCGACTTTGTAAAATGCTGATAGTTGATAGTTTTTATTCTAATTATAATAATATATAAGTACCGCTTTCCACGGCTTCTCTTTCGCGCGTGATGGCATCTTTCTTCATCAGTGGCTTAATGAAAAATTGAGCGAAACGATCGAGAGCTTTTACCAGATGCTTCTCCTGGACATCAAAGTAAAACGTTGTATGCTCGCAATCCGTCTCTGCGTTGGACGAGCCGCCGCGTTTGCTGAGATACGAGTCGAAATCATTTTCCTACAAATAAAATGAGACTTAGGCAATTAAATGCGAATTTCTTTAGTGGATCCAGTTTATTACTTGTGGAAATTTCGCTGATCCCATAAAAACCATATGCTCGAGGAAATGCGCCATGCCTGGAATTTCTGGTGGATCGCTAAAACTGCCTACTCCTACAGATAAACCACATGCTGCCTGTTAAATAAAAAAAATATATATATAAGTAAACTCTAATTAAATAAGTTATTAATATCAATAAATAAGATAAAAAATATAAAAAAAAAACATTTTATAATTTGTACAATAATCTATGAATACCATCTTTGTATTTCTCTTCATTATCTTCCGTAGTGGCGAAGAATCCTCTATTAAATCATCATCTTCATCAGTATCCTCTTCGTTACTATCATCTTCATCTCCCTCATCACTGTCCTCATCATCATCATCTTCGCTACTTGCTAATCATTGATAAATAGTAAACATTACTTCTTTATACATAATATATTATAAATAATTATGTTAGTTTCTATTCTTATATTAAATATATTGTTTATTTTATACACGTATTTACTTAAATAGTTGAATTCTTCAAATTAACATAATTTAATCAATTTTGATATTCACCTGCATCCTGATCACCATCTTCGTAACAATTCATCCTTGAATGTAAATCAGCTATTAACAAAGCTGTCAAACCATTCTGTAATCTGATGACTCTGAAATTTGATAAATATAATAATATTAACGACAGAATAAAAATGTCGATATGTATATCAATATAATATGTCAATAATTAAAAATGTTTGATATGTAAAAATTTATATAAAATTGAAACAAAATACACTATAAACAAATATTATAAAATGTTTCAAGAAGGATATCAAATGAGCTAATCGACTAAAATAACAGATAATGAAAATACGTGAGAAAATATATAGCAAATTAAACATTTTACAATCAATTTAAATTTATAACATTTACTCCAGATCTTATGACACTTGTTATCAAGATAAAAAGATCTTAATCTTTCTGGTAAAATAAAATATTTCTCATCGTCTAACCTATATTCCTTTGTATCATTCTCCGATTTCACAGGCGTGTCCAGATACTCGACTTTTGGACATTTTTTGTCACTGGCTGCTTGATTTGTCTTCGACATTATATCTGAATGCAAAGAAGAATTAAGGTTAAATCGATGTCCGAAATACGACGAGAACGAAGAATTCACGACAGGATCCTGATTCGACTTCCTCTTCGGCGGATTTTGCACGTGCACCCTGGGCACCTTAGCTGATGTTGACAGACACACGTGTTTCTTCCCACATTTGATACCGATCTGTCGTAGAAAAAAGAAGAAACCACGTGTCATGCAGGACAACGGGTAGCGACATTTTGGCAGGAAGTGATTTATAAATAGAGAGATTCAAATCTCTCTGATTGGTTTGCAGTATATTGGTCCTGTAATTGCAAAAATAAAGAGAATATTGTGTATAAATAAAAACTTTAGTTACCTAATTGTGTGTACTCTCTCAATAAATAAAAGTTTCACTGCATTTTATAGCAGGCCGTTTTACTTTTTAATTCTCCTTTTTTATATTTCTATTTTTATTTTTGATTATTTGTGTGTTTCATTATTTTATTATATTGAATTTTTAACTCAAGAATATCATCAATTTGTACAAATTATTTAACATTTTAATTATTTATTATTTAATCATTATTTACACAGATTATGTTTCCCATATGTGCCTCTCAATATGCTCGAAAAATCGTTTGATCGAGTTAATAGGAGAATATATTTTGCGAAGAGGTAGCACAAACAACGATAAATGTCTTCTAATATGTTCGAAAAATCATTTCTGAGTTATTAGGCAAATATGTTTTGCAAAGAGGTAGTCGAATATTTTCGTAGAGTACTGTCGGTAAAAATTTTATCGTGTCGATAATGCAAGTAGGTAAATTATCAACGGTGATATAAATTTTACCGACGGAACATTTTTACCGACAGTACCGAGTTGGAAATTTTACCAACTTACCTCTTCGAAAATATAATCTCTTGGTAGCGACTAGCGACCTCCTTGCAAAATATATTCGCCTGTTAACTTAAAAAGAATTTTTCGGACATTTTAAGAGATATTTATTGCCGTATTACCTCCTTGCAAAACATATTCGCCTAATAACTCAGAAATAATTTTTCGGACATTTACAGACATTTATTGCCGTATTACCTCCTTGCAAAACATATTCGCCTAATAACTCAGAAATAATTTTTCGGACATTTTAAGAGACATTTATTGCCGTATTACCTCCTTGCAAAACATATTCGCCTAATAACTCAGAAATAATTTTTCGGACATTTTAGAGACATTTATTGCCGTATTACCTCCTTGCAAAACATATTCGCCTAATAACTCAGAAATAATTTTTCGGACATTTTAGAGACATTATTGCCGTATTACCTCCTTGCAAAATATATTTGCCTGTTAACTCAAATAAATTTTTGAACATAAAAGACACATTATTACTTTATATTATTTTTACATTATTTAAAGGTAAAATGAGAAGAATAATTTTTGCATTATTAATTTCGTCCTTAAGTAAAAGTTTGCAATAATATTAAAATAAATATATATTTATATGGTATAATTAAAATAAGTAAAAAAATAGTAAAAACAGTAAAAAAATAATAAAAATAATATAATTAAATCACAGTAAGAGGTACATCTATCGGAAGTTGTTTTCACGAAAGAAACGAACCGAAGTGGAACGATCATCCGACATCGCGTTAATACGAGTAAGAAGCGGCCATATTCCTCTTCAAGGCTGCTCCTTTGTCTCATAAGTCCCTCAATTAAATTTCACCGCCACCAAACATCGAAGATCAACCGAGAATGTGTATATACGTGTTCTCGTCGACTTGTGATCTCATCTAGAGATATAAATTAATCTCCGCGATATTTAGAATATATCGAGGCTCGATCGCGGGACAAGAAGCGCTCCTTCGGGACACCCTGTAGAGAATCATAAAAGCAGGGATGGCGAGGTGGAGAGTAATCAAGAGCGGCATTAAAAGACGCGCAGTGTGCGTTCTTCATCTTCTTCTTCTGGTACCGTTGGTCCTTCACCCGGGTGCGCCGGATCACGGCGCACAATAACCTTGGATCTCCCGTTTTATTTTCGTCAGTTTTCAAGTCTGGCCTCTCGGATACCTATATATATATATATAAGATGCACTCGGGGTTACCCTTTTCTTCCGCGACGTGGAGGGAAAGTTGCGCCTACGTCTGCCGAGAATAATGCGCCAGTATGCGTTTCAGAGAGAGAGAGAGACCTCTATTTATTTTTTTTCTCTTTCTCTGCTCTCACAAGAATTTCCATTCAAAGAGATTAACTCATTTCAGGATGATTCATACGAGATGTTCTTTTTAACACGAGTCGCTTTAAATAAAAGATTTTTATTTTATGTATAAAATATTTGTTTGATTTTTAAATTACTACTATATTATATTTAATCACTAATCATTACTGCGCCTCATAATTATTATTAGAGATGAGCTTCACATGCAACTCAAATAAATAATAATAAAATCGAGTAAAAAGAAGAGAACGAGTTGTTTCTCGCGTTACAATTTATGTTAATTAAACTCTAACAAAGTAAACTTATAGATTCTCCCGATATAAGCGATTGTTTTATTTGGTGTAGTTATTATTATTACTATTATTATTATGGAGTTTACGAATGCATTGTAGAGAGTGCACATACTACTACGATGCGCCATGCACTCTCCCTTCTCACTATGATATAGCTGATAACTCGGCATACACATATACAAATATATATATATATATATATTATTGTATACCAGACTATTGCTCGAGTCATAATATACACGGTGTCGTGGAAATGATATACACATAGCTACAGCTGGTTTACATATTTTCTCCCTCGTGATGCTACTTCTGTGAAATTATATATATTTATTAATTTATTTTCAGAAAAAGTTAAAGAAAGATTCGTATGATTATTTTAAAAATAACAAGAAGACACTTTTTATTAAGAGAGAAATTAATTTTCTAAATAATTCCATAATATGTATATCAATTTTATGATAATATATGTATTCTTCGTGTCCGTGTTTATATATTATACAAAAATGCGACGCGTAAAAATGGCGGACACGAAGAAACCGTGTATTATCAGAATAAAATTTATACATGCATATATTATGGAGAATTATTTAGAAAATTAATTATATATATTAAAATTATATAAAAATTGTATATATAAAATTATATGAAAATGATATTAAAATTATATATATATACGAATTAATGATATTCTATATGTGCATCGTAAAATAGAATACAGATGATCGTGTAACCTTTCGGTCGTCTTCTGCGGGTCTGGTTTCTTCACTTTTTAAACGACGACGAAGAGAAAGGATGAGGAACGGAGAGGGAAAGGCAATCAAGAGAGAGAAAAGAAGCCGCGAAGAAAAGTCGAGGAGCGGGAGAGTACTACGAGAATACTTGCGTATGGTAAATGGACTGTAGTACTATGAGTCAGTCACACCCACAAAGCCGGTTGTGGGTTCAAGATCCTCTCTCTCTCTCTCACACATCCGCACGCAGGCACGTGATCGCGCGTCGACACGAGGTCACGCGTACACATCTATAATCTATCGGCCTTGTCTGAGACTGCTAATCACCGGGATACTCATTGTAGTACGACGAGCGATAAGAAAGCGAGATAACGTGGGAATTTTCGACCGCAAGAATAACACGACGACTCGCAATTAGTGAATTGGGGATTTTAACGAAGGGAGAGACGCGACATTTTTTTATTTTTCTCGAATTTTTTTTTTAATAGGAGAATGTATTTTTAGTCTTCGACTTATTATGGACGAGATTAGTTATCTCGTTAACTGATAAAGGTGTAATGGTTTAGACGAACTCGGGGCTCCTCGCGATCGTAAACCGGACCTGGGCGTTTTGTCGGTGTCTGAAACACCTGACGAAACGTCCGCGGCGATGCAACTGATAAATAAGAGGGAGGGCTACGAAAGCAGGAGAAGGGCGGAAGGTAGGGCACGCATTCGGAATGCGAGCGTGAATCCCCGTGTGCATTGTACGCTCTTTGTAGTTAACCGAATGGAACGAGGAGGCTCGACGATAAATAAAATGAAGAAAAATCGAAAATGTTTACCGCGAAAAAACCGTGTATGCAATAGTTTTGACAGGAGGAAGCAACGCGAGCGACAAAGTGCATTTGATTTGTCAGATTTCAGGAATGAAAAGAGCTATAATTCTTTTTCTAATAAAGGCTTCCTAAAGATATTCATTAATTAATATAGTAATAATATATATAAAAATCTCAAGATATACCTTTTTATTATTTTTTACAATATATATAATATTTTTCAGAGCCTCTATTAGAAAAAAAATATATGTACATATGTACAGAGCTAATTTTTTTCTAATAAAGGCTCCCTAAAGATATTCATTAATTAATATAGTAATAATATATATAAAATACTCAAGATATATCTTTTTATTATTTTTTTCCAAAATAATATCTTTTTTCAGAGAGCCTCTATTAGAAAAAAATATATGTACAGAGCAAATTTTGTTCTAATAAAGACTCCTTGAAGATATTCAATTGATATATCAATAATATATATAAAAAACTCAAGATGCATCTTTTTATTATTTTTTACCAAAATAATATCTTTTTTCAGAGAGCCTCTATTAGAAAAAAATATATGTACAAAGCAAATTTTGTTCTAATAAAGACTCCTTAAAGATATTCAATTGATATATCAATAATATATATAAAAAACTCAAGATGCATCTTTTTATTATTTTTTTCCAAAATAATATCTTTTTTCAGAGAGCCTCTATTAGAAAAAAATATATGTACAGAGCAAATTTTGTTCTAATAAAGACTCCTTAAAGATATTCAATTGATATATCAATAATATATATAAAAAAACTCAAGATGCATCTTTTTATTATTTTTTTCCAAAATGATATCCTTTTCAGAGAGCCTCTATTAGAAAAAAAATGCATGTACATATGTATATATTATAATTTGAAATTGATGTGAAGAGCGGCTGGGGCTTTGATCAAGCTCGTAAATATCTGATCTCGTTATTTTGGAAAGGAGCTCGGAGCATAAAGAGAAGCGACGACGCGATACAAAGCAAGACGACGCTGCCACAAAGTAGCGTTTCAGGGAGAATCGCGATCGAGGGCCGGCCGCGGCGATCTCGCGTGAGCGCGGCCGAGTTCTTTGTGATCAGGGCTCGAGCGAGAAACCGGTTTCATTGGCGGAGGGTCCTTCTCCGTGTTTCCTTCGTCTCCTCCTCTGCCGAGTGAACCGAGCCGAGCTGAACGTGAATCGCGTCTGTTACAATGTAAACTGGCTCCTCGTCGCAAGTAATCGGCATGCGGACGACACGCGTGCGATCGGATATCGATAAACGTACGCAGATGCGTGTCAATCGTCGTTGCTTCCTCTCTTTTCTTTTTCGCCAGATTACGTAAGCCGGATGGTTATTAGTCGCTCCGGCGGAGTGAAATTAATATAATATCGCATATTACGCGGGAATAGAATTTGCAATCGATCGACGAATCAAATGCACATAATCAAGCGAGATTACAACACGATTGCCCTGACACTAATCGGTCGACGAATGATAGAGCGCGATTGACGCAAATACAAATTATAAGTGATAAATTTCGTAATCGAATAGGACAAATATCGATACATTATTATAATATATATATGCGGGATACTCTCTAAAGCGTCAAGTGTGCTTATCAGCATTTTATTACAAATTGCAATCATTGCACATATACATCATCTTTACGCATTTAAATGTCGTGCGCCCTACACGAACGCGTTTTACACTCATTAATTAGAAATATTACAAACAGGTACAAAAACTACGCTACGCTCTAAACTTAACTGCTATCTTAAAATGCTATCGCCCTCCCATTCGGCGTTGCCTATTTTGTTTTATCGCTAAATGCATCATTGTAAGCGTTTACGGAGCCTTGGTCTCGCTCTCGCGTGGAATGAAATTCACGTTCGTACGCAACGAACGAGATTTATGTATACGTATATAAATACGAAATGTATACACGGGGTCGTAACTAGGTAGAACGCCAAATACCGAATCTAGGAAAGATTCGCGCAGCTACCTCCCTAACGTCATTCTTTGTTTGGCAGACATTTCTCGGTCCAGAACATTTCCGAATGGAAACAAAAAATCGGATGAATTTTGTTATCAAAAATTTATTCCAGTTTCTAGGCATTCTCGTTTGTATAAATTGAAACAGTTTGCCAACCATTTTAACATTAATTAAAATTAGAATAGATTAGGGACTTTCTATTGCTAATTAGTTATATCAGTCGATATATACATGCGCGTAACGCGTAAAAATTGAGCTCTTTGCTAAAAGAGCTAAATACGATGTCGTAAAAAAAAGAAAAAAGATTTTCCAAAATTTTACTATATAATAATCACAGGGGAGGGATAGCAACATATATATATATATATATATATATATATATATATATATATATGTGCGTTTGTGTGAATTATAGTCATCGAAAAATCGGTATGAGATCGTGTCATGTATCTTTACGGTAAATCTATACGTTAACGCTAACGTTTGTAATTTTATGTTTGACCATACTTGGCAGTGTTGAGTTACGAGCTCATATTTACTCGATTAATTTATTTCCTATTATTCGCACGGACGGTACGAGGAAGCCGACGGTGTGTCCTGCACTATTATCTCCGCGTGTTTTTTATCTCGCAAAATCGCAAAACGAAAAACAATTGGAAAACTAATGATCGTCGAAAAATATTACAAAATAGTAGCGCAATACTTGACGTATATATTCCGAAAGTTTATAATAGCAATATAAAAATCGTACAGAAAATCAGAGTTTGAGTACCTGTCTCAAGTTTTTCTCATCCATATGTCTACAAAATATATAAATATATGTAGAGTAGAATACGACAACTGATCACTCACGGATGTAAAACTTTTCTACACGCGCGCGACTGGTCCCATATCACGTTAAAAAAAAAAAAAAAAAAAAAAAAAAAGAAAGAAAATTAAAAAAAATAAAAAGAAAACAGCCTTTATACATTGTATAAGTATATACACGTATTTGTACATGTTAAAAATTACAATTATTTACAAGAGCGTTGTGTATATAAAAAAAATACAAGTTGTATCAATATAAAAACACAAATCGATTATTTACAAATGCAGGTTGTAAAAAAGTACACAATTATGTACAATAGTTTAAGTCATAAAAAAAAGTGTCTCGTATAGTCAGATCATTCTCATGCAATAAAGACTCCCAAGATAGCCCCCTCAATCGGCCTCGAGAAGCGTCCTGGTCGAAGTGATCGGGGCAGTTCCGGGTCGCAGCGCGACAAGATGCGACTTCTTCCTCGGCGACGTCGCGCCGACCTGCTGATAGACGTACTTGCTCTGTATCGGCGAGCCCGAGACGGAAGCGGTCTTCTGACGTTTCGCGCACGAGACGTACTCGTACACGAAGGACTGTTCCTCCCTTGGAAAATCGGTCAGCCGAGTCTCGAGCAGCTCGGCGGCGTCGCCGAGATCGAGACCCTCGTAGAGCTGCCCGACGACGATGTCCTCGTCGACGATGTCGATGTGCTTGGTCTCGTCGTAGGTGATGTTCTCGTCTTCGTTGATGATCTCGTCCACCACGGAGCCACCTGTCTCGGAGCCCGCGGAGCTTCCCTCCACGTCCTCGTATAATATCTCCTCCTCGTGCCTGTCGCCCTCGTACTTCATCTCGCCGCGTTCAAGAAGTTCCAGGTGATCGGGATGCACCATGGCCCGCTTGATCGCGATCGGATCCTTCCTCGACCACTTGCGCACCTCCTCGTCCATCTTGGCCACCTTCGACGGGTGGATGGCCCAGAGACAGCCCTTGCGTTGGCTACCGTTTCCAGGTGGCTTCTCGATCTTCTCGAAGCATTTATTCAACGACAGGTTGTGCCTCACGGAATTTTTCCAGCCCGTTGGCGCAGTCTTGAAGTAGGGAAAGTGTCGGCTGAACGAAACGAAAAAAAATATAGCATGAATTTCGCGTTAATCGGACACTCTCATCGTTCAATGTAACAATGAATTATCGTTAACGAGTCGAGTGAATTTGTATAAATAAATTTGAATAAATTATATAAACTTCATATATAAAATAATTTATTCAAATTGCGATTCGTGAGTAAAATTTAAAAGCCCGCTTCTCTTTCTCTCTCTAGTGAATATATTTGATCGATTATCGAAGAATATTTGAAAAAAGGAAAAAATATGTGGAAAATTAAATGAACTACGCATATTTTTGGGAAAGAAAACGCCGTGAAACCATAAATATTTCAGATACCTTGACATCTTTGCTTTATACAAAGAGAAGTTTTAATGGAACACGGTTCTACAAGGTTATTTCAGTGAGACTCCACTCATTTTACGAGTCGAGTTAGTCATAACGGCGAGAAACGTAGGCAGGTGATAAACGAGAGAGCGGGCCCCTGCTGTTGGTTTCTAGGGAGACTGTACCCTGGTATGCCCCTGGTTGTTCCAAGGGGCCCCATACAAAATGGCAGCTTCTCTCTTTCTACTTCTCCCTCTCTCGTATAGCTCTCTCCCGTGCAACCCAAGAATAAACAGGGAAAAGACAATACTTTTGCCCCTAGCATATACCTAAGCGCAAAAGGGGGCTTCGCCAGCCCCCTTATTCTTCCGGCCAAATGGTCGAAAATAAACGGACGGGGTGACACGTTTGTTCATCGAGTATAAAATTTCTGGTTGCTCGTCACGAAAATATCACGCGACGAAAAATCATTATACATTTTTAGAAGTTTGATAGAATTCGCGAAAAATATTCCTTTTCAAAGCAAAAATCCAAGTTATTTCGTCCGCAAAATAAAACTAATATTTTTGTACATCTTTAAGTTACATTTTTGTATAAAATCGTGCGATACAATATTTATTTATGTTATAATATATAAGAATAATATTAATAAGATTAAATAATTTCGATCAAAGAATGAAGAGATTCTTTGTGAACCAAACTTGAAATATCGTTGAACGAACAATGAAAAATGATTGCGTATAATCATTCGAAGGACACTCACCACATAAAATTGTAGATTTCGGAAACCGGCAGCAAACCCGTCTGGCTATTTTTCAACGCCATCGCGATGAGACACGAGTACGAGTACGCAGGCTTCGGATAAGGGTTGTCGCGCTGCCCCGTGAGATCCTTCTCGCGCTTCGCCGTCTGTATCATCACCGTCGTGGTCGTACCCGAGCCGACGTCGTGCACGTTATTGTTATAAATCTGCTTGCGTATATGGCCGCTCGGGTTCGAGGTCAACATCTTGATGTCCATTGTGCCGGACACGGTACCAATCTTGGAATGCTGCATCTGTACCCTCGTCAGCTGTATGGTCGGCGACGAGGAGGTGGCCACCGTCGTTCTGACGCCGGCCGACGACGACGAGGACGAGATTGACGTCGGGGCCTTCGCGCTCAGGGATTCAACGACAGTCGTATCCTGCTGCTCGTCGTCCTCCGTTTCCTCTTCCTCGTCCTCCGACTCTTCCTCCTCCGTTTCCTCGTCCTCTGTTTCGTGCTCGATGATCTCCTCTTCCTCTTCCTCTTCGCTCTCGTTCTCCTCGTCATTTTCGGTCCGCTCGGCCTCGCTCTCGTTCTCCGTTTCCTCCTCCTCGTTCTCGACTTCCCCGACGTTCTCTTCCACGCTTGTCTCCAACATCGCGGCTTCGCTATTCAACGTCGGGCTGCGGATAGGCATGCACATGTTGAGGGGCAGTATCAAATTCGGATCCAATGTCAACGCCAGCTCGCTGTCGCTGTCCAGATTCAGTTCCTCCAGGTTGCTGTTTCGAAATAGACAAATTTAGAATTTTCCTTCGATGCAATTAAACGAGCTTATCTTCAAGTCTCTCTCCCTCCTTCCCTATCTTTCTTCGAAGCATTCTAATCACGTCTCTACTTTCCTGAGGCACGATAGATGAATTCTAATTCACGTGAGTTCCTCACCTGTTCGAACTACGGCTTTTGTCGTTGAAGCCGAGCGGATCCTCCTCGGTCTCCGTCAAGACGTCGTCGAAGTCAAAACCAAGACCCCAACCGAGTCGGCCGGTGTTGTCGCAATGCCGGATGTCCATGTGGAACATGTCTTGTCGACCTTGGACGGCGTTGGAGATGCTGTCGCTGTCGAACAGGCAGTCCCATGTTTCCCCGGACAATCCCTGCTCCATCCTGACGGTACCGTACGCATTTACGGTATCAAATTCCATACACTCGACTGCAAACAACAGAAAGAGATGTCTTTTATTCGATTATTTCAGAGTTTTACCATATTTTCTCTCATATTTTTCTATTTACATTAATTATATTTATATTTTCATTTATATTTCATATTTGATTTTATATTTAATTTCACCGCATTTTACCGGGATATTTTTATTTACAATAAATAAATTATATAATAAATTATATAATAAAATGTGCGCGCGCTTTTTGCGTACAAAGAGATGACAGATGTTCTCTCTCCTTCTCCCTCGTCGTTTATGCGCTATACAACGAACTGCGGGCCTCCTAAAAAAGTTTTCCGTCATCCTCCCCTCGCGGCCCTTCGCCGCTGCGGACTCATCCATATTTCAGCGTGCTTTTTTTAGCGACACCCGGAGTGTATTTCGGATTAGCGCGCGGCTCGTAGATCGATCATTTTCCGTAAGGGCGCCCGGATTGATATCTACGGCACCGCGTGCTGCTGCTGCTGCTGCTCTTCGCCGGAGAAATAATAGCCCGCTCTCGAGTCGAGATGTGAGAGTTCTCGAGAGAGAGAGAGAGAGAGAGAGTTCCTTGTCTTCGAATGAAAGCAGATCTGTACGTCGAAACGCCTCGCTTATTCGCCGCTCGAGGAAGCAGCGCATTTCATCGCGTTGCCTCTTTCTCTCTTTTATTTTTTTTCTGAATATTTTTTTTATGTTACGTTGTATCATTGTGTATTTTAACACGTGAATTTTATCGCGTGTGTATAAATAGAAATGAATGTCATGAATTACATTAATTTATGTATGTAATTTATATACGATTCGCCGCGCGAGTTCCTCTAATCTCTTCGAGAGATCTAGATATTCCGGGACGAGAATTCCCACACACGTCATCTCGCATCCTTATTCCGTGTACTATAAATACGAGTATATCGCGATTGTGTCTCACTACGCCAGACAAAGCCTATAGATTTACGTAAGTGCGCCAAAGTGTATACAATTGCGCACATCTGTGCCTGTGAGAAAGAGAGACGGAGAGAGAGTGTGTGTATGTATGTGTGCGTACAATGAGGATCTTGAACCCACAACCGGTTTGTGGGTGTGACTAACTCATAGTACTACAGTCGATTTACTATACGCATAGACTCGTAGTGCTCCTCCCCTTTTCCCTCCCTTCATCCTTATCCTACGCATTCCTGCAGCTCTTTCCTTATTCTTCGATTTTCATTCAAAATAATGACAAATAAAAAGAGAGATATATAAGGATATATAAGGATTTTTTAAATATCTTTATTCCATATAAATTTCTTTATCCTAAAAATCCTTATTCTGCACTTTCCTGCAGTTCTTTCATTATCCCTTGATTTTTATTCAAAATAATGACAAAGAAAATTAATATATATCAGAAATTTTTTAAATATTTTTATTCGATATTCCGGCATAAATTCCCTCATCCTAAAAATCCTTATCCCGCAGCTCTTTCCTTATCCTTTGATTTTCATTCAAAATAATGACAAAGAAAAATTAATATATATCAGGATATTTTTTAAAAATATTTTTATTCGATATTCCGACATAAATTCCCTCATCCTAAAAATCCTTATCCCGCAGCTCTTTCCTTATCCTTTGATTTTCATTCAAAATAATGACAAAGAAAAATTAATATATATCAGGATTTTTTAAATATTTTTATTCGATATTCCGGCATAAATTCCCTCATCCTAAAAATCCTTATCCCGCAGCTCTTTCCTTATCCTTTGATTTTCATTCAAAATAATGACAAAGAAAAATTAATATATATCAGGATATTTTTTAAATATTTTTATTCGATATTCCGGCATAAATTCCCTCATCCTAAAAATCCTTATCCCGCAGCTCTTTCCTTATCCTTTGATTTTCATTCAAAATAATGACAAAGAAAAATTAATATATATCAGGATATCTTTTTAAATATTTTTATTCGATATTCCGACATAAATTCCCTCATCCTAAAAATCCTTATCCCGCAGCTCTTTCCTTATCCTTTGATTTTCATTCAAAATAATGACAAAGAAAAATTAATATATATCAGGATATTTTTTAAATATTTTTATTCGATATTCCGACATAAATTCCCTCATCCTAAAAATCCTTATCTCGCAGCTCTTTCCTTATCCTTTGATTTTCATTCAAAATAATGACAAAGAAAAATTAATATATATCAGGATATTTTTTTAAATATTTTTATTCGATATTCCGACATAAATTCCCTCATCCTAAAAATCCTTATCCCGCAGTTCTTTCCTTATCCTTTGATTTTCATTCAAAATAATGACAAAGAAAAATTAATATATATCAGGATATTTTTTTAAATATTTTTATTCGATATTCCAGCAAAAATTTCCTCATCCTAAAAATCCTTATCCTTCGATTTTCATTCAAAATAATGACAAACAAAAATGAATATATATATATATCAGAAAGTTTTAAAATATTTTATTCGATAATCCGGCATAAATTTGAAGTTGGCTTCTTCGATTTTAAGTACAGCCTCCCTCGTCCTACGTCCTTGTCTACACATGTATATGTACGCGCGTATTATGGAAACAAACATCCGGCATTGATTCGAATATTCCAGCCAGGCGGTGGCAAAATGTAATGTGCGTACAGTCGCGCATACACACACACACACACACACACACACACACACAGCATCCGGATCGCGCGATGGACCAACCGTAGATACACAAAGCCGCGCGCCGTCTCTGCCGCGCTTTTCGCCGAGTATCGATCTGATACGTCTGCCCTCCCCCTCCCCCCAACCCCTCTCATCCCCTGTCATCCACCCTCGTCGTATCCTTTTCCCCCGTCGCAGGCAGCCGGTATTTGCGAGCTGCAAGAGCCTGCAGCGTGCACCAATGCCGCGCCCGGGTTCGTCAGGGTGGCACCCTAACTCTCCCGCCATTTGCTTTCCTCCTCCCTGCTCACCCCCTCGTGCTCTCTTCCTCGGAAGCTCGTTTGAAAATTCACCCTCTCTCTCTATCTCTCTCGGTCTCCCCTTCGGATCCCCGGCGCAGACCGCTCGTTAACCCTTAATATCGTTCGCTAGGGTCGAATTAATGCTTCTCTATCTTTGGGAGTAAAAGGACAGATTTTTTTTATGACGAGTTTTATATTATTATATATGTATATTGGTGCCTCTCTCAGTCGCCTTTCTCGAAATTTATAAGATACTGCATTTCTGATTCGTCGAAGGTTTCGTTGCGCATCTCGTCGCGGTTCTGTACTGTTTCAAGTTTGATCGTTTATTAAAGCGGAAATATATGATATTTGCTTAAATAGATGGACGAGAATAGTTTCGCGATCGAAGCGAAACAGAGGGAAAATCTGTGCGATAATGAAAACAAAGTTTGAGATAAATAATTAATAAGAATCGCTTTGATCTTTCAGAATACTCCCCTTTTTTTGTCATTGCGAATCGTGAGACAATATATGATATTGGAAGAATTTTAATAAGTTTTTCTCTAGTTAATATATTTTATATTTATTATATATATTTTATATATTTTTATTTATATATAATTTACTGTTTTCAGTATAAAAAATATCTTAAAAATATCTAAAAATATCGATTAATTATGAAGGGACGTTTTTTTTTTCGATTACGCGCAAAACAGCTGATATCTCGTGATTTCACGGCGAAATCGCTTATTCTCACGATACCGCTTATCTCGACGGATTAATATCGATATGTGTCACTTATATGGGACGACATACGTCACGATGACGTACGCGTGGCATCGCACGCACGTGGCCGCGTAGAATTGGCGCGAAAAAGTACGCGCCTCTCCTCCCTGTCCCCCTTCCACCCCCTTCTTCACCCCTCGTTGACGTCGTGACATCTCACGCATGCTTCGCATCTTCGAATTTCCGTATAAATTCCAGAAAAATTGGATTTCAATGTTTCGAAAAAAAAGATGACTAAAATATCGTCGATTGAAGCGCTTATCAAACGATATTTCCTGTTATCGCATTACGTAGCACTGCGAAGCCGCGATTTAGAGAAAGGGTCAGCGAACCTGTTAGCTTTCTAAATCCCGGCTCTTGTGATATATATATACTTACCACGATTAAGTCGACCGAGCTTATCACGACGTGTCTTAAACTGTGTAATTACTGTATTTCATTATTTATCTTTCTATATATATACAGAGAGAGAGAGAGGAGAATATGGATTTTTTAAATTGGATATAAATTATTTCTCTCTTTCTTTAAATATTCATCGATTTTTTAGGTCTCTAAATATAAAATGAAAGTATCGAGATTGAAGAGAGATTTATACATTAACGATTACTTTGGCAACTCGATTACGTAAGAGATTTGAAACGAACTTCTCTTTAATGTCGATCTCACGGTGTATTTGCTAATCTTGTCTACTGCTAATTCAATGGATTTCAGGCTTAGAATTTTTTGCTTTCACTGGCCAAACGCGGATGAGTCAATCGCGAGGTCCTTCCCCCTCGAGATCTTGCAAAATTTCGCACGTTGCCGCGAAATCAAAGTACACGCGATCTACAATGAAACGCGTTTCTCAATGTGCCTTTAACATGCACAGATTACGTCTCTCTTTCTCTCTCTCTCTTTCTGTCTTTCTTATAGATCTGAATAAAGCCGATGGTCTAACATGAATAATTCCATACATTCAATACAATCGTAGAATTTACAGCGTTTTAATAGAGCTACAAAACGGTACTCTACTTTATTTCGGAGTGGATCTTTGCCGTTTATACACGGAATTTTCTTTTAGAATTTAATACATTTATTATAAAAGAATGATAAAATATATAATATATAATAAAAGAATTTAATAAATAAATTTCTCTTAAAATTCCCGAAAATTGGATAATCGGAACAATATGATATTGGAGGAATTTTATTAGAGTTTCTCTGATTAAATATTGATCACAATAAAAAATATTAATATGTACATAGTAAAATTAATCAAACATATTTTATATTTTATTGCGGTAGATATATTAATATTTTTATTGAGGTAAATATTTCATCGGAGAAACTCTTATAAAATTGGATGCATTTCATAAAAGTTTCTCTGATTAAATATTGATTGCAATAAAAAATATTATATGTACACAGTAAAATTAATCGAACATATTTTATATCTTATTGTGCACTGTAAAAAATATGTAAAATTACATCTAATTATTTATGTAATTTTTTCATATTTTTCTATAATATGTTACATCTTTTCTTACAGTGTGGATATTAATATCTTTATTATGGTAAATATTAATCAGAGAAACTCTTATACCATTGTCCCAGGATTACCATAATTTTCAGGGTAAACTCTCTCTCTCTCCGTGTAGAAGTTACAGGTCAGCAATCTTGCAAATTAACATGTTACACAAATTGGCGCAAATCCGAGATTCCGTGTATACTTACTTGGACAGAAAAGCAACTGTTAACTGTAAATGCATAGAGGCCGGCTCTAAATTAGGCCGTCACCGACTTAAAAATCTTCATTCGCTTCGATATTCGATCGAAGTCCCGCGAAAGTGGCCGGTCAAAATATGCTTCCATTTCGCGTTCTCTCGCTCGCGTCGTCGCTAAAAATGCAAGAGAGCCGCGAAAGCACGAAAGCACAATGGGCGAGGTTACGGTTAACGGCGAGCAAAAATTGCCGCCGATTGTTTTGCAAATTCGTTTCGCGATGAAAGAGAATCGCCGCGGCTGGAGAGAGAAAGAGAGGCGCGAATTTGAAACGCGATATGCCCACCTGATGCTTTTACGGTGACCAATTTTCTCAAATCAGAGTGAAAATCTTGTATATAATTTAAAATAAATTTTTAGTTTCTTTTGAAATGCTAAATAAAAAATAAAGGACAAAATTGAGTTTTGAACAAGTGAATAAATCTAAAGGATGTTTGGAATAAAATACTGTCCTCTAAAATAAAAGATGGTCACCGTACTGATGCTGGGCGAGGAAAGGAATTTATCAATTCAATTAATTTGAGAAGCATTTTTTTTCATCTCAATATATCGAAACAAAGTGATTTCAAACAGTATTGTTTAGATTGTCGATACGGATAGAGGATACGTAGTGTTTTCGATAACAAACTCTGTCAAAAATATACAAGGTATTTTATGAGATATAGAAAAAAATTAATAAATATATTTTGCTCCGCAAAATTTCTGTAATTCGTGGTTTTCCCGATTTATATTAATAATTATTATATTTTTAAATACAACTGCATTTTTCCTGTAAAAATTCTGTGCTTATTTTTTGACAAGTATATTAATGTATATTATCATTATCCTATATGAGACATTTTATATTGTATTTTTTCTGCAAAATTTCTGTAAATTCGCGGTTTTCCCGATTTACATTAATAATTATATATTTAAATATAACTGCATTTTTCCTGTAAAAATTCTGCTTATTTTTTGACAAGTATTAATATATATTATCCTACATGAGACATTTTATATTGTATTTTTCTGCAAAATTTCCGTAAATTCGCGATTTTCCCGATTTACATTAATAATTATATCTTTAAATATAACTGCATTTTTCCTGTAAAAATTCTGCTTATTTTTTGACAAGTATATTAATGTATATTATCATTATCCTATATGAGACATTTTATATTGTATTTTTTCTGCAAAATTTCCGTAAATTCGCGGTTTTCCCGATTTATATTAATAATTATATCTTTAAATAAACCGCATTTTTCCTGTAAAAATTCAGCTTATTTCTTGACAAGTATTAATATATATTATCCTATATGAGACATTTTATATTGTATTTTTTCTGCAAAATTTCCGTAAATTCGCGGTTTTCCCGATTTATATTATTAATTACAATTATTATATTTCGAAATACAACTGCATTTTTTCCCGCAAAAATTCTGCTTAATTTTTGGCGGTCTATATTCTCCCATATAAGACACCTGGTATACTTGGACCCAAAGCAGAAAGAGATGTGGTTTCCGCTTTTTTTTAGCTTGCAAGCAAAAAATGCTCGCGAGGAGGCTGGAACGTTCGTTCCGTCATCCTTTCATCCTTCGCTCTCGCTCTTTGTCTCGCAGGAATAATCGAGGGATACGAAAGGCGAGAATCGAATACGGCGAAGAAGGAGCAGAAAGAAATGTGAATTTCGGTCGTGAATCGTAGAAACGCCGCTCTTCCTGCGGTGTGGGCATCTGGCATGGAAGAGGCTAAAGGGACAAGGCGAGAGGGGTTTCCCGGAAGGTTCTCACGGTCAATAGCTTTCCCGGCGATATGCGGCTGGAAAGTGCTCGAGGGGTTGCCCTTCCACCTCTCCCCCTCCCCCTCGTCACCCTTCGCGTACCCTTCTCTTCCGTCCTTGCCTGCAGGCTGCATTTTGTGCTCTCTCTCGCGCGCTCGAATTTTCAAAAATTATATTATTTCTACATTTTTGTCAAATTTATTCATTTTTTTTTGGGAGGGAAAATTCAAATGTACATATGTACAAGTATTTAATTACCAAATATTTAATTCCAAAATATTTGACAATTAAATAGTTCATAAATGCGCATATTGGAATTGTTCCGCGGAAAGATAAAAATAAATTTGACAAAAATCTATCGCGGAGGATGAATGATGAAAAAATGAAGGGGTGGAATTTTGACGGATGCGACGACGTTATTTCGAGACGGCCAATTAACGCTCGCGATCCGCGCAAAATTACTATTCGTGGCTATCAATGGAAATCGATACCGCCGTTGGCGGTTTCGGCGACGACGACGACGACGACCACCGTCGCCGCCAGCTCCAGATAATTACGCGGGAAATGTCGCGAAGAGAGGGAGGCGCGAGATAGAAGGAGAGAGAGAGAGAAAAACGAAATCGAAACGGAAATTGGAAAATGGCGCGCGGACGGATATTTCGACAATTTGCGGTTTCCGTTTCGCGGGCAAAAATTCCCTTCCCCTACAAAGATGGCGGGAAAAAAAAGAATCGAATAAACAAACATTTTCCTCTATTTGAAGGAATTCGCGAAAGCTCTCTCTCTTTATTCCTCCTCGGTCTATCTACTACCTACGCCACCTTCTCCCACCTTCCGGAAGGGAGGGGATTTGCGTATTAACTCGTATCTTTCATTGTCTGCAGAGCTTATTGGATCTATCCATTTACTTTATTCGCCGGACGCTTAAGGGAACTCGTCTCGCGACGAGAAGCGCATAACGCTTTCTTTCTCTCTCATACATATTCACGTAGAAATACACGCGACATGTACGCGCGCACACATACTCGCGCACGCTTTTTTGTTTACATATATTCCTGCAGCGACGTTCCTGAATACATCGCATTGTTTTCGTAGAGTATTTTTGGAGATTCTTCCCAGAGAGCGTCCAAGAAATGATTCTCCCTCTCCGTTCCTTTGTATTGCTCCGCTTCCCGCCGAAATTCTCGGAGCATTTCCGAACATTCCCGCGGCCGCTCGCTCGATTTGACAGGCGAGACTGGACGGTCTACCTCGTCGGCGACGGACGGATTCTCGTCGAGGAGGAGGTAGTGAGAGGATAATCGGCGGGCGCCGTCGCGAATCGACCGAAAATACCGGCGACAGCGGGAGGAGAAGTCGAGGTGACATCAACAGAAATGCGACCGGTATTTCGCGAGGAAATAAACAAAGGAGCACTCGCGAACACCGTTCTTGACGGACGAAGAGAGAGAGAATGAGAGAGAGAGAGAGAAAGAGAGCGCGCGCGCCGGTCGGAAGAGCCCGCGAGACGAGACGAGACGAGACGAGGGCCGATGTGATACGTTTTTAGCGGGCAGACAATTGAATAAGAGATCCGTAATAGATATATATAATGGCGCCAGTGCTTACCGTATTTAGATAACCGCACTTCCGACGATCTTCCCGGTATCACAATGGCCGTTCGTGCCGTCCGGCACTTTCACACATATATTTACTCGCGAGTAGCACGATTTTCGGCGCAGCGACCATGTATAAACGTACACCGACATGGGTCCCCCTTGACGGAACTGAAGGCAACGTTGGCTTGACACGAGCAGGCCTGTGAACAAAGACCACGAGATTTCAAATCCCCGCGCGCCGATTGGCCGCGCCGGGTCACGTGGTCGCGCCGCGCGCCCGCCTATTGGCCGGCCGCCACGGGGATGCGAGGACGTTTTGAACGATGCGCCGCAATGCACATGGCTGACGTATCAGGCGGATTTTCGCGGGGCCGAGGTTCACCGAGGGCCGCCCGTCACGTCCGAGGAATCTCACACGAGTGACGATGACAGGCGCGGCCCGATGATCGATGACGCGACGATTTTCGCGATGGAACCGACAGATTTAGCCGTCCCCCGTCGAGACGAGATGTACACGATCGAGATACGAGAGAACGCACAAGGTGTTCCCTAACCTTCCCCACAGAGAAAATGGCCGAACCCAAACAACACTGCGCGCGCGGAAAGTCACTCGTCGCGACGACACGTCATTACTACGCGAGATCCGTGCGTTCCCGCGGATTCGCTTAATTTTTCTCGCACCCGGAGGACACCGTCGTCGAGGCGTCCGCGAACGTCGACGCGAACCCGACTAATAATCGCCGTTCCGTGATTGAATACGATGGGCGAGTCCATCGCGGCCACTACGAGGGGTGTCAGGCGGCTCCCCGTTAAGAATGAAGCACTACGCAATAATGGCGGGAAGATACGTATATACGTAGCACATGGCGATTTATTGACTTTGACTAGGCAAATATACGTCGCACTCTCTCGGGCTTCTCCTCTTCGATCCTCGTGGCGAATTTTGCATTTTTTTTTCTTTCTCTCTCCTGTCACAGTTTTATTTTTCTTTCGATATATAAATCGTTCACTATATAGGACTTTTACCTCCGAAATCGATAGACGGTCCCTCTCTCTCTCTTTCAATGCGAATTATCTCTCCGAGTGTATTTTCTTCAGATTTTTTATTTTATAATATTCCTCTTACCGTTGTTATTTACATTTCTCTCTGCAAACTTGCTTAAAATACGTATTATAACACATTTGTCGATCGTATCTCAGTCTATTCCATTGCTCAGTTATTTCAATGTACAATATATATTAATATTTTTGTTTTCCTCCTGTTTCTCTCATAAGAATATATATATATATATATCTATATATATTTATATATATGTATATATATATATATACTTATGTTCAGTCTTATAAAATATACGTTCTAAGATAAAACATCTATATATATACTTTATAGCTTTAATTCTTAATTCTCTAGTAATTCTTTTGAGCAATATGCACTTTGGTCCCACAGGAAACTGTATATTTATAGCACCGTTGTTTTCCATTTCAATCTTCATATAGGCAAATAAAACTTGTGTGTTTGATCTTCTTATTCGATGATTATCTGGCCATCCAATTTTCTATTAGTATCTTGATACTGTATAATTGTTTGTAGTCTTGATATTGTTACTTTTTATTTATCTTCATCAGTCATATTTGGTATCTCTTTGTATCTTGTTAATCTTTAATTCTTATTCCTTTGTCTCTTCATCGATTTACATTATTCTTCTTTCCTCATATCATATTTCGCTTGTGTATTCAACTTCTCAAGACAAATATATTCAACAATCATAAACTTTCAAAGTTGAATAACATTAGTATATATAAATCCAATATAAAATATATCTATATATGTATATATATTGACTTGGTATATTATTGCACGTATAATATTGCGAGTTCTCAAGCTCTCAAAACCACTGGTATATTATCTATCTCTACTATCATTGGATGAATTGCAGAGTGAGCTATCTCTAGCTCTAAATATTCAATTATGGCATCCTTTAGACTTTCATGATATAATATATGGCATGTTGGTTTAAGCATTCGCAACAGCCGGTATTATTTTGGTATATATTTCTACTCCTTTCAAAAATATGTCTTTGTTCAAATATTCATCGTGATTGTGAAGAAGTATCTTTGTCTTGTTCATCGGTGAGAAACAGATTGCAGGAATTCCCACCTGAAAAATAAAAATATGTAAAGTTATATTTTATAATAAATCATAGCATATCCTCGACAATTTGTATATATAAAAAAATATTACACTTAATACAAAACTGATACTCAATTTATTAACTCAAGTTATTAATTCTATATTTAGCCAAAAGTATATAAATCTAAAATAAATCTGAATAAATCTCTAACATAGCTTAAAGCAAAAAAACAATGATGAGACAAACAGGAACAACTTTTACAAATATGCGATACAAGATATTTCGCATTTAAATTGTCAAAGTAATGCCATAACAACAAATAGCACATTGCATCTTCTATATATATTTAAAAATAAAAATTATCAAGTTTTAAAATGAAGGAACAGTTTGATATGCTCACCTCGCGCACAAAACGACTATCTGTGCCTCCAGGGAAGATACCAATTTCCAACTCGACACCTATTTCGTCGCAGCATTTTTTAAAAGCGAGCCAGAAAGGATTAGAATCATCAAGCTTCGTATTCTCGACTTTGGGATTTTTCTCCTCGAAGGAATAAGTCACGTCTGGACCGGCTTCCTCACACCAGCGTTTAATGGTAGCTTCAAATTCTTCGTGATCGACACTGGGCGTTATACGAATATCGAATGTAGTGTAGAGCTCAGCAGGTATAACATTAGTCTGTACTCCACCCTGCAAAGACAGATTTAACAAGTTAGACTTGAATAGAAAAGGAAATATAGAATTTAATAAAACTGTTAACAAAAATTTAAAGTTCCAAACTAATTATATAAAATACAAAATGTAATAAAAACTATTGCATGTGAAATTTCTCATAATTGTGAGACGTAAGCAAATCGATCAACCATATTCAAGCATTCTTACTATATTCTAAATATGTATGTGATTATAATTAATCAATTTTAATCAATTACAATTAAGATTTTTTTATGTGTAATAAATTTGGTAAAGCAAAAAAATACATTAACATACATATGATAATAATATACATATCATAATGTATATTACATTATGTGTATTATTATCATATCTACATTATTAATCAATTTGTTTAAAATTTGTCCTACAATTATACAATTTTTTATATACAATAGACTTGCCAAAGCAGAAATATATTAATATACATATGATAACATTAATTATAACATTACGATATGTATATCATATGTATCTTAATATGTTGAATGTAAACGCGTCGATGTATTATTAGAAGAACACATTAAAATACTCACTGTAGAATATGAAAATCCCAATGGATCAGGCATGTAAAGTGAAAAACTATCATGTAACAGCTTGAACACTAAATCTAATTTATCTCTTTGAGAGAACACGGATTTTCTCATTAATAATATAAATTCAACATAGAGTTATACTCTTGATATTTTTGCACGTATAGCAAAATAAAATTGAATGAAGGAAAATACATAATTTGTGATTTCATTTTAAAAGTAACAAATCGATGCTTTTATATATGTTGGAAAAACTTTTGTACAAACTTTTTAAAAACGCTTTACGTGTATAGATACCTACCGAAATTTTCGTAAGATTCACAGACGTCACGTCGCCAAGTTGTTTCTTGGAATTCTTCAGTTTCGCTTTCTCGGCGTCTCTGAATTCCATGAAACGGTTGATTACGACTCTCAATTTCTCAGCGGCTGTATTGTCCAACATAATAGAGCCGTGGCCAGTATTACCGGCGCATTTTATATCCACGTGCCAGATCGATCTCTCTCCGTAGAACATGTAGAAGTGTTTCTCCGGACAGGCCACACCCTCGTCCAAGGAGAAGCCAACGTTCAAAGCTTTGAAGTCTGCTGTGTGCACGAAATCTTTCATCCCGAGAACACCGCCAATTTCTTCATCCGGCACAAAAGAGATGTGAATGGTGCGTTGATAGCGTTGCCGATTCAGCTTCAGTCTACGAATCGCTTCCAAATATTGTATCCCAACGCATTTCATGTCCTGGCTACCACGAGCATAAATGTTGCCCTGCTCGTCCATGTGAGCGCTGAATGGTGGATAGGTCCATTTGTCCTACAAATATAGTATTTCGTTAAACATATGTATAAATTGTTGAGGATATGCGATGCTTTTGTAATGAAATATAACTTTACATATTTTTATTTTTCATATGGGAACTCCTTCTCGTGAAGTGATACTTACCTCGAAAACGGGTACAACGTCCATGTGACTATTCAAGAGAATCGCCGGCTTCTCCGGTTGCGTTCCTGTCCATGTGAGAACTACGATCGGTTTTTCAGGATGTACATGGTAGATTCTGATCGGCAAGTCGAGCGATTGCGCTTGTTCTTTAAAAATTCCACGCACGCATCTGAAATGATGGATACATAATAGAAAATAGTACTATGCATATTTAGAGTCTTCAGAATTCAAACAGAAAATTGTCTAAGTAATATTAGATAATTCTATATACATATATTTAGATTCTAACGAGCAGTCTCATACATATATTCAATCTGAATACATATATTCAGACTCTATCTAAGCATTTAGATTAGTATTTAAACTTGAAATGTCATTGTGCGAATGAAATGCAATGTTATGTTATCTTCAATTATTTTTAGCAAATGAGCAAATAACTAATACATTGTTTTTTGCATATATGTGCACGTACATATTGAAGCATTTGAATGATAAAGTAGTGATTCAAAAAATTACATATTTTCCAAGTTGTGGAAAAATTGAAGCTTATTAATAAGTTTTATTTATGTTGCATATTGTGTGTCTGCCCTCTAAATATTCAAATCTATTGTCATGCCATACAAATCTCAATTTCATAAAACTCTTAAAACTAATTACAAGTGTTTAATGAACATTGAAAAACTTTAACAATAAGATAAAATATATACATTGAATCAATTCAATCAATTTAATAGTGTTATTAATTTCTTTGACATAGTTCATCAGCATAAAAGAGTTTGCCGAGATATTTTTTTTTAGAATTTATTTCTAAAAAGCGGTTTTTGATTACTTCATCAAAGATTAACAAACGTAAGTACTTGGTGTCGTAATAACCCATATTGTGACAGCTAAATGCCCTGAAAATATTGGCTTGGCAATCATTTGATAATCCCGATAAGAAATTACAAAAGTACTTGAAGCAAGTGAGCAGAATTAGGCTTGATTGTCAATTGCGGAGTCCCTTATCTATTTTATCAGAGATAGAAGAGATGATAGAGATCAATTAAACTGTTATCAGGAACCAGCATATTTTCCTAGCGCAACGGGAGCTCGTAATAAATCATCCGCGAGCGACAAGATGATGACGAGAAATTCTCTTGGACCAGTTACGTAATAATCAACTCGCTAGACGATAAAGCGTCTCACCGGGGGTTGATTTTCGGACGAAAGTCCGGCTTCTCTCGAAAACTAACGCGAGACGAAATCTCTCGCGTATCCGGGAGGCGGCGTCCTTGATCTAGGTCACGCCGTCTCGCACCTGCAATCGGCGTCCTCGTCCTCGGGGAAGCGGGGCGCCCGGGCGGCCGTTCCCGGGGACGTCGCAGACGTCGGTGCGTAGGCCCGCGACCGGACGAAAAGCGACACAAAAATAGAAATAACGTCGCGCAGCGCAGGGTGGGGCATGCAATGGCTGGATAGCGTCACCGACGCTATCTCTCCATTCCTCGCGAGCGTCATCTCCACGCGTCCTCGCGTCACGTCGCGCCTCGCGATCCCGACGTCGGTCCCCCGGGTCGCTCGGAACGAGCGTTGACGGTGCGCGCAATTTACTTAACGAGGAAACGCGTCGTTGAGCGCGTTCTCGCGACCCCGTTCACGCGGCCGGCGTGGGTCTCCCCCTTTCTCCCTCCCCTTGCACGGGATATGTATCCTTTTTTTCCGGACGCGGTGGGTAACGTGGGCTTTCTCCCGCTTCCGCTTTTCCCCAATTTTCTCCAGGACACGCGCTTCCAGGCGATGCTCTTAGAGACGCGTGCGAAATTTCTCTCTCCTTTTCCATCTCATTTCAGGGTCGCACGTTCGCGGAAAAATGTCTCGAGATGAAAAATAAAATTCGCAAATTTCGCTCACCGTAATTAATGTCCGGCTGCACGGACGGAATTCGCAGGTACTCGCGAAAGTTCTCCACAGCTGTTTCGTCCAGTTCGGCCTGGGACGGCGACATCGCGTCCGGAGGATCCGTCGTCTTTCTCCTCTCTCTTTCTCGCGATGCTCTTCACCCTCCGGTGTTCTACCCTGGTCCTGTACCTGCCCGATTAGCTCGCGCGTCCGGACGCTCCGCCGTCGAGTCCGATTGTCACGCAGCAGAGCAGAAGACGCTGCGTCTCGCCGCTTGAGATCCGGAGTGCCGCTACGGCCGGAATGTCGCGCGGCCCGCACGAACGCCGCGGCTCGGCTCGCCCAATCGCCGCCGGCCGCCGGCGCTGACGTCACGCCCGCGCGAGCCAATCGCGCGCCGCGGCCTGGAACGGGGTTCTCACGCGACGCCTCCGTACACTGGCGCGCTTTGAAAACTGCGGCGCATGGCAACGCGACGCTACACGCGGAAAATCACCGATGACTGATGATCCTATATTGGCCTCTCGCAGCTTCCACGTTGAATGAAATGCCAGAGTTCATCCTTCTTTATTTTTCTATAAAAAAAAAAAAAGATAAAATAAAATTGAACAGAAATGCTAAAAACTTTAATCAAACTTTAATCATGTTTTTGTTTAAAAAATGTTTTTATATGTCAAAATTGTATGACGTGATTTAAACAAGAGTTTCGAATTTTCTCCTTCCATTTCTATAAAGTACTATATGTTATCTCTGTCGATGATAAATAATTCAACGCTGGTGAATTCTGATAACGCAATATATCAAATACATAAACGTGTTACAAAAGTAAGAAAATAAAGTGGCACGATAACGAAACAAAGTGCAATTTCAGCTTTGTTCAATAAATATTTATTGCAGAAGAAACGAAAAATGAATAGATAAGTTTTTATCTGTAACAACGAGATAATAATATGCAATGAATTATGTCCCGGACTTAATATAGCGCATCCTGTTACTAGGCAATTATTTTTGATTATTCGGTCTTGATAATAACTGAAAAGCTTTTTTTCGTATTTTAACGATGAGTAAGATGTATAATTTTTTCTCGTGTTCAATTAAAAAACAACGCTCTTAAAAGTTACAGGGTGAAGCGAGGAACGCACACGATGAGTAACAGTGTTAATTCGTAAAATGTATTCCGATTTATTAAATTTCACGTATGCCTAAATATGAGCTCTTTACACGTTATAATAATATATATCGTGTAGAGTTTGATATCGAAGAACTTGTTATACATTTTTATTATAATCGGTAGTATGTGGATTAAATTATCGTACAGTGTAATAGGTAATAATGTAACATGGCTATAACTAGGCACATATACATGTAACAGTGAATCGCAAATAAAAAAATTATGTTCTCAGCCTATTTTATAAAGTTGAATATAATAATATATAATATTAATATAATATATAATATAATAATATATATATTATAACTGCTATGCTCTCTGTGTGTATTCTCTTATTTACAACATTGAAACGATTATCTCTAACGAGTTGCTTTATACTATCAGATACCTTTAATAACAAAGTCGCTTGTTTTTGCCTGCTCTCTTTATCAGAATGTCATTATACAGATATATATATATATATATATATATATATATATATATGTGTGTGTGTACAGTATACACTATATATGTAGGAGAATTGTACAACGGACAATAAACGTACGGATTTAGCTGCAAAGCACTCGTTATCCTTGCATCTTCCGGAAATTAATTCACGAAAGATTAAGGAGGCTAGAGAAAGATTAATACAGATAATATTTATAGTATATAATTATATAACATACTATATTTATAAGTATATACATACTAGTATAATATACTAGGTATAATATGAAGTATATACATACTATATAATATAGTATATGTATACATACGTGTATTTTATGTATATATGTATGTTATATATATATACTTAAAATTATGTTACAAAAATATTTACATGTTCTCATTGTGTACTCGCGGATGGCGAACATGAGCTGTACACTGTTCTCCAATCTTTCTTCTCTCTGTATCTGATGTTACGTCATCCGCGGCAACTTATAACTTATATTAGTACACACACGTTTCTTTTTTCTTTTATTATTACAAAATATCCGCTAAAGTACAAAGTAAACACTAAATGCCAAAAATATGTTTGTTTACATTTTGAAATCGCGACCAAACGCAAATGGCTCTTTCTTTTTCTCTTCTCTATTTTTTTTGCTTCGATCCGTAGAAAAAGATCGTATATATGCGCGCTCAGAAGATTTCCATTGAAATACTTTCGCAGAGAATACATAAATACATATTATAACTTAATTTCTTGTCCCTTCTCTCCCTCCCAACCCTTACTTCTTAATCACAGATCTCTGAAACTTTGATATATTTGCTTAAGAACCGATGATTGAATCGCGCGATTGTTTCTCTTTTCACCTTCGGAAAATTTCACGTTATATTCTCTTGTTCTGCATTTTCGTTCAGGTGGAATCTTGGTCGCGAATCACGGATGCGATCCACCAGGTCGAAAAATACGCCAGATGTTTTCTCGCTTTTCTTCTTTACATATAAATATAGTAATATCACACCTCTAGCTTCTCTCCTTCTACTTTAGTTTTTACAGGAACTGCTAGTCGACAATGTTTCATCAAAAAGTCAAATTGGAATCGAAAACTTTTCCAAGTTTTCACAGATTTATGGCATTTACATACGCGGATCGCAACCATGGTTACATATTCGCGACCGAGGAACCCGTGTAAATTAAAATTGAGAAAATTTCAAGATGTTAAAAAAATAAAAATAACGCGACTATATTGTTTTTTTTTAAATAAATTAAGATACATATTTATACTTTTCTCCGCTCGAGACGGTCGCTAACTATAAATTCACGGTGTCTCTTTTTTTACTCTCTCTTTGAATCGATTCTTAATTAGTCGCTTGATGCGAGGTACCTTTAGCACCTGTCTAATGTACGCGGCTATCATTTTTACGAGAGTCTCTCTAAGATTGTACCACCTCTTATATTGTACTATAATTAGTTTGCGAGCGACGCGTGTTCACAACGTTTCTATAATGCTGCGGAAAGTGAATAATTATGACGACTTGTTATAAGTGCAGCGAAGAATCTTAAATATATCGCAGGTAGTATCTCTAGCGAGAAGTATATTCGCGTCGTTGTTTTCCTTTTATAATAGTAATAGTATTCACGATCGCTCTCGCTGTCTGTGATCGAAAATACACAATGAACAATACGTTAATATCATACAAACAAAGGAAAATTAACTTATTGATTTAAAGAAATGCAAAACTTGGCCTCTCCTTGCCTCTAACAAGTATTAATATATTATAAACATATTAATATGCATTTATAATAATCACGCACCGGTCAAAGTCCGAAACTTCTTTTTTTATATATGTATGTTTTTTATATATACACATACATACATACATACATATATATATATGTATATAATAATAATTTTTTAATTACACATATAAAGTACAATATATATATATATATATATATATATATATATATATATATATATATATATATATATATTTTTAATTACACACGTGTACACCGGGTTGATATTGGAACTAGAAGATTGCTAAAATGTAGCTTTTCAAGTTCAAAATTATCATGCCATCATGTCATCATGATTACGTCGAATTACAAATCTTAATGATATCGCGTAAAGTCAATATGCCACCATTTTTTACGCAAAAAAGAAAGAACGCACTAACAATAGTGTTTTCCTTTTGTTTCGTGAACTAAATAAGAAGCATTTTTCTTGTTACAAAATAGCCTAATTTTCTTTCTCTCTCTGCATTTAATTTGTCGCAATTTATCTCTACATATTTTTTTACCGCTTAGTAAGTTTTGTACTTGAATGAATGTTGAATGCGAGTGAAAAGTTTCGGAAGTTTGACTTAGAAAAAAAAAAGAAACAAATCCACATAAATAAAACATCGTTGAATTTATTTCGCTTTTTTCGTATAACTAAAAATATATTTCGTGTCATTTAAAGCATATGAAAACAAAACACACAATTACATTGTACAATTTATCGTATAATACATTTCCATCCTACATCCCCTTAGCAGCATTAATATCGGTCCCGATTCAAAGATAAATAACATATTTAAATAAAATATTAACGTTAAAAAGAAAGAAACATTGCTTGTGTGTCGATAACGCGTCACTCTGCGAATATGAAAAATAAACGAAATATAGAAGCGACTAAAAAATTTTCAAAATAGAACTAAAGCTTAAATTTAATTTACTCTTTATATTATATAAATAATCTATATCATTTTTATAGTGAAATATAAAATATAAAGAATTCCACGGCCCTTTATGCCTTTCCTATCTCAAAAAACATAGAACATAGTATTATCTCGCTTATTTATTAGAATATAATTTGTGTTGAGATTAGAGAATTGCTATTCTACAGACTAGTCTATATAATTCTAGCTTCGTTAAATATATATATATATATATATATAACTTCGTATATAGTTAATATTATGCAAATTTTATATATATATATACACAGAGACAAGTTGAATGATGCAGGGTGTGCACAATGTATGTAATGATAACTGTTCTTGAAGAGGATATATCGCGAGAACCGGAAACATCGGTCTCAGCGCGCCACCAACTTTGTTAATCTTATCAAAATTGGGCTACGATGACTATATATAAACATCTTTAGGGCACTGCATTTCGCCGGTATGAAAAGTGCACGTTCGTCGTTTGTCGAATACACACTTTTTGCTGTCAAAGACTTACCGGATACTCTAAACATACTAATTAAAACGCGCGTCGCTATATATATCCTCAAAAATACTCAGCTATCATTTTTTTTAGGCCACCGCGCGAATTTCGTCGCATATTTTGAGAGAAGAACCATCAAATTAACGTCTATTGATGAGACTTTTTATTTAAATATATTATACGCGCGACGATTCTAGAAGCGATCGGCGGCAAAAACCGAACTCCGCGGAGCTTCTTCTCCCTAATTATTTAATGAAAACTGTCGGTAATCTACATCGCGCGCATTCTTACATCTTGCCTCTACCTTCTTCGCACACGCGAAACGAGATACATGTACATATTATTCTTATAGCAAGAGAGAATGTCAACTTTCGGCATCGAGAATATTTAGCTCTTGCCAAATTCAAATACCTTTCCTTGCTAGAGAGGAAAAAATTCTAAAACCGAACGGAACGGTGTGCAAGCGGGTTTGAGCGACCCGAGAGACGTTCCTGATCGAGAACGAGAACAAAAAATAAGATCTAGATTAACATTAAACAATCCTACCCCTTCTTTCTGCCGGTTACGACCTCGGCGGTGCTGGATGAGTGAAAAAGGACTTTTGCGACTGTCCCGCCGGCGCGGCAGGAGGGTACACCTGGTTGCCCGGTGGCGGTGGCGTCGTCGACGAGAACTTGGGCACCGTCGTTCCCGTGGTCGTCGCCGCCGCCGCGGCCGTCGTCGTCGCTGACGCCGCCACCGCTACCGTCGCCGTTGTCGCCGAAGGCTGTGGCACGAATTGCGGCGGTGGATACGGATTGGAACCCGGTGGCGCCTGGGACGACGCCTGCGGGACCAAGAATGGCTGCTGCGCCTGCTTGCCGGTGACAGCTCCGCCCGCTTGCGAAGCTACGACGGTGCCGTAGATCGGCTGTTGAGACGCGGTGGTGGTCTGCGGTACCGCAAAGTTCGAATACTGCACCGACCCGGCCTTGCCCTGGAACTGGGAATAGTGATTGGACGCGGAGCCGGGCGGCGGGATGTACGGCTGAGGCGGCAATTGCTGCAGTCCGGGATATCCTGGCATGCCGGGGACCAGATTCTGAGGTGGAGATTTGCGCGCCTTCAGTATCGCCTCAGCTGTCAAACCTGTAATCCGGAGAAACGATAGTGAGTACAAAAAGACGAGCTGGTTTAAGACATCATTGTCATTGTCTTTCCAAACGTTGCAAAATAGATATTTTATATATTTTTTGAATATTGTTGAATTATAAATTTCAAGTCGGTGCGTACCATGCTTACGAGCTCTCTCCTCTTCATCGTCACTGAGAAACAATCCAAATTCGCGTTTTAATCGCTCGGTAAGATTTTCTCGTTGACGTTCCACCAAAGTCGGTGCCGCGGACCAACCGATTGTACCCTCCTCTCCACCTGATTTGAATGTCATTCTATTTAATCGCATTCAAATCAAAGCAAAATAGCATGAGAGAGTTACACATAAAATACAATATATTATTATTATTATTATTATTATTATTATTATTATTATTATTATTATTATTATTATTATTATTATATTATTATATTATATATTATTATATCATATATTTTTATATAATTGAACGCTGAAAGAAATGTACATCCTTTCTCTCTCTTTATCAATCAACTTGTGAATAAGTTTGTGATTCAATACCTTTCTTTTCATCGTTCTCATTGGTCGCGTTCGGGAAGAGCGTGGTTAACGTGGTAATACCCGGTAGGTCAAGGGCAGCAGATGCTTTGGAACCCTCCTCGTCGGAGCTGAGCGAAGAGGTGCCGCTACTGGTGCTGTCCGATCTACCTCGCGCTCCGCTTTTGTCCACAGTGGAAGTATCGTTGGACGATTCCGGCTCGTTTCCGGCTCCTCCGGACGATTGTTGTTTGCGTTTGCGATATTCCGATATGGACAACTGGAACAGTAGAAGCAGAAACATTTTCCTATAACATTTCAGTCTTCTCTCATCATCAGTTCCCAGTAAACAAAGGAAAATAATGAAGCGAGAGCGAAGAAACTAATATTTATGATAAAAATGGTGATAAAGAAAGAAAGAAACAATGTGGGGTGGGGGGAGGGGGCAGACTACCCTCTTAGCAACATAAAAAATCTTACTACAGTCCTACCGTTCTAACCTTGCGCTTGACGGGAGGAAGAGCGTCAGGTTTAAAGGCTGGCGGCGCGGGCATGTTATTCGGTACGACAGTCCTTGGATCTTTCAATCGTTTGATTTCCTTGGGTTTGGTCTCCTCCTCCTTGGCGGGTACCTCTTCCGGTTTCGGGGGGGCTTCTTGAGTAGTTGTGATCGAGTCTTGTACTGTGTCTAGACTACGTTCGGGGGAGATGTCTGATTTTGGTTGAGCTACTTGCGACGACGCGCTTATCTCGTTATCAATGTCATTTTTTATTACTTCGGACTCGTCCAGCTTCGCTTCCAGGAGCTCGCGCAACGCGGTTGACAGCATCGACTTCTCCTCGCCGTTCGTCGACTCCTCCGCCGTGTCCATGCTTATCGTGGATTCTATGATGGCCGCCTCAAAGTCCATCTTGGGCGTCTTCGGCACGACTGTTGGATCAGCCTTCTTGCGAATGCGCTCGCTCAACGGTGGTATTGAATGAAAGATCTTGGGAGGATTCGAGACGGACTCCGCGTTCGAGGAAGTCGACTCGAAAATCGACTCCTCGGACAACGCGGCAAAGGCGGGCGATTGTTCCGTCTTGGAGGAAACCTCCTTCGAAGCCTCGTCGTTCGTCTCCTCTTTCTTATCCGTTTCTTTCGCGCCATCTTCCGGAACGGGAACTTGCTCCAATTTAATATCGGACTTGACGACGTCCAACTCGTTGAAAGGCTTCTCTTCGTGTTTGATGTCGAACAATTTAAAGGACGATTCGCAGTCTTTGTCGTCGTCTATGTCCTTGTCCTCCGAATCTGAATCCTCCTTCGAGCTTTCCATCAGTCCCTCTATTCCGTCCATGCTCTTGTCCTTCTCCGAACTCGTGTCGATCTTCTCCTGGTAATCATTGCCGTCGTCGCCCGTGATCTTCTTCATCTGCGCCTCGACGTCGAACTCGTCGATGGACGCGTTATCGTCCGACTTATCGACGACGATCTCTTGACACTTCGCGACGACTTCGGACGATTTGTTCTCGCCATCGGATTTCTTATTTTCATTTGCAACGTTCAATGCGATTTCATCGACGCCGCCAAACTCCAGCTGCAGCTCGGCCACTCGTTGCTCCAGAATTTCATCGGATTCCATGGGAGATGGATATTCTTCTATCTCGGTGTGCGATACATTGTGATGAACGATCTCGACTGAGCCCTGACTTTCCTTCTTCAAAAGCTCCTTTTTCAAGTTCAAATCGCTGAACGATACTTCGGTCTCGACGACTTTCTGAATCTTGACAAGTATTTTCGGATCCAACTGACTGTAATTACATTCGGTTTTAATATCCCTCTTCGTCCATTCTGGAAAAACTTTTTCTTCCTTTATCGCAACACTCTCCGTATTCATTTCCGTTTTAACAATATCCGCGCATTCCGGTTTTTCTTCACGCTTTATGTAGAAATCCGATTGAGGAAAAGTCTCGATCGAGAGTTTCTTCCCAACGACCGACTCGTCGGGATCAACCGGTCTGCCGTCAGCACCAATCTCTTCTTTCACAGACGATTCCGACTCGTAATGTCCCTCGTCGTTCTGCTCCGCGAAAGGCGACTGCGCGCGTTCCACGTAGTCATCCTGGAAAACCAGTAAAGTATTGACACTATTAAAAAATGTCGAATCGTATTACACGATAGACACATCAGAATATTGCAACTGATTCAAACTGATGAAATACTTTTTAGAGACTTACCTCGGTAGGACACAGCGATCTGCTGTTGGACGCTGCCTCGGTAGGTAACAACATAGTCGGCGTCGTCGGCGGAGTATAATTTTCCGACGACAGACTCTCCCGGGCTATCCTTCGCTTCTTGGGTGGTGCCACGGTTTCGCTGAGCGATGGCGGGCTCTCGGGCCGGCTGTTGGGCGAGTCGCATTCCTCGGAGATGGCTTGACGTAGCCACCGTTTCTTCGCCGAGCCCGTAGAAACAGTGGGGCAACCACCGTTGCCGTTGTTATTATTAATATTATTACTATTACTGTTGCCAGAGGCGGCAGCGCCCTGCTGCTGCTGTCTACGTTGCGGCAGAGATTCGCATAGTCTGCTAACCGAATGGGCGGCTTGTACAAGAGTGGCTAGACTCTTAGCTCCATAACTTTGCGAGAGGTATTCCGCCGTTGGATCCGTCGTCGGCAAAGGTGGGAAGTGTCTGCCGCACAACGGATTCGTGGAATTCGGTAAGGTCGGCGCTGATGGTAGAGCCGGCAGCGGGGATACCTGGGGTACGTTCGCCTGCGGTGGGTCGGGCGACTCCTTCAGCCATTCGTTCATCAGCACCTTCTTCGTCTTCGGGAACTTGAAACCCGGCGCCAACGGACCTACCGCCGCAGCTACCAGTAGACAGGCGGATGACAGCGGTGTGGATGGCGTGGAACTTTGCGAGCTGCTGCTGGCCCCGCTGTCGCAGGTGGGACTCTTGACAGGGGTGGGTTGTTGCAGCGGTGGCGAACTCGGAGGACCCGGGGCGTTGGAATTCGCCAGGGCAAGTAGTAAACCAGCTGCTTGGGGAATTCCACCGTGATGAGCGGATGACGGTCCGATATTGCTTGCACCATCTCCCATCGCGACTGCGTTCTTGGCCGGTGTGTGTAAGTGCGACGAATAAGGAATGTCTCGGCTGGGAGGACAACTCAGCAAAGGCGGCGACTGCATGGAATTGCTTTCGTCACCGGAGGACATGTCGGACTCGGCTGAGTTCAATCTCGTTCTTCGACTATTCTGCGATTGAGATGTGCTCGTCGTCCTCGCCCGACCTTTTCTCCTCTTCCGCCGTAGCGGTCTCTCCGAATTTGTCTGTTTACTCTTGGATGACTGTCCCGTCATCGAATGATCCTCGTTGTCGCTGTGCGTGCCGCTGGATTCCTTTCGTTGCGCGTTTCTCGCTTGCACCTCCTGCTTCCTCTGTTCCGCTTTTTCCATTCTTTCGATGGCTTTCATGATCGCCTCCATCTTCCTCTCCTCCCGCGTCATTTTCTTCTTATCTTTTTTCGTTTCCGGCGTCGTCACAGATTGGCTTAAACTAGGTGACGTTTGAGGCTGCACATTCGTCACAGTCACGGTGGATTCCTCCTTGGAGATTTGACGGGCCGTTGAAACGGTGACGGTCGTGGTGACAGTTTTCCTCGGCGTCGTGACAGTCACCGTCGACGGTGCGGATGACGTCACCGTCGAAGTGACTTGTTGCGCGACGCTCGTAGGAACTGTCGATAGTGACACTGATTCAGCTTCCTCGCAGACGGTGTTCCTGCGACCTCGCCGCCTCCGTTCTCTGCCACTGCACACATACATGACAAAAATACATGACGACAAATGTATAGCACACGTTATTCTTGTCACCTACGTTATTATTTATAAACTTACTCGGCATTTTCGACGAGAGCGCCGTTGCTGCCTCTTCTGTTCAGCTGCTGATTCGCCGCGTTGCTGGCGATCTGACACTCCCGTGGATTGTTACACGCGCATACGAGGGGAAGCGCCGGGGATGAGCCGGGATTGGGCGACAGTAATAGGTCGTGTTGCTCGTGCTTGATTGTTATTTCAGCGTTCTTCTCGATCGCGCAGGTCGTCACGATGTAGAGATGCAGCGTGCCCTTCTCGATGCAATGCTTCACCTCGGCATTCGGCTTGCAGCTGCGCCGCACGAACCTCGCATCGTTCCCGTACGTCCGCGTGTCCACGCATACCTCGGTACCGTCGCGCGGTAAACGATAGAAGAAGACGAACGGTCCTGGTCGCTGGGCGTGCTGCCTACCACCCTGCGGATGCTGCGACCTATGCTGCGTACTGAGCATATACTTGCCGCGTAGCTCCACGACAGGGGTGTTTGGCGGGAGGTACATCGTCGCCACTAGAAACTGCATCAGCCACGAAGATATGTTTTAGTACACATTTCGACATGCGTTTCCATATACAAGGTAAAAATAAATACGCTGTACATGTATTTTTGATCTTATTATAAATTTCAGCAAATGATGAATAATAGTAATGAGTATTACAAGTGAATAATTTTAAAATAAGATCATTTAATGTTTAGAGATATAAAATAAAAGAATTGATTATTTTTCTCCTTTAGTTCAAGAGGTTTCACTTACTCTGAGATTATTACTGTGCACGTTGAGCCTGCATTTACCGGTGGCGATGACATTCATGTTAGTCTGCCTGAGATCGCTGTGCGTGCCGTTGACCTTGATGCTCGATATCCTGGCACGTAATTCGGGACTGTAATGATTCGTGACGGCTTCCTCGTATCTCTCGATCCACTGTCTTAAAGGCGCCATATTACTGCCCCAGGCATCCTGCATGTCTTCTTCCTTATCCTCGAGACTCATTCTCCTCTTGCCTTTGCGTTTCCCGGGTCCTCGCTTCGGTGTGGCGTTTTCCTTCTTGCGAACCGCGCTCGATTGTCGCGCGTTCGAGTCCCTTCGCTGTCGTTTCGCAACGTTGTTATTATTGTTGTTGTTATTATTCAGCCTCCGCACCTGAGCTGGTTGAACGGCCGCATCGGACTTGCCGCGTCGCGGAATTTGCGACGACGGCGGCTGTTGCTGCGGTAACGAGCGCTTCTTCTGGGCCGTGGCGTTCACCGAGCCGACGTCCGTGTCCGCCGAGCTGGTGGACGACGTGTCAGATGACGTGTCCGAATTGAGCAGCTCCTCACGTTTGCGCATCTGCAAAGCCCGGGCTCGTTGTCTATCCACTCGTCGCGGCCGACACCTCTCGCAGAGATATTCGTCAGGAATGTTCGAGCGATCTATACCCATGCAATCGACATGCTGCCACACTCTGTAATATAGCGTAAGCAAGATTAAACAAAGTTCTCGATAAATGATTTCTTCGTCATCTGGAAAATTATAGTTTATAAATTTCCAGATGATTTATTTCGTAATGAATATATCTGTAATAGATGTATAACTAATAATTTTTCTATTTTATATTATTAACCATGTTTAATCTATATTTTATACTACTTGTAAACATGTTGAAAATATGTTAATATAATAATACTTACAAACATCGATCGCAACAAATCATGTATCCATCGTCATGTTCAAAGTCGCTAAAAATTCATATACATAGAATTACATATTTATACATATAATTATAATATTATCATATAATTATATAATACTCATTTATATATCAAAAGATCTAGCCTAGCATAAATATATAATGTTGTTATGATATTTAATTTATATTATTTAAGAAATGATCGTTCTCTTACCAGATGCATCTAGTGACACTATCTTCGTCATCGCCTTCGCCTTCGGGTGCAGTTTCGGTTTCTTCGCCTTCCGGTTCCGCTTCTCGTCCAGGTTCGCTACTGATCGTACTGGCAGCGTCATCCTCCGTATTGGTATTACTCACAACTTAAAAATAAGCAACATTTATTATCATTAATTTCATTATTCACGCATTATTCATTATTCATTATTAATAAGAATATTTGTGAGTCAGCTCTCCTATTTTTTTTTTTTTTTTTTTATTCATTATTATATTCGTGTAAAAAAAATATTGGAAAAAGATATTCCTTTCTGAAAAAAAAAAAAAGAATAATTTTGCAATTAAACACTGTAATGATATGAAAAGGGTATTACCGGGGCCAAAGATGTAAGGATGTTGAGAAGTGGCTGTGGAACTGCCGGCTCCGTTAATGGGTTGCTGCTTCGGATGAGGAGGCGATGACGGAGGTGGTGGAGGAGTTCGCGGTGGTGGCGCTCCGTAATTGTGGTCTTGGAGAACAAACTGAAGACACTGAAATTGGGCATATATGTGTATGAGTTCACAGAAATTCCTAAATCAAGCATTGAATATTATTTGGTATATATATTTGTACCTCATAAGGAAGTGGCATTCTCCTCACTGGCGATTTACGGCCGCTTTGTTCTTCTTCTTTGGAAATTCGTAATTCGGTTTCGTTTCTACAAAAAAGAACATCATTTTATTAACACAATAACAATTAATATCATTTAATGCAAACAACAAAAGGAAAAAAGATAATTAAAACTAGGTTAGTAAATATTAAAACTAGTACTTACTTGGTTTCACTGAGGTCCTTACGAAGTTCGGTCATGGTTGAGGATACTGGCAACAAGGTCTTTATCTGTCCAGTTGTCTGTTGCCTGATCTGCTGAGTATATTGCGGTGTCATAATTAGTTGCTTTTGCTGTATCACTTGTGGTTGAATCCTGATCGGTGAGTTTTTATGCGCAGCCATTACATTAGCCGGTGGGACTGCAGCTGTTTGTTGCAATAAGGTCTTAATACATCCTTTCTGCGCAATCTGTATCGCGGTCGGACCCTGAGTCTTCGTCAACGCTGTAACGTTTGTGTTCAACGAGGTCTTAATACCGCTACCACCAACTTTCTGGGCGTGATTCCTCTGTACGGGTTTCTGCGGCGGAATAGTCTTGATACAGCCGGGTTGTTTCTGCGGAGCGTTCTGTGGATTGATTACGTTCTGTTGTTGTTGTTGTTGTTGTTGCTGCTGCTGCTGCTGTGTCAGAATCTTCATGGCTTGAGAAGGATTATTATTACTTCTCTGTACTACGGGCTGTTGAACGGCATTATTTTGTGAGTTTGCAGTCACCTTAACAGGATTCACTAATTTTTGAGAGACGCCCTTCAGGCTTGTTGTAGACTGCGAAGTTTGTGACGTCTGACCCTTTGATATCCCTACCCTCATCACCATCTGTTGCAGCGGCTGTTGCTGCTGTTGAACCTTTGAATTTATCACAGCATGAGTTCTTTGATTATTCGGAACGGTCGCTATTACTTTTTGATGCATATTAGTAATACTGAGACTTCTTTGAGACTGTAAATTATTTGCATTCGTCGGCTGTTGCGATGACTTTTGCATTGCCGATTGTTGTTGCGAAGTTACAATTTGCTGCTGCGTCGATATAGTCTGCTGCACTTGCGACTGCTTATTACCAAGTACGTTCGAATTTTGCATTTTGGAGATGTTCGGTACGCTGTTGCTCTTGCAGACATTACTCATCGCAGTTGATGCCCGATTGGTGTTTAGCACCGTCTGTGATTTTTGCAACCCGGTCATCGCCGACTGAGATCTCTGATGAGGCGCCTGCACTTGCTGTTGGCTGACTATAGACTGCTGCTGTCCGGATGTTTGAATTTTTTGTATACCACTGGACTTTGGAACGTTGTTTACCTGTTGTGCGGTTAATTGCTGCTGCTGTCTAGCTATCGCCAAGGTTTTCTGAGGCCCCTGTAATTTCTGCAAATTTTGCTGTTGCTGTGTCTTATGATTCGGATGATGACCGCTGGTCAGTAGCTGCGATGAAACCTTCTGACTATTGCAAACAGACTTTTGCGCGTTGATAGGCTGCGCCTTTTGTATCACCGGATTGACCTGCTGAATCTTTTGCGAATTCGCAGTTGCTTGGTTGTTGACTGTCAGCTGATTAATCTGACCGGTTAACATCTGCGACTTTTGTAGGTTTTGCGTCCTCGACAAAGTGTTGTTACGTTGCGCGGTTCCGGCAGCTGACTGGATAGTATTGGTCATGTTCGTTGCGGGTTTTCCCTTCTGCGCGGGCTGGTTGGTCGCTATAACGCTCGGAGGTGCCGTTTTCACCTGTATCCTCTGGAGATTCGTCGCCGCCATCGTAGCGATGGTCTTCACAGCCGCGGCGGTACCTACAATGTGCTGTTGAACGGAAACAGGATGAAATTTGGAATGCAATGCAGCCTGCATATTGCTCGCTCCTAACGGAGCAGCTTGAGTCGGTACAGAAGAGGTGTTGAGAATGGCCAGCGGAACAGGTTGCGCCTGACCAGAGGACGCCGGTAGCTTCTGCGAGATGACGCGCGTCGTCAACACTTGCGTAGTGTTGGTCTGCGAGCCGGCGATCATCTTTTGCACCTGTTCCCGAGCGCCCTTGGCGACCGGATAGGTTACCACAGGCTTTACCGTCGTAAGAGCAGACGCAGTAGCGGCAGTCGCCGCGGATTGCTGATTGGTCGCCGCCTCCAGACACTGCAACAGTTGCGATTTGCCGCCGCAAGCGGCCGCGGCGACGTCGTCGCTGCTCGCGATTACCACAGCGTTCCCCGTCGAGGTGGCATTGGTATCGGTGGCGATCGCCACGGGTTCCTGGGACCGCCAGATCTCCCGGGCAAACAACAACGTCGGCGGTTGCCCCTCGCCGCCCTTCGTCACGTTCTCCACCACCGATGCCGTCGTGGCCTCCACGTCGACATCCAGCTTCAGAACGAAGCTCATGGTGGTTTCTGCGGCCTGCCCGTATTCCTCCTCCATTTCCGCGGAGGACGTAGACTTGGCTGTTCCAATCGCTGCCGGAACGGCAGCTTGCACCGCTTCATCATCGTTGCTCGCCGCCGCCGCGTTCTCGTTGCTCCGATTATCACCGCCGGCCAACGGGGACACCGGGGGAGGTGGGCCAGGCCCTGGGGACACTTGCTCCCCACTGCCAGCTGTTCCACCCCCCGATAACTTGATTACCGATGGGGTCGACGTTTTGATAGCCTTGCGAGAGCACGCTAAGTGGAAACTCGCGAGCGAGTTGCGCGACCGGCCGAGGTACAACTGGCTATCGTCCTCGTCGTCCTCGCACGGCCTTGTCCTTACCAAGTCTAGTTCTCGATTCGGCTATTTGAGGACCGTGGACCATACGCTGTAACAAGAAAAATCAGAATTAGATTATGGAGTCTGCAATCTAACTCTATTGTAAATTTCTTCTTATTATTATTCTTTATTGAAAATCAATATATTAAAACATGTTCCATATCTCTAAAAAAAGGACTCGGATTATTTTTATTTCAGCTGCAAAAAAGCATCTTCAATTTCAATCAAGGACCTAAAAGCATCATCGCGGAAGTCTCCTAGTCGATCATGTCGTCGGCTTCGAGAGGGCTCGATAATAACGCGATACTCTCTTCTAACATCGCCCCTTAATCAAGCCGAGACTCCGGTCCGAGAAAGACGGAAGTGCGGGCGAGAGATCTCCGCGGAATCCGAACAACTTTCTCGACAAGTACGCCACGCACGTTCGCGAGCTGCTGGTTGCCGGTCATTGATCACCATCGCCCGCATCGACTTTCGTGTCTCGTTACCTTCGCGTAATAGACGAGCGTCGGATTTCAGCGATATCGAGCTGGCGCGTTGGATGACGTTGCTTTAATTGAAAATGGAAAAAAAATACACGAACGCCTGAAAAATTCACACGATTAATTCTCTTATTGTTTTTAATCGTGAGATATATTATTATATATTCCTGTTCGACAGGTGTATATTATTTCGCCGCAAGTGTGCTCGAAATACTGTGTATTATTGACCTTGCGATTGATTGATTACTCACAACCTCGCGCCGATATGCAAAAGACGGAAGATGAATGACATACGTTCGCCTTATCGTTTAAGATAATGAATTACGGGAGTTTAGCGGAGCGTGTCGCCTTTAATCACTTAATTATCATACGCATCCGGTTGTGCTCGATGGTGCGATTACTTCGCGACTTGTTCTTTCTTACGTTGGTAAATAAATTGCGTCGTCGAATGTCGCGCTTGACGTTTCGTCGCGAATTGGACCGGAAGTTATTTGCGAGAGGCAGGAAGCGGGGAGCTCGCTCTTTCGTCTCAAAGAAATTCAATATCGGAGGTGTATATATCTACTTCTGGACGATGATCCTTTCGTTCGGTCAAGAGAGAACTGGTTGTCCGAGGTCACGCACGCGCCTGCATTGGTGTTTAATTTTAAACGGGATTGTGAATCATTGCGATATTATTCCAAACGATCCCGAAATCTCTCGTCGGATTCCTCGCGACTTGTCCAAGGGAAATCGCGATCGCTTTCCTGACTAATATATCAATGTTCGTTCGCACATTGTAAGTATTTTTGCGCTCGTCAAATATATAATTAAGTGCGTGTGTAATGAAGAAAATATTGAAGACGCAATAGAGGTCTTCTTCACATCTTCGTGAAAACTTAATTATCAACTGATCTTCGAAATCTTCACGATTTTTTAGTGATGTCTTGAATATTCTTGTTAGGCACAATCGACGACTTGGACAATCAGTTGTCCAGAGGTCGGAAAAAATGAAAATGTTAACCTATCGCTTCATCAAAGGTTAAAAAAAATTGAACCGCGAACGACTGATGCGACGAGATTCATATCGACGCAGATGAACAATCGATATATGCAGTTTCCGGAGTCGTGTCATCTCGAGGGGATCGTGAAACGTCGAGAGGTTGGCTACGGATCTGGAAGTGAGTAAATATCTCGATATAAGCGTGCGTGATTTGCCGTCGACGTTATCGAACGTAAGGCGCGAAGGAAGAAGTTAGAAAGTCTCGTCAAGTATATATGTATGATTTTTGGAACGTCTCGCTGCCGAAGAATTATTATTGCATCGGGTGAACCTCGAGGAGCCGATTTGCGGCGAACCCCTTTTCTCTTTCTCGTGACCGACTTTGAAGAGCATTGTTCGCGCTTACGCGAGAGAGAATCATTCCAAAGAACAAGTCACCAGTGATTAAGTTAAGTCTCAAGTTGCATTTCCTAAAGGTACGAGAGAGAGAGAGAGAGAGTCTAATACGAATTTAATACAAATATTAATACTTGATGAAATATTAATATCCACGTAAAATATAAATAAAGTATTGTCACTTTAATATTAAACCCAATAAAATATTAATATCGACTTCGAGCCAGAGTTATAAATACTTTTTACAAAGAGATGATAGTAGGAATAAAAATCATTAATGTTTAAAGATATCTGTTAGATCATGATTAAATATTTTAATACATAGTATATATTTTATAAGTATAGTATTAAAATTAAGAAATTTAAAAAAAGGACATACTTGATCAGCTGATTTATGTCAGAGAAGCTAGTCACGTATACCACAATAAGATATAAAATATGTTCAATTAATTTTATTATGTACAGATTAATATTTTTTATTGTGGTAAATATTAATCAGAGAAATTCATAAAATTCTTCCAATACCTACGATTAACATGATTTTTCATCTTATTTAAGCATAGTATTAAAATTAAGAAATTTCGAAAAAATGAACAGACTCGATCAGCTGATTTATGTCAGAGAAGTTATTCACGTAGCATAAACTGCTGATAAAACAAATCGAAAGGTATAAAAAGGTAACAAAAACTAAAAAATAATAAAAATAAATAAATTAATACAAAACAATAAATTAAAAAAGAAATCAGCCGATTGCATCTATATGTACTGCATACAACTTCGGACAAGTTTTTCTCGGCATATGATTTTCCATAGCGAAGCAACAGTTCTTATCGATACCTAAAATCTTGAGTTCGCGAGGGTGCGAGAATAAGGGGTGCAGAGTATCGATCTCCTGGAAGAGGTCTCGTCGTTGCGCGTCCCTATATCGCATCGCCGCGATTATCCGCTCTCTCGAGCTCTAAAAGCGCGAGTAAGGAGTCATCGATCCCCGGTTTCTGCGCGACGTGTTATCGGTTTGCATCGCGGCAGCCTTCGACGGAGGAATTAACGAGCAGCCTCTGTCTAGTGGCAGCTCCTCGTCGTCGGCTTCGCGTCGTTGTTGTTGGCAGCAGTGGGATCCGCGGCGACCTACTTGGCGTGCCTCGACCCTCCTCTGTCGCGGCATCGATTCGCATACCGAAATTATTCCCCCGATTTTATTGTTCGCGCCCTTCATCACCCCTTCGAATTCCGAGCCCCCGAGTGCTCCGAAAAATGGAGATATCCCTCGCGCATTTTTCAATACTTTGCGGCTCCCCGAAAGATTTCCTCCGACATTTGAAAATAAATCATAATTAATACAAAACAACATGGAAAAAAATCATGGCAATCGTGGGACAATATATGATGTTGGAAGATTTTTAATTAAGTTTTAATTAAGTTTCTCTCTGATTAAAAAATATTTTATCACAATAAAAACTTAATATCTACCACAATATTTTCTCGAGATTCTTTTCATGTATTTTGAGAATTAAAGACGGACCTCTCGGAATTATCGATTGATATCGATTGTGAAAGTCTGAGCGAGAGTCAAGTTTCCTTGCTTGTATACCGAGGACAAGGTTCTAACAAGGTATTGGCAAGCGACAGGCGCATTTCTGCAACGCGTAAATCGCTTTAGGCGCAGCAAAGGAGCGCCTATTACGTATTTATCTGTTGGAAACAATGACCTCATCGTGCGGAGTGTTAACATGAATTATTTACGATCACGTGTGGAAACTTCTTTGTTTCCGAACCACGATGCAACGAATAGCGCATTATATCGATACGCATTAAAAAAAAAAAAAAAAAAAAACTTAAATGAATAATATAACATCTCTTTAATAAAGACGAAGCTGTGGATTTAAATTGGATTTTCAGCTTTTATTTCTTTTTAAGATCCTCCCAGATCCTCGCCGCAGCCAAGTTAGATTGTGACGTCAAAGATGAAAAAGCACACGCCGATGGTTTAGCACATTTTTAAAATACTTCAAAAACTATACTTTTCTTTGACAGTCAATCAATAAACCATGAAAAGGATGGTTTTCGAGGTATTTTAAGAGAGTGCTAAAGCCCCATCTAAAGTATCTTTTCACCTCGAAATGGCATCCAAGAATTTTCAGCGTACGTTTTCTCGCTTCTGACATCACAATTGCAACATATGGTTTCACAATAAATGTATAATAAAAAAATTATATTAATTTGCAATAAAAATTTTCAAGTATAATAAAAAAAAATAAAAAAAAATAAAATGACGTAAAAAGCGATCGCGTTTTACAGAGTCGCGGATTGCGACGACGACGACGACGAGGACGGACGCTTCCGTCGCTGACCCCTTCGCGGCGAGGAGCAAAGGGAGAGATCCACCCTCTCTTTCTCGTCTCTTTGTTCTTCTTCCTCTCGGCCGACGTATACAGGAAAACGATGTTGCTCTCTCGCGCGCGTGCGCGACTCCGCGGTGCGCATTCCGCCGCCGTGTAGCCAACCTGATTATAAGAGAGGCTCCCGCCGATGTAAATGCCGCGCAAACGTCACGGATGCAGGGCCGAAGCGGCCGATTCTCGCATCACCTCGCGATTCCAATTATTCGTGTTTTTACTGCATTTTTAGAAATATATATCTCTATCATTCGGGATAGAAAATCCTTGGAATTTTCGCGGACGCGAATCTGTATATGACACTTTAATAAAATATAAACGAGTAATTAAAATAAGAGTTTAACACGGCTCTGTAATATAAATATAAATTTAAAGTGTAAGAAAAATTAAGAAATTAAGAAAAATTAAATAAATATTTAATATATAAAACGACGTGTCGGATATATCGCAAGGATAAAAGAAGAAGAAGAAGAAGAATGCTCGGTCGCGGATTTCAATCCGTTCCTGTTTGACGCGGTACGATGATGATGTGAGAAAAGAGAGAGAGAAGATGAAAAGGGATGCAGGGGTAAAAGGAGAAACGTTTAATAGCGAATACGTGTAAAATACAATTTAATGATTCCGATATTGCAGTAACCGCGGGCAACGTAAAAACCAAATAGCATTCTCCCACATCGCGAGCTCGTTAAAAATATACTATATACGATGCAGAAAAACTGAATAGAGATGCAACTGCAAAACAGGATATGCAGTTGCGTTTTAGAACGTAGATGTTATCTGAAGTTGTAAACCCGCGTGAATCTTACAATTTCCTCGAAAGAATCTCGAGATAATCTTCGAAATCTCGGTTAAGTACCGTGTAATTAAGTAACATTTAATTAAGACGCTCGTCTTAATACAATTCGTTTAATTCTTCAGATTATCTCTGACATATAAACTTCCTATCACAGAAGTTAATACAAATAATATAATTTTATAATAAAATAAATAGTACATTTATTTTATAATAAAATAAAATAAATAATAATAATAATAATAAATATAATATTAATAAAATTAATAAAATACATAATGCAGCTATACTTCACTCTTCGAAGAATCGAGAAGACCGAAGAAAGGTAAAAGGAAGAACAGAACGTCCGATTTCTCATTCGAGGGGGGAAAAATCGTCGAAAGTTGCTACACGTTTTTTATTTCCCCCACCCCCCCCCTTTTTTTTTTTTTTTTTTTTTTTAACCAACCTTTGTGTGGTTGCCGGAAAATATCGATTGCGTGGATACGCGTCATTTAGATACACTCTCGGCTGTATACACATTCACATGTACACGATGTTAGCGCGCGTATATGTATTCAGCTGTGAGACCTCCCTCCCCCCTCCCCCCTCCCTCACCCCTCCCACCCCCGCGCATCCCTCACAAACGACGCACCTACGACTAGTTCCACACCGTTGAATAAACGTTCCGTTTCTCGGTCGCTCTCACTTCTTCCCTCTCCTCCACCCCCTCCCATCCCCATTTCCTCCCCCTCTCGGTATACAACGGCGTGCAGTGAGCCGTGCACAAAGGCCTGATTGCCGGACACCCGGTGAAATATGCTAGTCCCCGCCAATAACCGGTATCTCTCTCGCGTGCCCTCTCTTCATTTTTGCGCTGTCTTCGCGCTGCGGGTTCATACGAAGAAGAAAGAGGGTTTTAAGGGGAGCAGGATGGAGTTGCTGGAAGTGTGTATCGAGATGTGCGAGAGACGATCCGGCGAAGGATCGAGAGAGATCGTTGATTTTTTTAATTGTCACGATGCGACGAAATTAATCATTAGCGCGTGATTATTTATTGGGAGAAATATTTGTTGAAAAAAATTTGTTCGATCAATTATATCGACCCGATAAATTGGACGATGGTTTTTAACTAATCTCACGGGGTAACGATATGAATTGAGCGACGCAATTGAATTTCGATACGCTTTATTCGATATAAAATTGAATTTAAGTAAATTTGGGCGTTTTTGCGCGGATGTCATTTCTATATATTTCAATATTTTTGCGCTTTTTTTTATTATCATATAGTTGCCTCGATCGAAGATAAGCCGGGAGAATAAGGTAAGGTAAGGTAAGGTAAAGCTAGGGCAACAATACGAGAATGTATCAACGTTATTGCGAGAAAATCTCGTCGATCCACGTCTAAAATCTCGCAGAATACTGCTTAAAATAATTTAAAAAAAAAAATAGATTAAATGTAGTTTGAAGAAGAATTTAAGAGAGTGACATTTCAGGGCAAAAATATAATTGAATATCGGCTGATCAGGGCAAGAGAGAGAGAGAGAGAAATACAGAAGGTATAACGCAATCAGCGTAGTTCGGTACTCTTGAGGTTTACGCGGTGCATTTCGGAATGCAATATAGAGTCGGCTGGGAACCGCGCATAATAGGAGACGCACGCGATAGCAGTGATTGCAGCGGGAATCGAGTGGCACTCGAGAGAGGAGCCGCAAGTAGTTATGCACCGCGAGTCGAGGAGAGTCCAGATATGCCATCCATTCGCCGAGTCTCGCCGTGCATCTCCCTATCGTTTACGTTTACGGGAAATATCCCGTCTCTTCAAACAATAATATTCATTAAATAAATATATATATATATATATATATATAAATAAATATATATATTTAATAATAATACATATATAAATGAATAAATAAATAAATATATATATATATATATATATATTTATATAATAATAAATATATATAATAAATACATATATAAATGAATAAATAAATATATATATAAATAAATGAATAAATAAATATACCTAAATAAATATATATAAATATATAATGAATGAGCAAATATATGTGTGAAGAAAAGAGGGAGGAGTTTTCGGAGCTCCCGCTGGATTGTTTGACAGCGACTGTCAAAGAATTTAATTTTGACATTCACGACGTAATAGAAAGACGAATCGGATTTTTGCGACATTTTTTTGTACTTTTGTGGTCGATATGCGATGGTTTCGCGCTCGTTCGACCAGCTGTTGAAAGATGGCCGCTTTCCTTGCCGCGCATAGACATGACGCAACATATATACGTAGTTCTTTCACTCCTACTTTTTCCTCTAACCTTCCTTTCCTCGTCTAAGAGACAGACTCGTATCTCCGATTCTAGAGTCATCGTTCCTGCTGAGATTTGTAAAAAAACAATTTATAATCCTATCTTATTATGGAGTTCTTTATCAGAGAGTGTGCGACCTTAGAAACCTTTGCTTCTTTCAGTAAAAGTTGCAGCAATAATTTATACGATTTTGACAGAGTCTTTCAAATACTTTTTCTCATATAAAATTACTTTTAAATTTGTTTTTAGGTTTTACGAGAAACGCGAAGCAAAATTTGCAAACAAAATCAAGTTATTCCAACTATTTCGAACTATATCTTTCTTATACAAGGAGAGAATTTTCTCTTAGAATTTACCCTGAAAATCATGATAATTGTGGGACAATATAAGAGTTTCTCTGATTAATATTGATCACAATAAAAATATTAATGAGTACATAGTAAAATTAATGGAACATATGTTATATCTTATATTGTAGTAAATCAAATTTTTACCATATGATTCATGATTTTCAGGGTAAATTCTACGAAAAAATTCTCTCTGTGCATCCTCAATTAATTGCACAAAAAATCATAATATATTTCTAAGATTGAGTGCAATATTAATTATATATTACATCAATAAAAAAAAGACGAATTTAATCATATGTCGAACGTACGACTCAACTCGCGCTTCTACTACTTAAAAAAAATTTAGCATCGTTAAGTCCAGCTGATCATGACACATATTTCAATCGTGTTATGACACTTTTATCAATCCTTTTATTTATATATATTTAAGAAAGGAAAGGCCGTCACATCGTGTGTGGAGCTTTTCTCCAGTCGACCTCGCATTGCGGTTCCGCGGATTAATCAGTTAGGAATGCCAGGCTGACGGCGAGGAAGGACCGAGGGAAAGGAGCGATCGGGTACGAGTAGATCGATATTCGCGAAACTCGATTTATATAAATTCCACAAAATTCATATACATATTATATTTAAATTTTATCTCATTTTTCCTACGCAGAACTCCGAATTGTCTGTAAAATTAGAATAAACAGGAAGTCGCAGGTGCTTAAATGATGTAAAATGACAGAGATTCAGAGAAAGGATGGCATTCTGCTACTCCATTGGAAACCGATGTTTGTTCGATATCGCGCGAGCGAATCGCGGTATTAACGTGGGTGTCCCAGAAGGACGGGAGGGAGGACGCAAAGAGACGACGACCCGGCATTGTGTGAACCTCCGCTATTACATCCAAGGTTACCCCCGACGAGTCGTAAGAGTTCTCCTCTTTCTATTTCTCTCTCTCTCTCTCTCTCTCTCTCTCTCTCTCTCTTTTGCCTCTCGCTCCGTTCTGTCACTTTCCGTGCATCAACCCTGTGTTCCGCTTATCCGTGATACGGGGATCATATTTCAAATACGTCTCGATAACGGGGTGTCGGTGCATCTGGATGACACCGCGTTGATATTTGATCGCCAATCCGGAATTTGTACAAAAATAATCAGCGGAATGTAATACGGAAATAAGCAGACGCGATAAGATAACGATTACGTGTCATCGGAAAAATTAACGCAACCGTGCTTCAAAACACGTGCGCATACATATGTCAAACGTTATATCATTTTAATACCCATATTTCTTCGGCAATCAATTTCCTCATTTCCTTTGACAGATCGTGTAATCGCACATATTCGATTATTTGATAATTAATCAACCTTTTTCAAATTTTATACACAACTCGGTATATTTATATTCTAGCTGGTGTATCTCTATTTTCCAGCTGCAGAGGAGTATGCAAGAGCATAATGCCAACGTTGTCTGATTAATGCGTTGAGGTTATCAGCGCGAGCGGGAAACGAAGCAGGAAATATTTAACGCAGTCGTAAACGAGAAAGCAAACATTTTTTCTTCGACAGAAAGAGAGCGATAAGGAGACGCGAGAATAAAAACAGGAAGGTTCCCCCGGGCGAACTTCCGGCGTGATGAGAGACGCGGCGAAAGAAGATGGACATCTTCTTTTTTTTTTCATTCACGCACGTATCTTGTATTATGCACGCGTGTTGTATTATGCCGCACGTGATCCGTTCAACCGTTAGACACGCGCGACGCAATAAACGTGAGTCCCTCACGTGAGCGCGACAAAGCGTATCAATAAAGATACACCCACGTTCGGACAGTTGCGTGTGGATATATAATTTTTCTTTTCTAATCTAATGGCGACTCGCGCGTACAACGTTGATTAATTCGTCGCGCGCGCCAGCGAATTGTCCTCCACGTTTCCGTTAGGTGTAGTTTAACAGGCGGCTTAATTTATGAGGCAATTACGAATTGAAGTAATTGCGTCGTTCACGACAACTGCGCAAATATAATAGTGCTGCAAATTTTCCAAGAGAAACGCAATCGCACAAGTTAATATCAAAATATAAAAATATAAAGATAATAAAGATTGAGAAACATGTCTTGATCATTATTCCGTACCTTTAAAAAACGTAAAGCTTCAAATCAACTTAATTAACTTTTAATTTGATTTTTTAAATCAATTTTTATTTTAATAAATTATAAAATTATGTAATAAATATTTAATTATTATATCTGAATCAATATCTAATAAATGTGTAATGAAACGTCATATCTAATTAAATTGTAAATTATATACATGTGAGAAAGTTAAAAAATATAATTCTTATCTCGGTTCGTAAAAATGTACGCTATCGTACGGAAGAAAATTAAATGTTTCGGATGACCGACTATACTAATATAAGTTTAAATGCGCCAACATATGGCACATTGCGCATATAAGTCGATATAATAACGCGCGCAGTGTCGTGTCTATATATGTATTATGACTTTATTATTACTTTTCCCGCTTATACATATTTCACCTTTCGCAGTCGAGAAAGATCCGCTTTGTTATACATTGCGTATTCTACAAAGACCGACCCTCGACCGCGAACACCTCGACGGAAATTTAAATAACTGCGCGTGATAAAGGTTAATCGCGACAAGCATTAATGACTCTTTCCGAGCCGAGCGATGTCGAATTTTACGCACGAAATTTCGCGATACGTCAATTATTTTGAGCAACCAACTTCATTTTTTTTTAAATTTAAAATATGATGCACTGTATCATTTCTCCCTTTTTTCTTGCAATTATTTTCACAATATTCGATCAAAATGCATTCAAAAAATGGGTCTGACTAGATGAACGCATAGTATTTTTATCAAAAAATATATGTAGAAATTATATAAAAAATTTAGAGAAATATAGAGAAAAAATGCATGCAAAAATCTAGTTAGAAGGATAAATAATTTCTCACGCAAAATTACTGTTTTGCGTTCGTGACAGGGAAATTAGATGCATTACAGCTGTTATCATCGAAGGGTGAATGCACGAGGGTACAAGCTTACAAGCGTCGTAAACGTTTTTTTTTTTTTTTTTTTCGTTATCGCGGACACACAACGAATAAATGCATTCACATGTAAAGTGTTTATTATCGCAACAAGGCCGTTATGATATCGTCGGTTTTACTGATACGCGAAAATATTGCTTTTATGTTTTGCCGCTCTTTTGTGCGTACAAAATCGACAAACATAATAATAATTCTACAATAATATCCTGCCTGTGCTCTCTCTCTCTGAGAGATGAAACAATTTAACAGATAAATATTAAATCAGATTATTATGGAAAATTAATCGCCTGTCAATATCAATGCGTAACCGCACGCATGACATGTGCGTAATACGTTACGAAAATATGATCGATACGAGAGGGAGATATAAAAGAGGGGAGGCACACGACACCGTGGTTAATTTTGTACAACGCGTGCCGAAGACAATTTTACTATTCGGCGTGATGTCAGAATTGCACGCGCCATTTATACGCGCTGACGTCATCCTGCAGAAACGCATCTAATCCTTGCAGTTGGATGCGCAAATCAATCGCGCGCGATTCGCGACATTCGAATGCGAAAGTACAACATTTATATATATAGTGTTTAAAAAATAGATTAAACGCGCAATTACATGTTTTTTATATTAAAATTCTCGAACTTTGTTTTAATTTCAATCAATTTTAATTGATGTATAATAAAATTATAAATATTTAATAAATATATATATATATATATATATGAAATAATATCTTACATAAATAATTTAATTGTTAATAATATGTGTAAAGTGTAATTAATATATAATTTTATCTACTGCGTTTTTTCCAAACGTTTCTAATTGCATATCTAATTTTGTAATTTCGAAGGGAGATTATATACACTAACAAAACTGAAACATGCAATTGCGCATGAAATAAAAAAGTTAAGAGAGATATAATTATGTATAAGTTTTAAATGTTAATTGTATAAGTTTCGGACTATCAATTTTTGTTAGATAATAGTAAAAATTAAATTACAGTAAATATTACGGCTCCTTAATGAAAAAAGAACGTCGAATATGAACGCTTTAATCATAAATATCGAATGCGCCGATTATGTCAAAATACGATGTATATCCACGGCGATTAAACGTGATCTCTCTAATAAAGCCTACAGAGCCTATGATGTTTCCATAACTCGGATCACTGATAACACATGTTTGTTTGCGCACACGAGACTGATATCACCGAGTTGAATACGATACTACATTCAACCGTGTTTGTTTGAGTCGCGTTTCTCCCTTAATCGAGAGAGAGTTAATTAATCCCCGAATATACAGGTTACGATAACGTTTCGCGCTGATTAAACCTTCTTTAAAATATTTTAAAATCTCTGAAAAAAGACGATGCACTAAAATGTTGATGCAAATATGTTATTGGAGGAATTTTATTAGTTTCTCTGATTAATATCTATTACAATAAAAAATATTAATAGCTACACAATAAGACATAAATTTATTAAATTCGAATAAATATTTATTTAATACTATGTCTAATAAATCATTAATTTGAAACTAATAATACTGATTTGATGTAAAAAATATTTATTTGATATAAGAAAATCCTTTTCAAAAGAGATAAATATTTATCAATTTAATAATTTGTTTTCAATGTATTAATATTTTTTATCGCGGTAAATATTAATCAGAGAAACTCTTTGATTTTCAGGGTAAACTCTAAGACAAAATTCTCTCCGCGTATAGACGTAATATAATTATCGAGCATATATAAGAGCGGAATCGCAATCTATTTAAAAATTATTGGGATTAAGATTCGTGTCAAAGTACCCATATCTCAAATCACCTCGTGTCGCGATTATTATCCGAATAGATTTTCATCTCTTCCGCGACGTCAATCGGCCCCATCTGATAATCTTGAATCAGATTGAGCGCAATTCGCGGACTCCGTTAAATCGTATCTCGTTAAACGGTCGGTAAACGACCCGATATTTTATGTGGGGGGCGGATGATCGGTATATAAGAATCGTCGAGCGATGGAAGAGGGCCTTCGCTCACCTTCGTTCGTTGCCTCTATCGCGTGACGTCGTGATTTCGCACGACATCGTGACCCTACGCGATGACGACGGTCGATGATCCGCGAAAAATTGCAGATTCACCAATCTTCCTACTCAATTATGCGAGCAAACAAGAATTATGCGGGGTAGAATGTAGAGCTCGGATCTGTGCTATGGGAAAAATTCGAGGGAAAGCATCGCGAAGATTTGATTCGAATGTTGGCCATAACTTTCTCCCTCTCTCTCTGTCAATTAAATTTCAAATTACTTGTTCTCGTGTTTCTCTATTGAAAAATAAAATCTCCTGACATTTCTCGCGCCAAATGTCAAGTCTCGATAAGAGACAGTGAATTTATATAAAAAAAAATAAATTTTAAAAATTTTGTTTCAAATTCGAAAGTTTCCATCCGCTCTTGTCGAATTGACGAATAATCGCGGAGATCGGATTAACAGGGGGGCCCAAAGGGGCGCGCGTGATAAAAACAGTGAATTTATATATAAAAAATAATAAAAATTCAAAAAAAATAATTTTGTTTCAAATTTGAAAGTTTCCATTCGCCCTTGTCGAATTGACGAATAATCGCGGGGTTCGGATTAATAAGGGAGACTCGAAGGGGCGAGTGCTGATTGGGATTTGCATGACTCATGAATTATGCACCGGTGCACGATCGGTTTAAAAGTCAATTAGGGATCCATACGGCGTCGGAGTCGTGCGTCGTCGATGATGGACCGAGAGAATGCAGCCTATCGATCGCTTGCCGAAACGGCCCGGGTTAAGGTTAAAGCCGCGTGAGGGAAAACGCGCGATGCCCTTCGCGGCCGCCTCTTCTTCGTCGAGCGCTGCTGCTGACGTATATACGGTCAAAATGATGGAGAGAGAGATCTTGTCGTTTCGCTATTAATAGACTCTCCATTAATCCCTGTTATATTTAACTTTTATACTATATTTGACTGTTATATATAACTCCTTTACATTTGAATTCTGTATATAACTTGATTTTTAATTAAAAAAATGGAAATAAATAATTTAGGAAAATAATAGAAATAAATAATATAGATAATTCTAGCTGTCAAAAGCCAGGATTGTTATGTGTGTGTCGGTGCTTTGATATACAATAATTTAATTCTCGGTCGCGCGAAGACAATAATAGTATTATCTCGCCTAATTGATATATCGATGTTAATAATTATAATAATAATATTACAGTTGTGCTTTCTCTCGGGAACAAATTCGAAGAGTGTGTGTCTCGACTAATCTGACTCTATACAACGTGTGTTTGTGTGTGTTCACTCGCTCAGTGCGACTTCCTTTCCTTCGCGGTCGATACGATTTCACCTCGCAACGAACACCATCGCCGACCCACGCAGAGAGACGATTTTGTCGTCGATACGGAAAATATTTATTTCAATGCCGCGCAATTTTCAGACTAAAAAAACGATACTGATATAACAATTGCGCCATGGCGCAATCGTTATATCGACAAGATGCATCCTGTCCGAACTGATTAGAATCAATTCTAATAAGTAATTATTTTAATTATCTCTGCAATGTAATATGTATATATATAAATTTGCATTAATACATTTTTTATACACACATTGAAATGTATAATATATTTAGCATCATAATATTTTAAAAGAAGCTCTTCTCTCTCTCTTTTTATACACATAATATATATATATATATATATGTATATTTATATAACACAGAGAATTTATTCTTAGAATTTATCTTGAAAATCATGGTAATTGTGGGACAATATGTTATAAGAGTTTCTCTTGTAATTAATAAAAAATATTAATAATCCATCACATTAAGATATAAAAATATTCAATTAATTTTACTATGTATATATTAATATTTTTTAATGTGGTAAATATTAATAAGAAGAATTACCATGATTTTTTTCAGGGTAAATTTTAAGAGAAAATCCTCTCCGCGTATAGCTAAATTTCTCTATAAATTTCATGACGTAAATTGTAGATTTCCATGCGTATAAAATTCATTGAAATGCACAATACATTTCGATTGAAAATATTTCGTTATTCCATCTCCCTGGGCTATTGCACAAAAAAAGCGCTGTAATCGACTGTCTCGGTGTTGGGAAATACAGTTTAAATTTTGCGTTCACGGTGGCTGTTCGCCCGTGAAAGCAGCGCTTTGCCTCGGATAAACCGATCGATAATTGATTTGTGCATGGATGCACAACGCGAGTAATAGCGAGTCGAGCAAATCAATAGCGCATTAATCGAATGCGCTCGAAGCGATAGCGCGAGATCGACCAATTAAGTTACCGATCAAAACTCTCAGCCGCGGAATTTATCCGCCGAATTATGTCAATTATTGCAGATAAGATCGCGGCACGAATTACGTACATTAGGTATTAATCGTCCGTTAAAAAAATAAAAAATAAAAAAAAAACGGGTCGTCATTGTTTCCCGCGAAATTCTTGAATGACAGCGGAACGGATGATCAAGCGCGCCGTTAGAGCGCGGATAGAGACAGTCCGCCGTCTTGTTTAATATTTCACTTCCGGCGTATCGCGGCGGCGGCACCAGGCGTCGAAGGCAGCCCGGCGTGTGCGCGCTGCTTGTCTAAAAATAGGAATATAGATCTGCGCGGATGTAAATCCGGGGTAGGAGTAGATGAAACGAGTGTGGCCAACATTTCGCGGACAAATCTCAAATCGCGGCGGATGAAATGGAGCGAGAGAGGAGAGAAACGTCATTTTAAAGATATATACATGTACATAAATCCTGGAGATGATGCTTGAACTCTTTACCTAATTTCGGACACAGTTTGACAGATCTGTCTATGGATCAAGAGGAGGGAGATAATTAATTATTGTAATTTACGCTTGACAATTTAAAAGGCGGGAAAACAGTATTATTTTTTATCAACTTTAAATATTGTTCAATATTATATAATTTAAATATTATTCATTTTTAATTCAAAATGTATCTGCTGTCTATCTCTCTCTCTCGGAAAACATGTCAGAAAATCCTCCGAGTTTTCTCCGCGCTTGTGTGTATGTATATGACGATGGTTCACGCGTTTCGACTTCCGCCATACTAAACCTCGGCACACGAAGACACCCTAAATATGCCGAATGGGGGAGAGAGGATGCATTTAACGCTAAACGACAAGAAGGAAAATTTACGCGGAGAAAGAGAGAAAGAACGAGCGAGAGGGAAAATAAAAGAGACGAGGAGTCGCGCACTCTTGAAAGGATCCTGTAAAGGTGGATGGTGAGAGGCCATCGCACGCGCGGGGGCGAAAGGGGAGAGGTTGTCCAGCGGGGGGTTGGGGGGAGGGGCAGGTCAAATTGGCAATATGGCCGCCGTAGAGCGAAACGAGCGCCGCCTGGCAACATTTTTCCATTCCCGCCGTGAAATAGTTTTCGATTGTCGTTTCGTTGCCGACTTCTCTAATCGCTTAGGTTAATGTCGGGTAGAAAAATCTCGATGTTCGAGCGAAATTATAATTCACGTCATTCCAATTATAAATACCAACGACTTGACCCTTGACACGAAAGAGAAATAAAATGTCCAAAATTGTCGCCTAAAAAAATTATATCAAAAATGTTCGAATATAATATATAATAAACGTTTTCTAAATATACTTATGTTGTTTTTTAATACCGATTTCGTTAATAAAGTTTGTTTAAGTCTTTTCGAAAATAATCTTTGGACAGATTGTTTGGAGAGGCTTACATATTTAATAGGAAAGAAAAAGGAAAATACTTTTGTATGTACATATTTTAAATCCTGATAAAAATATCTGTCCTTGTAATCGTACAGATTTAAATCTGCATATACTTTTGCAGTAAAACAATTTTATATGCTAATAAACTGTTATCATTCATGTTGCATGTATTATATTTCTTGTGCTCTGTTTCTTACCTTCTTACAGTTACTTAAGGAAAGTAATAAACATATTCCAGAGAGATACAAGCAGATAATTTCCTTTTAATTGAAGATGATTAATTTATACTACTATCTCGAGAAATCTCTATTGGATTTTGAGACAAAAATAAAAGATCAGCGAATCAAAAATCAACTGACATATTAAAGCACAATATTATATAGAAGTTTATATCAAGACAACATGAAAGTCAAGAAATGTTATTCATTTAAGAAAAAAAGTAATAAACCGTTATAAACATTACAAATGTACAAGATTCGAAAATTATTTAGCCTGTGCAGTCAAATATAAGAGAATTTTTCAGTAGCGCGAAAAACAAGAAAAAAATATGGATAATCGCCTCTAAAATTAACTAAATTGCAACACGTGAACGCGACGTGATCGAGGAAAAACGCGATTTCGCGATCGCGAAAGAAACGCGAGGAAACCTCGGTGTTTCGCGACGTGCTTGACCTGCCCTCGCTCACCATCTTACCAGGCATTGTTGCCACCATCCGGGACGAAAATTGCGTATGCACAGAAGTAATTCTCCCGCGGGATGATTTCTCTCGCGATTTTCCTCCGAGGAAGCGACTCGACGACGTCATCCCGATGCTCTCTCTCTCTTTCTTTCTCTCTCTCTCGCGGACGCGAAATCCGCGTCGCACCAACTCGTCGTCCTCGGGCGGACGAAACTTTTTTTTTTGGTTAAGTACGACGGACTCGTTCGCTTCCTCGGGACGAGGATTTCGCGGACACTCACGGGGATGACGGAATACGACGCGATACGCGAAAAAATTCGCGGTCACGAATAACACCAGGGCGAGTGATACCCAGGACGCGACGACCACGGAGACGTCGTCGTCGACGAAGACGATCTCGATCGTCGTTAATGAATATCCGCTCGGTCCCGTTTCCGCGAACGAGTCCTCGCGATCCCGGCCCAGTTGCACTGCCGGACGCCGATGATCCGCGAAAGCGTCGCTTACCTTAATGTGACAGGAACACAGAAGCTCGGTCGCGACTCGGATGTAAACACAGGCATTTTTCGACAAAAATGACACTAAGGCAGTCGAAACAGCGCGTATTCAGATACCGCACGCATCGCGGCCAACGCCGATGCGCTGACCGGGCCGATCTTGCGTTATTAAACACCGCGATAAACACGGGAATCCGGTCTCTTCGCGGAAAACATTAATCGAAAACTAGAGATGGTAGCCATTACTTTTGTGCAAATGTACAAAACAAAGGTTCACATCCACGGACTTGCGACCGACCAAGCCTCGAACCCAGGCCGCTTCCGGCGCTTTCGTCCCGCCGCGGGAGATTCGAATCGAATCCGAGAGGCCGGATATTTCCCACGTCGTCCAGGTCCCTTCGTCACAAATCACAATTCCGCGAATACTCCAGGGTAGTGCGACGTAAACGCAAGATCCGGGATGCACACACGCGCGACGAACGACGAGACGGAACGGAATATTTCGCGTGCGAACGCGAGTAGACGCGAGACGTTGACAGACGCTCAGCTGGCCTAAGCCTACTCGCGGCGACTGACAGATGGCGCGACGCGCGCGCGAGACGCCACTCGACGGCGAGCGCGGCAACTACGATTACCACGCGCCGCCATTGGTCGGCGGCCGGTAATGGGGGGAGGCCGAGCCGAGTCGAGCCGAGAGCGGACTCGGCTGAATTCGGCGCGCGGAACCGAGACAGCGCGACTGCGACTCCGATTGTGACTTCGTTGATCTTAGAAAAAAAAAAAAATAGAATCGCGCTGCTATATCCTCGTTCTACGAAACGTGATTTGTCGCAAAAGAAAAGAAAAAAATACGAAGTGCGTTTTGCATGCGTCGCAATGTTGGCACTATTTGTTGCTTCGACGCGGCGATCGTCGCCGGTCGCTTCTTATTGATTTCCTCGCCCCTCGTACATGTACATCCCCAACACGCGTAAACAATCACAGAGCATCATGTACTGATGCGATTTAACAGGTATCATCGCCGAAGAATTGCCCCTCTTGGCAATTAAAACATGATAGATATCGTTGGAAAGAATTGCGAGATCTTTTGGACGAAAAAAAATTATATTGGTCGAAAGAATAAAATGTCTTTGGTGATAAAGAGAGCACGTGTAAAATGAAATAATAACTAATAACGTCAAGAATCTTCAGAAAAATTAATTAATTCGCGAATGAACGGATATTTTGAGTAATTTTATATATATATATATCTGTGATTCTGTTCAAACGATATATGATATTTTGATGTAGTTGAAGTAATGTTTTGATTATAATACATTCATTACTTATTGCAATTTCAATGAAGAATAATCATTTTATACGTTTGTTCGAATTTAAACAGCTAATAAATATACATTGCCTTTGCTATATGATCAATTTCTTACCTTGTCTAGTATATGAGAAAATTATGAAATTTTATAATTAAAATTTCTTCCTTGTACTTTCTTTTTGTAGAAATGGCAGACGCAGATCCACAATTCAAACGTCTTTTATTGCCAGCAGAGGAAACTCTGTTCGAGCAATTGTTGAGATTTGGCCTTTATGTCGGAGCGGTATTCCAAATTATATGCTTGTTGTCCATAGTGGTATATCAAGCAGGTCCATCCGATGGTGTGGCAGCTTTGAAGGTATCATTTTGTGACTATCTCTAGTTGTAGCAGATGATATAACTTCTTTATGTTCAATGCAATAATTGTAATTGCAGGATGATCCAAGCGATGTAGAATGTTCTGAAAATAGTCCTCAAGTAACACCGAGGAGACCTCACCGGCCACGCAAGCAAGAGAAGAAGAAGAGACGTTAAGCTATTTTCTGTGTAACGATAAAATTTTATATTCTCTAATTTCTCTACTCTTTTACATTTGTATACTTACATTTTATGACTATTTGAAGACTGGTCTTTCGCTCCAAAGAATAATTCCTTCCTTGTTATATATCTGAAATGTATATGTAAGTTAGTTGAAAGAAGACATTTTATAATATAAATCTCTTAAATATATGTTATATATTTTTTATTCCTATTCCTGAAACGATGAAAAGATTAATAAATTTTAAAAACAAAAATTATTCAAGAAAAGTGATTATAAATTATGTACCATCCAAGTAAACAGATTTATAACAATAATAATTATTGTAAGTTTTATATAATAATAATAATATATATATCTATAAAATATATAAAATAATTTTGAAAGTTAAAGTACATATCATATAATTCTCATACATATTCATAAGGCATACATTTTGATAGACATTAGTTTCTAATATCTAATTATTGTTTTACATTTGCAAGAAGTAAGATTAAATAAGGTTTAATATTAAATATATATATATTAATTAAAAGACAATATTTTATAAAAATATAAACCTTTTAAATATATGTTCTTAATCTTACATCCCAAGTATTGAACTATGCCTAATCTTTTTGTTCATAATTATAAATATCTTTCTATTTTTTGAAACAAAAAGAAATAAAAATATTCAAATTCAAGGACAAAATGATATTGCGCACGCGCAGAACGACGCTGTCCCCGATAACCTGCCCTAGCGATAACATAGCGCAAACTAAAGCGGCGCGAGAGTCAATTAGGGTTTTAAGCTAGCGAGCGGAAAAGCCCGGGACTCTCCTTCGAAGTAACAATAATAGAATTTTGATATACGGGAGTCTTTCGTCATAAAATCAGTCTTTGTCTTAAGTTAATATTTTGTTGAGTGACTTTCAAATTCAATTCATCGAACCAGTATTTCGTTTAAGAACTAGGAGAAAAAACGGTATGCGACTAATTAAAGCCTTTCATTAATAATATCCTGAATCCTATTGGTTGAAGTGCGGATACATGAAAATATCTTACACGGTTTTTTTCTTATAAATCAGAAAAGTTTTTTCTTAATTAGAGGAGATTATATTTTGCTACGATATAGAATTAATGTATTTTATAATTCAATTCAATTCTTACGATAGTATCTTGGAAAATTTTTTTCCCCATGAAGAGAAAGAATTCGCGAGGAAGGAGAAAATATTTCGCGAAAGGTAGGCGAGCTGATTATTATTAAGCAATATTCATCTAATCCATCCTGAATCCTGATTGGTTGAATATATATATACCAATAGAAAACATATTATCATTTTTGGCGGCTAGATTTGAGAGTTCTTCATAAATTTCACCAGATTATAATTTTATAAATGCGATGTAACAGATGTCTGGTGACTATGAGAAATCTACATAGAAGAATTAATATATTTTACGATTATAATATTTAATTAACTTAATGGCCGAAAGAAATATTCGCGGCGCCGTCCCAGGTTATACTAAATGCCCAAGATGTTTCCGTACGGGTATTCTAGAGAAAGAGAGTGTATACCGACGGAAAGAAATGACCGTATGAATATTAGTCCTGAAAACCGAAATGTTCAATATTAGATTTTATTTATTATATTCCAATTTCATCAGAGCCAATATATATAATATATACTACAATATATACAGACAAATATACAAAGTATACCAGAGAGCAAACCTAACCTCGATTTTCGAGAGTCCAGCTGCTTCACCAAATAATCAGCCTGGTGGTATGACTTGCATTTATCTCGCGGTGTAATTGTAGCGGAAATGCGAGTTAAAGTTAAGATTAGACAATGTCTCGTGACTAATGCATTATTATTGACGCTGGAAAATGTTCCTGCAAAATACCGTGCGACGCGAATCGCCTAGATATTACTGCAAGGTTGCATCGATTGCACCTTCCCGAATCGGTCAAGGTCTTGTTGGATAGCGCAAATACCAGTCAAGATTTGAAGGCGTACGGCGCTGTTTCTATCTGAGAAACGTGGACCCTTCGGTAAGAGATGCCGTACTCAATATTTTTCCGAGTGCACCGGAGTAGCGCAGCAGTCAGCCAGAAGGAGGCAAGTCAGCAATAAATTTTAAAAATTTATTCCTTTAAATATGCATAGTATGAACAACTTTTTCTATTAATAATATATAATATATATATATACAATATGATTGCAGACTAAATCAAAATAGTACCAATACCTGAAGAGAGCAGATACTAGCATGAGAATCACACTGTTCTGAGTAGTTTCATAAATGGAAATCCAGAAGCGTGGGTTGCACCTACGATATTATCGCTGGTCGTTGGAAATTCATGCGACTTGTTAGGACTTTAGCGCATGTAGCCCGGTTTCGCTAGTAAAAAACGTAGCGTATATGAAAAATTTATTTGCGGCCATTTTGCGTTCTCAAATGTTCGTGTCCTCAATATTTACGGAATCTATCGAATTTACCTGTTGAATACAATGGGATCAATGATGTTCTGACTAGCAATGGAAAAAATGCCGCGCCACGCATTATTGATACACTGTTCTATTTTTGCACAATGCGTTGCAATGCCTTATACTTGGACACAGAATTTTGTCGATCAAGGCAATTTAATTGGAACCAGTGTGCAACACATGACCAATATTTGTTTGGGTATTTGCCTCATGTGGGCGAGCTGTTTTCCAAATACTGTGATCACTAGGGTGCTATCATGTGGAGGCGTTGAAAGATTTTTTACACATACATGGGCTATGACACATAATATGTAAGAATTCTCAACTGTGAATTAAATCATGTGATTGTTGGCATACTGGGAATTTAGAATCCAAAATTAGTTCTGTTGTTGGCATATCACAGATATTAGAGAAGCGCTGCTAAATTTGTTCGAGGCAAGCTTTGTTAAATCATTATATATTGTAGGTTGTTAAAAATTATACACATTAATGTCTTTATAGATTAATATACTTATAATATTTAATACATATATATATATATATATATATATATATATGTATTAAATATTAATAAAATAATTTTTATAGTTGAGTTTAAAGGAAGAAATTAATCTTGATGAAGATACTAAAAAGCAGAAATTGGCCACTGTGCCATTTCTTTTGAATTTAGCCTCGCTGTCGCCAACTCTTTTAAAAGCAATGACCAGCGATATATTACAAATATGTAAGTCTCTAATAGAAATTAAATTTTTTATAAATGTAATTATTATATAATTATTGTAAATTATCAATTGGGTAAATTCTTATTACAGTGAGGCCCGATAGCATACCTCGTTTAGCACTGTTTGCAGCAGACTGGTGTAAATACTTTGACAATGAACCGGCAGCATTAATAGACTTGACGGTGCACCTGGTGTTAGGATGCGAACAGGGCGCATCGCAGTTAATTAATATACTGCTAGATACAAGTCTAAACACGAGTAATGTCGGTTATCACAGCGTTAACGCGGCGCAAAGTGTAAAGGACGTTTGTAGGGAGATACTGGAACTGATTTTACAAGAAATCGATCTTCTGTTGAGGACGCACGGACCACAGTCTACCAACATCGCTCTTCTGAGTTCTATCAAACAGGAGATATCGCTGATAATGCCAATGCTGTTGAATCCCAACCGCTGCGCGTGCAAACAGCTATTAGATTGTTGTGCTTTCTGAGAAGTCAGAATCCAAATATAGTAGTCTCTATGGCGTCCTACATGCTGGTGAAGGCTCCATCGACGTTTCATCTTGCAGCTCTGATACGTCTTATAACTAACAACATCGTACTGTTTCCCGCAAACAAATCTGGAACCGAAAACATTCTTGCTGGTCATGATTATCTTATACAGATCTTGGAGCAAGCACTGAGACAGATATATTATAAGAATGTCATAGAGGAAGAAGAGTCGAGACAGTTATTTAAAAATCTCACTACAATGTTAAAGCAAGTGTCGATAATAAATAATTAATTATACATATTGTATATAGTTTAATATAATAATTATAATCTTTTTTTATATATTTTTAGGTGGGAAAAAACGAATAAAGTGGCGATATTACAGTCAAAGATGATTACCAGAGCTCTTAGGTTTAATTTATATCAAATATCTTCTTTGTTGACAAGAACAGACAACTTTGACTTGGCGAACGATATCATTACTCTATTGGATTTGTTAAGTACGTCCGAGAAAGATTATATTTTCAATGTGGAACTCGTGCTGAAATTGACGAGGGCAGTTATCCAATATTTCTTCTTGTGTATTGGCCAAATAGGTAAATACAGCTTTCTAATATCTTTCATTTTTTAATACTGTATAAGTTAATCCATTTTTTTCTTAGATATAATAAAAAAGGAACGAGGAGTGAAGATGGTTTGTAACTTATTGAAGGATCTAACGTGTTATTCTTCCTGTGCACGTGTGCTGGCACTCAGAGAGATATTAGTAAGCAGTATCAATAACGAGCAGGCAAAGTATTTTGGTGCAAAGGAGAAATTTGAACCCTGTTTTGAAGAACCGTTATTGTTACATCAGAATCATAGACAGGTATGCACAGAGTTTATGCAAAATTATAATTTAAAAAAATACGTTTAATAAAATATACGAAAGATATGTGTTCCATGTTGAGAAAAAATATGCATCACATATTTGTTGTAACATTAATGTTGGATTTAATATATGAATTAGATATATAGAATGTATATATATATATCATATAATTCTATATTTAATTCATATTAATTATTATATTTAATATATGGATTATATATTTAAAATAATTTCATCCACAGGTTACGAGCACCATGTTAGCACAACGACATTCATCGGTATTTCACGCTGGTGTAATAGGACACGGTCCGCGAAGACCATCACAGGAGAATTCTATCGATAAAGAAACCATAGCTCTAAATAAAATGTTATTAATAGACATCATAAAGGTAAAAAGAAATTCGACACAAAGCAATTTATTACATGATTTAAACAGCTTAACGTTCAGTTTGGATATTTTTTAGGCTTGTTGCAGCAACCAGGAATCAGATCGATATCCTATCAACTTGGACGCTCTGACGATGGTCAGCTTGTTGTTGGTCGAATTGGTGTCTCCTGACGTTATGTACAATGGCCTTCCTTGGCCTGATGAGGAGTTTACAAAGGTAAATTTTCGTTGTTTATTCGAAACCTTCCGTTAAGCCATTTGTTACGATACAAGAAAATAATAATTTTGATTTGCGTGACAGGTCACGATTGAGAGAGACTTACAAATCCGTCGCAAGTTCAAAGAAGTGCCTCTACTATGGACATTGCTAGAATTGACTGCCTGGTACAGGCCGGCTTTAGCGTATTGTTCCGTTTTATTGAGAGGCATCACCGCAACCGTGATGGCTAATTGGAATACAGAGGAAGGCGTCTTACTCGTCAATATAATGGCTCTCGGCCAATTATTACCGCCACCATTGGCGAGTATTAGGGACATCCTGCCTGTTTTGCAACCGCACCAGGTAACAGTCTGAATCCTGCAATCAGTATTTCAGTCAGATAAATGGTAATCAATTTGCATTACAGATAAATACAATAATGAGGGAATGTTTATGGGCTTATATGCGCGAGAATGTACCATCCCCGGCGTTATTCACGCGAAGCGAAGGCGCCAATATAGCTTGGAGAGACATCGACACGTCATTACCTAATGCACGCTTTACGGATACTCTTCGCTTAGTACTGCTGGCAAATATTCACACTTTAGGATCTCTATATTCGACGTTGTTTTATAATGAAAATAAGTATTAGGCAGTGAAAGAGAGAAAGAAATAGAGAAAGAGAAAACATCTTTGACGGAGATCAAATCGATTTTTATCAATTATATGACACTTGTAAATAGCACTTCTTTGAGAGCAATATAACATTAAATTATAATTTGAAACTATAATCACATATATATGTATATATGAGAAAAATGGTATATATAAATATTTTATATATTTTATATATTATATGATGTGTGTTTGTGTGAATAAAGAACTTGATATAATACTAAAACAGATAATGATGATAGACATGCGACAAAAATATTATCAAAAAATTATCTAATTTGCATTTAAAAGAAAAAAAGAGATACGAGATTTATATTACTTTATATAACATGTTTTTCAAGTTTAAATATTTTCGCAGATTTCATATATTGAATACCATTAACAATAAGTACATTTAGTATTTTTTTCTTCCTCTCTGTTATACATATTGATATTCTATAACAATTATTATAATTCATGTATATTTCTTATAACAAATCTACGTATAAAATAGAAAACACACAATTACATATTGTATAAAATAGGAAGTAATTTTTACTAGTTTTATATATATACACATCCTGCTTTATAACATATTACATAACACACAAATCTTATTTTTTTTGTTTCTTAATCCATAATCAATCGCGCGCATTCTATTATTCTCGATAATGACAATTAATAGATACAAAATCATTTTACGCGATTCTTGGACAATATCATTAAACGAGTGATGAATGAGATATTACACGTGACTTATTCTTTGAAACGCAATGAAATGTTCGAAAAGGGATAAAACAAGGAAGACAAAAAAAGATGTGTTTTAATATTTATAAAAGCACATTCTCTTCTTTTCTTTTAAATACATATATATATGAGAAACAAATATTTTAACTTACTTTATATTATTATCAATACAGGAATGGATGGTACCTAAGATGAGCGAACGCTGTTCGAATTGCTGTACGAATACCCTAGGTGGGTGTCTCGTCCTGACTGAAATGACTATATTCGTAATCAATATATGCAACATCGGTTCAATTTATATAAACGTCACGATTTTACTCGTATGTATGCGATTGAGTCTTCACGCGGCTCTTTGTCATATCGCAGAGCCCAAAAAACGCTAGTAAAAAATGTTGAAAATATTTAATTACTTTCTTACTATGTACACACTGCTCGTTGTACGAAAGATATTAAATCTTGCTTGCGAATACGACGACGTATCTCGCGAGATATCTTTCGCCCTTTGCGAGCATTTTAACCGTTGTATGTCTCAGTTATTACTCTCTACATTGTGTCAACGTTATGTTCTTGCCTTTATCAGGCTGATGCTTTGTGTACAGTTTGACACATAGCGTAGAATTATTAATGTTCAATGTAAAAATAAAAAGTATACTTTCTCTCGTAACGCATAAACATAAACGAAGATCTCATAAATGTAACATAAAATAGTTGTATTATTTTTTGAATAAATTTTTTAATATATATTGTGTGTCCCAATATATCCTAAAAGAAGCACATATAAACTTTTCTTTTCTTTTTTTTTTTTGGAAAAGTGTTACTAATAGTATAATCATTTGAGCATAGAATCAACAATATATCAATAGTAAATATGTGCGACTTTATGTATAACGCGGGAAAATAGGGGAGGGAAACTTTCGAGTGGCGCTAATGTATGTCTACATCCCGTGAGCTTGACACACACACACATACATACAATTCTGCGAACTCGACCAAAACTCTCTTACCTTACAATAAATTATTTTATTCAGTTCTTCAGAATTAAAAAGTTCACTTTTCAAGTCTATAGATGAATTAAGTTTAGAAAAGTAACGTGCTCATGCCACCCATTTCACTTTGCTCTTTCACGAAGATCTCAAAGTATTGATATATGATTGTAACAGCGAGCAAGATACCAGTACCGGAACCGATCGCGCCCAGAAAATCCGCCAGCACAGAGAGAGCTCCGATGCACAATCCGCCGAACGCCGCGGCGGTCGGGATATATCGGTTCAGCTCGCGAATCATGGAATTGTCTCTGTGACCTCGCATTACCATTTGCTGTTCCCTCAGTTGTTTAGCAACCTGCAAGTGATAACGATACGTGTTATTGATTTTTACATTACGTTGAAACAATTTTATGCTACTTTAATAAAAGATTTATAATTATTTGTTGCAATGAAATGTATTGCAATTATAATTATTTTTATGTAACTTTTTATAGATTTACTTGAAAAGGGCTGCAATGACAGCCGAAACGTTGTATTTTAAGTAATTATTTATAATAAATGATTGCCAGTTTGGTCAACTTTTACCATTAAGGAAAGATTTTTATTAATTATTACTGGCGAACCTTAAGGATTATTATCTGTTTAATAAAAGACTTGTACTGACATCCTTCGCTGAGCTTCCAGAGACTTCGATCCACGTCTTGGAGAAGAAGGCGCACGAGCCAAGCATAAAGAGAATGTAGAGTACAGCGTGCACGGGATCCTGAACTATATGGCCAACTGATTCCGGTGGTGATAAGTAATAACATAGTCCGCCGACTGGATATGATCTTGCGGGACCCCCGCCACCGACATCCGACCAAACACCCAACAGATTCACTATGAGATTTCCTTGGAATTTGACGGCTAACATTTGAGAGATGACGTACAAGTTGGATACCAATGCTGATTGCAGAATGATCGGGATATTACTAGTGTAAAATAGTTTGATCGGATAGCTGCTGTATTGACCGCGATATCTGGCAGATTTGATCGGAAGATCTACACGGAAGCCCTGAAAACAATATATTTTTCAATATAATCATTGTCAGAATAAAATATGTGCAGATAAACACTCAGAAGTTGGAGCATATGATCTGAATGGTTTAATGATAAAAGTAATCAAGCATCCCACAAGCAAAAGAACTCAATCATTTATGCGCATTATAAAAGTTATTAGATTATGTCAATATTCTTGTATTTACCTGGAAGTAGATGACGATAGCAAATACTAGAATGGTGGCAAGAAGGTTCATCAGATTTGGAAGATTCTGTCTGTAGAATGCTTCTCGAAGAGCGCGAACTTTGTCTTGTCTGGTGGCCAGCAAGTGGAACAAAGCAATTACAGCTCCTTCGAATTCCGTACCACGACCTATTAGCAAAGAAATTATATGTATAACTTATAATCAATATTTATTAAGGTTTGAATATATCAAGAGAGCAATATTTCTGTATATTATGTAATCTTTTTTTGATAAAATCATACCAGTGTTAACTGTGGCTGGTGAGAATGCTTTCCAAACAATAGTCTCGCAAATGTTAGTAGCAATAAAGAGAGATATTCCGCTGCCCAATCCATATCCTTTCTGGAGAAGCTCATCCAATAACAATACAATAAGTCCAGCAACAAACAACTGGATAATAATCAAAAGACAAACTCCAGCTCCAATCTCAGTTGGATCTCCGTACATTCCAGTCATTACATAAACAATGGCTTGTCCAACAGTAATAACCATGCCAAACACTGTAAAAAGATAAGTATATTTGTTCTTTTAACAGTTAAATTATATTTAATCAGATTTGATTATGTATTAAAATTTAAATAAAGATATTACAGGACCAGTGTTAAACTTGTTCTCTACAATAGAATTAATTTTAATCTGCAATTGATTTCTCCTATTTAATCAAAACAACAATTAACTGAATAAAATTGCAGATTTTTTGTATGATATTCAATTAGGCCTTAAAGTAGCCTTAACATCTTCACTTAAAATTTTTTTAAAATCAATAATTATTTTTTCTATCTCAGCTCTTTGTATTAAAATTTTGATAAATAATTAGTAAACTTAATATACATACATTTCTGTGCACCGTTGAATAAAGCTCTATCTTTTGGTGTATCTCCAACTTCGATAATCTTTGCACCATGCAGTAGTTGCATAATAAGACCAGAAGTAACGATTGGTGAGATACCCAATTCCATCAACGTTCCTCTGTTTGATGCGAGTATCACACGAATCCAATAAAATGGATCCGCACTGTCCGAAGACATGATACCGAATAATGGAATCTAAAAATAACATTATATCAGCGTTCACCTCTTAAAACTTTAAACAAACTTTTAACGACAAGATGATTAACTTACCTGGCAACATACTAGAAAGATAAACAATGTGATCGCCGTCCACAATACCTTTTCCCTGAATTGGATCTGCAAAAGAACAATAATTGTAACGAGTTTACACCAGAAAAAGTTTTCTTCTTTAAATCAAGAGTAGCATTATATATATTATAAATGTCATAGATGCGCGTCATAAACAGATGGTAGATCTTACAATCGAGGAATTTAGGAAAAACGGTACACAAAACTGTAAATACGAGAGAGAGACGGAAATAGAACGCACGGCCTTACCTTTCGCTGCGGCTTCGCTATTTCCGGCAGTATACTGCAGAACGGTTTTATCACTTCGAGAAACTTGACTGAAAACAGAAAGAGAACAGGTGATTTAACGCATCCGGGAACATAAACGCACGTATGTAAGTCGAGAGATTCGCATCGCCAGCAATATGTTGTAAGACGCGAGAGAGGTTACGCGTGTACGAGCGAAAGATTGCGGCAAACGCGAAAGGATAATTTCTCACTGATAAACGAATATACTCACATCCCATCTTGCCTCGACGTCGACGCGACTGTCTTAAGCACTAAGAGTCAAATGAATGTCCCTTACGAGGATCACGAGAATCACACCGCCACGAGAATACACGCACACACTCTCTCTTTCCTTCTCTCTCATAAAATGAACGAAAAAGCGGCCGCGTATACGCTCGACTGGCAAAGCGTAGCGGAGTCGTGGCTCACCCCGCCGACACGTATCAATATGCTAGTGTCACGTGACCTGATGATGTTGGCCGGCACGTTTCCACATGTCAGATGGCGCAGTAGGCCATGCGCGTCAGCTATGCGCACGCGCGTCAGCTGTGCGCGATGACAGATGGCTGTCCTTGTCGCGCATGCGCGGCGGAATGGCGACAAATACGAGATGTTGCGTGTAGGCGCCGCAGTTTTAAATAATAATAAAGTACATATAAATTACATTTTCTTAATTATATTAAATTGTATACATTACTTGACTGAGACTTCGTATTTATAATTATATTTGCGTACATCAAACAGATTCTTACACTGCCTTTTTTTAACTATATATATATTTCTCAAATTATATATATTTCTCAAAATTTTCTATAAATAATTTTAAAAATAAGAGTTATATACAATCTTTTTATATTTGAATTGGAACTATATTATTCATTGATATTATATTCGATTCGCATGCGTAACAAAAGAGAATTCGTCTATGGATACTTGACACTTTGCAGCTGTCAAACACACGACTCCGATGCGATGCAGCTTTTTCGCAGCGATGTATAACGGATTGCATAGCGAAAGGGTATCATTTCATGTGCAGCATACTGCCGCAGCAGTTTGTTGCTATTGGTGAAGTTTAATTGAACGAACAGCAAAGGCAACAAAGCAAAAGAACACGCAACTAGTTGATTCTAATTATTGTTATTCTTATATTAGTTAAATAATAGATTTTAAGAATAAAATAGATTATTGTGAGAATATAAAAGCAAAAATCGTAATTTTAATCTCGAAATAATAAGAGAACAAAGAAATATGCTCTAATAAATTTTGATCACGTGACTGATTTGCTGCTGCAGCATGCTGCATATGAAAAGGCACCTAAAGGCGTTGGAATAAATATTCTACGAACCTGTTTAACGTCAAATTAAATTTCATTTAGATAAAGCTACGCTTGTGAATAAAAGACTATTCATATATTCTGTTTATATTTTTAAGATTATTTTAAGATACTATACAATCATTTCATTGACTAATGAATGAAAGCTTTAAGACCACTTTCAAGACGATCTTAAATATTAAAACGAATTACATATATACATGAGAAATTCTGATAAATAAATTTTACGTACAGAAATCTCAATTTTCTTTAATGTATAAAACATTTATTCTATATATATTAAATTTTTTTATTCTCTTAATTTGTAAATATATTTATCTATTATTGGTTTGTTTAAAGTGTGTGTAGTAAATTTCGTTTATATAAGGATGCTTCATAATACGACAAAGCAATTTATTGTTACTATGTGAAGCTATTTAAAAATAGGTTTACTGCCAGTACGCAATCATATAATTGCTAAAAGTGTTATTACGATTATGTCATTATCATCATGAATCAAAATATCTCTGCATTATTGAATTGTTTTCCTATTCTGTATTCTTAGAAATATCAAAATAAAATAACAACTAATAAACTAAGAAATATTTTAAATATTTTAATGTTTTCGGAAAATTTACGTCTACAATATATCGCAATCTTATTTGTGAAACATAAATATCATAAATACATATAAAGAATAATTGTTTATATAATAAAATTTTTTATTAGAATACTGTGTAGTGAAAATGATGTAATTTACTGTTCTTCCTAGTTCTCGCATCATTGAATATATCGGTCAAGGCCTTATATTTTATGCAAATAAACACGTCAATGTAACAAACGACTTACGGCAATAAATTAATTTATCATTTTCATTATCTTACTTCCATTTATCTACACGAATGCATATATGTATACACGATTGAATGTTTGTGCATTTGTATAATCAAACGATTTTATATTCATGAGTATGATTATAATTGTATAATTAATTATTGTAACTGTTTTGATATCAATGTTAAATATTTTATATAATTCTTTACAGATCGCGCGTAAAAACAATAATTAATTTCATCAAAATTTGGTTTTTGTCCTTGATTTACTTATTTTTTTCTAGATTTTACAGAGCGAGAGATGTCTTTTACAATATCAAATATGTATTTTATATAGAATTGCAAAATATGTAATTGAAAAAATCTTTTGAGAGAGCATCTAATACTAGTCTACGTAAATATTTATAAGTGAATATAGTGCATGTAAATTTAAACAATATTTCATTTTATTCAATGATGCTTAACTAACGCGTTCAGACATATTTTAGTTTGTTAAGATTTGCTACACAAAAGCAATTTATAAATATGAAAATGGTGAAAAACACGTGCGTGTTCAAATTATATATTAATCTATATACAGAGCAACACACATATAAGTATTTTTGCTTCCTGCAATTATATAACGACAGAAGATTATATATCTTTGCTGTACGATAAATCACCATAGTCGATTATCGTAACTTTTTCTGGAGAAAGATTATTATCGTAAGTAATATCGATCACGTTAAAAGCTGTCCCACATTTTTATGCGCTATTAAATTACTCGACGCGTGCAATTTAATTTCGCGAATTGATTGTCAGAAAGATGAGGTGAAATAATGTATTATGTCAATCGATACTATCTATATTAACATTAACTCCGAAATGTGTCTGTCGCGAAATTCCCCTCGCAGGTTTCGACCGAATCGGTGAAGGTAGGAAAGTCCGTATATATATAAGCCGGTGCGTTTTAAGTTTTCGATCTATTCTGAAAGAATTACTATCGAGTTAGACAGAGTACAACGATATATAGAAAACGTCATGAGAAAAGCAATTTGCTTGGAATATGTGTCCTTGACGTGCGTTCTCGTCATTCTCGTTTGTAGTGGGTAAGTGAAAGGACAGGATTTCTATAAATTGATGTATCGTGCGTGCATTTTTAATAAAAAAATAAAAATAAAAATAAAGACATACACACCGCGAGTTATATTTTATCTAACCGCAAAAGCAATTTATACAAGCTAATATTATTTAGATTTTTCGATTAAATGCTAGAATGATACAGGCGTTTATGTCTGTGTGAATAGATGTATAGGAAAATTAAAAAATGATTTAGATATAAATTATACTTGTGAAAAATTAACAAATTAAAGAAAGAATTGCCTCATCAAAGTATAAATTGTAGTACGTTTATATAATAATCATATTTACTAGACTGTATATTTACTTAACTATAAATAAAAATATATTCAGTCATGATAAGATAACTAAAAAATAATTAAAATTTAACTGTTCTCCATTTATTGTTTTTTAACCGATAGAGACAGAATGGAATTATAATAAGTGCGTTTATCGTAAATCATTACACTTTGATATCAGATTAACCTTGTTGAAACTCGTGATTTTCCACGATTGACACTTACTTGTAAAATTTTTTACGAACTTTGTTTTTACCTGATAAAGAAAGAAAAAATAGAGGAAGCGTAGAATATATATATAGGATAATCTTTTTCTTCGTGCAGTTTCTCTTCCATATCTTCTATTTCTTCTATCTGTAACAAAGATAAAGCATTTAATTTATATATCTAAAATTCTATTAAAAATGTTAATACAATATATATATTTAACATTTTTAATGTCACTACCACTATTATTGTAAGAAATATCTTAAAATAGTTTGTATCTGCATAATAATAAAAAAAGAGTATTTTATATCTTTTAAATATCGTGTAATATAGAAATAACATATAATATATTATCTCTAAAAGAAAACAGAATTTAAATTATTACATTATAAAACACGTATAATTATTATGTGTAATAAATATTTATATATAATTTTTAATGCAATTTTTAACGCGATATTTTTTTATTTATTTTCCTAAAAAATTTTCATTTTTTGAAAATATTCCGCATTACAAATTTCTCACAATTTTTAAATATTTCGAAATGTGTTGTGATATACGCATGTACATACGATGTACTGTATATATAGTTATCTATAAATTGATTTTTACGAAGTTTTGAAATGTAACATGTAACGCGAAGCAATAATCGATAACCTATCGAGTTGAAAACAGTATCTGCTTTTTATATCATCGCGCGGCTTTATCATGCAGCGTTCATTTAAATAGTCGTGTCCGTCTTCTGTTGCGCAGTACCCAAGTTATCACGGATATAAGTTTCACTTTGTTCAAGAACTCGGAGCGAGTCAAAATAAATCATCAGCTGTTCGTCCCGAGCACTCGTTTGTCCGCATCTAATCGCGCTTCTTCGCGCTTCTTCGCGCCGAGTGATTTGATTTTTCGATTCTTTTCAAAATCGATTTCTCGCAAATCGCAACTGACACAATGACGTAATAAATTTAACAAATCTGCGCGCTTTCCAACATCTTTTTTCTGCAACAAAAAAGGGAATAAAAGTGTACAAAAGTGCAAAAAGTGCATGCAGCACGAAATAGATTTATTATTCTTTTTGTTTTCACTTAGTTTTTTCTTTTTTTTTATACGTATATTGCCTTTAAATGCGAAATATATAAATGTAGTTAGAAAAAATATAAGTCTTACTTATTTTATTTATTTTATAAATATAATATATATTATATTATATGCTCTGTGATGATATTACATAATTAAATTGCTAATTATATGAAAGCTAAAAGAGAAAAAAATGAAATAATGAATGTGGAAAATATTACATCAATAAAGTATAAATGCATTTGTTTAAGTTGCAAACAATTTTTAAGCTTTACGTAATGTACAATGTGTGACATATTATTTATTTATAGAGAAGCTCATAAAGTACAGAAAGTGACCGAACCCTATGGCCTCTCTGAAGGTCCTCATTGGAACCATCGAACCCAAAAGTTATACTTTGTTGATATATATAATCAATACATACGTAGATTAGATACTGCGACAGGTGTTGTAACTAGTGCCTATATAGGTAAAACCACTTTTTTTCTTTTTGTGCAAGTATTGTTATTACATAATTCAATTGTATTTATAGCATCAGATTAATACTATTACCTTTTAAAATTATCTTCAGAACATGGGCCTGTTGGAGTTGTTGTACCTGTGGAGGATTCGTATGACAAACTCGTAGCAGGTTCTGGAACAGATCTTATTCTTGTCACCTGGGATGGAGATACGAATGAAGAGAAAGCACCATTTGAAGTATTAACTTCTATAGAATCTGATAATGATACAAGAGTCAATGATGGAAAAGTAGATTCATCTGGAAGATTCTGGATTGGTAAATTGAAAGTATTATGAATAGAAATTTATTTCTTTTCAATGCAATAAAAATTTATATATCAACTACATTTTCAATAGGTACTATGGGGAATGAAGTTAATGGACAGGTAGCTCCTGACCTGGGATCATTATATCGCATTAATGATACATTAAAACCTATAACGGAAATAAGTCCTGTTTCAATAAGTAATGGATTAGCATGGAATATCCAAGACAATACTTTCTATTACATTGATTCACCTACGCATAAGATTGCAGCATACGATTATGATCCCATTAATGGCACAATATGTAAGAGACTTTGTAACACTTTCCATTTAAAATTATATTATAAAAAGTGCTAGTATAAATCATATGTAGCTCAAAATTGAAATATAATTATGAAAAATATTAAAGCATGAAATTATATATATATTATATATATATTCAATAAGAAAGAAATTTTAAGAACCATGTATGTTTATATATTTGTAGCTAATAAGAGGATTGTATTTGATCTAAATAAGATTAATATGAAAGGAATACCTGATGGAATGACCATAGATACAAATGGTAATCTTTGGATAGCACTGTTTGGAGGACATCATGTAAGTATATATAATACTTTAATAGTACATGAAATATTCATTGAAAACTATATTAGTAATTGTGAAAATATTTTATCTAGGTCATCCATGTAAATCCGAAAACACAAGAATTGTTGAGAAAAATTAAGATTCCTGCTGAAAATATAACCAGTGTTGCTTTTGGTGGTCCGCATCTTGATATTCTGTATGTGACTACTTCAGGCTATGGTTTAACTGCACATCAGAGAAAGCAGACTCCTCATGCTGGCGCTGTATTTGCAGTGAAGGGTTTAGGAGTTCGTGGAACTCTTGCAAATTCGTTTATAATGAATACAAAACAATGAGATGAGGAAAAGACAGATGTGAAGATATGTTTTGCTTCTCATAAAGATTTATACACTTGCATGTATTTTTAAATATTCTGTATACTAAATAAAAACGTTAAATTACTGCTTCTGTAAAAAATAAATTTTTATCTTTTTATTTAAAAAAAAATGATATAACGAGTCTTCTTCAAAGTATATAATTATTAATTATTGAAAATTATTGTCTTATCATAATAATCCTAGAATATAAAATATGATTTCTTATTTAAAAAGTTAACAAACACTGTAAAATAAAATCGATAATAATTAATTTCAAATGTTCCTTTAATACAAGAAGGGAGTTACAAACTTTAGAAAACATTTAGCTTCACTGAAGCTAATTGCATTCGATTGATCTATAAGTAGAAGAAAGTACTATTGTTATCAAATGTATGTGGTAGAAAAATAATGCTCTTTATGCAAAAATGCTCTAGTAGAATTATTGAAAAGATAATATGTTATTTTTGTTGATAATCTATTATGATATACACAAATTAATTAAATAAATATATAAAGCAATTGAAATGTCATTTTTCATTATTTAAACGAAATGTCTATATATAATTAAAACTTTGTAATAACATAAAGTCTTTCAAATTGTTTCTACAAGTTTGATATATCAATAAAATTGTAAATGAAATGAAGTTTACTTCTTTGAACATTGTAAAATTATTATAGAAACAAAAATTATATGTTTTAATACATATTTATTTAGAATTTTTTATAGTTTTAATTTAAAAAAATAGGCAAATGAATGATTACTAAAAATGCAAAATAAATAAGTCAAATATTATCTTTGTATCGCAGCCAATAGAATTATTCTTTTCGCGGTAAAGAAGTATAAAATTTATATATATACAAAATAAGAAATACTCTTGTAGCACATATACCTATATGTGTGTGCGTGTATATATGTATATATATATACACATATATATATATATAACTTTATAATAGCTACGATTTTATATAATATAATATATCTATTACTTTATATAATATAATAAAGCTAAAAAATGGTTTATTATATAAATTAGCCACATCAACTCACTGCATTGGACGTTTTTAAACAATTTTGCATAAATAATTCATTATATATAATTTAACTTAATTGCTCAAGATTTTCATATACGAAACACATAACATACAAAAGACTAACGAACCTATTATCACGCAAAACTATTTTATAAAAGTATTATTTCTCTTGTAATGTTCTTACTGTTGTGTAAATAATGATTTGCTTCATTCTCCAATGCAACAAGTTAGCAATCAGTGTCTCGGCTCAATGACTACTTACGTTTTCTTTGAGGAAAAAAAAATTTACATCATTGCGTAAGATGAGCCTCCGTCACGAATTCTTAATCGTCCAGTGTTATTATTTCGACGCTATCGTTTACGAGTTTGTCCTGCGTTTTCTTATTGGAAATATTAGCAGGTTTTCCCCTCGGTATATCGTACACAGGCATACAATCAGCGGTCGTCGACGGCCTAGACGTTTCCGAGGTCACCTTTTGCGGCACTACACTTAAGGATGAAAGATTTTTCGAGTAGTCCAGACTGGGCTTTAACTGCGGCGCTTTTTGCTGGGGTATTATCTCTAGATGCGAATGCTGCTGCAATTGTGACAGCATCGAGAGCGCCTCGACGGTGCCACCCTGAGGAAACGAAGCCGAGGAGCTTGGTAGCGAGCTTGACGGCACGTCCATCGTCACCGGCGGCAGCGGCTTCGCCAACTTGTTGCCGGTTACAGACGATTTCTTATAGCCATGATACTTGACGCTCGCGACAGGCTTGATACTGCTGGATTGCGGAGTGACGACAGGACTCACCGAGATGCCGCTCAATTCCGGCGGTATAAAGGGCGATTGTGACATCGCTGTGGGATTTCCTGATGATATCGGATTCAATATATTTGGAAAGTTACCGGGCATCGATACGGGCATCACCGTGGCAGTTTTCGTCATCGCCGTCTTCGTCGTCTTCTTCACGTTGGAATGCATGCTCTGTACACTCGCTTGAACATTGGAGTAAGGTCGCTGACAATTCTTCTTCGATAACAGTTTGTGCTGCAACGACGTGCCAGATCGCGACACATTTATAGGTAAGTTTTGCACGGGATGCGTTTGCTGTTGTTTCATAATTACAGGTGCACTCATGGACGCGTGGGCGATCTGCGGATTCGTCGTCACAACACTAGTACTGCTGCTGTTGCTGTTGTTCTTCAAAGGCGAATGTGATAGCGATGCGTTGTTATGTGCGGGCTGTGGCTCGGTCAACGATTTCGAAACGCGTATCTGCGGCGCACTTATCTGCTTTGGCGAGCTGCTTTTCACCTGTTGAATGATGGATGGTTTGAGCAGGGACACCTGCGCTGCCGCCGTCGCGTTTGCTGTATGTAATACCGGTTTTGTCGGCGATATCTGAAGCGATTTCGGAATGTGGACGGGATGCAATGCCGCGGCTGTATCAGTTTGTAAGCTCGGCTGCTTGCTGGTAGGTTTCGCCTTATGATGAGGCTGCAGTGGCTGTTGTTGTTGTGGTTGTTGCTGCTGCTGGCTCACCGGCGTTATAGATATGTTAGGTCGATCCTTTGTCATTGACATAGTTGTGCTGGTTTTAGCTGTCGTTTGATGGTACATGGGTCGCGACGTTGACGCCGTAGAATTGCTCAAGCTTAACAATTGCTGCACTGTCATAGAGTCTAAAGATCCTTTCAAATTACCTAAATTACTGATATTACTCGAAGTATTGACATTGCTGGATGTACTCATGGTCGAGACATTGCTAATGCCAGCGGTTATTGTAGTACCTGGGTTGTTTAAACCACTGGCAAGATTGGTTAACGACGATAGATTGTTCTGATACTGCCTTAATATATCCTGATAGCTTCCTACTTGATTCAAGTAGCTCATAGCTGATAAAGGATCCATCATATTGCCGCCTAGTCCACTGGCCAGTATAGCCGATAGCATATTCGGGTCGACTAGAGGATTCATGAAGTAAGGATTTATCATGGAACGATTCGGCCCGGACGCACTCATGAAATTCGCAAAGTTACTCTTGGAACCGAATTGATTCATCACGTTGCCGCTCTGCTGCATAGCATGCTGCAAGTATTTGTTAGCATTAGGTGGACGTCCCCTCGGACGTCCAGTGGTCGTTAGGTTTCTATGTGGTTTGCGATTCTGCAAGATCTGCGATGATGTCGAGTTTACTGGCATCTGCGGCGTGGGTGCCTGTGAGATAAGAGTATCATTGTCGATAAAATATGAATAGAACCATTATATGTACAATAATAGCAACAGTAAAGAAGTATATTTACCGGAATAGTAGAAGTGGCTTGTGATTGCACATGACAGCTATTGCTGTTAATCGATGCAATTTTGTTCGCCTGTATCTGCCGTTGACAACATTTGATTGCGATTTCCAGGACATTTCCCTCCAGATTCTAAAAGGTAATATAAAAATAATTATATTGGCATTTGAAATTATCGCAATTGTTTGATTTTAAAAAGATAATCTGAGTAAAATAAATAACAATTTTTAACGAATAGATTTCTCGATTTTTGAAAAAAAAAATTTTTAATAACGCAAAGTAATATTTTATAAAAAAATTAAAAAACATTTTTTCCATATAAAAAAAATAGTTGTTTTATTTTTACACGAATATTGCGAAATAAGATTTTACTGATATAAAAAAACATTCGAATATACATATACAATATTTTTTGTTTTTACAGGTCTAATTTAGTCTTCGCAGTTCTTAATAGATAATATTTGTTCGTTTCTGCCAGCAGATAAACAAATATTATCTCAGAGTTGTGGAAATAATCGACCAAATTAGCAAGTAATAATCGTTTACTAAATTTCACGACGTTTCGACCATATGGTTGTGGTCCTTTTCAAGTGAGACAAAGTAAATTTAGTAATAATTAACTCATCATACAGCAATTATTAATAGCAATTTTTGTGAGAAATATACAAGTCAAAATTAAAATTGAAAATGTTAGACGGCCACATGTCAGAATCTGACGATCCTTTGTTGTGGCCGTTTCACATTTTCAATTTAATTTTGATTTGCATATTTCTCACAAAAATTGCTATTGATAATTGATGTATGAGTTAATTATTAAATTTACTTTGTCTCACTTGATAAGGACCACAACCATATGGTCGAAACGTCATGAAATTTGTTAAACGATTATTACTTGCTAGTTTGGTCGATTATTTCCACAACTCCTATTTACTAATGATTGTCATTAATAATTAAGAAAATATTATCTCATAATTATATAAAATTGTGCATAATTGTGTATAATTATACAACACACTTGTGTATAATTATATATAACTATACATACGTGTACTATAAAGAAGATTATCTGATAAGAAAGAAGAGATCCGATAAGAGATAAGACGAAAGAAATGTATATAAGTTGGCTTATTTAAAAAATGTATTCAAAGTGTAATCACACGAATATAATTAATTTCCATAATATAGTTTCATATATATACTTACTTTATTCCCTATGTACATTTTGTAAGTGTCCGTCAATAATGTCGCGAACGCTTGTATAGTCGACTCTTTACCCTGAAGGTGTTTTTGCACAAGTTGATATGTTTCATACACGTCAAGCAGAACTTGCGTTCTGGCGTCTGTTCTAATAAGGTGAACGCTGTCGATCGTGCTTGCCGAACCCATTGTCTGAATTCTACTTCTGAGTGATTGTTGACAAAGAGTCAAAGCTTGTCGGGATAATTGTTCTCTCTCGGAATCACGTAAGTATTTTCTAAAGAAAAAAAGATTTAATTTTTTATCAGATTTTTTATTATTTATTCTTTATGCACGAGAAAATTTTAATCATTTTCTCGTGTTAAAAGAATAAATGGTACTTATATACTAGTGTAAGATATCTAAAGCTCATTCAAATCAAAGGAGAACACTTTTCCTTGTTATAGTCTTTTTTTAATTAATTTATTTAAATCTTACTTGTCTGAATCTGGAATTTTTCCGAGCTGTATGCACAACTGCATCAACATTCGACTATCGTTGCTTTCCTTTAATACCTGCATGAGTAACGTCACGCATTTCGACATGTGTGATGCGAAGCTTCCGGGTCTGTCAATTTCATTGATTGGTATATGCCATACTCCCTAGAAGTCACACAATATTAGAACGTACACATCAATTATACATCACATTATTGATGATATAAAAATAGGAATGTTTGCATTAATAATTTTGCATATTATATTCATATATTACAATTACAGATTATCTGAAGAATCGAGGAAAATGGCTCTAGTTCATAGCATATCTGTAATTATGATACTATTATATCTAGTACTCAGTCTCACTAGGTAATAATTAACAATGATTATCATAATCTATTAAAGATGATAAAAAAATAGCCCCATATTAAAATTTTTCACTTTTTTACAAATATAAAAAGTATTATATATCTAATTTGCCTAGAAAAGTAATTTTAAAATATGCATTAGAGAGTAATCTCAAGCATATAACGAAAGAATAATTTTTTGAAAATGATTGAAGGTACTGTAATACTACACCTAAAAGGATGATAATAGATACAGATGCTGGAGGAGATGATGCTCTAGCAATAATGCTGGCTCTCATGTACGAGGCCAAAACAAACGACATCGAAATCCTAGCTATAACTTGTACATATGGTAACACATACTTGAAAAACGTGGAACAGAATGTATTAAAAATTTTAACAATTGCCAATAGAAGCGACGTAAGTATATGACAATTGAATGTTCTTCACATATTTTGTTCAAACTTTTATAATTTAAAAAATTCAAAGATTTCGTACAGTTTGTTAATGATTATTATAATATATGATATTATAACAATCATATTATTTATCTATATAGTTTTATCTTTAAATTATTTATATTTATTATTTCATCAATAATACTATATTATAATAATTATTTCTCTCTGAAATTTGTCAGATACCCGTGTATAGTGGTGCCCAAAAACCATTAATAAATACGTATGAACCTACTGATTACTTTGGCAAGGATGGATTTGGAGATTTTAATTTTACCGAAACTATAACTGCAAAGATTAACAGATCAAAACACGCTTCTGTATTTCTTGTAGAATTAGTCAAACAATATCCAGGTATTTATATACATATATATAATTTAAAATAAATATTCAATTCGTTAATTTTTTAGGTGAAATAAGTATAGTTACTCTTGGACCTCTCACAACAATTGCTACTGCAATCGCCTTGGAACCTAATTTCCTGCATTTAGTAAAGCAACATGTTATAATGGGATCGACCGTCGACAGTAATGAGATTGAATTTAATTTTATACAAGATCCGGAAAGCAATTGGATTGCATTGAATAATACCAATAAACCTAGTATTATACTTCCGGGAGACACAGTACGCGCTAATCTTATTTCAAAAGTAATATCGTAATTTTCACAATATTTCATATACATGAATTAATAATAAAATTAATTTATGAATAATAAAATATTATTGATATACAGGAGAAATATAGAAACATTTATAATAATCTGGATGCTTCTATCGCAAGCTTTTTGCAACAAGCTGAAAGAATAGCTTTGGCAAAAACTGAAATGTGGGAATTAGCAGATGGGATTGCTATGGCAAGTGCGCTACAACCGAAAATAATAACAGAATGTTATAAAACTAACTTAAGAGCAGTAATTGCTGGTGATGCGAGAGGTTCAGTTGTGGAAGTACCCAATGCAGTATCCAATGTAGAAATTATAAAAATGTTAACATAACTGCATTTGAAAATCTTCTATTGGAATATCTTTCTTAATAGATCTTAATTGATCTAAATTGTAAAATTATTATTATGCTAAATGAATTTTTAATTTTGTACTATTCATATATTATTAAAAATATCTTTTATAATGCATACTATTAATAACATACACTTACATTAAAAAAGTTGGTACTTCTTCTTTCAGCAAAAAGTCCTTGAAAGGTTTGTCCAGGATAGAATTGACAATTGTATGCCTTTAACAAAAGATCCTTGCATTTCGCTATATCCTTCGCCTTTTTATTATTAAAGAAAAAATGTGCAAGTCTATAAAAGGACTTGTGATGCTCGGCGAATCTCAATATACACTGTTCCAAACCAGCTAGACAATACGCAATTAATGTCGCTACCTCTTCTTCCGGCATATGTTCCTCTAGAAATTAAAATATGTATAGAAATCCTTTTTTTTTGCACTTTAATAAAATATTACATAAGTTATATGATAGAATGCAACAATAAACAACAATAAAGAGCAATATAACTTATATAATTTACCGTTATCTACATTAGCAGAATCTTTCTTCTTTTTTTCTGCATCGCTGTCGATAGATTCAGTGTCGCTATCACTAGAGCTATCACTGTCAGAACTATCATCGCTACTGCTAGATTCTTCGCTACTACTGGAGCTTGAATTATTTGTTTCCGTAGTTGTAGTTGTAGTTTGCGTAGTCGTAGTGCTTTCCTGAGAACCTCTTCTGCTCAAAGTCATTTCTTCATTTGCATTGGTCTGTGTTTTCCTTTTTTCTTCTACCTTGTCTTTATTATCTTTTCCCTGCCAAATCAGAATAATTGCAATGTTTATATCAATTTATTTTAAGCACAAATTAGCATATGAAAAAAAGAAACATACTAAGATCAGTTAAATACGTACAGAGGATTGCAAATCTTCGTTTTGCAACCATTTGCCATCGAATCTTCTAGTGTCCTCGTCATCAGCGGAAGATTGTTGGGTTTCCTGGCTAATTTCCATTGCCTGTTTCATAAGAGCATCCATTAAATCCTGTACATTATCAGTCTTTCGTTCAGGATCAACTGTCAACATATTCACTGAAATTTTCTTAATCTCTTCTGTTTTTGTCTGCGATTTTGTTTTATCAACACTCTTGTTTTCTAACTTTTTCTTTTGCAATTTTGGTTCGTTACTTTCATCACTAGAAACAATCATTACATCGTCGCTCGTTTTCTCCTTTCGCGATACCATATCGCAAACTTTGGTAATTAAATCGTCTATTAAAGCTACGACGTCTTGCATCAATTGTAAATGTGAAACATTACTTAATTTTATTTTTTTCGTGTTGTCATGTGACTGTTCAGGAAGTCTTTTGCGGCTTTCGGACTTTCCTATTTCTGTCTTAACATCGGAGATCTTGTTCGATCTATCTATAATTTCTATCTCTTCAATGCTATTTGAGCGTTGACATATCGTAACTACGTTTTTATCTGCATCCACTGCAGCATCGCCTTCTTTTGAAGTAGTTTTCTCAACATCAGCATTCTCCTCCCTCTTCTTTTCGTTAAGTTTAGATTGATATTTCATAAACGGTCCTTCGGAGCAATTTTTAAGGTGCCAATTAAATAACTGACCCAATGATTTTTTCAATGGTTTACCTTCGTGTTGCTCCAAATATTTCAATATACTCGCATGAATGCGGTAATGAACTTCTAACGCTTCTATAGATAAATTTTGCGGACTTTTGTGACTTATTCTGCGCGGATATTGAGCATTATTCTCATATAATAATTCACTAGCCTGAAATTAGTTCTTGATGTCAAAATTATATTAATGAAAAAAGAAATAGCATATAGTAGACAAGATAACTGACCTTTGCGTAATGCTCCAAGAATGTGGGAGGATCTAGATTTTTCTTCTCTGCGACTTTACCGAGCATATATTTATAAAGCCATCTCTCGTCGTGCTGTATAGACGGTTCTTCGATGGCTTGACATATTCGATTGGCAGATTCAAAGCACTGATCTGCTATCTCCAGCATTTCCTCCTTTCTAGTTTCCAAAATTTCGAATCTCTCCATGCTCAATGTATCGGTCTCTTGCTTAAGCAATCGCGAGCAAAATGAATGAACTATGTAAACAAAATTTCCATACTCTGTCCAAATAACAGAATGACCAGGTGCAAGCTCGATAGCATGTTGGTAACTCGACTGTGCCATTTTTGCCTTATTGAGAAACTTATCTTTTCCTCTAAAAATGATAGAAAACATACGTATAGTACATGTAAATAATGCAAAGACTTAAAATTAAAAAAAAATAAAAGATACTTACATAGGTCTATAACTGTTCAACCAATTCTCTATTATACTGCCTGTCGCCATAGCTAGACCTGCCCACGAATTTAATCCTCTTGGATACAGACACAGATCTAATAAATAATATCGGCAAGCATGCTCCCATTTGTTATTCTTGAAATAAAAGTCACCCAGTAAGTAGTAAATTGTGGATATCGCGTGCGGTAGCGGCTTCATCACGCTCGGCATTTTGTCTCGTGCACCGATTATGTACGCTGTCATCTCGTCTACTATTTGATTCGGATCGCTTTCACGCGGAACTAATCTGATTATTCTCTTAAACAAGATTTCTGTATCCGTGCTAATTGAAAGAAGACGGGGGGATTGAAAATTGGGTAGCTGTTTCGGCTTGTAAAAATCGAACAGCAACTGTGCTCCTTCCCAGGTTAATTCCATTTGCGGCACCATGTGATCCTGTAGATACTTTGGACGTATCTTGTTGACCCTGTTCGGATGCCCATACAGACAGAAAAATATCTGTTCTAGATATTTCGTGAGTTTGCTCTTTATAGAAGCATACAGGGGAGTTTCAAGCTGTGGTATAATCAGATTCATGATGAAAAATAAGAGTTTCGCCTCGTTGAAGCAACACCAAGAGTGTCTGCCGATAAATTCGTGGGCGGTGAACAGAATCATGATAGACGGTGGGATGCCATCATCCTCGTCATCCGATTCGGAATGATTAGAGCTATGCAATTTATTTTTATAAGGAGACTCCACTTTTGCTCTTTCCTTATCTTCTTCGCTGTTAACAGAAAAATTTCACATTGCAATATATAACAATATATATGTATATACACGCGCGCGCGTATTTATTTAATTAACAAATTATTTAACAAACGTACTATTGAAGAATATAATGTAACAGAATCCAAGGTAGAACGGTCTCCAAAGGCATTTCAACAGCATTCTCTGGTACATCCAATTGATGACAGACAATGTGAACTAAATTTTGCACCAATCTCGACAGACGAGACTCCGGCAGATATTTTACTGAAAATACGATAAATATAAACAAAAATCATAAAATAGTATATTGCAAGAGTTTCTTAATATACTTTGTGATGTAATCTTACCAATGAATACACTAACTTCGATCGTGCAAGCTTCCAGTTTTTCAAGTGCCATTACAACAGAATTTGTCCACTTCTTTTGTTCAGCTTCGTCAGATGAATTCAAGTAATTTTGCCATGATTCATTGAGACAAGCTTCTGCCCAGACGTAACATTCCTAAAGACATTTTACCAAAAATTTAGCACTTTTTTTATACATGTATGATATTTGTTATTAACATCAGTAACAAGTGTTACCTCATACTGTTGAAGCTGCCACAAGCTGTCAAGTAACATAGTTAATTGTCGAACTCTGTCAACGATATTTTCATTGGTTACCATCAATTTGTGTCTTTGTTTGGCAAATTTAAAAGTATCTTGCAATATATAAGACAGTTCTGCATATTTCTTTTCGTCGTACAAATGTTGAATTTCACCCAATTTTTGACCCCTAAAATTATAAATTATAATATCTAATATATTCTAATATAATCAATATCTTGGCAATAAGTAATATAAATTAGAAAATATTAAGATTGAAAATATACCTCTGAATTGATGTAAGTTTTCTCTTTACGAGTTTGGCACTGATTTGAGAATTATTTTTACAATTTAAAAGTTTAATACATGGACTCAGGCTTTTACTTTCCATATCTTGTAGACGGTTCAACAACTAAAAATTGACATTTTATAGCTTATAATAATATATTAATTTTTCGACATTGAACAAAAGTTTCTTACCAGCTGTAGCGTCCCTATGACTATGTCTATATCACCTTGACACAGAAAAATGCTAGCTTTAAGCCATAAAATTCTCAGTAAGATGTATAAATTTTCATCATTTACGATATCTTGCCTGACACTTGTAAATATTATATGTCCTAATTCCTCTGCTGGCATTCCAGTACCAAGTTTATCCAATCTGCAATAATAATTTTATACACAAAAAGCTTTTTACAAATATTGTGAAGCTTGTAAAGATGAGATTAGAGATTTACGTTGGATTTGGCAAAGTATCTGGTTTATTATCCAGCCACCTATCTGTATGAAGCTCCCCAAATAAAAGTGTCATTTCAGTATCCAGTTTTAGAATCTTATCATCGACATCATCAAATGGTGACAAATGTGGAATATGTTGCCTAAATAAAATTGGATAATTTAGATTTTTATCTGTACATACAAAAATAATATGCACATTTACCTCATAAAGATATATGCCTGTAGATAAATATCTGACATTCCTTTTGGCCACATCTGATTCCACTTGGTACACAGAAATTCTGTAAATTTTGCGATAATTATCATTAAATTACTTTTACTGCTATGCTGATTTATAAAAGCGTCCACATCAGCAGTTTCTGCATCTGTTCCAAAGTATTTTTGTTGTTGACTGTCCAACATAAAACCAGATTAACAACACATTTTCTATTATATTACTACACAAAGAATTAAATTATAAACCATCACCTTGTGTCAGGGCTAGGACATTTAGAACTTTCTGAGCTCTTGAGAATTTCCATATTAGCATTATTCTCCTGATTGGCAAATAACTGGTACATATCCATTGTGTCCATAGAATCGTCGGGATTTTTAGTAGCATCATCCTTAGTCAATCTTACTGTATCGGGTCTGTAAAAAGAAATTATATCTCATATGTATAGGGGATTTACATCTCTAAAACACAATATTTAATTACTTGATTTATACATACAATAAAGTACTAGGGAACAATCTTCTAAGTGTCTCCTCCAATTGAACATCGTCCCTCTCTGCTTCTCGTCTGTTTGAACCTCTGACTCTCGCGGATCGTCTCATGGTGCTGCAGCTCCAGGCCCATTGTTGCAGAAAGCACAGTGCGCTTCTGCGTCTTTTCTTCACCTTCTGTCCCTCTTCCTTTCCCTCAGTTTTCTCGGAGTGAGCTTTATCGTCTGTTTTACGTATCGCGTCGCTCGTTTTCTCAGCACCCTTCTCAGAAATCTTATCGTCACTTGATTTATCGCTTTCTTTGTCGCTGGATTTCTCATTTGGTGCTCCATTATCCGTACTGTAAATATCGTCTGTGACTTTATCGCTCTCTAATTTGTCGATATTCACGTCTGTTTCGGAATGCATCTGTTCCTCCGAATCCAGGTTTTTCGTCTCGCTTTGTTCTTCACATTGCAAACCGTCTGTGTCGGACATTCTCAGTGGATCTTCATCCTCGATTATTTGTACGTCGGTCGAACCAGATTTCTTGTCGTCTTCCGTTTCAACTTCCATCGCAGTATCCGAGGCTGTATTGAAAGCCTGATTGTCGTCCGATATCTCGCAATATTCCGTCTCGGTCTTGACAGATTTGCCGACATCATTTTCTGCATTCGGAGTTGAATCATTTACATTTTGCTGATCTACTTCCATACTGTTAATCTCTTCAATCTCACATTCCTTATTCACTGCTGCAACCTTGTCATCGGCTTTTCTAACTGATAATACAATTCTACTGACAAAGTTTAAATCACTTTCAGCAATGTACCTGTGCATGTCTAGTAAACTTTCTCCAAGAGCCAACCATGTGCAGTTTATTAAAGGCATTCTCAAAGTCAATTCTGGCAAAGGTTTTGGCATAAATTCTGCTTTACAAACCTCTGCCCATTTTGCAGAGACCTCTCTCGCTTCTGCTAATAACTTGTCACCCAATAAATGATCATATTCAGTATACAAAGGTGGATCTAATTGCCAGTCACTGTTATAAAATTTATAACATTCTTCCATACATGGAATGTCTTTAAATATTCTATCGCGAAATGCCAGACCCTTTACATAATTAGGATCCATTTCCAACGCCACGGAAATATACAGTAGACAGTTCATGTAATCAGGAACGGCATATAAGACAGTTATTAAATTATCCAAGCATGGCCAGTGATTGGAATTGCACTTTAAGCCCTGTTTAAAGGACGAACAAGCTAATTCTAAATTAGAAATCTTCATAGCTAATGTACCAATCCTGTACCACAGTGTCACGTCAGAACCATCCAGATTTGCAGCTTCCCAATAATTATCTACAGCATCCTTGTAATTCCCACAAGCCGCTTGAATGGCACCGATATTCTTGAAGCAGGAATATTTCAAGGACAACATTGGTCTCGACCTTCCATCTGGCACTTCAGGTTTCTCCACTTCATCCAGCAATTCAGTATCCAAAAGATCCCTAAAAATAACTAGTGCCTCTTCCTGTTTATCCTTCTTCAACAATTCCAAGGCTTTGTTGTATTCAGTTAACGCTATTTGTTCCTACAAGAAATCAATTAATTAATTAATACATGTTTTAATATATGCATCAGGTAACTTTCCTTCTTGAATTTTAATTTAATTCAATGCTGTCGTTAATTCTAAATCTACATAGATATAAAAACAGTCCATCGAAAGATTGAAAATCCGAATCACGTGCGCTAAATATGAGAGACAGATGTACTCTTCCAGACACTCGATTGTCAATTAATTTGTGGCTCTTTAAATATTAATCAGTCAGAATGAATAAATAAATCACGCGTAGAAAGAGAGGGAGACGTGTCGCAGAAATGAGAATCTTCTGTCCATGTTATATATAGCAATAACGTTAAAACGCAGCAAATGCAGATGCAATTTCGACACTTGGAGGTTATACGAGAATAAACAGTAAATGCTTCTCATACTTGTGCCTCCTTCGTGATCGTGGGTACATCCTCCTCCTCGCTCTCTTCACTCGACTCTTCGTTAAGCGCCGATATTTTAATCATTCTCTCCTGAAAGCTTCTCGCACGGTATCAACAATCTTCTCGCTTACATCCAAAAACGTCAACAAAGCCACAGCACAGCCGCCGGTTTTTTTAACACGCCGCCATATCGCGGCGAATGCGCATTTCAGATGACAGATGACAGATCGTCTCTGCAGCATCTGCCGACTGGAGATGATTCGATCAAATGGCGATTGCTTTGTATTTTTTTATGAGTTTTAATGTGTCTCGATATATTTATACAGAGCATATTAGCTCCTTCGAGATTATAGCATAATTAGGGGACCATCATTTGTACACTTTCGGCACTTTTTTCTTCCTCCGCGAAGCTAAAATATCAAAACAGCTGTTTTTTTTTCTCAAGTGCGACTCTAAAACAGAAAAAATATATTTACATATATGCAAATCGAAAAACTTCTGATGTGGGGAGGGGAACAAACGTCAAATAATCCGCAATTGCAAGTGTATCTCTGCACTTTGATGCGATTGAACTTTAAACTTGTTTATCTTTTACTTTTGTCTCGCTCGGACGATGCATATTAATTAAACGCGAACAAAAGTTACTGCGCTCTACTGCACGATCGTCGCGAGTGCATGTTGATTAATTCAATCCTTATTTAGTTTAATGACCAGTGTAAATAGGATACGTACAATGGTATTTCGTAAGCAACGATAACGCAGTCATTACGCGTTAGCAAGGATGTCCCTGTCTTTAAGTGAGTACCTCTGTATTTGTAGAATCCTTAATTATAAATTATATATAGTGTATTACGCTTCTCACACACATTGATATTTTTCTTCGTGTTTTGATTAAATCATAATACATAATCGTTATTGTGTCAAAAAAGTTTAAAATACAAAGCATGTGTTTTCTGTTTTCGTGTCTCTAATTCTTTGTATATAATATGTTTATATACAATTTTTTCAAAGTTTGTATATATATGTATATAAATTCTGTGTGTTCTATTTTAGTCTTATAATAATCCTAATCTTCCACATATAATTAGTGTACGATAGGATTTTTATAAATAAAAATCATGAGTAAAAACATTAGTAGTTTATATATAAACATGTATGTAGTTACATTATTGTTCTCAACAATCAATAAACAATCAAATTGTTTATTTCATTGAGTTTAATGTAAAAATGGAAGAATTTATTATTATGTGTATAATATTATGTATATAATACTATTGAAAATAAGAAGAATCAGTAACAGTCTTTCATGACAGTATGTTATAAATATTGTTAGATTACAGACAAGGTAAGGTTGCAGCATCAACTAGAAAAACCTGACAGTGATACTTAATTTCACCACAAAAAAATCTCTGAGATATATAGAATCATAATAAATATTAAAGTAATACATATATTCAACAATAATTTAAAATATTAACAAAAACACCTGACAATCAACAAAGCATCCTTACCATAAACTGTATTCTAACAAGCTTTGTAAAGTAAAATGTATTGTAGTTCATTTCTTGGCACTTTAAATCATTATACAAACAAATTCCCTTATCACGTAGTGGAAAATTCACGTTTAACGGATATACAAAATTATAACTAATTTCAAAAACTACAAACGACAATTTTTGATACTCTGTTTCAGTCGTTGTATTAATAACATAAATTGATAATATGTACATCGCAGGAGACCAGTTGAGGAGTGATGGTTTGCAAACGATAGATACACAAAATATGTCCAATTCTGTAATTGAAAGAAACAAAAGTATTATAACAAAGTTTCCATTTCCTGTCTATAATAGATTCCATCAAAACTGGCGTATAGGTGGGTCTTTTTTTTTATTGTATATATGAAAATATAGTAGAATGTTTGATTTATGTCTTTAGAATTAATTCAAAGCAATATTATTTTATAGATCCTGAAATGTCAAGACATTATTGGACTGCATCTTTCTTTTTACCGATTGGATCGATTTTTATTCTTGGTGTAGTCGTTTTGCTTATGGTAATATCTCCATGCACGAATTTATTTAATCTAATATTAAGATATGAAATTCTCACTCTCTCTTTATCGAATGTATGATCGAAATTGAAATTTTAAATAATAATTATAGGTATTGTTCAAAAGATGTCCACATACAGTAGCTGCAATTGTTGCTGCAATCCTTGCCATCATTATCATAGTGACAGTTGTGGTATCGCTTAATCATGAGCCAATTTATACTTAATATGTTTAAGCCAAATAATTACCGACTGTTATATAGAATAAATCTTTCTCTAATTATATACATTAAACTATGAGAGTACAGAACTGATCAAATATTAATGAATTTTGTATCAATTGTATACATTGAATAAATAGATTCTACTTACTACTAGGAGTGTTTGCTCATCATTCTTAATTCAATCATATCTTCTGAAACTCGTTCTGCTGTTTCTAAATATTTCTCCAGTGTTGAATTTAATCTAGTGTAGCTCTAAAACATAAATTGCAACATGTATTAAATTGAATTATTAACATATATTAGTATACATATAACTTCAAAAATAAATTTACCTCTATATAAGTGAAGTCTTTATTTAAGTATTCTAATTCATTTAACAATACTTCGATGGTATTAAGCGGTAACCAGGTTGGTGGTGCTGTAGATACCAATGGTGTCTTAAAACCAAAATGTTCCTTTCCACTACCTAATGCTGCGTTAATATAATCTACAGCTAACTCGCTTGCTTCAACTAATCGGCCGGTATTCAGCATGAGACGAAGAAGTTCCGAAGCATTGCGCTTCTGCAATATTTATACGATTATATTTTCTGGATAAAGAAAAATTAAAACAATTTTTGTATTACTGACTTTATATGATATCAATAACCATTGTGGTAGAAACGCTCCATCTTGCAATAACTTGCGTGCAACAGCTTTGTGTAATTCACTAATGTTATCTTTTTCATGCTTCAATGTAAAGTATTCCAACAATCTCCAAGCGGTATTTGCGATAGTTGTATTGGATATTCCTATATCTAAAAAAGAATATTAATTATATAGCGTTTTTATAGGAAAAATTACACATAATTCTGCGCGCAATAATAGTACGAAAATTAATTAATAATTAACACTTACCAAATATATCATTTTGTATTAGCCAATCCCAGGCATTTGGATCCTCACGTTGACTTAATTTGATACATTGAGAAGTCAAACTTTCGAGTACGGAGGCTTTACTAATTTTAAATTCATCGCACAAATGTAGTGCAGTTGTGTACAAACCAGTACTACATAAAGTGATAATCAATTCAGATGGTTCTGTAAATAGAGATATTTACAAAAATAATCTCGATTCTTGCATTTTTTTCGTAGAAAGATAAATTAAGAGATGCTTACCAGTATGTGCGACTATGTGCATCTCCGAATTGACTTTTGATATTTTCAATCTCGCGTCTACTATATAATACTCCTTCTTGATATCATCCAAATCGAGGACTTCGACTTGCTTCTTTATCTTGTAATGCAACACTTCTTTTCCATCTATATTTCTCTTCTTTTGCGTGCCCGATAAGTTTAACTCGCCGGAGAGATTCTGATCGACAGGTCTTACGATCCATCTATATTTTTCGCTTACATGATGCAAGGCGTTAATACACGCCAGTAAACATTGCGCTTGCTTCGCTATAATCGGCGCGGAATGAGGTTCCTGACTTAAACGCATAGCTTGTTCGTACATTACAGACGCCGCTATAAAAAAATAGTAAGAATATACATATATAAGTCTCGTGTTCTGTTAAAAACATTCCATATTATACAAAAATCTTACCTTTCCGCATGTTTTGTTTATTGACGTGAAAACTGTATAGAAAGTTATAATAATTATTTTCCATAAGGTCGACGCTTCTGGCTCTGCCCTCTACTATTCTTTCAAGGTCTTCGTACATGTCGACATAGGGGAAAGAAATTAGGTCTATTAACAATTTTTTCTCGAATAACGTTACGACAAGTTGTCGTAAACAGTCCACTCTACGTGCAGCGTCCGGATTCGCATTCAGGCAATGATAAGCTTCTGCGTGATGTCCTAGACTCAGGTGTTGTGCAAATATTATTGAATGGAGCGTCGGCAAATTCGGATCGTCCGCGTCGGCACTCGCTATAGCTGTCTCTGCAATCTCTATGATACAATCAGACGCGGTGTGTTCCTCAAACAGTTTAATAACTTTCAGATAATAGTGGACCAGATCCTTGTTTCTTGATGTTACATTAGAGTTGAGTAAGGCGTCCACTAGAAATACGTCCGATAAAATTCCATTGGATGCACGAAGAAAATTATCGCACGCCTTCTGCACTTCTCCCATTTCTAGTAATGCTACGGCTAGGATAAACTTCCTCGAGGCGCTATTCCACTCGCACCACGTGTTCAGAAGTCTTACATATTCTTGAACAAGTAGAAATTGACAACTCGAGAGCAACCATTCGGGAAAGATGAAATTTCCAGATATCGGCCATCTAATTTCGATTTAAAGAAATATAAAGAAATGAGGATAAATCTTATATCCCATGTGGGACTTGACACAATAGATTAAAACTCAATAACGACTTATTTGAAAGGATACATCAGTTGCGCGATAAGCGTTACATGCGTCAGCATACTATAATGCCAGGGTATTAGAGTCGTCGGATCCATATTCGCCTGGGCCATCAAAATATGAGCGTGTTTCCCACCGCTGCTATGAATAAACAGTTCTAAGAGCGACAAGGATCGATGCTGCCTCTGTCCGACGTTGATTCGCGGATCAGCGAGCTTCAACATTGAAAGACGCTGCGAACTGGATTCGCTGGAAATATTTCATAAATCTCTTACATTTTTGTCGACGTTTAAAAATATATCTGTGAGCACATGTACATATAACTTTACATTATCTAAGCGATAAAACTTACAGTAAGGATTGCGAAGGAGTATACGTTGCCGTAGACTCGCATATCCACGTGACGACATAGTAAGCTTGAGTAAGTACAACGGTTCTCGGTGCCAAGGATGATTTCACGGTATGCAAGGAGCTCGAGTCAAATATTTCGGGACGCAGTAGTATGAACTGCTGTAAGATCAATAAATCTCTGCAGACGGAGAATCTCAAGAGCGCTATTTGCGTTACAGTTTCCGTCACCGCGGAAATGCCCAACTGGCTACCAAAGAGATGACTGACGTTCAACAAGACTTTCGAAGCATCGTGATCGTTCTCGAATTGCAGCTTACTCGGTTGTCCAAGATCGTATGTTAATGCGTCCAGCAACATGGCCATGGCGCCCGATATATCCTTGACGTTACTTAGTTTGTGATAGAGTTCCGATTGGAAATCGAAATCAGATAGCTGTTGATAACAAGCAAGTGATTTTCATTCTTGTAAAGCTGAAGCTAGAGTAAAAGCTAATTATAAAATACTCACCGGATCGTCGGGTTCCATCATTAACTTTGACAGTAGATCATCGATTATAATATCTGGACTTCTCAGATGATACAATTCTCTCTCAATTTCTGTTTTAGTCTCCTCGGGCAATTGGTCTCCCAACATGACTAACGCGGACATTAACGTGATTAAATCCTGACATGTGTCTTCATCTTGCGATAGAACGGGCGTTGTTTTGAAACGGGATGTGTAGGACTTCTCGTTGCAAAACACCAGATGTTCTAAAGCTTCCATGGGTCTCAGAAGCGATAAAGATGATTTTTTCAATAAGACGATGCCGTAAGCGCTCGGTAAGAGCAGTAGACCTACGGGACGAGTGCCATTAGCGTGATATTGAACGACGCACGAGTAAAATTTCGACCAGCATCGGTTAGTGATCTCGAGATAATCCTCGTCCATAATCACATAATCCATCACTTCCGCCTGTATTTCGGCCTCGACCGCCATACACACTCTCTCCTTCAAAACAGCTGGTGAGAGAGTCATTTCTGCTATTACGTTGGATCTTCTATAGATGCTCAGCGCTTTCGTGATGTCCACCAACGAGAATTGTCCAGGATGAAAAATATAATTTATGTACGCTTGCCTCGGATCCGTTCCAGGATCGGTTACAATGTAATCTCTGTCGCGTGCTTGTTCCAAAATTGTGCTCTCCCATTCGGAATTAATGCGTTGCATGCCATTCAGCGATAATTGTGCATGTGTAACCGCCATGGCATCCATATCTGCCGTTCTCCACACTGCCCACAACCTGGTTGGTGTAAATGCAAAATCTACCAGGTGTTGCTATATATATAGGAATAATATAAATTAGTTACTTCATCTCTTACATAGCAAAATACATAACTGAAAAATATATCGATGAAGGTACTCACATCCGGCGCGTATAACGTACATAATCTAACAAACTTGAATACGCCGTTATCTTGCACAGGCTTCAGAATACTGAATTCACATCCACTGCTGAATTTCAAAAACGTTCCGAAATACAACTCATTATCGCTGCCCAATGCTTTCCTTAAAACATGACCTTGCGCACTTTGAGACACAATGCGATTTTCGATTGCCGCGTCCGTTACGGTTACACACTGCGTCTTATTACAAGACCACATACGTACGTTACCATCTCGACATAACGCAAACAAGTATGTGTCACTACCATAACTGTGTATAACAAGGGACATGGCAACGTGAGCCTCGGTATTGCGACCTCTAAACGCTGTAGCTATACCGCTCAAGAACTTGGGCATTATCGAATCTTGTTTCAGTTCGCTGGTGTGTACAAGACCTGTGAGTGAGTCGAGCCTCAAGAGTAATATAGTAGCTGAGCTGTAAGCAAGAGCAAACAGTGCTTCTTCTTGTGGCAATGTAAGCCACGATGCTGCTGCATGAGGTACCGGAGAATCTATGAATGAAATAAAACGATTTAATGAACGCCCAATATGCATATAATGCAGTGACAATATGTAAAAATAAATTTATCATGCTAAGAATATATTACATCATATTTACAGCACACTTACTTGTAGTTCCAGCATTGGAAATAATATGAAATGTATGAGGATCTCTGGCATTTTGTGCAGAAGCTTCATTAAATATTGACTGTACACTGAGATCTGTATATGTACCAAGTAAATTTTCCTTAAAAAAAAAAAAAAATAAATAAATTGTTATTGATAAAATAATAAACAATAGAAAATAAAAATATTCGTGCATACTTACTTGCTTGTGAATTTTATCTGGGTGAGAAAAGGTAAGTTTGTGAACACTGGAAACAGTGACAATCAGGATAACAACAGAGTTAATTGTCTCATGAATAGAAATTCCATCCAAAATTGGGGTGTCTGTAAATTTGTATCTCACTCGACAGTCGACGAGATTGATGTCAAGACTATGTTCAATCAGTTCAAGTACATCGTGACAAATACGCCAGTAAATAAAACGGTTACGAGTGAAATATTTGGATGAGTCTTTGTATGAGTAGCCACCTGCTCTTTCCGGTACTTTTATATCCTGCAATGTACTTTGGCTTCCGCCTGTAAAAAAAAAAATAAGACCATGACTATCTGTTTTTTATAATTACACTATTTTAATATTATTAAATTTAATATTTATCATATGCATTATTATACGATTATACATATATTTTATTTTATTATTTACATATAATTTATATTATATATTTATCTCAAATTTTGTCGAAATGTTGTGATATCACGTGTATTTAATGCACAATATCTTATAGCATCAGTCAGGTTTGGCGTTTAATTTTTATCAAAAATTCGGAGAGTAACAGGTAGATAGAGGTTAGGTAAGTGATGCAAAAGAACGCGACTCGCAAATGTCGCGCAATCCTTTATTCCACGAGCACAATACTTTATTAGTTGTGCATCATCGTGAATAGCTTTTCAAAGCGTCCTTAAGTTACAATGCGAGAGAAATTTCGGTTTGCCGGGCCGTCACGTGGAGGTTAGGACTCGCTCACCCGTGTTCAGGGTGATTTCCTTCCATTTCTCCGGCAGAGTTTGATCCGGCACGACCTCGCGATATCCCAGCGAAAACTCCACCATGTTCCAATAACTTTCAACGAGATAATGCGGCGAATATTACAGCGGTTTGTCACTTTACATCACAGAAAACCGCCGGAAATTCGAGTGGCTATCGAACGATTTTTGGCGCTTGTCTCGTGCTCTACGCAAGTATGTGTGTGTGTATATATATATCTGTGTATAAATGGCAGTGTGTGTGTGCAAGTATCGAAGTTTTAAAAAAAAATCATGGCTACTCGAGATATCGATCATCAAGATGTATCGAGCTCTCGAACTCTATATCGAATCGCTACTATCGATATATCGATCACATTTGTTGTTGCATAGCAAACTTGTGTATTTGTGAAAAAAAAAAAAAAAAAAAAAAAAAGTCACGTGGAGTATCTGTAGTAGGCACGGTGTAGTAGGCATTTTTATTTTAGGTATATAAATGGACGCGATTCTACGGTAAAATGTCAAGCAATCGGTAAATAAATATATAATATTCGAAAACGCCATCCTCTCGAAGATGGCATATCGTTCGAAAGATATCTGTGAATCAGCAATCGCAAGCAAAACGGAGGAATAAATTAGGAACCCAAATGGAGTAATTAATCTTCTCCATTTGACAATTCGTCAGCTGGAATTTGACATGTGTAGCGAGACCTAACCTTAAACGTCACAGTACGCCAAGCTGTCAAAATTGTCGAAAACTATAAAAAACGAACTGTGACATATGAGCTGGTAAAATGAACAAAAAGGTGGTCATCACGTTTTATCTGCTGTTAAATGTCATCTTCTCGATTGTAATCGTACTGTTAAACAAATGGCTTTATATTCATACTCGCTTTCCGAACATCACGCTGTCCATGATACACTTCGCTATGACATTTATCGGCTTGATAATCTGCGAGAAGTTGAATGTATTTTGCGTCAAGGACATCGACATCAAGGAGATGGTGCTGATTGCCATGACGTTTTGCGGATTCGTCGTTCTGACGAACTTGAGCTTGGCGCATAACACAGTTGGAACCTATCAGGTGGCGAAAATGTTAACGACACCCTGTGTGATAATTATGCAAATGATATTTTATAAAAAGCATTTTAGCATGCTCGTTAAATTAACATTAATACCGATTACACTAGGGGTCGTCATCAATTTTTATTACGATATACAATTCAATGTCATTGGAACCATTTACGCGACACTTGGAGTGCTTGTAACATCCTTGTATCAAGTGGTATGTTTTCGTTTCTCACTTTTAAACATATCAAAATTTACAAATATATAAATCTAGAGATATAAATGTAGAAGCATACATACAAGTTGATTATACATATTATTAATGTGTTGCATTCTCTTGCAGATGATAAACAGGAAGCAGAGAGAATTTCAGATGGATCCGATGCAATTGTTATTTTATCAAGCACCATTGTCCACTGTTATGCTGTTGATCGTTATTCCAATCTTGGAACCAGTTGGGCAAACTTTCACGCATAATTGGTCACTATTGGATATAGTATGTTTCTGAACATTTTTAAAATTAAGATTAATTGCTTTCTTGATTAAATTATCACATCTTTATGTCATTTACAGAGCATGGTGATTTTATCAGGCATGGTTGCATTTTTTGTAAATTTGACTTCCTATTGGATCATAGGAAAGACTTCACCTTTAACGTATCCTTATGTAAATTTATTACAAGAAATTTATAAATTCATGTATTACATGCCTTAACAAAAACTTAGATATAATATGGTTGGACATTCCAAATTTTGCCTCCTTTTGTTGGGAGGTTCATTACTTTTCCACGAAACACTAGCGATAAATCAAGTCATTGGTATAACTCTGACATTAGTGGGAATTATATTATATGCACATGTCAAAGTATGTACTCAGTTCTTATGCAATGTATCTATATGTCAGTAATTTGAATTTAACACAATTCTCTTTCCAGATGAAAGACATCCAGACTATAGTGCCAGAATATGAAGTCAGAGAAACGAAACCTTTGTACAAGGTATGATTTCATAGTTGCAGCTGGAATTGAAAGAAATTTATCATAGTACTTAATGATATGACATAAATTTTGTAAGCTTAAAGTCTATATTACAATAAAGTTTATTTATTACTCCCTAATTAATCCAGTCATGTAATTCTAGTTAAAATATTATATAATATATATTAAATGTTCTTTACTTAATTTATATATATATAATTAAATTTCAAAAGATTTCAAGTTTAGCTTTAATTCAGTTAATTAATGTGCTTAAAGAAATATAAAAAAAGATAAAATTTAAATCTAATTAAAATATTAAAATTAATATCAAAGAGGAGTCGGATCATGAATAAAAAGAATATAAATTGTATAATAAAACAAAAGAGAGAAAGAGGCTGAAAAATACTGAAAAAAGATGTTCAGCAAAATAGGTCACAGGTGCACCTTGGGCTGAGATAGTTGAACTGTATTGAAATTAGCGGCAACTTCAAATTAAGATTACGATTTATCGTTAGCTTTTTCCCAGGTGCATCGGACCCGACAACGGATGCCGCAGTGTGCCTTTATATACGAAGTCTATCTGCTCGTGGCGTTATCGAGAAACTATTCGTCCCTTGAGACATCTAGTTTCTGAAAAATGTATCAATTACTAGACGCGGACTTTTTGACAGGCAGCTTGCGCGAGCACTCGATATTAATTTTGTAAACATATTTTCTATGACAGATGAATATATTTCTCTCTTTCGAATTTATTCCTTATAATTTCACTTAAAAACGAAGACGAGAAATACATTTGCAGGGTAGAGAATCAGCGAATCGATAAATTCCCACGAGCTTGAGCTTCGGAAGGTGGCGCGTAACGTGAGCAAAGCTCCTCGTTTGATTTCCACCAATGACGGCGTCGCGTTGCTGTAGTAACGAAAAGGGGGAAGGAAGACGAAATTACAACTGCGCGTGTGTATCAATCAAACAACCGTAGCTAGCAACGTGCTTGTATCATTCTGCCTCGATTCTTTTCATAATATAACGCGATGAAGATCGAGGAGGTAAAGAGCACCGCGAAAACTCAGAGGATCTCCGCACACACGCATATTAAAGGGCTGGGACTCGATGAAAAAGGCATAGCTATTCAAAATGCGGCCGGTCTCGTCGGTCAGGAAATGGCGCGAGAGGTTAGTATTTTCTCAGAAGCAGTAACAAAGTAATAATTGTATCATGTTATATATACTTTTAAATAAAAGTACCTATATAAATGAAAGATTTATAAATAAAAGTAATATTTATATGAAATTGCTTCTCCACATCTTACATCTCTTTCTTCTCTTGTACACTATTGACACAAAAAGATGTAATAATAGATAAAAATTATTAACATTATTTGTTACATTATTCTTACAGGCAGCAGGCATCGTTGTCGATATAATAAAGACAAAGAGAATGGCAGGACGTGCTGTCCTGTTGGCTGGTCCACCAGGTACAGGCAAGACAGCGATAGCTCTTGCTATTGCACAAGAACTCGGTAACAAGGTGCCTTTTTGTCCTATGGTTGGTTCAGAAGTCTACAGTTCTGAAATCAAAAAGACAGAGGTTCTCATGGAGAATTTCAGAAGGGCCATTGGTTTGAGAATCAAAGAAACAAAGGAAGTATATGAAGGCGAAGTCACAGAGCTAACACCTGTGGAAACAGAAAATCCTATGGGTGGTTACGGTAAAACTGTATCACATGTGGTCCTTGGACTGAAAACATCTAAAGGCACAAAACAATTAAAGCTGGATCCTTCCATATATGAATCTCTGCAAAAAGAGAAGGTAGAAGTTGGTGATGTAATTTATATTGAAGCTAACAGTGGAGCTGTAAAGAGGCAAGGTCGGAGTGATAATTTTGCTACTGAGTTTGACCTGGAAGCAGAAGAATATGTTCCCTTACCAAAAGGCGATGTACATAAAAAGAAGGAAGTCATACAAGATGTAACATTACACGATTTAGATGTAGCCAATGCTAAGCCACAAGGAGGACAAGACATAATGTCCATGATGGGACAATTAATGAAACCTAAAAAAACTGAAATTACAGGTAAGAGAAGATATATTTAATACATATTTAATATCTTTAACATCTATTTTATCTATATATCTATTAATATTTGAGAGTAGAGATTTAACATATCTAAATTATATATACAAATTGTTTTAGATAAATTGCGGAAGGAAATAAACAAGGTAGTAAACAAGTATATTGACCAAGGCATCGCAGAGTTAGTACCAGGAGTATTATTCATAGACGAGGTTCACATGCTAGACATAGAAACGTTTACTTATCTGCATCGCGCTCTAGAAAGCGCTATAGCACCGATCGTTATTTTCGCTACAAATCGTGGCCGTTGCGTGATCCGGGGAACTGAAGACATCGTCTCTCCACACGGCATACCTCTCGACCTGTTGGACCGTCTGCTCATCATCAAGACTTTACCGTATTCTAGGCAAGAGATCGAGCAGATTGCGAAGCTAAGAGCTGCGACAGAAGGACTGCAAATCGAGGACGAAGCTTTATCAACTCTTGGCGAACTTGGTACGAAGACGACTCTGCGGTACGTAGTACAGCTTTTAACACCCGCGGCTTTGACTGCAAAGATTAATGAAAGGACTAGCATCAAGAAAGAGGATATTCAAGAAGTCAATTCGCTTTTCTTAGATGCTAAATCATCTGCTAAGATACTTACACAAAATCAAGATAAGTTTATGAAATAAAAACTAGTTTCATACAATAGTTTTCCAAATGTACAATTTACTTTCCTGTATCCAACACTACTTTAAATCATTATTAGAGAATGCCTGATAAATTATTGAATTTTTGTTTACGTTTTAACTTTTTCAATTCCTCAATCTTATATTCTGAATAAAATAACGGCTTTAAATGTACATACAGTAATGTTAAATGTATTGTCATTATTGTCTAATGAAACAAACTTACATATTAGAACATACTTGATTTATTTTACATACAAATAATTTTGTATTAAAAAGATATAAATAAAAATGTAGTTCTTCAAATATATATCTCTTTATATATTATATTGCAATATTTTTTATTTATACTTACAAATTTTATATACTATTTTTTAATAAAAGTAGCATAATTAAAAATATATGGTATATTATAATCAAGTTAACAAAAATTACACAAAATTGTGTTGCACAACCTTTGTAAAATGAGAACGAAAACAAAGCTTAATCAAACAAAAACATTCTCTGTTGTTTAATAGAAGAATATTCTACTTTATATTAGACACTCAGAGATATAATTTCAAAATTCTTTTTCAATATTGTACAAGCCAAGGTTAAAAGTTCAAGCTGCGTAATCAAGAATCGTGAGATATGACATCGATATATTGCGCGATATTATAATCTATACAGAGTATAAAATCTTGCTCAACTTTATAATACTTCTTAGTTTTGTGAAGATCCTCGAATGGTATTTACGTGCGGCATTTATTCTTTACTTATGCGGTTTCTTTTTTGAAAAGTTACAATGCAGCACACTTTAAAGATGGCACAATGCACAATACTTTTAAATAAGCATAACATCGTGGCTCAACACGTGCGTGGATTGCGATTAAGTAATTTGCGGAAGAATATCGATAAATTACTCCCGCAAAAGGGGGAATTTCAAGCACGGCACATTGGACCTAGGGAACACGAACAGATGGAAATGTTGAGATTAATTGGATTTAAGGTAACATAACTTGTGAAATCTTTTTATAGAATGAGAAAAAAATACTTATATATTACAACTGAATTAATTTTCAATTAAGTAATTATACAAAAGCCAAATACCAATTATATTAGAATAAAAAAAAGAACAAATTTGTTATTCGTCAAATAACAAATAGAAAAAATAAAATTAAACTTATATTTTTAAATATACAATCCTTGTAACTTTGGTAGTATAAATATTTATTTAACTTTCAAAAAATATCGGCATTTGCCTTTTAAACGATAAGCTGTAATTATCAACTGTAGATTAATTTAATTTAAATTCGATATTGCAGAATCTTGATGAATTAACAGAAGCGGCAGTACCAGCTAAAATTCTTCACAAGGGAGATTTAAATCTCGATGCGCCAGTTAGTAAGTATAATGTGTTCTCTTAATCAGTATGTAATATTTAAATTGTATTAAAATATAATTAGAAATCTCATATTTCTTTGGAGTAAAATGATGGATCTTTGTCTCTGCTTGTATAAAATTACAAGTTTTCCGTGGGATAAAACGTATAAACAGCAATTGTATTTTTTTTCCTCATAAGATAAAGAAATTCTGTAGAAATTTGTCATTCTTTAGAAACGTGACAACTCACGAGACTTTACGATTCGATTTGACCTAAAATTGATAACCCTTGATCCATCTGTCTTATCTTATCTTAGGTCATAGTTCAATCTCGTGTGTTCGCTTCGTATTCACGTGATCTCAAATAGAATTAAGTTTATGTCGTCATACAGATTTAATCTCATTTTGCAATAGCACACACGTGTAACGTGCTCTATATATATTAATTCATTGTATAAAACTTTAATTACCTTTATTATTTGCGTCGAACTTGAATTATCGTGAAGATAAAATTAATACAAAATAATTTCATAGCCGAGTATAATCTGATGAAGCAGATTACCAAAATTTCGGAAAAGAATGAAGTATGGCGCTCTTACATAGGTATGGGATATCATAATTGCTGCGTACCCCACGCAATCATGCGTAACATCTTCGAAAATCCAGGATGGTAAATCATGCTAGAACAAAAATCAAATATGAAATGTATGAATGTGAATAAGAACAGTTTTGTATAAACAATTTTGTTGTATCTTACCAGGACGACGCAATACACTCCCTATCAGCCAGAGATTTCACAAGGACGGCTGGAAAGCTTATTGAATTACCAAACCATGATATGTGACCTCACGGGAATGGAAGTAGCGAATGCCTCTCTCTTGGACGAAGGAACTGCAGCAGCGGAGGCTTTGGCGCTTGCATGCAGACATAATAAGAGAAAAAAGTTGTTTCTCTCCGACCAAGTGCATCCTCAGACTATCAGTGTGATAGCAACACGTGCCGCATCCCTAGGTTTAACGCTGGAAATTGGAGACGTATTTAAAGTGGATACCAGCGCGAAGGATATCGCAGGCATACTTGTGCAATATCCTGACACCACCGGCAATATATACGATTTTGACAATGTTGTCAAAAATGCACACGCGAACGGGGTATGTTTGACAAAAAACAGTATCTGATTCATATGTATTATAATACAGCTGCTCGTTATATATCGCAGTTTAACGATATACATTGTATTCCAGACTCTCGTCTGCGCAGCTACTGACTTATTGGCGTTAGCTGTACTTCAACCACCAAGTGAATTCGGCGTCGACGTCTGCGTGGGCACGAGTCAACGTTTTGGGGTACCTCTCGGATACGGCGGACCTCACGCCGCATTCTTCGCATGCCGGCAAAAGTTGGTGCGATTAATGCCCGGTCGAATGATAGGCGTTACGAAGGACTCCAATGGACGGGAGGCCTATCGGTTGGCTCTGCAAACTCGCGAGCAACACATCAGACGTGACAAAGCCACCAGCAATATCTGCACCGCACAAGCTTTGCTGGCCAACATGTCCGCAATGTACGCCGTGTATCATGGTCCTCAGGGAATACGCGACATCGCGAACAGAGTGCACAATTTGACATTAACTTTGACGAAAGGTTTGGAAGCAGCTGGAAATATAATAAACAACAATTACTTTTTTGATACTATTAAAGTATCGCCAAAAATGTCCGCGCAAGCAGTAAAAGAGAATGCAAACAGAGCTAAAATAAATTTAAGGTTTGTACTTTCCTTTAAATAGACCGAATAATAATTTATGATTTTGTTAATAAAATCGTAAACGCGGAAATTTTGTTGCAGATATTATAATGACGGTACCATTGGAATATCCCTCGATGAAACTACAACGGTAGAGGACATAAATGATCTTTATAAAGTATTTTCGACGAATACTACGGTTGAAGATGTTATCAAAGACGAAGACTTCCTGGCGAAAAGCTTAGATAAGTCAGACTTCCATCGTACTATTTCGTACTTGCAGCATCCCGTCTTCAATAGCTACCATTCCGAGACGAGGATAGTTAGATACATGAAATCTCTGGAAAACAAAGATGTATCTTTAGTACATAGTATGATTCCATTGGTAAGTGGCTGCTCATTTTACAAATATAATACGTTCTGATATAAATTTAATTAATTAACATCAACGTTTATATAAGGGTTCTTGCACGATGAAACTGAATTCAACGACGGAGATGATGCCGTGCAGTTTGAAAGGTCTCACGGACATACATCCCTTTGCTCCTCTCACGCAAACTAAAGGATATCAACAATTATTCGCCGAATTAGAACACGATCTGTGTGCCATCACCGGCTACGATAGTATCAGTTTTCAACCAAATAGCGGAGCACAGGGTGAATACGCGGGTTTGAGAGCTATACAGTGTTACCATGAATCTAAGGGCGAGAAGAACCGGCAAGTCTGTTTGATTCCGGTATCCGCGCACGGCACGAATCCCGCGTCTGCTCAAATGGCAGGTATGCAGATAGAGCCAATCTTTGTGCGTAAGGACGGCTCCGTCGACATGGCGCACCTGATAGAGATGATCGACAAGTATCGACAAACGTTATCGTGCCTGATGATCACGTATCCATCGACAAACGGAGTATTTGAGGAGACGATCGGCGACATATGTGACATGGTGCATGGTGCTGGCGGGCAGGTATACTTGGACGGTGCCAATATGAATGCTCAAGTCGGCTTGTGTCGACCAGGCGACTATGGGAGCGATGTGTCACATCTCAACTTGCACAAGACCTTCTGTATTCCTCACGGAGGTGGTGGACCTGGCATGGGTCCTATCGGGGTGTAAGTATTGTTCGTCCTAATTGTGAAGAGTTTGGCATTAAATTATATAGGTATGTATATAATATTTAACTTACAGAAAGCGACATCTTACCCCTTTTTTGCCGAATCATCCGATAATAAATTGTTCTGTCAATGGCAATGGTGATATAAAGAATCTTGGTACCATATCGGCCGCACCTTTCGGATCATCCGCAATTTTACCCATTTCGTGGGCTTATATCAAGATGATGGGCTCAAAAGGCTTGCGTAAAGCTACGCAAGTGGCCATTCTCAATGCCAATTACATGAGCAAGAGACTGGAGAAGCATTACAACACGTTGTACAAGGGTGAAACTGGATTGATCGCGCATGAATTCATTTTGGACATAAGAGACTTGAAGAAAACTGCCAACGTCGAGGCCGTTGATATTGCGAAGAGATTGATGGATTATGGTTTTCACGCGCCAACCATGAGCTGGCCTGTAGCTGGTACTTTAATGATCGAACCGACTGAATCCGAGGACAAGACTGAATTGGATAGATTTTGCGATTCTCTGATCTGTAAGTTAAAAAAAAAACTTTATCAATGTTGTGTTGAAAACAATATAAAAAGTTAGATAATAATATTTTTGTCTCTTACGTTTGCGTTTCTTCTGATAGCTATAAGAAAAGAAATTGCGGACATTGAAGAAGGAAAATTAGATATTAAACAAAATCCTTTGAAGTTGGCACCTCACACACAGGAGCAAGTAATAGCAACCGAATGGAATCGAACTTATTCACGAGAATTAGCGACTTTTCCCGCTGTAAGTATCTTTTAAATATTTTATTTAGTTGAATGGACAAAAGTGTTATAGAATTTTATTTATCTTTTTTAGCCATTTGTGAAAGGAAGCAACAAGATTTGGCCAAGTGTAGGAAGAATAGATGATATATATGGTGATAAAAATCTATTTTGTACATGTCCGTCTATTTTACCAGAACAATAGAGTTACGCAATATTGTTCTTCGTTTATGAACATTTCACCGTCTGCCATTTATTCGTCCAATCTTGTGTACAATTATATCATCAGAATGTATACAATTATATTAGACAAGTAAAATATATGTATACAAAAGAAGTGTTGTGAAATAAGATTAGACGATGAAATGTGGACGGTGATATGTCACTATGCGAAATATAATGATAAAATATCGTGGTACAAATGTCTTACGAACAAATAGCAAACAATGAAATTTGATCATCCGATAATCATTATTTTTATATATCACATGTACATTTAATTATAATAAGACTATTTAAATATTTATTGTAATTTTTATACAAATATATTATTTATAGGAAACATGCTATATTATAATATACATCTGCAGATAATATATTATTTATATAAAACATAATGTGATATTTTTTTATGTCTGCAGATAAAAAAATATAACGACAATTTTTGTTAAAGATTTAAATTTCTAGTAAATAAATGACATACATTTTCATTTTTGTTTTCACGCTCATTATCTACTATTTTTTAACTACCTTCATACACATATTTACACTATTACTGACAATTGTTATCCTTTAAATATTTTGTACATGTATTATAGACCAGGCATAAGATAAGCAATGTTATCGAGCATTTGGGAAAGTGTCTCGGGTTTAGCTCCGTTAGTTTCTGGCATTTGTTGCGTTAAACAGATTAACGGACCTAAGGCACAGAGCAACGAGTCCAATAAAACCGAAAGGCTGCCAGAGACAGCTATTTGACCATCGTGCTCCTTTAAACGTTCCCCAATGATCGTCAAACTCTCGCCAAGCAGTTTGAGATGAGCCGCAACATCAATCGGTTGCGTTCCAATCACCTTGTACATTCCTGTGCCTATTACCGGCTCATTAACCAGATCTTTACTGTTGCGATTTGAGGGTGGTGAGATCGGGATATTCCCAACAACAGACGGCACACCGAGTTGGATAGTTTTTTTCGTGGAAGGGGTCTTTGTTTCTTTTCCATTGCCTGAAATACAACATATACGAGAATAATTTATTAACGTCATACTGATCACATTTAAACGAAATATACGCATGCAGACTAAACCAGACAAAAAGAAAAAAAGAGTACAAAGATTATAAATATATACATGTATATTCAGTTCAATATTTTTGGCTAATGCACATGCACACGAAGGAGAGAAAGATACGTAAACTACTGCACGACATGACACACAAATTGTATACTGCTTATATACACTAGAAACTAAACAAACCCACCAATTTTATTAATGAATTTTTTTCGCGAGGCGGGTGGTGGCATTTTCCAGATAGGTTCATCTTTACTCGCTGGTAAAGTATGAGGTTTTGCTGCTAGGCGTTTTGCGCGCCTGCGCCAATTATATTTTTCCAGATGTGGTACTGTAGCCCACAGCTCTCCTAATCGCTTAGAAATTGCCGCAAAATCTACAAAAAGCAACAATCAATAAACAACATCAAAGTTGCATGCGTTTGTATCTGTATGAAAAAGAATAAATGTAGCTTAAATACCCATGTAAGGAGATTGTTCTAACAGTTCTTGTCTAATTTTCTTTGCCCATAGCATGTAAGCGGTAAATCTCGTCTTCTAAAAATATGAAAAGATTAAGGCCATTCTTTGGTATCGCTCTTCATTAGTACATACCCCTTTGTCTTTACGCTGTGCCTTTGTTTTGCCTATAATTTTCCCATCCTTAATAATCAACTTTTTTTTACATTTTTCAAGCATATATAAACTATTTGCTTGCGATGGTGTTTCCTGACCTGATGGTGGTTCTAGTTTCCTAAATCCTGTTTCTCTATCGTCGATCATAAGAGGATCTACTTCATTGTCGCTTCCAGAATCCATGCTGTATCTCTCATCCTCATTTATCCCAGAGGGATCATCAGATTCTGAACCCGATGATTGTACTTCATTATCAGACAAGGATTCTGTCTTGAGCCTCTGTTGCAAATGATTGGAGCCCGAATTTTTCCTCTGTCGCCCACTGGTTTGGCTAGATTGGGTGGGTAATATTTGCTGTTGCTGTTGTTGTACTTCATACTGATCCAAGAGTTGTTGAGATTGTAATTGTTGCTGAGCCTTCTGTCGCTTAAGTTTATTTTCCGTAAGATCATCAGACTCAAAGTCAACCAGCTTAGAGGACTTCTTCCTTACACGGCCACTGCGGGAGATACCCGTGACCTCTAGATCTGAAAGATAAAGCAGACTGCACCTTGCCAAACAAAGGAAAGGATCCAATATACTTTGCAATAGCTAACTACCAGGCTTAAACATCTATAGAGTCAGGATAGAGGCACAGTATAGAAACACTACTTTTATGCAGGCTACGATGTATCAGCTACTTAAGATGTGGGCAGCCAGTAGCGGTATAACCTCTTTTTTCTTGGAAATTCTGTATTATATCTTTATAAAAGATAATTATTCAATTACTCTCAAACAATTCACAAGAAATAATAACGATTAATAATAAGATGAATTAATTTTTGCAGGTAATAAGATGTTTCTAATCCAGCATATGTATTTATACTTTTGATGCAAGTCTGTATATAAGTATACATGATGAATCGTAAGCAAGTTAAAGCAATGTACAAAAAAATATTGATGACAATTCAACCAAATCGTAGAAAAATTTTCAAAAATTTTATTCCTGAATATTCGTGTTTATGATTCATTGTCAGCTGCGACGACAAGCGCCGCCAAAAAGCGCCTGTATGACATCCCACATATACATATTATATATAGATATATATATACAACCACAGAAGTCGCCACCGAATATTGCCCCGAGGTGGACTCCTCCGAAAGTCTACCAACGCGCGATATAATATCCATGCGATTCACCGCAAGCGATAACCAGCGAAGCAAGCAAAAACCAACTACTCCGATGCAGGCGCGTGAAACGGGAAAACCGAATTCTCACCGTCGCTCTTCTGCGCGCGTGGTTTCGCCGATCCGTACATATCCATAGCGTCCTCCCTCCGCCGACGTGATGCCTGAACGCGGGCGCTGCGTCGCCGCGGCGGCGCATCGTCGTCATCCCGCGGTTTCGCGGGCGCATGAATGTCCATATCCATGAAGCGACCATCCGATCGCGTCCCTGATCGCCTCCGAATACGCGTCCTTGACTCGCGACCTGGAATCGGGATCGCAGATTCTTCGTCCGCGCTTCCGCGTTAAATTGACAGGTCGAACCTTCTTTTGTTCACCACGTATTTTTGTTAACAATTGCGAGGTCTCCGAGAGGAATTCGCGCGGGAAATCTGCGCAGGCGCGGCACGCGAGATTTCGAGTTCGATTATTATCGCGAACTTCGATACTTTTATCACTTGCTTCTCTTCTCTGTGAAAAAAATTTTTTCTCTCCTTCGTGTCGCGAAATTCTGAAGATTCTTGAAGATTACGAGAGAGATTTTCGCAGAAAAAATGTGGAAAGAATAAGATGAGATCTTTAATATAGGTACGCGAGATCCAGTTATTTGTTTTATAATTTTAATTTGTAACAATTAAGGGAATAATAACCTTTTCTTCACTCCTCTCCTTCGTTAATAAGTGTATTTCCAGCATGTCTTGAATCGCGAGAATTATTAAGAGAAAAGAGAAATTTTGATAGAGAGAGCAAAACTCGATCGAGGTTTTTGTTTGCGTATCGAAATGTCATGGATATGCTAATGAGTACGCGATAAAATTATTATCTCGATTTGTATTATCGCGCGCTTTTTTTCTTTAACCTATGTACCTAAACTGCAACAAGATCGCCATCTCTCCTCCCCCGCCGAAATCTCTCCCGCGATTAACTTCAAGTGAGACGCGACCGTTTCTTCACCGACTCGCGAAAACTTGTCGCGCGTCGCGAATCGTCCGAATTATCGAGAATCGGGGAAGAAAGGTAAGAAATATTCGCGAAAATAGTAATATTAGATCGAGATGTTGTTTGTCGAATGAGGGTGCAATGATTCTCAACAAGTACGCGCTCAAATTACTGCTTCAATAGTCGCGAAATTTTTTTAGCAACATTGTCGCCATATTTTCTTCCGCCACTGCAATATCATGTCGTATCGCGAATCATCTGAATTATCGAGAATCGGGGAAGAAAGGTAAGAAATATTCGCGAAAATAGTAATATTAGATTGAGATGCTGTTTGTCAAATCGAGATGCAATGATTTTTAGCGAGTACGCGATCTAATTTTATTGCTACAATAATCGTGTATTTTTTTACTCTACAACAATCGCCATCTCTCTTCTCCCATCGCAAGCATGTCGCGAAAAGTCTTATGACTTCAAGTACGACGCCATTGTTTCTTCACGGTTGTCGGAAAAGTATTGTCGCGTCGTGAATCGTCCGAATTATCGAGAATCCGGGAAGAAAGGTGAGAAATATTCGCGAAAACAGTAATATTAGATCGAGACGTTGTTTGTCGAATGGAGGTGCATTGATTTTTGGTGAGTACGCGATCAAATCGCTACTTCAAGAGTCGTGAATTTTTTTTTTTCACTTTGCAACAATCGCCATCTCTCTTCCCCCATCTCAATCATGTCGCGATAAGTCTATGCAATCTCAAGTCAGACGCCATTGTTTCTTCAACGGTTCCCGGAAACTTGTCGTGTGTCGCGAATCGTCCGAATTATCGAGAATCAGGGAAGAAAGGTGAGAAATATTCGCGAAAATAGTAATATTAGATCGAGACGTTGTTTGTCGAATGAAGGTGCATTGATTTTTGGTGAGTACGCGATCAAATTATTGCTCTAATAATCGTGTATTTTTTTGCAACAATCGCTATCTCTCTTTCCCCATCGCAATCATGTCGCGCGATCTACTTCAAATAAGACGCCGTTGTTTCTTCAGCGGTTCTCGGAAACTTGTCGCGTCGCGAATCGTCCGAATTATCGAGAATCCGGGAAGAAAAGTGAGAAAATAGTGATATTAGATCGAGATGTTTGTCGAATCGAGGTGCAGTGGTTCTTCGCGAGTACACGATCAAATTATTACTTCAATAATCATGAATTTTTGTAACCTGCAGCGCCACCTTTCTTCCCCAATCTCAAGTGATAAGTGAAACTCACTTTACGTGAGACGCGGCGGTTTATCGGTTCGCGAAAACTTTTCTCGCGCGCGTGAAAAGTTTTGAGAAGTGTTTGTGAAGTGTTGTGAGATATAAAAATAAAAATATAAAGTGTGAAAAAAAGTGAAGTGTCCTTTTTGGGATTACCATTGGATTACCATATTGGATTACTATTGGATTACTATTGGATTTCGTTTGGCTCGAACCGCGATGGTATGTAAGAAAATTATTTTTTCACAGTCGTACAATTGTGTGATCTACACAATAATTAAAAAAGATCATCAATTCTTCGCCTATATTGACTTCGAATCATGCGAGCCCTTTAAATTAGCCGCGGAAATTTCTGAAGTTTTTTTTTTACTGACTTGCAGTATGAAACTTTTCTCAGGTGTTATGAAATATGAAAATGATCAAAAATCAGAAAATAAATGTTTTTCGAAAGAATAATATTAGATTTTTTCGTTTGCTATTTCAATATAAAATTATTAATGTGTTGAAAATTATTATGCGTAGAAAATTATTACTCTGTATCTTTTTTTATAACTTGCAATGAGGAAGATATAAATTAATTTTTTATAAATCTTTAATTAATTGATATTGATAAAATTTATATAGTTAGAATTAAATTTATATTTAAATCGCATGTCACTTATTCATAAGATATACCTAACATACTATTACTCATTATATATTTTACATATTTATATATATCTATGCGTGGGTTTCTACTTATATGTTAAATTTAGATTTTATATATAAAATACTTATTAAAAAGAATATTGAATTATTAGTGCGGTGATCAATATAATTAACTGATGTTAATTATAGTCAAATATAACATTTTCTATATAAAAATTACATGAAAAATAGAGAGAGAGAGAGAGAAAGAGATTATTAATACCTGAATAAACATAAATATAAATCCAACGAATTAGAATTTTGATATGAAATATTGCTTCTATAATGTGAAAAGTTGAAAACAATTTTGACACTCTGCATGTATATGTATAGTCAATTTATATTATGTTTCTCAGTATAGCATTGATTAAATTATCAAATAATATTAAAAGCGTAACTTTAAATTATCAAATAATATTGAAATCGTAACTTTAAATTATCAAATAATATTGAAAGCATAACTTTAATATATCATTCATGATTATTTGATATTTACATTACTATTTTTATACATTATTATACTATAAATAAGTAAATTTGATGTATGTATATAGTGATATATGTATATATATATATATATATACTATAAGGAAATATAACATTTTCTATATAAAAATTACATGAAAAATGGAAAGAGAAATTATTGATATGTAAATAGACAAATATAAATCTAATGTATTATAGTTTCGATATGAAATATTACTTCTATAATGTGAAAAGTTAAAAACAATTTTGTCACTCCACATATATAAAGCCAATTTTTATTATCGATGTATGTTTCTCAGTATAGCATTGGTTAAATTATCAAACAATATTGAAAGCAAAACTTTGATATATCCATGATTATTTAATATTTATTATGTTACTATTTTTATACATTATTATACTAAAAATAACTAAATTTGATATATATAGTACTATAAGTAAATATAACATTTGTTATATAAAAATTACATGAAAAATGTAAAGAGAAATTATTGATACGTAAACAGACAAATATAAATCTAATGTGTTATAGTTTCGATATGAGATATTACTTCTATAATGTGAAAAGTTAAAAACAATTTTGTCACTCTGCATATATATAGCCAATTTATATTATCGATGTGTTTTTCAATATAGCATTAGTTAAATTATCAAACAATATTGAAAGCAAAACTTTGATATTTTATCTATGATTATTTGAACCTTATTATATGTTATTTATATATTATTAAACTTATACTTTAAATGAATGGAATTTGATATATAGTACTATATATACAAGAAAGCTGACTTCTCTCCATGTCACATATAAAAATATTAATATAATATTATTAAAATTTATCACAAGTAAACAGTTTGTGTGCGTGTGTATATGAGTGTGATTCTATTCATATAATTAAATTAAATGGTGTCTTCTTGCTGCCAACCATCTTCATCAGATAGAAATCTCCTTTTGTGAGTCGTATTCATATAGGGCCTCAATACCCATTCCGTATCGGCTGATGATTCAGTGTCCAGAGTTCCCAATTTGATCTCATATAGCTTCATCTGGAAACGTGGTCCAACTTCTGTCATTTCGATATCTTTTCCATGCACATTTTTATACGTATGATGTCGAAAGCATATGTAATCATCATGATTAGCGAAACTGATCACTCTCTTGCTATCTTCCTTCGGCACAGGAAACAAGTACTTTAGAATGTTCATCACTCTTATTCCTAGTTTTGTCTTAAAGTTGTGGAATATCAAATGTGGATATTGCTCTGACATCGTGCCAATTTCAGGTATATCATGTCGCATTATGACACCGGACAGTGTAAAGTAGGCAGTCGGTCCGTATGGCAGATGACATACTATCAGGGCGTCAGGAACACCCCGGTGCTCGTGCACGATGATGAAGTCGGTGACGTCGTTGGCACGACAGGCATGGATCAACTCTTTCATCTCGTAGTTACCGCGATTCATGCGCTGCGAATTGGGAAATATTAGACGCAGCTCCTTGGCGAACATCTTCAGTCGGGAGCTCGGATCTCGGGACGTCGTGATGACGATCTTCGGGTTCTCCACGCCGGCCCAGCGATACTCGTCGTCCTGGTGGCTGGCCACGGCACCACCACCCATTTCCGTACCCATGGCCATCGCCATCTGCGGCCCGGCATCCTCCCATTCGATCTTCCTCTGCACGTGCAACGCACTTTTCCTCAGGTCCGGGTGAATCGGTACATTCTCGTCCAAGTTGCGCTTCAACTTGTCTTTTTTCTCCTGAATACCTTTCACCTTATCCTGTATGGATTTTCTGTAGAGATACTCTCTACGTAATCGCGCCTGTCTTCGTAACATTTTCGAGATTATAATCCAAACTTTGTTGATTATTATTAAACTTCTCAATATTTTTATGTCTCGAGTAGCGCGTTCAACAACATTACTGCAGGTTAGGTTTACTAGTAGGTTATGTCACGTTACTCACGCCACGTGCGTGAAGCTTGGTGTCGCTGCCTAGAGATGGCGCTTCGATCCCTTATGCGCTTCAAGCGCCTATAAAGATGATATACCCAGTCTTTTTGGTTCTATGAGTACTTAGTAAAGCGTTCATTATATCATTGCGATGTTATGAATATTATTTACAAATGCTTATTGAGGTAGAGCAGTAAAAGTATTAGCATCTTTTATTAAAGAAAACACTGAAAGTAATGAGATAAATTAAAAATTAAAAATTAAAAATTAAAAATTCTTTATCAGATATTTTGTTTTATGACCTGCTTTCCATCTCGTTAATAAAAATTTTATGAAATAAAATATGTAATTAAAATATTGATCGTCGTATCCTAATAATTCGTCGTTAACAATAATTTGTTTTTAAATGTTATATTTGAAAAATTTGTTTTTTATTAAATTTTTCATTCATTTTTTAAAATTAAAAATTAACAAAATTAATGTGTGAATAAAAATTACGTATAAAATAATATAATATAATTAGTTTATATTTTATAATTATTATTTTTGCATATTTCTTTATTTAATTAATTTTTGTTTATTTAATGGTTATTTAATTTTTTAAAATTATCTCATAAAGATTTCAAATTATTTTGATCCTAATCTATGTATATACTTTTTTAAATTTGTTTTAACAATCATTTTTCTAAGTTGCAATTGAGATAGAGAAATTTATTTTTCTTCATTCAATCTCATAAATTGAAGTTAATAAAAACATAATTAAAGAAATATTTACATATAAATTTATTTTTTTTGTGTCTTGTTTGAGTAGTAAATTAATTAATACAATTTATTATTCTTTGACTTATTATATTCTTTTCAATTTTTATAAAGTTTATGAAAAAGGATCATTAAAAGATCATTTTAATTTCTATTAAAAAAATTATCTTGTTACACGGAAAGAATTTTCTCTTATTAGAATTTACCTTAAAAATCATGGTTAGGTCAAAAATTATGGGACAATATAATATTGGAAGAATTTTATAAAAGTTTCTCTGATTAATATTTATCACCAATAAAAAATATTACTATGCACATAGGTACATAGTAAAATTAGTCGAACATAATTTTATTGTGGTAGATATTAATATTTTTTATTATGGTAAATAAAAATATAACAGAGAAATTCTTATAAAAATCCAATATTATATTGTCTCACGATTATCATAATTTTCAGGGTAAATTCTAAGAAAAAATTCTCTCTGTGTATAATCATTAATCTTTTAAAGCCATTAAATATTTAGTATATCGAATGGATTTTTTGTATGTGTATTTTTTTTGCGTAATCGATCGCAACGTGCACTTTACAAGAAGATGCAACACAACGGCATTTGAGAAAATCAACCCGGTTCCCCTCCACTCATAATATGTTCGACTTGGATGTGTTATTTTGCGCAACCACCTGAGTGCGGGCAATCACGCATGAAAGTAACAATGAATAGCATCGAAATAGGCGGATAGAAGGCCAGAGACCGGTGATTTTGTCCGGTGCGTTCGAGCACCTGTGTATGCATGTATGCGTGCATGTGCGTCTATACACGTGTATACAGTTCACTAGAGTCCACGCCTTGGGCATCCTCTTCCGCATTTCACGTCGGAAGAGGAAAAATTCTCGGGAACTATCTGTCGATTATATACACGGAGTAAAGAATATTCTATAGAGTATTGTTTGATTACACTTAACATTTTTTCATGTTTCTGCAAAATTATACAGTTGACAAAATCTAAGCAAATACATGCATAAATGGATGGAATTCATAATGCTTTGAAATTTAATTTTTAAGGAAACAGAAAATACGCTATGAAAGATTTATAAAATGCGCAGTTGAAAATGTATACATTTAACTGGAAAATTATATTTCCTTTATCCATTTTTCACTTTTGTTCTATTAGACTTTATTAAATATATTATTGAAATCCGTTTTTGTTTAATTTTTAATAACTCTCTCACTCTCTATGTATGTATACATATTTCATGAATTTGCAACTAATATTCAATATAATTAAATGTAATTTAAAAAATTGTTAAATGTTATATTTGATTTTTATTTCATACGTAGGATAGAGTTAGGAAGACTTTATCTCTTGTTTACTGTAAATTTCAACAAATTTGAAGTTTTACAATTAATTACGATATATTTAATATCGAAAACTAGCGAGAAATTATCTTTGGAGATGAGATCTCTGTTAATTCTCTGCTATAATATAATGAACGGCGATATCTAGCTGCAATGCGAATAAAATCATGCCATCGTGCGTGTCAAATTTTTCGTGTACAAAGAAATTCGATTCGCGTCACGCATTTTCCGCAACAACGTGTATATAACAACGACGGCGGGACGCATCGAGCGATGCCGCGGTTCGGTCCGTATTATAGCAATTCAATAATAAATTGTAGAACGGCTCGGTCGCCGCATTATGCGCCGGTAATCACAGTAATAAGCAGTTCTAAAAGTAACGTAAGTACGTTGTAGGTAGTAACAAGTGGGGAGAGGGAGAGCCGTAATCTCGGGGGATGCCCCCATGTAATCTCGGGGGATGCTGTCGAGGAGACAAGAGAGAGAGAGAGAAGAGAGAAGAGAGACGAGAGAGAGAGAGAGAGAGAGAGAGAGAGAGAGAGAGAGAGAGAGAGAGAGAGAGAGAGAGAGAGAGAGAGAGAGAGACCCCATGGGCGTCATCCGCGCGATGTTCCTGAATCGGCATAATTTACAGCCCCGTTCGAACAAATTGAGCGCGTTTATGCAAAAGGGGCGACATAAACCACGTGAGAGGACGATCGCGGCAGAAACCGGACTCGATCGCCGCTTTTCCTTCCGGCGAAGGAAGCATTTTATTCTCGATCGCACGTTCGCTCACCGATCATTTCGCTAAATAGACATCGACGATTTTGCAGTTACGTCTTACTCTGTTACATATGTCACTCGAATATATTTAATTCGCTTTTTTTCTCTCAATTTTACATTTTTTTTTTAGTATAAGAGAAGAGATTGTGTAGGCTGGAAGATTTATTATGTAAAACATTCCTGTGCGCGAGCTCGCGGATATATTACACAATAATGCGCCCGCAATTTACACAATTTTTATTCCTTCCTGTATATATTGTACATATGAAACGCGCGTAGGTAGCTAAGACTTATAATTATCCTTATCTTAATTGCTTAGAAATTTTTTTTTTGTGGAACGATTTTCCGCGGTCGCGGCTTTTACGCGAGCGAAATTCTTGTCCGATGATTTGGTTGAAATATTTTTGTCCAAGCCTTTTTTTTTTTTTTTTTTAATTTTATATGCGAATGTAAGGGAAAGAGATTTATTAAAAATTATTACGGAATTAATTTTTGCCGCACCGCAAAAGTCGCGTGTATGTACGCCTATGAGATGGCCTATACGGGGACTATACTATATGCTGTACGTATCCGTTAAGCCAACATCTAATTCGATAACTGGCGAAAATAATAACGTAGCGATCTGTTGCGTTCGCGGCGCGCAATCATCCGTTTCGGTACCGGGTGTCCGCGGAGAACCACAAGACTCACAAGGTGTTTTCTTTCGAAGATATTTTATTGCTCGTACAAGCGCAATAATCGCTACCGCACCTGCCGTATATACCTATGTATACGAATACGAAAAATACTTTCGAATCATATCGAGCAATCATGTCAACCGCACAGAGAGAATTTTCTCTTGAAAAATAATAATATCGCTACCATAATAAGATAGAAAATATGCTCGATCAAATTTACTATGTACATATTCATATTTTTTATTATAAATGTTAGAGAAATTCGTATAAATTTCTTCCAATATATATATATATATTGCCCTAAGATTACTATTGATTTTCAGGATAAATTCTAAGAGAAGATTCTCTCTATGCGTAAAATATTTACTGAACATTCGATTATTTAACAAAATTTATAGTGAAAGAAATTGGCAGATTTACAAACGTTAAAATTGTACACGAATTAAATGCATGTACGATGAAGGATGAAGATTTTTGAGAGATTCTTAACTTTCTCAAAATGTCAAACAAATGTCATCAATTTTCAAGTTGGAGTCCCCCTTCAGGGTAGCCGATCCGATCATTTGAAATAAATCAGATAATTTTTTTTCGATGTGTCCGAGAACGGTAGCGATTTATAACGAGACGAGGCTGCGTTGACTACCTCGGTAGCACGGATGACACTTATTAAAAGTTTCGGCTGAGTACCGAGAGGCATCGATCTTCTTTCCCTCTCGCACGAGCGCGATATACTCACCCTGTCTCTCTTTCTCTCTGCCTTGTTACCCGTCCACGAGAAATACCGAACAGTTTAATAAGCAAGAGCAGTGGCGGCGATATACCGCGATACAAGATACCGTGGATATCATCCATCACGCGACGCGAATCGCCATTACGTTCCTCTCCAAACTTTCGATCGAGATCGACCGCGTCTCTCTTTTACGAGAGCTTTCGTCTCGAGAAACTCGCGATTCTTAATCCCGCGGGATTTTCTCTTAGAATTTACTCTGGAAATTATGATAATGATTTTGGGATCAAAACGGTACTAAAAGAATTTTATAAGAGTTTGATTAATATTTACCACAATAAAAATATTAATATCTACCACAATCGATTAATTTTACTATGTATATATATATATATGATATTTTTTATCGTGGTAAATATTAATCAGAGAAATTTTTATAAAATTTTATATTGTCTCATAATTACCATGATTTTCAGGGTAAATTCTAAGAGAAAATTTGCTCCGTATAATATAATTACGAGAAAAAAAATTATATTTTTAGAGAGATTTTTCTCGATTCTAATTTTTATCTCTTGTTATTCTTCAACAATTTTTATCGATTTATAAGTTATATTTTCTTAAAATATTACAACTAAAAATTCAGTGGTATATCGAGTCGCAGATAATAATTACAGGAGGGATAAGGACGTTTAAGGTTTCCGAAACATAATTCGCGATTATTGCGTAT